GCCGCGATGCCTCCCGGGGGAGGGGGCAGTAGGCAATAAAAGGCTCCTCGCCTCGCTCCTCCAGAACTCTCTCAAAAAAAGCTCGTCAAAACACTTTGAAAGGGGTGCACGGATGCACCCTGCAAAACTACCTAAAACCAGTCAAAACCTCTTTCCCTTATGCATATATATTACAGTGAGTTAAAGTCAAAAAGGAGGGAAAGGAAAGGAATACCTCGCAGCTCCATCACAGCCAGGGCTCCAAAACAGCCGACTCCTTCCCTCCTCTCCTCTGGACCACACCAAGGCGCTTGCCCCGCAGCACCAGGGAGCCAGGGGAGGCAGCTCACCCGGTCCGAGGAGGATCCGGCTCCGGACCCGCCGAGACCGCGCACACGCCTTTCGCTTCTCACGCCCAGCCCCCTGCGCGCGCCAGACACGCCCCCTCCCCACGAGAGGAGAGCCGGGAGGCAAATACTCTTGACACCAAACATCCCCCATTCATGAACAAAAGACTTTCCCTTTTTGACAAATACTCTCCCACCCAGTTTGCAGATTGGTGACCCATCAGCAGCCCATCCAGGAGTTCCTGGCTACTCGAGAAGTGTCTCTGAGGTCAGCCAGGGCCTAAACATGGCCGAACTACCTCTTTTCCACTCCGCATAATATCTGGGCCCGGCTTTCATTCATGAATTGTACCTTTTCATTCACAAGAGCCGAGGTGCGCGCCATAGATGGAGCACTTCTCTCGCGCTCCGGGCGGCTTACAAGAAAACGGGAGCGGCGTCTTTTTGCTTGCATGCCTGCAGTACCAGCGGACGCTCCTGCAGGGGGAGCTGTTGCGCAAGTCGAAACGTCAAAATGTGATCTTTGGCAGAGGAGAGCCGCTAATAATACTTTTATTGTCTTTGCTATGGTTTGAATTTTATTGTATTCTATGTAAAATAAGCTTTCAATAGCAATACTTACTTAAAAAGGGGGGGGGGGAATTGCCTTGGCACCTTGCTAGCCGTGTATGTGGAACCCCAGTTTCTGAGAAATTCTTACAACCTTACAAACACGTGTTGAGATATGTACATTTTCCTAATAGGAAGATTGCTCAAAAGAGAGGCCTGCCCTCAACATTCCAACCAGCCCCTTCAGAGCCCCCCCCAAGTACCCTCTGTTGGGCCCTTGCCTTCTTTAGGACACCCGGCTGCAGCGCCACAAAACCAGCTGGGGAAGGAATGTTTGTTTTTATGGTATGTCTTTTTGTGGCTTTATACTGTAACCCGTGAAGGACCGTATAGAAATTTAATAAATAATAATAATATGTCATCCAGAAGCCTCCCCTTCCATCTATGCTATTGCTGACCCCCCCCCCCCCGTCTCCAAGCAGGGCGAGATTCCTGGGGTTCCAGGCTCTGTCTTCAGGATATAGGGTTTATTTGCATATAGAGACAACCTGAGCCTAAGATGGAGGGGCTCACAGCACCCCAGAAGGTCTTGCTTTTCCCATTGCCACAATCCTGGATTCTAGCAAGAATTCAGCATGGATCTGTCTCTAGTTGCTGCCTGCCCCCAGCCCATCTCACCCACACAGCTCTGGCCTTTGTCTTTCTCACCACCAGCCAGGTGGGGGGGCACCCATTTGCCCCCTCACACAGAAAAACGTCCTTTGTTATAGTAATGGCAGTACTTAGGGCCGTTAACTCAGCAGGAAACTTGCCTGTCTCCTCCAACAATTGAATCTTCCATTAGAATTTCACCCTTGCTGGACCCAGGAATCAGAAGGCACTCGGTTGTGATATAGACTGACACCACTACCCCACCTCCCAACAATATGGTTTAAAACAAACAGGAATAACCTTAAAAAACTGTCCAGTAGCACCTTAAAGGTAATTGTAAAGGGACTCCTGACCATTAGGTCCAGTCGTGGCCGACTCTGGGGTTGTGGCGCTCATCTCGCTTTACTGGCTGAGGGAGCCGGCGTACAGCTTCCAGGTCATGTGGCCAGCATGACTAAGCCACTTCTGCCAAACCAGAGCAGCGCACAGAAACGCTTACCTTCCCGCCGGAGCGGTACCTATTTATCTACTTGCACTTTGACGTGCTTTCGAACTGCTAGATTGGCAGGAGCAGGGACCGAGCAACGGAAGCTCACCCTGTTGCGGGGATTCGAACCGCCGACCTTCTGATCGGCAAGTCCTAGGCTCTGTGGTTTAACCCACAGCGCCACCCGTGTCCCCCCCCTTTTTTTACAACAGAAGAAGAAGATACAACAGAAGAAGTTGTATCTGAAGAAGTGTGCATGCACACGAAGGCTTATACCCAGCTTATACTACTGGACGATTTTTAATTAATTTTTTTTGACTGTGTCAGACCAACACGGCTACTTACCTGAATCAGAAATAACTTTGTGGCAGTAAAGGCTGTTTCACAGTATAGGGGGCTCCCTTGGAAGGTGGTGGACTCTCCTTCTGTGGACATATTTCATCAGAGGCTGGGTAGCCACCAGTCAGGGATTATTTTAAAAAAATTCCCTGCTAGATGGCCATCCAACCACTGCTTTAAAACCTCCAAGGAAGGAGAGTCCACCCCCTTCCAAGGGAGACCATTCCACTGTCAAACAGCTCTTACTGTCTTAATGTTTAAGTGGAATCTTCTTTCTTGTAGTTTGAATCCATCAGCTTGGATCCTGCCCTCTGGAGAAGCAGAAAACAGCTTGCTCAGCCTCCCATGTGGGAGCCCTAGAGATATTTGAAGATGGTGATCATCTCTCTTCTCAGTCCCCCGTTTTCCAGCCAAATTATACCCCACTCTGTCAACCATTCCACATAAGGTGTAGTTTCCAGACCCTTGATCATCTTGGTCACCCTCCTCTGCACACGTTCCAGCTTGTCAACATCCTTCTTAAATTATGGTGCCCAGAACAGTTTTCCAGGTGTGGTCTGTCAAGGCAGAATAGAGCCGGACTATGACTTGGGAGAAAAGCGATGGCAAACGTAGACAGCATCTTAAAAAGCAAATACATCACCTTGCCAACAAAGGTCCGTATAGTTAAAGCCATGGTTTTCCCAGTAGTGATGTATGGAAGTGAGAGCTGGACCATAAAGAAGGCTGATCACCGAAGAATTGATGCTTTTGAATTATGGTGCTGGAGGAGACTCTTGGGAGTCCCATGGACTGCAAGAAGATCAAACCTCTCCATTCTGAAGGAAATCAGCCCTGAGTGCTCACTGGAAGGACAGATCCTGAAGCTGAGGCTCCAAGACTTTGGCCACCTCATGAGAAGAGAAGACTCCCTGGAAAAGACCCTGATGTTGGGAAAGATGGAGGGCGCAAGGAGAAGGGGACGACAGAGGACGAGATGGTTGGACGGTGTTCTCAAAGCTACCAGCATGAGTTTGACCAAACTGCGGGAGGCAGTGGAAGACAGGAGGGCCTGGCGTGCTCTGGTCCAGGGGGTCACAAAGAGTCGGACACGACTAAACGACTAAACAACAACAATGACTTCCCTTGATCCAAACACAAGACTTCTGTTGATGCAGCCAAGAATAGCATTGGCCTTTTTTGCTGCTGCATCACGCTGTGGACTCGTGTTAAGCCTGCAGGTTGCCAAGAATATTTTCATTAATCAAGAAAGAACGTCAAAGGCTTGAAGCGGATCAGATACCATTGTAGTTCCAAATGCAAACAATGCTGACTAGTGATCTGGCCAGGCGCCCTTGTGCTGCTGCATGTGCCCTCATCTGTCTCTGTTTAAATAAGTTGCCAGCATCAGTCTGAGGCTGAGCAGCCAGAAGTCAGAAGTGGGGGCAGCAATGGGAGAAATGCTGGGCAAGGCCCAAGTTTTGGCCACAATCACCTTGCTGTGAGATCACCAAGCCCCATATATGATCACTTGATCACTTCGATCTGCAAAACTTGTAGAGTTACAACTCCCACATCATACTTCTGCATTCGTAACAAATTAATATTTTAGTGTGGTGGCAGCTACACTTTGAAACTCCCTATCAGGCAGGTGCTCTTTTCAGCTCCTGCCAACAACTTTAGAAAAGCCTAGCCAGATATCAAGATTGATGGGGGGTGTTCTAATCTGCTTTTAGTTTATCTCTGATTTTGATTTTTTTTAATGCATTAAATAGTGGTTGTGAACTGTCTTTACTGATAATTTTCTTGTTTTATTCTTTTCTAACCGCTTTGAGTTTTCTTTCTTTTTTACAGTCAAGTGGTGTATACATTTTAATGAAATAAATAAATAGATAAATAAACAAGTGTGTTGACGTTTTCAGAGATTTTGAATTCCCTGTTTCAGCGAACCAGATGTGTGGCTGCTGGCTGCAAATGCACAGCCATGTGGGCAGTGTCTCTCTCTCTCTCTCTCTCTCTCTCTCTCTCTCTCTCTCTCTCTCTCTGTGTGTGTGTGTGTGTGTGTGTGTGTGTGTGTGTGTGTGTGTGTGTGTGTGTGTGTGAGAGAGAGAGAGAGAGAGAGAGAGAGAGGTCCCTCCCGCCATCTCCCTATATCTCTCTCTGGGGCCGAACATATTTTCATTGGGTGCTTGGGGCAACGCAGGGCTGCTCAGAGCCACTTTTCTTCCAGTCCACTTGGGGAGATGCTGAGGGCGAAGCAGGGAGACCTCCCGGCAGCAGGAGGGAGACCGCCAGGCCGCGCCACGGAGCCGAGCTGAAGCCGCTCCGTCCGCGCGCAGCAGCCCCTTCGCTTGCGCACAGAGCGAGCCAGGAGCGGGCCTTGGCATCCACGGCGTAACCTGAGCCCTCCGGGGCCGGCGCGCGCCGCAGGCAGCAGGTGAGTGATGCTGGACATGCACCTGGTGCCGCCTCCGGACTGAAGATTTGATGAAATGCCTCTATTATGATCCGGAGGTCCATGGAGGAGAGCAAGCGGGCGATACCTGATCCCCTCCACTCCCGGAGAGCCCGATTGCTGGAGCTTTTCATAACCTCCCCAGCCAGACGCCTCTCTGGAAAGGCAGCTTCAGGGGCAGGAGCCATGGGACGAGGGGGCCCAGGGCTCAGAGATGGGTAACAAGCAGACCATCTTCACTCCGGAGCAGCTGGACGCCTATCAGGTAAGAGCACCTGCGGACGCAGCGCGGAAGCTTCCATGCCTGCGCGCTCACCAGAGCTTTGCTAATGCTGGGCAGGAAGCGGGAGCGGCTGCTTTTTCAAGTCAACATGCAGACAAGCCACACGAGTGCGAATGCCATGTGTGAACGCTGCCCTGCGAGGAGTGTGTCCGTACAGGAGCCCATAAGCAGCAGCATTAGATGGAGTCAAAGCAGCAACAACCTGCCTTTTCCTGGATTCAAAGAGCTTATTTTTACGGCTAATGTCTGTACAGCACAGGGGTGGGGGTGGGGTAGGAGAGGATTTTTGCGAGAAGATCAGAAATCACTCCTGGGCGAGGGTCTCCAGCCTTCGCAGACTCCCCTCTGTGCCTGATTTCATATTTCTTTTCTGTTTCAGGATGCAACGTTCTTCACACGGAAAGAAATTCTCAGGTGAGATTATGCGTTTCGCTACAGAATCCAAACATCTGCGTCAGAATTATCCTTTGTTAAAAGCTCGGGCGGGGGGCGGGGGGCGGCAGCTGAAGCAGAGCGCCCTTTCCCCGCCTTTCCCCAAGCTGCCTTTCACAGATGCCCATTTGCCATGAAATGCGCCTGGCCCCGCTCGCCCTTCAGCTCCGCATTCTGGAAATCCCCTCTGCTGAGCTGAATGGGGCTGGAAGTGGCAGGATCAGTTTCGGGTCCCTGCAGCAGAGAAGCCTAAATCAGGGGGTTCCAAGTGGCTTTTTAAGACTCTCGCTCAACACAACTGAGCCATTGGGCAATCCAGTGTGTGAGACAGAAGAAGGTGCTAGAACTCCCTTGGGAGTCATAGTTTCCTTCTTAGTAAGTTTATTCAGTTTTGAACTTTGAGACTTCCAAATGAGAACGCGGAAGGGAGCTGAGCACAAAACACTCGAAATGCTTCCAAATAAACTCCAAACCATTTGGTTTCTGTGGCCTCTGGAGCCCCCCCAGCTGAGACTCTGCAGAGATAATGTGGTGGAGTGGTTAGAGTTTGGCCCCTTGGGAGAAGCGAGTTCACATCCAGCTACCAGCCCCTCTCTCCCTGTCCATCTAGCCCACCTCACAGGGGTGTAATGAAGCTAGAATAGGAGAGCCATGGGCACAGCTTTGAGCTCCCCAAAAGAAAAGGTGATATACTAATGCAGTGATAAACAAATAAGTGCCCAGGAAGGGAGACCCAAGGCCCGCAGGCTGAGGGGTCTCAGAGCCAGGCAGGGGGAGCATCCAGGCCAGGAGAAATGCGCCCCCTCCCCTCTGCCATTTGCTGTGTGACATGTAGCAAGGGACACAGGCTGAGTGAAAGGGGCATTGATGAAACCTAAGTATGGGCATGTTTTCATGTCTGGAATGGAAGCCAAGACCATAATTGTATCATGAATAAGGCATTCATTATTGATAGGGAGCCCTTTTGAAACTTCTGCCTCTTTGTTCTCTGCCACTTTCTCTGATGACAGCCCATTGCCGAGTAAACAAAGGAAGCAAAAAGGAGGCAGAGGAGGAGGAGACCCCCCTCCCCCTCCCCCTTTTTAGACTTCCCCTCTAGTGAGCGCTTTCTGCTGCAGAGCTCTGCATGCAAATCCGAGAGGAAATCCCACTGAGTTTAATGGCCTGCGCTTCTGAGCAGGCAGGGGCAAAGTTACGCTGCCAGCTTAGTTAGGATTTATATCCTGACTTTTTAAAAAATGTCTGTTTTGAGGCAACCAACAACAAAGTCGGAAGAACAAAGCAGTAAGTAACCCAACATACCAAAAGCAAACACAAGAAGCACATTTAGACAAAACCTTTTAGGAAATGGAAACAGGTAAATGCCCTTTAAAACTGACTGAGCACAAAATCACTTAGGCCTCCTGTGCCAATGCACGCTTACTTGGAAGTAGGTCCTACTGCATCCAATGGTGTCTGGGGATCTGGACCTAAGAAAATGAGGATTGCAGGAGCATTCCCTGTTGTGAATTGGTGGGGTGGTGCAGGGAAGAAGTACCTGAATGTACAGAATTATCAGCAAAACACACACAGAGACAACCACCCCCAAACAAACTCACCTGTGCCCCCTTCTCTTTCCGCGCACACAGACCTGTGTGGAGTCATCACTTCCCTTCTGCGGCAGTCTGAGTCCCCCTAACATTTTCATAGCCTTGATCGGTTCTTCCTCTCCCTGTTTTTTTATTTTTTGTGGGAGAAGGACACCCCCTCTAGGCAGCAGCTGAGAAGAAGACTTCTTGGGTTTGCTGACCTCTCCTTGCCTCCAGGCATTTGACTGTAAATAACAGAGCAGCAAAGGAGGCCCCTTCAGAGCTGCTTGGCCAAATGCTCTCTTTCTTCTGCCTTGCTTGGTGGGAAGGCCAGAGATGTGAGCTGTCCTGATATTTGGACCAGTGCAAGTCATCTTGGATGACGCCTTGCATGTTGCTCAGTGACGATTGACTCCTGCCAGTCCAGCATGCTCGAGAGAAGCCACATCCTCTCTCCACGACCTGGTCCTGCATCCCACAGGTGAGAAAGACTCCTTTCCTTGCTTGCAGGTTGTTTGACAGGTACCGTGACCTGGCCCCTCAGCTGGTCCCGCTCGATTACACGAAGAAGCCCAACGTGAAGCTCCCCTATGAACTCATTGGCAGCATGCCTGAGCTGAAGGTACAGGAGGAGGCGGGCAGGGGCCCTGGGGTTCAGTTCCCAGGGAAGACTCTGTGGGGAGAGGCTGCCTGGCACCAGCTGTCTCACCTGCCCTCGAAGTGAGGCTGCCCCGGGGGAAATGGGGAGGAGGCCCGGAAGCCGGGCTGGTTTCCTTCTCACCCCATCTCCTTCCTCAGGACAACCCCTTCCGGCAGCGCATCGCTGAGGTCTTCTCCGAGGATGGGGAGGGCAACATGACCTTGGATGACTTCCTGGATATGTTCTCGGTGATGAGTGAAATGGCTCCTCGGGATCTCAAGGCTTATTACGCCTTCAAAATCTACGGTGAGGTCAGGGGAATATCTACTAGGAAAGTAATCATGCTAATCTCCTATTCCCAGAGGATCCCAGAAGCAACTTCAGTCTACATTGCTTAAAACTAGACCCAATTTGAGTTGCATTGATTTGAGTCCTATTGATTAATATTAAATTTTTTTTGTATTTATTTCAACAATCCCAAAATTTGAGAGTCAGTGATCGGTCATGGAACAACCCCACTGAATAAAATAACAGTGGTTATCCAGTCCTCATTGCTGGTTTCAAAGGGCCCCCCATGACAATTCAAGCTTCAGGCCCCCAAAATGTTGAGTGGCAGCCTCAGGGAAGGGGTCCTGGGAGTTGGGCATGGGCTCTTTGAAGAGGAGCATTGCCACACAACTTCATCGGCTGCCAGTCACTCCAGCAATGGGAAAGGGAGAGAGGCAGCTCTTGGGGGCAGCCCTGGCCAAATGCTCTTCAAGACCAGAGGCTTTGTGTAGTAGCTGCAGGGCAGGAGAAGAGGCCAGAGGGGCGGCTGGACCCGCAAAGAGATCAAGTGACAGGGGAAACTGCACCCCGTGGATTTCTGCCTGCCATGATCTATCAAAAGCATTGAAGGAAGCCCAAGAAGTTACTGGCAAGTGGGCAGTGGGAATCTCACTGAAAAGCAGAGGCTCTGCACTGTGTGTGCATGTGTGGAAGTGGTTTGTGGTGCTCCACAAACACTGCAGCAGACTTCCCTGTGCACCTGAGCATAGGAAGCCCATTTCCAGAGGGCTTGAAGCAACACTGGCACCCCCACCACAGGCCCTCATAGGCAGGCCTCCCCCCACCCTGCCTCCCTGCCATGGCTCTGGCACTACTCTCACCGCCAAAGCAGGGAGCTGACCTTCTGAGGGGATTATGTGTAAGTTCAGAGGCAGTGGAGCTTTTCCCTGCTCCTGCCCTGAGGTCCCCAGGCACTCCTCTATCTGCAGATTTCAACGATGACGACTACATCTGCAAATCCGACCTGGAGAAGACGGTGAACAAGCTGACCCGCAAAGAGTTGACCCCGGAGGAGGTGTGCCTGGTGTGCAACAAGGTGATGGAGGAAGCCGACTTGGACAACGATGGCAAGCTGTCCCTGGAAGACTTCCAGCACATGATCGTTCGAGCGCCTGACTTCCTCAGGTAATGGAAACTGCCCGGCCGTGGCCTTCCTTCCCTCTCTGGGCTGTCGGGCTGAGGAACAAGGAGCTCCGGGGGGACTTTTCTCAGAGCAGAGGGTGCCAAGAAAGCCAAACGAGGTGAGAGTAGCCTGAGGTTGCCCTTCAGCATTCGTCCCATCCATCCCCGTCCTGCCCATCTCATGCAGAGCGATGAAGCGGGTGCCTCGTGAGACGCCCTGGGCTTTTGCTCTCGGACACAGTCTGCTGAGTTCAGCCTGGGCATCCTTCTCTCCCCAGGACAGATTCACGCAGCCCGCCATCACCCAGCCTGCCCCTGGCTCTGCTGCCAAGCGTCTCAGCCAGGAGAGCACATTTTTTCCTAAGCTAGTTGGAGTCTCTCTCAGCCACAAGGAGGCCTGGAGTTCAGCTTCCACCTGCTGTTGTTTGCATGTTAAACTCCCCATCTTTGCCGATGTCCTTTTCTGACCGTGGGTCACCAGTGCTGAAGGGTTCTTGTTGTTTTTCAACAGCACTTTTCATATCAGAATCTGACCCAAACTCCAGAGACCCACCGAGAGCCAGAAACCCTCTTGCTGCTGCTGCTGCTGCTGCTGCTTCCGGAGCTGGATCAGAGGATGAGGCCTGGAGCTCCCTCCCTAGGGCTCCTGCCGGGGGGGGGGGGCCGCTGGGGGCTGGGGGGGAGCAGAGCTTCCTTTTGCCTCTTGCTTAACACATGGTGGGGTCTCTTTCCAACTTCATATAACAATGCAGCCGGGTTTCTGTTTCCCCCCTAATCTGACATACAGAAAGGCAGCCAAAAGCACACCAAGAACTCAGGCCAATGTAAGTTTCAGTAGTGGGAGTGGCCCCTACTCGCAAATCAATAGTCAGTTGTAACAAAAACTAATCCATTCAAAAGTATGTATTCTGACAAGGATTACAAACTCAAACTCAAACTCATAAGGATATGTATAACACAATAATTCGTTACAGAATTAGAGATAAGAGTTTATGAGTAGAGATAAGTTCATGTTAGTCCATAGTCAAGTTCGACGTGAAGGTCTTAGTTTCAATTACTGAGCAGAAGTCAGAAGACAATTATGGATCAGAAACAAGGACAGGGCCCTGTTTCAATGTATTCACCTTCATCAGCTAATTTTTAAAGGGTTGTGTAAGTTTGAAGAATTTGTATAAATATATCCTGTTATTTTCTACATTTCTCAGAGATAACAACTACATGTGGGTAGATCAACGTGTATCTTGAGCTTTTCTGTGTGTTTTTCTTGGTATATTGAATTAAAATTCAACACTAAGGACATTGGAAGAACCCTATTGCTGGGTCAGACCACCCCCACTCTAGTGTGTGGCTTCCCTTGTGGCTGGCCAGAGCCCACAAGGAGACCTGAGCTCCACAGCCCACTCCCACTGGTGACCCTGAGCAACTGGTCTTCAGGGGCAAAATACGTCTGATGCACACAACCTCCAAGTGTCCCTGTTTTCCAGGGACAGTCCCGGAATTACAGAAGCCACTCCAGTTTCTAATTTGATCCCGGAATGTCCTGCTTTTCCTTTATCTTCCCCTCCATGTCACAGAGAACAGTGGTGGAGAGATCAGACTGTGCCCTCCTCCTGTCCTTTTTGGAAACAGAAGCCTTTGTGCTGTGTGTGTGTGTGTGTGTGTGTGTGTGTGTGTGTGTAGGTGCAAAAACAGAGTCCCGTTTCTACCGAAAATAAAATACCTGCAACAAACGAAGGAAACGTTGAAGCTGGCCTACCAAGCCCTTCCTATAATCCACTTCCTTTTCATATTCCTGTTCAGTAGAATTGGGTGAGTCCAGCAACTGTGTGTTTTTCAAGCAAGGACCTTCTGGCCTGGTTGGCTACCTCAGCTGTCCAGGGGAGATGGTCAGGCCTGTCAAGGGAGAGCCCAGTGAGGGCATTTGGTCCACTAACAGCCCCAGCCAATGTAGCAACTCCAGCCAGGCCTACCTCACAGGGCAATTTTGAGTGAGGAGACAAACTGGTCTATAAATACAAGAAACACATATACACCGGTATTAAAATGTGCTCAGTGGAAAGAGATTTTGTCTGCAACTACAAAGATAGTAGATGAAATTATGATTAGCAGCAGTAGTGTTAATAATTAAAAAATCAAATTCATTACCTGCCCTTCTTTGCCAGCAGGTCCCAGTGCAGGTTACAATGATCCAAAACTCAGTATTAAAAAGAGCTGGTTAGAGTATGGTGCTGATAATGCCAAGGTTGCAGGTTTGATCCCATATGGGACAGCTGCCTATTCCTGCACTGCAGAAGGTTGGACTAGATGATCCTCAGGGTCCCTTCTGACTCTACAGCTCTAGGATTCTATGAAATTACAAGCCAGAGGTCCTGAAAATGCACATCTCAGGTGTCAGGGGCCAGGGCAGAGAGGACCGTGACCAAGTTCCCTCTGTCCAGAAGGGGCCAGAGCTGGGGACAAGCTCTCCTAGCCACTTGGACCTCTAGTGTCAAACGCGGATCCAGGACTTTCCCCAAGCTATGATCCTGCTCCTTCCAGGGAAGAACAGCCCCACCCAGAACAGGCTGCCTTCCCACCTCCTGGACTCCAGAACTTGGAGCCCATCACAAGGCTGTCAAGATCCAGCTGCCATTCGCTGGTCCACATCCGACCACCTGAGCTTGTGTTGGTCGGCTGCAAGCCTAGAAACCTGCATCCTGAACCGTCACCAGGGTCATGTCAGAAATGACAATCAATGGGTGAATCTGCACCCACTTTTAGAGCAGAGATCGGTGGCCAGAGTTACAGAAAACCCAAGAGGAGTAGAATGAGGTGTATGAAGGGAGGGCAAACAGCTGTGGATTCCCTGCCAGCCACCAGATGCCAACCTTCCACTTATCTGTATAAGGGGGGGTTAGTGAACAAAAATTCAAAATATTGGGGGTGAATGTTGGAAGAAATGATTGCAGCATAGAACTGGGGGGTAGGGGCGGAAATAAGGATAAATCTTCAAACAGTGATGGGGTCAGGAAGGGGAGGCATATCATAGAATTGGAAGGGGGCACCAAGGGTCATCTAGTCCAACCCCCCATAATGCATATGATGCAGCTGTGTATCTATTTGCCTAGATAATTGCACCCCACTTTTCAAGTCACAAAGTGGCTCATCGTACAACAACGGCAGGATTTTAAAGCACCAGAAACCCAAAGAAAACGGGAAGAATAAAAAGGCATCCGAACAAAGGAGAAACAGCACAACCCCCAGTACCGGGAAATAACTGGCAGCTGCTGCGGAATCAACAGGAGAGTCTCTTCTGGCTGTCAGCAGAGTGGGAGGAAAGAGAGTGGGGTCTCAGCGAGCTCTTGGGGCAGCCAGGGGTCCCTGAGGGGGGCGTGCTGGCGCAGAAAAAGCCCCCTTGCACGTGGCCACAGATGGAACCTCCTCAGCCTCAGTGATGTCAATGAATAAAAGATCCAGATTTTAACAAGTTGCGGGGGGAGGGAGGTTGGTGGTGCTACCTATTTACATTTATGGACTTTTGCACTAGAAATAAACTGCTGGGGGGTCAGAGACGAGGAAAGCTCTCTTTTCCCAGCACAGCAGGGCTCTGCATTTGGGGTTTCTGTGTCTTGATTTCCCCCATTTCCGTTTGCTCTCCAATGCCTGATTCTTATGTGTGGAGCAAGAGACTTTGCTTTCGGAAATTCCCACGTGTGTTGTGTTTCTTGGATATATTTATAATTAATTGAAGTGAAACAAAGCCAAGCAAACGTGGCCACCGAGAACTGCTCCCGGGTCTCTCGGGGACACCCTGCCTCCCAAATGCCAGGGCAGAGCAGCGAAAGTAGGAGAGCCCTCTCGGCCGGCCTGCGGGAAGGGGAGCAAGCGCGGAGCAGGCCATGCTCCTTCGCAGTTGCCTCAGCACCGGGCAGGTCTGCTTTTGCTGCTGCTGCTGCTGCTGCCATCTGGGCAAGAGAGGCGTGCCTGGCTGCGAAGGAATGTGACCCGCTGCGGCGTCTTCCCTCCTGTAAACATTTCCTCAAGAAACTTTGAGCTGCTCGGATCTCTTCTCCCTCCCGAGGGAAAGATCTGCCAAGAGCCTCCCCACCCGGGAGGACGGCGTGAGGGGGAGATAAAACGCCCCAAGCAAAGTATGATTCCGATTTGCAGGAGAGCCTCCTTCTCCCTCGTCGTCTTCTGCAGCCTTGTTTTCCTGGGATCAGGTAAGTTCAAGGGCAGTTCGGCTCTGTCTCGCGTCTAATCCGAAACAGGATAGTTCCAGCAGGTGGACCAGATTATAAAACCGCAGGCTGGGTGGGCGGACTGAGCGCGCAGCCAGATCCTGATGCTACTGACATCCAAACCACGAGCAGAGGAGTCGAGCTCCTTCTCGCTGTTCCCTTTCGGCAGCCGGAGGCTTCCTTCTGTTTCGCTTCCTTGTCTTTTCCTCTGTTTCTGGGACAATTCAGAGCAGGGATGGACTGAGAGGCTCCTCCGTCTGTCCCAAGGGCGGAAGACCCGCCCGCTCCTGCCCCCGGGGGCTCTTCAGCATCAGCTCAGGGGCAGCCCCAGGCAACCAGAAAGTGAGGGTGGCAGCCACGGAGCACTGGCATGGCCAGATTCAGAGGGGCGGTTGGGTAGCAGCAGCAGCATGGGGAGTGGGGGGCGTTCCCATGGACTTGGGTGGTCGTGGCGGGGAGATGTGTTGCAAAAGCAAGAGGCAGCCCCGGGAGGAAGGGGCTGCCGCAGTGGGCAGGGTGGGAGGCTGAAACAGCATGCCCAGCCATGCAAAGGACCCCAGCTCTGGCAGAGGTAAAGGTAAAGTGACCCCTGACCATTAGGTCCAGTCTTGGTCGACTCTGGGGTTGCGGCACTCATCTCGCTTTATTGGCCAAAAGGAGCCGGCGTCCAGCTTCCGGGTCATGTGGCAGCATGACTAAGCCACTTCTGGCGAACCAGAGCAGTGCATGGAAACGCCGTTTATCTTCCCGCCAGAGCGGTACCTATTTATCTACTTGCACTGGCGTGCTTTCGGACTGCTAGGTTGGCAGGAGTAGGGATCAAGCAACGGGAGCTCACCCCGTCACAGGGATTCAAACTGCGACCTTCTGATCGGCAAGTCCTAGGCTCTGTGGTTTAATCCGCAGCGCCACCCGCGTCTCTGGCAGAGAGGAAAGGGTTAAAACTGTCTCTGGTCAGAAACATCTTCCCAGCCGGCCAAGTGGGGAAAGGGAAGCACAACCTGGACCCACACTGCTTGAATGAGCCTAAATGGGGTGCTTGCTGAGACAGCCGGGGGGGGGGGGAGGAGAAGCCATTTGTGAGAGGAGTCATGATAGGGGCACCACCCCCCAAACCCACACCAGCTGTGATTCCTTCCTGCATTCCTGGGGTTTGGACTAGATGACGCTTTGGGTCCCTTCGGACTCTACAATGGTATTATTCTCTGAGAGCAGTGGAACAAGACCCAAGAAGGGTATCCAGTAGAACGTCCCATGCAAACGGCTTGGATAAGAGACCAAAGGTTTGCATGTAATCTTTGGATCCCTCACCAAGCACGGGGGGTGGGGACTTTGCCCTCATCAGCCCAGCCAGGGCTCTCAGGCGGGACAATGCGCATTGCACAACTCCGTCCACAGCTCAGGGGCCTGGTGCATGTGTGCATGTTCAAGAAAGGCGGAAGGCGGCTGGTGCCTAACCTCAGTCGAAAGGTAGCAGGTGCTCAGAGAGCACAGGTGTCCTGGAAGAGCAAAGGCCAACCTCTCCGGGAGATTTTCAAGCTGGGAGGAGGAAGCCAACCGAACACCCCTTCCACACCCCCAGCTTCTCCCAGGCCAAGAGGAAACACTCCCTCCTCCAATGTAGGGCTGGGCGATATCTGGTTTTCAACATCGCAATATATCACCAGCTTAACCTTGCAATATATTGATATATCACAATGTCTGAAATAAGGGTGGATCTATGCAGAGTCATTGGCTGGCTTCACAGTTTTCCCCACACTGTGATTTTTTTTGCATAGGACACAAACACTTTTGCACACATCATGATTCGTGATATATTCCCAGGTCAAAAACACGAAACCAGTATCACAATATGGACTTCAAACCGGTTCTGGATGATATATTGATACACTGGCCAACCCTAGTTCAGAGCATTCAGCTGACCACCCACTGAAAGAAACGCAGGTCTCCAAGTGAGAGCTAGAGAAAGGAGGACGGCTTCCCCAGCCCCCCCCCCCCCAGGGAAATCTCTTTGCTCTGGTGCACAAAGGAGGCAACCCTTACTGAGACCTTTCTGAACTTCCTTCCGGTTTTCCAACCAGTAGCCCAAGACTCCTGCTCTGGTCTCTGTGGGACACCTCGAAGCAGCTGCTCCTGCCACGCAACCTGCGAGTCCCTGGGAAGCTGCTGCCCCGACTACTGGGAATTCTGCCTGAACGCCTCTCCCTACTCAGGAACCCTCCTTGGGGGGAAAGACTTTAGCCTCCTCAACGTGACCTTCAGCGGCTCTTCCACCGTGATTTGCAGGTGAGCTGAGATTTCCAGAAGGATTGGTAGCTCACGACACAGGCACTTGGGCTTGTTCTTGGCCTGGGATGCATGTGTGCATTAATGCACACATTAGTGGGTCCCCCTCTCCACTGCATTTCGGGTTACATTTTCACGCTGTTGGGGGAGGATCTTTTCCGGATTGCATGAGCTGTTGGGTTTCCCTGGCCCTGCAATCCCCCCTTCTCCAAACTCTTATTTGCGAAGCCAACACCTGCCCATGTGCCACAAGTCTACACACCTCAGATGCTTGAGGCAAAGCAAAAAGACAAAAAAAAAAAACAAACCACACATTGCCAACCCTCCACACACACACACACACACACACACACACACACACACCACTGCCTGGAGGAGAGCAGAGAGAAAAGGAGGCTGGAAAGGAGCAGGCCGTGTGGGGTGGGAGGCATGGCAGAGGGGCACGGAGGAGGTGAGCAGCTCCCCAAACCCAGATCTGTTGCCTGAGGCAACTGCCTCACCTCGCCTCATGGGTGGGCCTGGCCTGCACCTCAGCTTACCTAACTACGAAGTTAATGTGGCTTAATATTTCCATTCAGATGGAAGCTGGTTTGAGGGGGAAACACAGCACAGAGAAGTATTTCTCAAGAAACCACGCAGGCATAGGCAAACTCGGCCCTCCAGATGTTTTGGGACTACAATATAATAATAATAATAATAAATTTTATTTATATCCCGCCCTCCCCAGCCGAAGCCGGGCTCAGGGCTCCCATCATCCCTAGCTAACAGGACCAGTGGTCAGGGATGGTGGGAATTGTAGTCTCAAAACATCTGGAGGGCCGAGTTTGCCTATGCCTGAACTACAGGATAGAGGCGGGCTGTGGCTAATCCACTGTATACCCAATTCCCAAAAACCAGCAAGGTTGGATGCAGAGCAAATGCTCAGGTGCTCACAGCCAGGGATTCTGCTTTCCAGGCAGACCTGCTCCTCCCAGGTTTGCAGCAGTGAGAAAGGGGAACGGCATGATGAAAACCAACAAGAGGGAGGGAAGAGTGCACATCGCCTAGTGTTGCCATGGAGATCTGTGTGTGCTCCTGTTTGAAATAGGGCAGGGCCCAAATAGCTTCCCAGGGCTGGGAAATCCCAGGTCCCATCGCTGGAGCATCTTTCATTTCCCCCTACCTGAAACAACAGACTCTTTGTTCTGATTTCAGTAAGGCTTTTGACAAAGTCCCCCATGATAGTCCTGCAGATAATACAATGTGGGCTGAACAAGGTAACACTTAGGTGGATATGTATCTGGCTGACTGACCAAACCCAGAGAGTACTCATTAATGGTTCCTCATCACCATGGGGAAAAGTGACAAGGGGGTGCTGTAGGTTTCTGTCCTGGGCCCATTGTTGTTCATCATCTTTATAAATGACTGGGATGAAGGAATTGAGGGGCTGCTCATCCAATTTGCAGATGACACCAAACTGGGAGGGGAAGCTAATGATGCAGAAGACAGAACCAGAATTCAATACGACAATAATGTTGAATGGGTTTAGATGAGTAGGAGAGGATATTTTATTTATTATTCTTCCTCTTCTTACTTGTGTAAGAATGCAAATACTTATTTCAGCAGAGCTAATTTGCCATCCGTGTGCAGCTTATCTCTAGAAGCTTCTAGAGACAATGTTGCACAATGCGGCATAATTATGATATCCAAGGGTGCTCGGGCAGAGTTTGATTTATTTCCCCCCTTCTGTGTTTCCCTCTTAACAAAGAAATCGCTCTTAGGCTGTTTAAGTAAACAAGAAAAATATAAATGTTTCCCCACATCAGAAGACTTGGCAGGATTCAGCAGATGAAAATTAGGCAGACAAGAATCCTCAAAATTTACAAAAGTCCATAGCCTGGTTCAAAATGCAGTGCACTCTCTGGACAAGAGATAAAAAGAAAAGTATCCTTTCTATTGTTCCTCCTCCTGCCCCAAGTTTAAAAGATACGTTTCTGACTCATGCATTTGTGATCTGGCTGCAGATCCTCCCACGCTTGAGAAACTGGAGAACTGGGCCAAAACTGACAACATGAATGGCAACAGGGACAAATGTAAGGCTCCTCTACGGGAGAGAGGATGAGACCCTGCAGAACTCCAGAGTATAAATGGTGGTGGGGTCAACCAGTGATTTCCCCAGCACCAACTGACTTCTGGAATTCGTCCTTCAGATAGAGATGGAACAACCAGTGTTAAAACTAGATCCTGAATCAGGTTGAAATGGATCTTGATAATGAGTCTCATTCAGGAGACCCTGAAGTGGTCTAGTAACTCTCCACACAAACCCCTTCTTCCAGTCAACAGCCATTGCACTCCCTTGGGTTCATGGGCAGGAGTTTCCTTTAGGAATGGTCTTGTAACTACTTCCTTCAATGCAGCTGGGGACACCCGAGGTCATCTGTCTGTCCTAAAGAGGCAGCTGCTACTCCTCCTCCTCCACTGGGATCTCTTCCCCCAAAGAGTCTTTCCTACTAGCCATCTCTTCTGGAAACCAAGGACTGCCAGACTGCAGCTGTAACCTGACACCTCAGCACTGAATGTCAGCTTTCAATGAGCAAACAAGTTAGACGTCTTTGGTGAATCTCACCAAGTGCCGATTGTTGTTCTTGCCTGTTAGGGTCATACTGCACCGTGAACATGTCCAGTTGCTTGCCGTCTTAATCCCTTTTGGTTTTATAAAACGATTCCTTCCAGCTGGCCTTGGCAGGAGCCAATCATGCTGTGAAATGCCGGAAGGAAACGGCGGAGGGAGAGCTGGGAGAGTGGCCCACTGACCGTCTACCTGGCCTGCAGGGCCATCAAGGAATTAAGTGGCTGAGGTGGTGGGATTTGAACCCAGGGCCTCCAAGCCGACCCCTGCTCCGACTTTCCCCCTTCCTCCTTTGGGTCACATGGTGGTTTCTCTTTGGCATTGACAGGTTTGCAGGGTCAGTCGAGACCAGAGGCTACGTGGCTGGAGATGGCCGAGTCCACTGCATCTCCCCCTTGCTCTACCAGATCGGGATCCTGAAGCTGGAGATTTCCAGCGATGGCGGACGGACATTTCCCTGGATGGCAACCTGGGTGTCAGGTGACTTGTTTTCCAGTTTCCAGGTTCCTTGATCTCCACAGAGCTCTGTCTCCAAGTACCTTGTCCTCTGCTTGCCTTTGCCTGTTTCCTCGAGGGAGAGGGCTGGGTGTTCCCAAAGCAACCGCCCTCATTTCCAGCACTTGGGAAGGGATTCTGCTGCGGCTGAAACTGTGTCACGATGTAACGTGGGTGGCGAAGATAATGTTGGGCCTTGCTGCCTCTGCTGCTTCCTGCCTTGCAGAGCCGCTGTTTAGAATAAGTCATACGCAGCTCTGGGAGGGACTTGGCTGCCTGAGGAGGTCTGGGGCTTGCTATGTCCCTCTTTGCTTTCATGGCCTGCTCTTAATGAAGAATTTCAGGGATGCTTCTTTGCATGCCATAAATAGTGTTACAGGCCACCGCTATGTTTGAGTGTTAAGACATTCCTAGGATTCTGAGCTTTACTGAGAGTTTGGTTTCCTTGGAAAGAGGTTCGGTAGAGATTGTGGTGTCCTTAGGATATATTATTTATTTACACATACATATACAAGCTGAGCATCAGATGAAGCATCTTGCAGCATCAGCAGACCTTGCTTCTCCATTAATGGCAGCTTTGGACCCAGCACAGAGCAAGCATGTCTCTGGGTTTCCAGCTTCCAGGCTCCTTCTAGCTCAGCTCCCACACAACACACTGACTTTAGGTCTTCTCCCTTGCATCTAGGAGAGGGGGGTGGAGGAAAGGCCTGTGGCAAAAGAGAGATGTCCAAGACAGTCTCTCCCACCCCCTCCATTGCCAACTGCGACACAACAGTCCTGCAGTGCTGCTGCCACCCTCCCACTTACACCTGCAGCCCAGATGAGAGGGAATCTGGGATGCACTAAAGCAATTACTGTATTTTTCGCTCCATAAGACACACTTTTTTCCTCCTAAAAAGTAAGGGGAAATGTCTGTGTGTCTTGTGGAGCAAATGCGTGGTCCCTGGAGCCGAATTGCCCAGGGGCAAAAAGCAGATCATGCTTTTTTTGGAAAGAGGGAAGTGGGTGTTGAAACAAAGCCGCTGATCGTTTGCCGATCAGGGAGAGAGATAAGGGACGCTAGAGATAAAGGAGGCTGCCTGGGAGGGGGGAGGTAAAGACAGCAAACTTGCGAGACTTCCGGGTTAGCGCCTCCGGCAATGGCGGAATTCCTCTGATCGGGAGGAACCTGCTCCGTGGAAATCAGGGTCTGGCTGCCACGGCGAAGGCGGAGACCCACCAAAAACCACAGGCGGGAGAAGCCTGTGGACGTGGGATTCGGCTGGCACCTTTTGCGCCCCCCCCACTCGCGGGGAAACCCGGTTTCGGGGGTCCGGAGCGACGTGGGGTGAGTGGTGCGGTGCTTTGAATCGACTGCTTTTTTTACGGAGTGAAGCCGCATTGCCGTTGCCGGAGAGCGCTGACTTTTTCCTGTGGACAATTGGATTTTAAACAACTACCCGTGAGTAGAACGGAAAATTGGACCTTTAAACATCTTAATTTGGCACCGAAACGGGAAGGTTTCAAACAGGAAGTCCGCCTTCCTCTTTTGTAAATAGATAGAGCAAAGACGCTGCAAGCTAAAGTCTTGGGGAGCCTTTTGCAAAGGACTAAATTTTCATCAGTTAAAATTATTAAACCCCCCTTGGAAGCAGGAGAAGAGGGGGGAAATTTTAGATTGCCTAAGCCTGCAGGAGAGAGAGTGAAGAAAGACAAATCACCACCGTTTTGAACCTGGGAACGGGCTGTCAGTAAGTTTGACGTTTTGGGAAAGTCCATTGACTGTGAATAAAACGTATGTTGACAGATAGTTAAATAAGAGAAATATATTGTTTCCATTGCTTCCTTTTGCACTTAAAAAGGAGCAAAAGTAACGGAAAGATTGAAACTAACTTTGCTGCTGGATCTGCGTTCAAAAGGACGGATACAAATAGAAATTGTTTCCTCTAGAGGGAGCTTTTGAAACTGTTGCAGGAGTGGAGCTGGGGAATTTTCCAGCTGCAGAGATAAAAGACCGTGAGAATCAGACATTGACCTTGGACAAGAATGTCGACAGAAGAAGCCTTAATGACTGCATTTTGCAAGACAAGTGCTTTATTGGAACAGCTTCATGAGAAGATGGATGTGATGGCTATTAAAATTGATAATTTGGGACAAAAAATGACTGATCTGGGACAAGAAGTGAATATTTATACAGAAACTACTCAGGAATCGATCCAGGAACCTACTTCGACAGGGCAAGTTGTGGAGAAGACGAGGGAGAAAGTTATTCTAGAATCTCAAGTAATACAAGTGGAGAGAGCCTCAGTCTTACAGAGACAATTTGATGAATATAAGTTGTTGCCTTCTATGTTTGAATTTAGGGAAAGCCAATTGAAACACGTCCTGAAATATCTTTTGGACTCTAGTTTTGATTATGGAGAATGGGCTGACCAGTCGAGAAGGAATAAAGACATTGTTAGGTTGGAGCTTCCCCGAGATCTACTCCTCAATGTCAAAGGAAGGAAATTAAGAATAAGATCAGCAGAAGACAAAGTAAAGTGTATGTACAAATATGAAGAAGATCTGCAGAAGGGACATGGAAAAGAGTTAAGAGCCTTGGACAGAAGATCACCAGGTTGATGGACCATATGGATTGATAGAAAGGACTGGCAGAATCCGAGACCAGGGAGAAGAGACAGTGGAAGAAGATTGGAAAAAAAAGTTTTAAAAATTTATTTATAGAAACGTTGTAAAATTAATGAGTGTTAGAAAAATGTTGGAATGAAAATACACGGCTTTAGTAGAAATGTTATAAGGAGTTAAGTACAAATAAGTTTCAGGGTATTAATGGTAAGATAAGGTTAAAATAAATTATGATAATTATATGATAGAAAATAGTGAAAGATGGAAAGGATTTGCTGAAACAATTAATAACTAGAACACAAAAAAGGGAGGTGTGAGGAGGTCGATGAAACAAGTTAATGAAAGACAAAGATATGGAAATATTGGATGTGTTTTTAATTGTTTTTGCTTTTGCTGTTGTTTTGATGTATTGTGTTTTTTGTTTTTTGTTTTTTATGTATAGTATTGATTTGTATTGTTTATTTTTTCTTTCTTTTTTTCCTTCTGTAATCTTTAAACCTTTAATAAATATTATTATTTTTTTAAAAAAAAGACAGCAAACTTGCAAAGGGGGGAAACAGGAAGACTAAAGCAATAAGGAGAGAAATTAGAAGAAAAGGCGGAGCAAAAAACTGCTCCAGCTAAGGAAAAGATACTAAGGCAAACAAAAGGGAAGGGAGTGTTGAAAGGAAGCAGCTGATCGGTGGGATCGGGAGAGAGATAAGGGATGCTAGAGATAAAGGAGGCTGCCTTGGAGGGGGCAGGTAAAAGCCCATGGATCCTAAGGATTTTTGCACTGGGTCACCCAAATTCACCATCAGATCACACAGCATGTCCATGGCTACAGCTGGTACCAAAGAAACCACCCACCCACTGTTGCATGGGGCCACAATGGCGCAAAAACGTGGTTACAAAGCACAGATCCACATACATCCTCAGGATTTTTGCATTGGGTCACCCCAAATTCACCATCAGATCACATGTCTGTGGCCACAGCATGAACCACAAAAATCATACATCCACTGTTTCGTCCACTGGCACACTGGCCTGGAGGAACGGTGGGCAGATCAGGGCCTTCCTCACAAGGCCCACCCTTTAGCCCAGAAGACCCATCCCTTAGTTGTAGCTCCTGCAACCTGACTCATTCTTCTGGGATGCTGAGGAGGACACTTCCATGGCCTGCAAAGGCCCTTGTCTTACAGAGAACCTAGTCTGACTGGTTTAGAACCCTCTTTTTCTAACCATCGCTGAGTACAGGACCCCAAGAATGGGGAAGGACTCAGGGCATCATCCCAACTGACACCCCCCAACCCACAACATCAGCATCATTCAGCCAGTAAGAAACAAAAGCTCCCTTGCTCAAGGGCTGTGCAAAACTAGTGACTCACCATTGCCACTTTTTGCTCCGTCATGCAGTTCATCATGGCAAAGTGTCTCCTTCGGAAAAAAGCACGCTGGTGAATGAAACCAAGTGGCAGTACTATGGCACTCCTGGCACTGGGGGGAACCTGACGGTCACCTGGAACCATCGGACACTTCAAGCCAGCCATGTCAATGTCGAAGTCTGGGGCTATAACGAAACAGGTAAGGCTCTCCCTGTGTCCACGCGGGTCTTGTGATGAGTGGGGTATTGCAGATATTAAGCTTGTGCAGAATGAAGCAGCTGGATACATAAAAACTGACCCTTTTTGGAATAAAACGTTGTCCAGGCTCATTTGTGAGGCCTCTTTCTTGCAGGAGACGGCTGTATTTTCAGCTTCTGGGCTTCTGTGGGCAGCTGTTTTTGGCCACTTTTTGAGAAGTGCTGGGAGCAGGTGAAGCTGGTCCTTTGTCTCATCTGAAATAACAGGGGGGAGATGGGGCTGATTTCATTCATTCATTCAGAACTGACAAGACAATGTTTAACATAGCATAATGATAATATCAGTAAAACCTTCAATGGCGCATGGTGGGATGTCTTAAGTCATGCACGGCTCAGGACCTCAATACCTTAATGTCAGATGGCTGTTGCGGTTGCTTGAGAGTAAGGTTGAGCTTGAATCCTGATAAGGCAGAAGCACTGTTTTTGGGGGACAGGGGGCGGGCAGGTGTGGGGGATTCCCTGGTCCTGAATGGGGCAACTATGCCCCTGAAGGACCAGGTGTGCAGCCTGGGAATCATTTTGGACTCACAGCTGTCCATGGAGGGGCAGGTCAATTCTGTATCCAGGGAAGCTGTCTACCAGCTCCACCTGGTACACAGGATGAGACCCTCCCTGCCCACAGACTGTCTTGCCAGAGTGGTGCATGCTCTGGTTATCTCCCGCTTGAACTACTGCAATGCGCTCTATGTGGGGCTACCTTTGAAGGTGACCTGGAAACTGCAATTAATTCAGAATGCGGCAGCTAAACTGGTGACTGGGAGTGGCCGCCGGAACCACATAACACCAGTCCTGAGAGATCTGCATTGGCTCCCAGTATGTTTCCGAGCACAATTCAAAGTGTTGATGCTGACCTTTAAAGCCCTAAACGGCCTCGGTCCTGTATACCTGAAGGAGCGTCTCCATCCCCATCGTTCACCCTGGACACGGAGGTCCAGCGCCGAGGGCCTTCTGGCAGTTCCCTCATTGCAAGAAGTGAGGTTACAGGGAACCAGGCAGAGGGCCTTCTCAGTGGTGGTGCCCACCCTGTGGAACACCCTCCCTTCAGATGTGAAGGAAATAAGCAGCTATCCTATCTATAAAAGACATCTGAAGGCAGCCCTGTTTAGGGAAGTTTTTAATATTTAATGCTGTATTGTTTTTAACACTCGATTGGAAGCCGCCCAGAGTGGCTGGGGAAACTCAGCCAGATGGGTGGGGTATAAATAAATTATTATTATTATTATTATTATTTAGTAACCAGGCAGGACTCTGCCTGTCTTTTACAGGCTTTATTTTGGTGCAAACTATTTACAGTGAAGAGCGTCATAAGTTCATGTCTGGCTCAATCGCTAGCAGTACCCGGGAGTGGTCTTTTTTTTGTACCTCCCCCAACATAAAAGTTTCATTACCCCCAACTATCTCTGCCCCTCCCTGTGCCTCAGACTACTGCGCAGGATGGGTGATGGCAAGGGGGTGCTTCTCCCCTCTCCAGCTTGCCCAGGAGTGGTGTTAAGGCTCCCACTAGCATCCTCTGGTCCTTGCACCTCTTCCCCACGGGAGGTGGGGCGTTCCTCCTCCCCGGAAGAGGAACTGCTTCACAAGATTTTCGGAGGCTCCCTGTAACACAACTGCCCTTCTGTTTCTCGCCTCTGAGCCGATGGCAGTTCCCTGACACTTAAGGACTGCATCTCCCCATATGAAGCAACCTAGACCCTGCGCTTGACACCCGAGACCCTTCTCTATGTCCCCCCTCCCTGAGAGGTCCGGAGGATGGCAACACAAGAACAGACCTTCTCTGTGGTGGCTCCCTGACTGTGGAATGATCTCCCAGAGAGGCTCGCCTGGTGCCATCATGACATGTTTTGAGGAGCCAGGCAAAAACATTCCTCTTTACTCATGCCTTCAGACATTAAATTATCTATAGCTTGTTAAATGTGTGGGGTGGAGGGGACTGTTATTATTCTATTAGTATGCTGTCTGTTATTATGCTCTGTAAAATATGTTCTTAACATTGGACACCATCCTGGGATATTTCAATAAAGGGCGGTATATAAAATGAATAAATAATAATTGAATCCTAGAATCGTAGCATTGGAAGGGACTCCAAGAGCCATCTAGTCTAACCCCCTGAAATGCAGGAACTGCAACTATGACAGATGGCCAGCCAACCTCTGTCTACAAACCTCCAAGGCCATCTGTCATGGGTGCTTGAGTTGAGACTCCGGCATTGCAGGGGGTTGGACTAGATGACCTTTGGCGTCCCTTCCAACCCTATGATTCTAAGGAAGGAGAGCCCACCGCCTTCTGAGGGAGTTGAACAGCTCTTACCTTCAGAAAGCTTATCCTAATGCCAACTCTTCCTCCCTCCCCTGGTCAGGCGAGCCTTATTCCAGCTCCTGGGTGGCAGAATGGAAATACCTTTACACCCTGAAGAGAAACCTGACCAACACGGGAGCCTTTACTTTCCTGCCGGTGCCCTCGGCTCAGTACTCTGCCTGGGAAGTGGGGGCTCTGAGGATTTCCTCCGCTGCTTCTTCCGATGGTCAGAGGTGAGTCACTGACCCCTGGGAGGGGTGTGTGTCCTCCCCCCAGCCGGACAGCAACCTCCGGGGGCTCACATGATGGGGAGGGTCTCGTTCTCCTAGGCACCCCAGTCTCCGAGTTGTGAGAGAGCTCAGGGGGGCTGCCAGCACATGCCTTGGGTTGGGCTAGGAAGCAACTGTGGTTTCGTGGACACAGACGTGAGACGGAAGAGCTCACCTGCAGGCCTGCAAACCTTCTCTTTGTGGGAATGTTGTGGGTAACAGGTGAAATAAATAAACTAAGGTTTTATATATATAATAAAAGTTCATAAATGTACCAAGCAAACACGTGCATAGATATGTGAACCACATGTCCAAAGCAGCACAGGAGGGCAGCCCTGGAGGCATTTTGGCTCCCAAACTGACCAAATGTTTTCTCTGCAAGGTCAAAGGAAAATGGAAAAGCCTCCCCATTGTCTTTTCATTCACAAAACCTGTCTTAAGGGTATATCTGTGTATGAATGGGGTGAGCCTGTGACCCGGCTCAGGAACTGGGTATTTGTCACAACAAAAGCCTGGCCAGGCTCCCCAGGGTAAGCATTAACAGGTAACCTGCCAGACAGGAGATAAACAACAACAGGAGATAAACAAGGCACTCAGATTTCTGCTGTAGACTGCCCTTTCTGTGATGTATGTATGATGTATGGAGGGGTGGTCTTGGACTCCAGGGCAGGGAATTTAAAATGTCTATTTAAGGGCTGGCACACCTTTGTTCTGGGTCCTCCGTGTGAGGGGAGCACCCTGTTGCAACAGTTCAGTAAAGATGAGGCTTACTAGCTGCTTTGCTTCCCAATATTCTCTGGTTTGCCTCTGTTATTTTCTCCGACTGATGGAGAACCTGCAGCGGACTCTATAAGGGCTCTTGTGTCCCCCATAAGGGAATAAGGGCAGATTTTCATTTATTATACAGGAGAGGATATATTGATTAATATTATCCCTCCTAACTCGCGCTAGCAAGTTTCTTCATATAGCAGAGTGCATTCTCCTATCACACAGCAGGAAGCTGGCTGCAGACTCCTTAGAATCTCTTAAGTTCTGTTACTCCTGGCAAGACCCTTTTGATCCCTCCTAAAAGAATAAAGACACCACAGTCTTATTCATAAGTAACAAAAAGTAGTTACTCATGATCAAGCAGAGCACAGTGTGATCCCTGAAGGCAGGCTCTAGGCTTAAAGTTGCAAACATGTACAAACAGGTTTACCCCATATGGGCAGCCCTGTTTAGGGAAGTTTTCAATGTCTGATCTTTTACTGTGTTTTTAATATCCCGTTGGAAGCCACCCAGAGTGGCTGGGGAAACCCAGCCAGATGGGCAGGGTATAAATAATAAATTACCGTATTTTTTGCACCACAACACTCATTTTTTTCCTCCTAGAAAGTAAGGGGAAATGTCTGTGCGTGTTATGGAGCGAATGCCTGCGGGTGGCGGAGGGGATCTGCTGCAGTCGTGAGCAGAGGATCCATGGTTCCCCTTCCTTCCCTCCTCCGTGGTTACAAAGCATGGATCCACATGGATCCTCAGGATTTTTGCACTGGGCTACTCCAAACTCACTGTCAGATCACATGTCTGTGGCCACAGCATGAACCACAAAAATCATATATCCACTATTTCGTTTAGAATATTTTTTTTTCTTGTTTTCCTCCTCTAAAAACTACGTGCGTGTTATGGTCTGGTGCATGTTATAGAGCGAAAAATATGGTATTATAATAATATTATTATAACCTGGTACAGTCCAGGTGAATCAGGAAGTTCGCTGGACGAAAAAGAAGATTGAAGAGAGGAAGGTGGCTGTGTGACTTGGCCTTTTACCAGGTCTGGAAAGGTCACCCCCACCTCCTGGTCACATGCAAAGGAAGGATGCCCCAGCCAGGTGTAACAGGAAGTTCAAACTGGCTGGACCAACATTCCCCTACATGTCCACTCTAGACAAACAGGTAGTGTTGTGCTTGACTGCTCCAGCAGATTACACCCCACACTCTTTCTCTTCTGCTCCCCTCCTCCAGCAACGTGGCGGCCATTTGGAGCACGGAGCACGCCTTGGCCTGGCACCTGGGAGACGACTTCCGCAAGGACCCGGCCGCCTGGGCCACAGCCAAGTGCCGCCAGTGGGACGCCCTGGAGACAGGCCTGCCCAATTTCCTAGACGAGATCCCAGACTGCCCCTGCACTTTGGCACAGGCCCGGGCGGACGTGGGGCGATTCCACGTAGGTCCTTTGTGTCTTGCCTGCAGTGCTGGGGTGGCAGGGTGGGGCAAAGAAAACAGCGCAGGCCTAGTGGTCACAGCAACTCTTCCCAGTAGGTCTTGCCCCAATGAAGCAGTTGCAAGGACTGAAGGTCCCCGCCTTCCCACCGCTCTCTAAGACTCCTCCCTGGTTCCTTCCCCAGCAGCCTAAGACTCCTTCCTCTTGTCCAGGCATAGGCAAACTCAGCCCTCCAGATGTTTTGGGACTACAACTCCCACCATCCCTAGCTAACAGGACCAGTGGTCAGGGATGATGGGAATTGTAGTCTCAAAACATCTGGTGGGCCAAGTTTGCCTATGCCTGCCTTAGTTCCTTGATCCTGGATTCCACCCACTAGAGCAGGGGTCAGCAAACCTTTTCAGCAGGGGGCCAGTCCACTGTCCCTCAGACCTTGTGGGGGGCCGGACTATATTTTGGAAAGAAAAAAAAAATGAACGAATGCCGATGCCCCACAAATAACCCAGAGATGCATTTTAAATAAAAGCACACATTCTACTCCTGTAAAAACACACTGATTCCTTGACCGTCTGTGGGCCAGATTGAGAAGGCGATTGGGCTGGATCTGGCCCCCGGGCCTTAGTTTGCCTATCCATGTTCTGGAGTCTGCCTCTTGACCCCCCCCCCCGCTCTCTGCCACAGCCTCTCCCTGCTTAGTAAAACCTGTTGCCTCTTCAGCTTCCGACACTCCTCTTCCCAGTCTTCTCCCACTGACCATCCCAGTCCCCTGGCTCTGAGCTTTCTTCCCCTGGGGGTTCCCCAGCTGGTGCCTCCCAAACTCCTCTGCATCCAGATTGTCCATGGCAGACCCCAAGGTCAGCCCCTGGTGCTGGACTCTCCTTCCTTGGAAGTTTTAAAGCAGAGGTTGGATGTGTCCTGCCTCAACGGCTGGAAGCAGCGATGCTTCTGAATCCCAGTGGCTGGAAACCCACAGACAGGGGTGTGGAGAGCTGCTCTTGTGCACGCATCCTGCTTTTGGGTTTCCCATAATGGGCGTCTGGGTGGACGCTGTGAGGACAGGATGCCGGACCAGATGGGCCACCGGCCTCAGCCAGCAGATGTTCTTATGACTCTCCCACTTGTTGTGGTTAATCCAGACAGCAAAAAAAGTGACCACAGATCTGGGCCAGGGGAATCCAGAACAGGCCATAAAGACTCATACCCACAAACACAACCACACACCCCAACCTTTGTGCAGAGGAACTGGGTGCTCTGGGAGTGAGGCTCAGGTGGGCTGGTGATCTGTGCCTTGACAGGCAGCTTCCTGAACTGTCAAGGAATTTCCCAGCAAAAGCCTCCAGAACCTTCTCAGCCACACCCAACCACAGGGTTCGTCTTCTCTCTCTCCACACATGACGCAAGAGGACATTTGTGCAAGAGAGGACTCCCCTCCCTGCTTAGAGGTCCTTCCTTGGGCAGCCTCTGCCTCAACACCTCCCTCCTCTTCCTCCAGCCTGTGAGTTGGGATCCCTGCACTGAGGGTGGGTCTCTGTGATGCCCAAACCTTATGATTCCCAGCCAGCTGTGAAACTGGCACCAGCCCACGTTGTGAAAGTTTAGCTGATCTGCCTGCCCTTCAGAGAACAGGCTCAGCTGGTTCCCTACTTCCCTGGAGCTTTGGCTCATCCCCAGCTAGGGAGCTGCCGCAGACTTCTTCCTTCCTTCCAGGAACCAGGTATGGGGGAGCACCCTCCCCGGAAAGGTGCCAAGAAAACCTGGACGTCTCATGGCACCCAGCACCCAGCTTCTGCAATCAGGATTTGGCCGTCCTCACTTGCCCTCTGGGGGCACCCATAGCCTTTGGGGACACCCACTTGAATGGGGCTGCCTTTGCAGACTGCTCAGAAACTTCAGCCACAAGGCACAGATGTGTCCTGCCAGAACTTTTTGCCAGCTGCTTAATCATTTCCAGGCACAAGGCAAGCTCTGGAACCAGGTCAGGGGCTGCCTCCTCCCACAGCCACCCCAGTCCTCACCAGGGCACCTGTGGGATACACAGCACCAATTGAGCACTACACAAGGCTCCTTCCTGCACAGGCATGATTTCATAGAGTTGGAAGGGACCCTGAGGGTCATCTAGTCCAACCCCCTGCAATGCAGAAATCTCAACTAAAGCATCCATGACAGATGTCCATCTAACCTCTGCTTAAATACCTCCAAGGAAGGAAAGTCCACAACTTTCTGAGGCTCTTACTTTCTGAAAGTTCTTCCTGATAGTCAGAATCGCCTTTCTTGTAACTTGAATCCATTAGTTTGAGTCGTATCCTCCAGAACAGGAGAAAACATGTGGCAGCCCTTCCTCCATGTGGCAGCCCTTCAGGTCTTTGAAGATGGCTATCCTATCTCTCCTGTCTCATTTTATAAGCTCCTTCAACCATTCCTCATACGGTTTGGTTTCCAGACCCTTGATCACCTTGGTCACCCTCCTCTGCACATGTTCCAGCTTGTCCATATCCTTCTTAAATTGTGGCGCCCAGAACTGGACACAGTATTCCAGGTGTGGTCTGACCAAGGTCTGCTTTGAGAACCACCTCTGAAGATGACCATTCTGGCAGATAACTCATGTCTTCTTTTATGGCTTTCATGACTTGGTTTTAAGTCACCTTGAGGCCCTTTTGCTAAAAGGTGCTACAATAATCTGCAGGTGGGGCTTAAGAGCGGGGGAGGGGGCACCCGTGTGTTGACCAGCCTCTCTCTGCTCTCTCCCTTCCAGACTGACTACGGGTGTGACATCGAGAAGGGCAGCGTCTGCACCTACCACCAGGGGGCAGTGCACTGTGTCCGGGGGGTTCAGGCCAGGTAAGTCTCTCCAGGTGCGCTGCAGGCTGGGCTCACAGTGGCCAAGACCGGCCACCTTCTGTGGAAAGGGCTCTGAGCCCCTTCGCCTTCTCTTCCAGCCCACGATACTCCTCAGGGCAGCAGTGCTGCTACAATACTGCAGGGACCCAGGTCCTCACCGGAGACTCCGTCGGGGGAAGCACACCGGACCGAGGCCACGACTGGGGGGCTCCCCCTTACCAAAAGCCCCCCAGGGTCCCTGGCTTTTCCCACTGGATTTATGATGTCATCAGCTTCTACTACTGCTGCTTGTGGTCCAATAACTGCCCCACTTACCTCAACCGCCGTCCCTCCAGTGGCTGCAGGAAGTACCGTCCCCCCAGAGTTGGTATGTTCTCCTGACCTCACTCAGCCCTTCTTTGTATCCATAGCACAAGGAGAGAGAGAGAGGGAGGCAAATCGATGCCAAGCTGGGGGCACCCAATTAATTAGATGGAGCTGTATATTTTTGCGAGGGAACTGGACAGTGAAATGGGCTGGCTCCTGGGTGATGCAGATGCCATTATGCAGTTGAATGCGCCCATGTTCTCCATTCATTTCCCTCCCATCCACCCACCTGCTTCTGCAAAGCCCCGGGCACTTGCAACCCCTGCTATGCCACTGTGTAGGGCAAGGCTTAGGAGAGGACTAGGCTTGGCCAGAGATGGTTCCCTGGCGGAGGACTTTCCTCAGGGCAAGTCTGGGCCCTCCTTCACCAGTGCAGTTTGGGTTCTGGGTTGGAGCCAAGGCCAACCAATGGCAGCTCATTTCTCTCCCCCCACTACCCCAGCCACTTAGAAAAGGGGGTAGGTGGCCCATTTGGGTACAGGTGCCCAGAGAACCCCATGCCAGCCCTGAAACTCAACATGCTACATTGGTCAGTCTCCGTTATGGCGCTCTTAATGCGTGTTCTCTGTCTTTGCATTTGCTGAACAGCCTCAGCTTTTGGAGATCCTCACTTTGTCACTTTTGACGGGACTAACTTCACCTTCAAAGGCCTTGGAGAATATACTGTGCTGGAATCCAGCCTCACATCCCTGAGCATCCAAGGGAGAACCCACCGTGCCAAGTTGTCAAATGGTGAGGTCTTCTGTCTCCTTTCCTGCGTTTCAGGGGGTTGGAATAGAAGACCCTTTGAGTCTGTTCCAACTCTGCAATATTGTGATTCCAAATGCCAGATTTTTGAAACTCTGCGTTCAATTCAAGGCTTGATTTTGGGGTTTCTAAAGCCCTAAATCACCTGGGGACATGCTAAGAAGCATCTATAGGTCCCACCCTGTAAATTCAGATAAATTGGGGTATGTGTTGCTCGAGGTCCCCTTTGCTGCTTCTGCGAGGAGCTCCAAGAAGGATGCCTTTTCAGTGGTGGCCCCAGTATTATGACGCCCCTTCTCAAGTGGGATCTAGCCACTCTGTTGGGCATTTTACATTTGGCAAGAGGGTTACAGATGTTGCTGAACTCCCATCTTCCATCATCTCTCACCATTGGCCATGCCAGCTGGGGCTGTTTGGAGCTGGAGCACAGCAACATCGGGGTGTGAGTGTGTGGGTGTGGGTGTGTGCAGGTTTGACCCTCCTGCCTATTTGGTTAAAGCTGCTATTTTCTCCCAAACCTTCTGTGGTTCCAAAGCCCATTGATGTTTAAATTCCACTGTTGCTTCTATCGGTGTTTGGCTTTTCCTGTTTCCTAACCTGGATAGAAGATGATTTGGGGGCCTTTTGGTCAGAAAAGTAGAGCATAGATTTAAAAATGAAATAAACAAGTCACTTTCTGTCTCTTGAGACTTGGTGCACCACACTGATGTTTGCAATTGCCTGGCAGGAACTGAGGCCAAGGTGACGGGCTTCTCTGCCGTTGCCATGCAGGAGAATCGCTCAGATGTGGTTGAGATACGTATCCCGGAGCGCTCGGACGGGCTGGAGGTCCTGCTCAACCAGAAGGCACTCAACTTCTCTGAACAAACCTGGATGGACCTGAATGGTGAGACATGGAGAGCAGGGCTGGCCAGGTTGGATTTCAGAAGCCCTGCAAGTGATTCCTTTCTGCTTAAGCACGGGGGCAAGACATGTCTGCTCACCAGGGCCGTAGGTGGGAGCTGGAGTCCATCAAAGTCTGGAGGGCCTCAGGTAAGCCCATGGATGTCTGCTGGAGAGCAGCTCTGGTATCCTTCATGATAATACTAATGAGTTAAGATAAGAAACCAAGGAGGAAAGAATGGAAACCAAGCCTGATGAGGAACGGTTGAAGGAGCTGGGTATGTTGAGCCTGGAAAAGAGGAGACTGAGAAGAGATTTGAGAGCCATCTTCAAATATTTCAAGGGCTGCCACGTGGAAGAGGGAACAAGCTTCTCCTGCTCTGGAGGGCAGGACTTGAACTCATGGCTTCAAATGACCAGAAATGAGATTCTGACCAAACATCAGGAAGCATTTTCGGACAGTAAGAGCTGTTCAATAGCGGAACCTCTCCTTCAGGAGGTTGTGGAGTCTCCTTCATGGGAGGATTTTAGGCAGAGGTTGGATGGCCACCTGTCAGGGATTCTTTAGCTGAGATTCCTGCATTTTAGGAGGTTGGACTAGATGACCCTTGGGATCCCTTCTAAGATTCTTATCAGTCACAAAAACCAAAGAACCAAGCAAAGCGGATGAGCTGGTCCAGCATCTTCATTCCCACAAAGCCCACCCAGATGCCTCCAGGAGAAGCTCACTGCCCCCTTCTTGGTTCCTCCTAGTTTCGTACATTGGATTCTTCCCTGAGGCTTTGAGGTGACTGCAACTTAAACTTCTGCAGAATTTAAATCTAAGGCCAAGAAGCCTTGCAACCCAATAGGTGGTTGGCATCTGTCTCAGAAGAAATTGGAGGAGTGAACCTTTGGGGTGTGTGAAGTGAAACCGTTGGAAGGTTACAGCTCCTGCTGTGGTTGTGGAGACTGATATGGGAGAGACATGTGTTGTTGCAGCTGGGGCAGAGGGAGGTGCCTGGTTGTGCTGCTGCGGATGGACCACGGTGCTTCTTCTCTTGGTCATCCCTCCTCTGGTCACTGCTGTGGATACATGACCTGTCTGTCTGTCTCCAGGCACTGGGGGCGTCTGCAGGAGTTGATGGTTCCAGCCTTCATGTCATATTTGCGGACACCTTGGTAATGCAACCAAATAAGTCTGTCAATATTATGTAAAGCCAAGTTTGCTCCAAAACAAGCAAACTGCAGGATAGATCAATTCATGGAGGTGGAGAGAACTATGGAGCTCTTCTCTGCCCACCACGGTCAGAGGCAGCGATGCTTCTGAATCTCAACTGCTGCAAACCGCTCTTGTGCTCGAATCCTGCTTGCTGGTTTCCCATAATGGGCCCCTGGTTGGCCCTTGTGAGAACAGCATGCTGGACTAGATGGGCCACTGGGCTGATCCAGGAGGCTGTTCTTAGGTTCTTATGACCGGTGTCCCTCTTGGATTCTGTGAATCCTGAAGAGCAGAACTGAGTCATGGAGGAGAAAACCAAATTTTCTTCCCAACTGCCTCTCAACAAACTGTGGGATGTGAAACACAAGAGCAGTCAAGTATAACATTCCTAGAGTGAACATGTTTACACATGGGGAGGAATGTTTGTCCAGCCAGCAGGTAAACTTCCTGTTTCCTTCTGGGCTGGGACAGACTTCCTCCGCATGTGACTAGAGATGGGTGTGGCCTCACCTGTGCAGGTAACGACAAAAGCACAGGGCAGGGCAGCCATCTCTCTATTTTGACTACATGCATCGAAGAAGCAACATCTGCTTAGCCAAAGATGCTTCCAGCCAGGAGAGGACAAAGGGACTGTCTCCTTATGAGATAGTTTCCAGGTGTATGTTACTTTTCAAAGCTAAGTCTGCCTTCTGGGATCCAACTGTGAACAGAATGTGAGTAAACTCTTTTTATACTTTTATAGAAGACTGTGTCGTGTCTTATCTTTTATGAGGGAATAAGGGGAAAATACCATAACAGTTAGCGAGCCTGAGCAAACGAAGCCGCTGCAAGTTTAAAAAGGTGAATGTTACTCTGCTAAAATTGTGAACTTGCTAACACAAGTTGGAAAGGTTATAATCAAACCATATATCCTCTCCTGAATCCCTGAACATTCCCACACAAACCGGTACGTGGTGCTGCATGGAATATGGAGTCATGAATGCAAACATTTGCAAACATTCCCGCTGGATTTGTTTGCAGCCCCTGCTGTGCTGTGCAGATGCCCCATAATATTAATACTTACACTTGCCTGGTTTCTCTATTTCCCTGGCAGGTCTCTTTCTCTCCACTGCACCTGGGCTGAATGTCACTGCCATGTTCTCCTCGGGAGTCGGAGTTGAAGTGAGGAGGGCGGGGAGGATGCTGAGCCTGACTGTTTTGCTGCCCGCAAAGTTCCTGAACCACACGCAGGGGCTCTTTGGGGTCATGAATGGCAACCCCCGGGACGACTTGACCCTCCGCAATGGGACCATCCTAGATGCCAACAGATGCACCCCAGAAGAGCTATTTGCATTTGGCGCAGACTGTAAGTGAGCGCTCAGCTTCTCCCAAAGAAAGGAGCAGAGAGAGAGGAGCCGGTCTGGCCCTTGGCTAGGAAAAGATCTTAGTAGACCACAAGCTTCACATGAGTCAAAAGCTGATGCTATTCTGGGCTACATCCACAGAAGCCTAGTGTCCAGCTCAAGGGAAGTAATAGTACCACTCTGTTCTGCCTTGGTCAGACCTCACCTGTAATACTGTGTCCAGTTCTGGGCACTGCAATTTAAGAAGGATGTTGACAAGCTGGAAGGTGTGCAGAGGAGGGCAACTAGGATGATCAAGGGTCCAGAAGCCAAGTCTTATGAGATGTGGTTGAAGAGGCTGGGTATGTTTAGCCTGGAAAAGAGGAGACCCAGAGGTGATGCGATAGTCATCTTCAAATATCTTGAGGATTGTCACATGGAGGATGGCGCAAGCTTGTTTTCTCCTGCTCCAGAGTGTAGGACCTCTGACAGTGGCCTCCAGGTGAATGGCAGGTCTCCCACGCCCTCACCTGGCTGGTACGATGGAGGGACTTAAAATGTGCCCTTTTTGGTGAGTTTCAAAATGTCCCCTTAGAAAGTTTATCTCCAAAGTTTCCCTCTTCCCCTAGCATAGGAAAAGACAACATATCTGGTAAGTTAAAAATAGTTTACTTACAAATTTTCCAAAGGTCAGTTTCACATGCTCTTCAGATGAAGTGTGGTATGGAAATTTAATTAAAAATATAAAATAAAATGTGCTTTTCCATATAGCAGTCAGAAGAAAAAGACTTGCAGGCAGTGAAATGTAGCTTAGTTACAAAGAGGCAAAAAAAAGTTCCTAAATTACAGGTATTGGAAAACGTTAGTTTCAGACTCCATTCTTGTCTGGAACAAAATAGGCTGGTTAAAGCCATGCAGCTGAGCTGGAGCAACTCACACCTCCTCACACACTGAAATTCACTGAAGTAGACAGATGGAATAAAGGCTTGGTTACCTATTTCCTCCTAAGGTAAGGGGAAGTGACATGGGCAAAACCTAGAAGGACAGCTTACTCTATGGCATTAACCCCTTCATGCACTAAATAGACTTAAACATGCTGGTTAGGTGCTACAAGAGGTTGGTCTGGTTCAAGGGAATGACAGCGCTCCCCATTCCTCTTTGCAGGGGCCGTCAAGAACGAAACCTCCCTCTTCACCTACGACAGCCAGTTCCTGCTGCAGACCTTCTTCTATGGGCCAAAGCATGACCCCTCTTTCCTGCCTGTCTTCCGGGCCCCCGAAGATCCCACCGATCCCCTCACTCAGGAAGCGGCCCAACTCTGCCAGTCGGACCCTTTCTGCAGGTTTGATGCTCTGACGACAAGAGACCTCGCGGTGGGGAACAGCACCAGGTGGTCCCACCGGATCTACAAGCACCTAGAGGAGAGCCTGCAGCCGGGTGAGTCAAGGGCAAGCTCAGCCGGGGAAGGGGGGATCCGATGGAGGGTCACAGGGAAAGGAATTGCCAGGTGCCTGAACGGGACCGGGGAAGGGAGCACCACTTTCCCCCTCTTATTCCTCTCTCTTTCTGCTACCCCTGACTCCCCAGGGGGCCTATTTCACCTCACCCTTTGGCCACCGCCCACCCCTCTTTTCATGCCCCATTCCTCAGATCTTGCAAATCCAGCTGCTTTCTTGGGGAGAGCTTGAGAAGGGGGCTTTGAATGGTTGGGAGCAAGCAAGTTCACAGGCAGAGAGGAAATTGAAATCCTACTCAATTTTGATCCATAGCAGAGCTCCGTTGTACAGTTAGCAGAGCAAAAACTTAAACATGTTGCAGGATTCCCAGAAAATAGACCAGAGCCAACTGAATTTCATATTCAGAGATAACCCAGGCTCCTTCTAGTCTTACTTTTATAGTCAGCATGACCTTGACTGAAAGAGAGAACAGGACCAGTTTAATCCAGCTGTACTCAGCTTCTCTGAAGGAATAACCCAAACATCAGGAACCTTCTGCTTGTTTCTTTCACACAGAGAAACTTCCCATGCCCCCTTGAACTAATTAGAATAGGAAAGTTCTCTACACATCAGAAATGATAAGAAATGCAAACGGACAGTCTCTTTGGGGAGGGGGCTAGCAGGGTTCACGCATCCCCTCCTCCCCCCATTCCACTGTGGAGAAGCAGATCAGGCAGGGAGCCTGGAGGGAGAGACCCCCAGGCCGGAGGATGCTCTGCCAAGCCCACCCTGGCAGGCAGCCACTCTTCCTGGGGAGCCTGTGAAGTTGAGCAGCGGCAGAGGCAGGGTCTGGCCCTGGTCTCTGCCCCCCCCCAGGCCATTCTCCTCCCAGCGTGGTTTCCCATGCCATGAAGATGCACACTTGCATGGCCCTAAAGACACCGCTTTTGTCTCCCCCAGTGGTTTCTTGTGGCTGGCTGGCTCCCCCCTCCAACGGCACAAAGAATGGAACCAGCTACTTAGAAGGATCCACCATCCGCTTCGACTGCAGTCCTGGGTTCAGCCTTGAGGGATCAGCAGCCAGGACGTGCCAGGAGGACGGGCTCTGGTCAGGCAGCACCACCAAGTGCCAGCTGAATGCAGGTAGGCGATCCCTTCAGCCCCATTCCTATGGGGTGCTTTGCATCCACACGCTGTGGCCCTGCACCAGCAGAAGTCTAAATCTCTCCCCACCCCCCACCAAAGAGACACTTTTACTTTGCATTTGGGGCGTGAAGGAAGTCTGCTTGCTACAAGTGCTTTGGAAACCCATGAAAAATATAGCAGGGCGGTTTTCTTCTAATGCAGGCATGTCCAAAGTCCGTTTCAGGGGCCTAATCCGGCCCTCCGGTCGGTTTAATCCGGCCCCTGTGGCAGTTTATCTCCTGGGTAAAATCCTACAAAAAAGCTCAACTTCAATTCTTAAAAAAGGTCAACAACGCATATTCAGTTCATCAAATCTGGCCCTCTTTGAACAAAGTTTGGGCACCCTGTTCTAATGCATCTCCCTGGCTTGGGAAGGGAGAACGGCAGGCAGCTGTGGTGCTTGCTGGGACCTGACAACCCTCCCGCCAGGCCTACAGAACTAAATTGTAGGACTTCAGAGCTGGAAGGGGCCCTCCCAAAGGCCATCCAATCCAGCCCCATGCAATGCAATGCAGGAATTGCAGCTGAAGAATCCCTGGCGGGGGCCACCCAACCTCTGCTTCAAAACCTCCCGTGAATGAGAGCCTGCCGCTTTCCGAGGGAGCCTGTCCCCCTGTCAAACAGCTCGGAGGAAGCCAAGGGTCCTTCTGCTCCAGGGCAGGTCTTTGCTCTGCTTGCCAAGTTGCTTCCTCCTTAGCTCAAAAGTGGCTCAAAGGCTCACGCAGGGAGGTGGCGGCTGCCCTCTGGAGGCCATGGGGATGAATGGCTCCCTGCAGAAGCCTCTTTGCAGCTTTGTGGACCTCCCTGCCTCCCTCCCCAACCAGAGGAGGCTCAAGGCTTCCTCCCTGTTTCCAACACCACCCCCTGCACAATTATGCAGATGCTATAATTTCCGAAGAGAAGGAAGCCCAAGGTTGTGTCAATGGCTCTTTCCAGTTAATGCTACCCCTGATTTGAGATGCAGCGAAACTCGACTTTGTGTGTGTGTGTGTGTGTGTGTGTGTGTGTGTGTGTGTGTGTTGGCCTAGAACCCCCACCAGACCCAGCCAGCCTGTCCAATGGTCAGAGGCCAGGGCAGCTGGCCACATACACTCCCAATGTGTTTGGCCTGGGCAGAAGTGTCCATGCACCGGGCATGTCTCTCATGAGGACAACCCCAGTGCATTTTGGGTAGTGTGGCCAAGTGCCATTTTCTAATCTAGTGCCTGAGAGAGCCCCCCATCCCCCAATGCTTGCTTGTGTCAGTCCATTTGCTTGAGCAGGGACCCTACAAACGGGGCTTACTGGGTGGAGACCTCCTTCCTGGGTGACTTCTGTTTGTAAAGAAGAGCATGATGTTTATTTCACACTCGGCACCCACTGGCCTCTGTGCTCTCTTCAAGGGCAGCCCCTGCCTCTCCCTCTGACCCCCTGCTCCACTAATACAAAAGGGGGGGCACTGTGGTTTAAAAGGTGGCAAGGACCCAGGGAGTCTCCCCTGAAGAGCTCTTCAGGCCCCCTGCCACCCCCAGCTCCCAAATGCAATAAGCAACCACAGCAAGGCGGCCTTTGGGGCTTGGTTACCTGCAGGGAGGGCAATCTCACCCGACATTGCATCCCTGGACTGACCCTGGCTTTGTCTCCCCCCACTTCTGCAGGGAGCAGGACACTTCCCTGGGGGTCCACGATTGGCATCCTGGGCTTCCTGAGCTTGACAGCCACCCGCTGGACCATCTAGCCTCATTGGAGCATAGAAGACCCGCAGAGGCAGCCACAAAGCTGCCTTTCTGGCCTTTGGCTTGCAATGGAATAAACCTGCAGATTTTTGCTGTTGTTTGTCACAAAATATATCCATGTGCAATTGGACTCCAGGGATGGGAACATCACGGAGGGGCCGATGGGTGGCCACCTCTGTCTCCCAGGACACTTCCTCTCTGACCTCATGGCCACTTCTACACCAAGGGAGCAAAATGGGTGGACAAGAGCCCAAGGGGGAAGGCGGCACTGGGGTTCCGTGGTGGACAGGGTGCCCTTCCAGGCTTGAACCATCACCCAGTGGTGGTTTTGTGGAAATGGGGACCCAGCGAGGAAGGAGAGAGGGTGCTGGGCTTCTGATCATCTGTGCATTTTCAGAGATCAAGTTCTGGCTGGATTTTCTTCAGGCACCTGGTTCCTGGGCGATGTCCTGGTCTGCTCTTCCCTCTCCCTGCCCTGCCTCTCGGGGTCTCCAGGCCCTCTACCTGGTGACCGGACTCTTGCCCAGGGATGCTCATGCCAGACAATAAATGCTGTTTGCCTTCGGGGCTTTAGGTGGTTCTGTTATACCAGCAGGCTCTCTGCTGGAGTTTTAGAGGTTCTGTGCTTGCAGACTAAAGACTTGCTGGAAAGAGACGCAGTTCACTCTCTGGGCAGGAACATTGCGAGAGAGAAAGCAACAGCCCAAGAAGATTTTGCATTTACAGTCAAACCTCGGATCCCAAACACCTCCGTTTTGGAACGTTTCGGCTTGCGAACGCTAAAAACCCAGAAGTAAATGCTCCAGTTTTCGAACGTTTTTCAGAAGCCAAATGTCTGACACGGCTTCCACTGAGTGCAGGCAGCTCCTGCAACCAATCAGAAGCCGCAATTCGGTTGTCGAATGTTTCAGAAGCCGAACGGGCTTGCAGAATGGATTACGTTTGACAACCCAGGTTTGACTGTACTTGCTTTTGACAGCCAAGAGAGCCTCACCTGGATCTTGCCGTAGCAGTTCAGAGTGAAAAAGGAGGTACTCTTGCTCAAGGCTGAAATAATCGTCCTATAATGTAGCAACAGGCTTCAGGGTTCACAGTGGAGCCCTGGCCTGTCTTGCAAGGAAATGGGCCGGCACGAAAGTGTCCTTGGAGCAATCCTGCAAAGAGGCCCAAAAGACAAGCAGTGCCCAGGCAGAGAGGGAAGTCCAGATCCTCTTCAAAAACACAGAATTGGAGGGCTGGAAGGGATCCCCCAGGGGTCATCTAGTCCAGCCCCCTGCAAAGCAGGAATCCCAGCTAAGATCCAAACAACACAGTGGTTTCAGATCCTTCACAACCAAAACGTCTTTTTAAAAAAGCTGCTTTGCGATGACAGCAATTATTTAAAATGTGGCGTTTAATGTTTTCTTTCTACCTTGAAGTAATTTCAAGAAAGCCACTCCTAAAACTACCTGACAGGCAGTGGCGTAGCGTGGGGGGTGCAGGGGGGGCCGGCCGCACCGGGCGCAACATCTGGGGGGCGCGCGCTTGCACTCGCAGCTCTCTGCCCCTACCTGGCTCACTCACTCTCTCTCACTGCAGTGCTGGCTGTGCGAATCCAATCCGAGCCGCTGGGTCGCCGCCCACTGTGGAGGTGGTGGGTGCCAGGCGTGCGGTGCGGAGAGAGAGCGAGGGACTATCTGGGGGAGGGACAGTGCAGCGGCCGCCCAGCGCAGCGCTGAGCGCGGGAGAGAACCACACCAGACCAGCCCAGGTAGCAGCAAGAAGAAGCTGGCGGCAGCGGCAGGTTAGGGGTTGGGGGCGCAAATTACTTGCCTTGCCCCGGGTGCTGACAACCCACGCTACGCCACTGCTGACAGGTGAGAGAAGCCAAAGGTGATTAAAGGCTTACATGGCAAGCCGGGCAGGTGAGACCTCTGAACCCCAGACACCCCACCCTTGAGGCCAGGGGACATTGGGGGGGGGCGCTCCCTCTTTCGGCCTCAGACCAATTATTGTGGGCAGCATTGGTGCTCCCAGCCTGACAGGTCTTTGCTCTGAAGAGGAGGGGGGTTCTTCTTCCCCACCCTCAGTGCAAAGCCATTTGCTGTCCTAAAGACCTGAGCACCGCTGAGCATTTGAGCAGGGTCAGGCCGCATGGCTAGAACAAAGAGTGGGGTTTTTAATATCCTCTGGCCTCAGACCCGGGAAGGTGATTCAGCCAGAAGCTCCGCAGAGGACACTGGCCATGCCTCATGTGACAGAAGCATTACTGAGCCACAGGACTGAGCGCGACGCATGGCTGAGCATGGAGGGTCAGTTGATGGCCCACAATAGATCATGGCACAGAGGTGGGGTGGGAGGGGGATAGACGCCTAGCAGTCTTGGCAGAAGGGAAAGCGTCTTAAAAGATACATAAAGCATTGGCATCACTCCATCGTACCTCACAGAATCCTAGCACCCCAAGGGTCCCCAAAGGTCATCCAGTCCAACCCCCTGCAATGCAGGATAGCTCTGCCCATTTTGTTCCCTCTTGTCGCCTAAGCAGAGAATTTTGCACTTGCCTCCATTCCATTTCCATCCGACTTGATGAACCAAAATGGTTCTTGCAAAGGCTGCAGTTCTCTCTCTGAGATGCCGGTGCTCAAACCCACAAATCATGCGCAGTGGATACAAAGGAACAAAATCTTTATTATTTAAAAGCTTCTCTACGAGTCACTCAGCACCGAACGACAAAGACACGGCAGCCATGGAGGAAGAGGAGGAGGAGGAGGAGGAGGGGAGAGGAGGGAGGGGGGAGTTTGGGTCGCACTCTCCACCCCCCCACCCCCAAAGATGGGTGACCAGGTGGACCTGGGTGCAAGGGAGGGTTTGTGGGTGCCCCAAAGGAGGACGTGTGAAAACAAGACGCTGGAAGGGGAGAACAACAGAGCCGTGGTGAAAATAGGAAAAAGCACAAACCTGCACCCCAGAAACAGCAGCTGCCTTGTCATCTGGCTGCCCCCTCTGAAGTGGGGCTGGCACAAAAAAGCAAGGGGGGGCCAGGCATGCAGCACTCAGGCACCTCTGCCTTTGCGCCCCCCACTCCACAGGACAGCACCCCTTTTGTCTCTTCTGCAGAGAACGAGCCCCTGCTCCCCCCTCAGCCTGGGAATCACTGCGTGCTCCTTGCAGGGACCCCAAAAGTCATCTAGCTCATCCCCACGCGATGCAGGCACCACAACCAAAGCATCTTCGACAGACTGCCGCCCACCGTCTGTTTAAAGACCCCCAAGGAAGGAGAGCCCATGGTGGCCAGACTGAGGGGTCGGGGGCATTTGGACGCTGGGCTCAGCACATGGTGGGTGAGGGTCAGTCCCAGCAGGTTTGCTTGGAGCAGGCACATCCTGGCAAAAGGGCAGGATCAGAACCAAGCCAGGACTGGCACCAGCTGGGACTCCCAGGGGGAGCTCAGAAGGGCCCCTCGCCAGCCATAACACGCCTACCTTGGCAGACCCCCAGGAGCGGCTGGGCAGGGGCTCAAGCCCAAAATAAAATGCCCCAGCCTAGACAGGCTGGAAACTTGAGAAGCCCACAGAGCGATGAAATCTACAGGCTGAGTCGTTGCATTTGGAGGACGCCAATACAGAGGGGCAGCTGCTGCAGACAAGAGCCAGGCGTGGTTTCCGTCTGAAAGTGGCATTGCCACCCAGTGGTGAGACCTTACCCAGGGCAGGCAGTCAGCATGGAAGGAGGGTGGTGAGCAGGGCTGCCACTGCTGTTGTGCTGGCAGGAGAATAATCCTTGCATGGTCCGGGGGGGGGGTGTGTGGCCCTGGCAGCCCCCTGCCAAAGTCCCCCAGAAGTTTGGCACCAGAAGTTTGCAAGTGCAGTGCAGAGGGGCAGAGCAAAGCGGAACCGGGATTTGGCAGCTGGCCTCTTAGCACTGAATCACAGGGTTGGAAGGGACCCCAAGCAGGCATCTAGTCCACCCCCCGCACGGCAGGAATCGGAGCTAATGGATTCCTGACAGATGGCCGTCCGACCTCTGTTTAAAGACCTCTGAGGGAGGAGAGTCCACCACCTTTGGCTAAGTCTCTCTCTCTCTCTGTGTCCCTTTTGGCTTTGCTTAAATCCACCAGAGGCCTGGCTAGCGAGGAGCATGAGAACATAAGGAGAGGCTGCAGGATCAGGCCATTGGGCTACAGCCCAGCATCCTGTTCTCATGAGAAGGGGAGCCTTTTGCCACCGCAGGGCTCCTCCTCACACCCTCTAAGGGGTCCCACGGACAGCAGGAAGAGGCAGAGAGCAAGACCCTCTTCAGCGGCTGCCTTGGGTCTCAGCCTGCCAGAGGGCAGACAGGAACGCAGACAGCCTGTGGGGCTGGCCAGGGGGCAGGTCTCCATCTCCATCTCAACGGGGGGGGGGGGGCTCTGTTGGGAACTGGCAGTGCCCACCACAACCCACACTCCTGCAGAGATAGATAGGAAAGTCAGGGCGGTGGGACAGGGCTTGTCGACAGAGGGGGGTCTGTGGCCTCTTTGGCCTTGGCAGAGGAAGAGGGCAGGGAGGGAACACGGGCGACACAGCTGGCAGCCTGGAGACAGGTAGATTTGCAAGGAGCTCCACTCCATAGCAAACCAGGTGAGCACCGCAGCCCCCAGACCCACGTCTCTCTGCAGCCTCCATCTGTCCAGTGAAGGGGGGGGATTTGCTGCTCATGTGGCCATAAATGGCCTTGCAAAGGGGCATGAAGACAGAACACCTGAAGGGCACCATGAGAGAGAGAGAGAGAGAGAGAGAGAGAGAGAGAGAGAGAATGGAAGGAAGGAAGGAAGGAAGGGAGGAAGGAGGAAAGAAGGAAGGAAGGAAGGAAGGAGGCAGGCAGGCATTGGAGCCGACTCCTAGGGGCCAAGGTCCCTTTGGGGCCCCAATAAAAACTTTGAGGGGGCCACAGCCCCCCAAGGTTAATGGGCATTGCTCTTCAAATAGTGTGCATGTGCCATGACTTGTGATCAATTATGTGAGGTGGGGCTTAGTTGGGTCCCCCAATATTTTGTTCAAGTTGGCACCCCTGGAGGGAGGGGGGGGGAGACACACAGAGAGAGATTTAGGAGCATCTGACCAATCCACTGGGCTCCTCCTCCCCTTCCAAGTCTTAGTCCAGGAGGGGCCCTGTGTGCTTGGGGAGGGGGTGTCCTTCATTCTCCAGCACCCGATGATCGGCGTGAGCGATGTGAGGGGAGACCTCGCCACCTTCCGGCCTGGGAGGGTCTCAGCAGCCGCAGGAGGAGGAAGAGAAGGAGGTCAGTGGGGCAAAACACACTCAAACGGTGGCCAGAGACTGGTGGCGCTGGTGGTGGTGCGAGTCAGACCTGCCCCCTTGGCCAGTCGTGAAGAAAGCCCACCCTCTGTGGGATGGGGGGCGATGGGGGGACACAGGTCAGTCCGCTGGTTCAGGGGCCGGCCAGCCAGGCCGGAAACCCCCACTTAGGTATTACGCACCCCCAGAGACTGCTCCAACTCCTGGCGACGCTGCTGGATCTGAAAGGGCAAAAGGAGAGAGTTGGGGGGCGATGGAAGGGGCTTCGCCCTCCCAGCCCAGCTCAGCCTGCCTCCAACTTTGTCCCCTGTTTTTGTACTGTTTTGGGGGGACAGGAGGCGGGCGGGTGTGGAGGACTCCCTGGCCCTGAATGGGGTAACTGTGCCCCTGAAGGACCAGCTGTGCAGCCTGGGAGTCATTCTGGACTCAATAATAATAATAATAATAATAATAATAATAAAATTTTATTTATATCCCACCCTCCCCAGCCGAAGCCGGGCTCAGGGTGGCTAACAACCATCAAATAATCCAACATTCTAAAAAAATTTCATTATAAAAATTAATTAATTACAGCTGTCCATGGAGGTGCAGGTCGATTCTGTGTCCAGGGCGGCTGTTTATCAGCTCCACCTGGTATGCAGGATGAGACCCTCCTTGCCCATAGACTGTCTCGCTAGAGTGGTACATGCTCTGGTTATCTCCCGCTTGGACTACTGCAATGTGTGGGGCTACTTTTGAAGGTGACCTGGAAACTACAACTAATCCAGAATGTGGCAGCTAGACCAGTGGCCGCTGAGACCACATAACACTGGTCTTGAAAGACTTACACTGGCTCCCAGTACATTTCCAAACACAATTCAAAGTGTTGGTGCTGACCTTTAAAGCCCTAAACGGCCTTGGTCCAGTATACCTGAAGGAGCGTCTCCACCACCACCGTTCTGCCCGGACACTGAGGTCCAGCTCCGAGAGCCTTCTGGTGGTTCCCTCAGTGCGAGAAGCCAAGTTACAGGGACCCAGGCAGAGGGCCTTCTCGGTAGTGGCACCCGCCCTGTGGAAAGCCCTCCCACCAGAAGTCAAAGAGAAGAACAACTACTAGACTTTTAGAAGACATCTGAAGGCAGCCCTCTTTAGGGAAGCTTTTAATGTTTAACAGACCATTGTCTTTTAATACTCTGTTGGAAGCCGCCCAGAGTGGCTGGGGAAACCCCACCAGATGGGCAGGGTATAAATAATAAATTCTATTCTGTTCTCTTACCTTGCAGTAGAAGTACCTGCTCACGGCCTCCTGGGACCACGGCTCGTGGTAAAACTCTGCCCTCCGCTCCTCCTCGGGATTCCCCACCACGTCGGTCATCACCTACCATGCAGAGGGGACAACGTGGCATCAGAGTAGCCCCATCAGTTCTAGGCATTCTGCCGCGTTCTGCACCAAGGGCAGTTTGCAGACAGCATGTACTGGAAGCCCCTCACAGAGTGAGTTGGAGAAGTCCATCCCGGGGCATTTGGGTTGGTCCCAACAAAGGCACTGCCATTCCCTGACTAGGACCAACATGATAGGCGCGGATGAGATTGTGCGTGGCATGGAGAAAACTGAGGAGATTTCACCCCTCCCATATCCAAGAATCTGCTGATGTTCTCTGCTGACTCTCAAGAGAGGAGGGGGCAGTTTCTGCTCTCTACTTATTTCGCTCCAGCCTCACGTCAAAGAGAGAGAAAGACTGAGTGTTAGAGAGAGATCGTGTGTATAGATAAGGTTGCTGCTTACAGCAGCTGCAGACACTCAGTGCAGTTCAGCATTTTTCGTTTAGACCTCATTTAGCTCTGTACATAGTTGTGTATTATAGTTGTAGACAGAATAAAGATGATATTCTACAGAGCTGCTCTCCGAGTCGTTTATGCTCTGCTATACTCTGCTGTGCGACGACTGTCTTCTTGTGGAAGTGAATCCGGTGCTCACAACTCTAAGCTGTGAGTCCACAGCACTTTGACCTGTTCCTGTGCAGAAGGTGGTCTCTGGAAGTGCTACCCAGCTCGCCTGGCCCAGTCGGGGCTGAAGTGTGTGAGTCCAGTTGGTGGCACTGGCTCAAGGGCGATGCTTGAGTTTTCCTCCCTCTCTCCTAACGCTGGAACTTGCGGACATCCAACAAAGCCGATTGTTGGGAGGTTCAGGGCAGGGGAAAAGAAGTACTTCTTCATGCAGTGCAGACTGTGGAACTCCCTCCCACTGGATGCAGTGGTGTCCACAAATTTGAATGGCTTTTAAAGAGGGCTGGAGGAGGAGGCAGCTATTGATGGCTCCTGGCCACCATGGCTACACGCTGCTGCCAAACCTTTTAGACTCCGCACTATGCTGCCATTTCGCTGGCTAGTGAGCCATAGGTTCCAATCCATCCTTCTGAACAGCCACTGGGAGCAAGGCCCCCGTGGGATCCTTTTGCAGTGACTTTGAGGTATTTTAACATGTAAAAACAGCCACAGACACTGTCTTCTCACCCTCCCAATAAGACCCCATTGCAGGAGCCCCACCTGCCCCTTTGTGCACTTAGGACCCCCCCAATAGACCCACCTTGAGATCCCTGCTCTGGGATCGGAGGAGATCTTGGATGTACCCTTTGGGGTCTTTGGAGAAGCTGAGCATAAAATCCCTCTGTATCTTCAGCTGGTTGATGGACTCGATTGTCTCGTGAATCTGAGCAGGGAAGGAAAATAAGAGGCTCGTTTCTCCTCGTGGGATTTGCACCTGGTCCCCAAAGGGAGCCCTTCAGTCTTCACACCAGACTGCAGACACACGCCTGTAAAGCCATCCTGTGATTTATCTGCGATGGAAGGGGGTCAGACTAGATGACCCTTGGGTCCCTTCCACACCTACAGTTCTACAATGCCCCCAGTGGTACTGATCCCCTCAGCTGTAGCTGGCCATAGTTCCTCCAAACGGAAAGCCCCTGAGCCTCTTAACTTAAGTTCCCCTACCACTTGCCCCAGCACCCCAGGCCCCCAGTCTGCCTCTTCTCCCCACACACACCCCCGCCCCGCCCCCTAAGCACCTTGTTGTCCAGGGCTGTGATCTCCTGCTGGTTTGCTGTTGAGAGGAGGAAGCTGCTCATCTGCCCCTTCAAGGGGTCCTCCACTTCCACGTCAATGTCGTAGCAGGCGGTCTTCTTCTGGTCATTGGGGTCCACACTAGGAGGGGAGCCAGGGGGGGTCAGGCCTCTGGACAAGGTGAGGCGATGCTCCCAGAAGAAATCACCTAGTAGCCTGGTACGCAGGATGAGACCCTCTCTGCCCGCAGACTGTCTCACCAGACTGGTGCATGCTCTGGTTATCTCCCGCTTGGACTACTGCAATGCACTCTCTGTGGGGCTGCCTTTGAAGGTGACCTGGAAACTACAACTAATCCAGAATGCGGCAGCTAGACTGGTGACTGGGAGCAGCCACCAAGACCACATAACACCGGTCTTGAAAGACCTACATTGGCTCCCAGTACCTTTCCATGCACAATTCAAAGTGTTGGCGCTGAACTTTAAAGCCCTAAACGGCCTCGGTCCAGTAGACCTGAAGGAGCTTCTCCACCCTAATCGTTCAGCCCGGACACTGAGGTCCAGCTCCGAGGGCCTTCTGGCAGTTCCCTCAATGCAAGAAGCAAAATCACAGGAGGGAGGGTCTTCTCGGTGGTGGCACCCGCCCTGTGGAACGCCCTCCCGTCAGATGTCAAGGAAATAAACAGCTCTCTGACATTTGAAGGCAGCCCTGTTTAGGGAGGTTTTTAATGTTTGGTGCTTTATTGTGTTTTTAATATTCTGTTGCGAGCTCCCAAGAGTGACTGGGGAGGCCTGGCCAGATGGGTGGGCTGTAAGTAATAAATTATTATTATTATTATTATTATTATTATTATTATTACCACCCACTTTTCTGACTGGTGCAGAATAGTCTACCTTCACTGGCAGAGGTTTGGGGCCCCTCCCAGCCCCCCCCAGCCCCAGAGGCCTTCTGCATGCAGCTCCTTGTGGCTTTGGGGTCACAAGACTGCTGCTACATCTCAGTGAGCACAAAAAGAGACTCTGGCGAGGATGGTCACGGGAAGATGGCCTTCATCTGGCCCTCGGAGCCCTCTCCCTGGACCCCACATGCTCATCCCCCTGCTTGCTGAACTGATATAGACCTCTTTTTGGGCTGGCACTCCATGAGCCTCACATCTCCTCCTTGCAGAATTGGGACCCTTCCTCCACGTTGCGCTCGCTGAGAAGGCCCACAAGGGGCACCATGGAATCTGAGTCCTGCCCACGGCCCCTGAAGGAGTTACTGCACCCCAGGAGGAGAGGAGGCAAGGCTTCACCCCCACCCCACCCAAGCATCCCAGAAGTCAGCACGTGTAGACACAAAGTCAGAAAAGCTAAAGCACAGAATGAACTCAGGCTTGCTAGAGAGGTTAAAAGCAACAAAAAAGGCTTTTATGGGTATGTTCGTAGCAAAAGGAAGAACAAAGAAACAGTGGGGTCACTCAGAGGAGAAGATGGTGAAATGCAAACAGGGGACACAGAAAGAGCTGAACTCCTCAATGCCTTCTTTGCCTCAGTCTTCTCCGATAAAGAAAACAATGCCAGACCTGAAGAATTTGGAGCAAATGATTCAGCAAAGGAAACACAGCCCAGAATAACTAAGGAGATAGTACAAGAATACTTGGCTAGTCTAGATGTATTCAAGTCTCCAGGGCCAGATGAACTGCATCCAAGAGTATTTAAAGAACTGGCAGATGTGATCTCAGAACCACTGGCATTCATCTTTGAGAATTCCTGGAGAACGGGCGAAGTCCCGGCAGACTGGAGGAGGGCAAATGTTGTCCCTATTTTCAAAAAGGGGAAAAGAGAGGACCCAAATAATTACCGCCCAGTCAGTCTGACATCAATACCAGGGAAGATTCTGGAGCAGATCATTAAGCAAACAGTCTGTGAGCACCTAGAAAGGAATGCTGTGATCACCAATAGTCAGCATGGATTTCTGAAAAATAAGTCATGTCAGACTAACCTGTTCTCGTTTTTTGACAGAATTACAAGCCTGGTAGATGAAGGGAATGCAGTGGATGTAGCCTACCTTGATTCCAGCAAGGCATTTGACAAGGTGCCTCATGATATTCTTGTAAAGAAGCTGGTAAAATGTGGTCTTGACTATGCTACCACTCAGTGGATTTGTAACTGGCTGACTGACCGAACCCAAAGGGTGCTCATCAATGGTTCCTCTTCATCCTGGAGAAGAGTGACTAGTGGGGTGCCACAGGGTTCTGTCTTGGGCCCGGTCTTATTCAACATCTTTATCAACGACTTGGATGATGGACTCAAGGGCATCCTGATCAAATTTGCAGATGACACCAAATTGGGAGGGTGGCTAACACCCCAGAGGACAGGATCACACTTCAAAACGACCTTGACAGATTAGAGAACTGGGCCAAAACAAACAAGATGAATTTTAACAGGGAGAAATGTAAAGTATTGCACTTGGGCAAAAAAATGAGAGGCACAAATACAAGATGGGTGACACCTGGCTTGAGAGCAGTACATGTGAAAAGGATCTAGGAGTCTTGGTTGACCACAAACTTGACATGAGCCAACAGTGTGACGCGGCAGCTAAAAAAGCCAATGCAATTCTGGGCTGCATCAATAGGAGTATAGCATCTAGATCAAGGGAAGTAATAGTGCCACTGTATTCTGCTCTGGTCAGACCTCACCTGGAGTACTGTGTCCAGTTCTGGGCACCACAGTTCAAGAAGGACATTGACAAACTGGAACGTGTCCAGAGGAGGGCAACCAAAATGGTCAAAGGCCTGGAAACGATGCCTTATGAGGAACGGCTAAGGGAGCTGGGCATGTTTAGCCTGGAGAAGAGGAGGTTAAGGGGTGATATGATAGCCATGTTCAAATATATAAAAGGATGTCACATAGAGGAGGGAGAAAGGTTGTTTTCTGCTGCTCCAGAGAAGCGGACACGGAGCAATGGATCCAAACTACAAGAAAGAAGATTCCACCTAAACATTAGGAAGAACTTCCTGACAGTAAGAGCTGTTCGACAGTGGAATTTGCTGCCAAGGAGTGTGGTGGAGTCTCCTTCTTTGGAGGTCTTTAAGCAGAGGCTTGACAACCATATGTCAGGAGTGCTCTGATGGTGTTTCCTGCTTGGCAGGGGGTTGGACTCGATGGCCCTTGTGGTCTCTTCCAACTCTATGATTCTATGATTCTATGATTCTATGATTCTAAGTCCAGGCCACAAGTCACCAACTGCCGTCCCACCAGGATTGCAGGGGGTTGGACTAAATGACCCTTGGGACCCCTTCCAAGTTTACGCTTCTCCCCGCTGGAGGACAAGGTGGGGCCGCCTGACCTGATGATGTGGTTGATGACAATAGGATCCGGCGGCAGCAACAAGTTCGTCAGCCTCTGCGGGATTTCGGAAAACTTTAGCCGCGGGCAGTCAAAGATCTGAAACCATAAAGGGGGGGAGTGGCTGGGTGTCAGGAGGTCGGTGGCCCTCAAAGCAAACCCTAGTCCCCCCCACCAGAAGCTGCAGTGCCCCCCACCCACCCCCAATCCAAGGTAAAGGAGCTTCTCCTGCAAGGGAGCCCTTCATTGGCTCCCAGTACGTTTCCGAGCACAATTCAAAGTGTTGGTGCTGACCTCAAAAGCCCTAAACGGCCTCGGCCCTGTAGACCTGAAGGAGCGTCTCCACCCCTATTGTTCTGCCCGGACATTGAGGTCCAGCTCCGAGGGCCTTCTGGTGGTTCCCTCCCTGTGAGAAGCAAGGCTACAGGGAACCAGGCAGAGGGCCTTCTCGGTGGTGGCACCCGCCCTGTGGAACGCCTTCCCACCAGATGTCAAAGAGAAGAACAACTACCAGACTTTAAGAAGACATCTGAAGGCAGCCCTCTTTAGGGAAGCTTTTAATGTTTGATGCATTACTGTATTTTAATATTTTGTTGGAAGCCACCCAGAGTGGCTGGGAAAGCCCAGCCAGATGGGCGGGGTATAAATAATAAATTATTATTATTATTATTATTATTATTATTATTATTATTATCTCAGAAGAGAAAGGAGCAGAGAACAGAACAGGGCCACCCTAGTCGGAAGGCCTGCTTCCGGCAATGGGAGATGGTGGCCCCATGCAGCCCAGCCAAGGTTGGAGGCCTGGGAAGGGGCTTCAATTCATGTCCAATGCCCCCCCTCTCACCCCCCCCCCACAAGAGCTGTTTGACCATGGGGCAGACACCCTTGGAAGGAGGTGGGTTCTCCTTCATTGGAAGCTTTTAAGCAGAGGTTGGCTGGCCATCTGTCATGGGTGCTTCAGCTGAGATTCCTGCATTGCAGGGGGTGGGCTAGAGGACCCTTGGGGGTCCCTGCCAAATCTACCATTCTACAATTCACGTGCTCCAAGGAAGGGCCTAGCACTCCCTGGCTGGGGCCGGGTGAGATGGCGTCCCAAAGCAGCTTGAAGTCCATATTGTGACATCGGTTTCACAGTTTTCAACTGGCTTTATATTGCAAATCACGATGCGTTATGCAAAAAGCACAATGTGGGAAAAACCGTGAAGCCATAGCTCCATCCTTATTTCAGACATCGTGATATATCAGTACAGTGGCACCTTGGTTCTCGAACTCAATCCGTTCTGGAAGTCCATTTGACTTCCAAAACGTTTGCAAACCAAGGCGCGGCTTCTGATTAGCTGACTGGCCCCGGAAACAATGTCGACAGCCAAAACGGACATTCGGCTTCTGGAAAATGTTTGCAAACCGGAACACACACTTCTGGGTTTGCAGCTTTCAGGAGCCGATTTGTTCATCAGCTAAGCCGTTGGGGAACCAAGGTACCACTGTATACTGCAGTGTAGTTTTTTAATCATTCCCCCCGCCCCCAATAAAGACAGCCATTCGACATGTCCACATCATAATCTAATTAAAAACAAAAAACTAAAATAAAAAGGAAAGAGCAAATTGTAATCCAAATTTTAATTATTAATTTTTCTAGGCTCCCCATAGTCTGGACCTCTGAAGCATATCTCCAAATCTTCAGTTCCGCCTCCGCTCATGGTTTTCATATTTTCCACATCCCAATCTTAACGCTTTAAAGTTCTCCATCCCTGGCTCTACGATTCTCAGTCATGTCAAAAATCATATATCCTTTCGTCCGTCGAATACAGCTTTAGTTGTGTATGGCAAATAGACAGTTGAAAAAATGTATACTGCAGTGTTTAGGTAAAGGTAAAGGGACCCCTGACCATTAGGTCCAGTCATGGCCGACTCTGGGGTTGTGGCGCTCATCTCGCTTTACTGGCCGAGGGAGCCGGCGTACAGCTTCCGGGTCATGTGGCCAGCAGGACTAAGCCGCTTCTGGCGAACCAGAGCAGCGCACGGAAACGCCGTTTACCTTCCCGCCAGAGCGGTACCTAGTTATCTACTTGCACTTTGACGTGCTTTCGAACTGCTAGGTTGGCAGGAGCAGGGACCGAGCAACGGGAGCTCACCCCGTCTCGGGGATTTGAACTGCCGACCTTCTGATCGACAAGTCCTAGGCTCTGTGGTTTAGACCACAGCGCCACCCGCGTTCCACATACTGCAGTGTTTAGCTGGTGATATATCATGAAGTTGAAAACCAGACATTGCCCAGCCCCATTCGTGGCCCCTGGGGATAACCCAAGATGGTCTGGAAGGGCCTCCCCTCTCTCCCTTGAACTCCAGAAGGACAGGAGATGCAGGAACGTTGGCAGACACCTCTTTTCCCACCCAGTCCCCCATTCATTCTTTCTCAGTCTAGGTCCCTCCTTCCAGCGCCCAGAGCCCCCCAGGCCCTCTAGGGCAGCTGCTGGGTGGCTCACAGCTTCCGCCCTGCCAGCCCCTCCTGGAGGGGGAGAGGTGAGGAGAACGGACTCACCTGCTGGAAATACTTGTCACAGTTGATGTACTCCTTGTCGTGGGAGTCCTGCAGCTTGTTGGTCTTGATGTACTGCCAGAGGGCTTGGATGATGGCCGAGCGCGTCTGCGTGTGGATCCCCAAGAGGCGGGCGAGGCGGGGGTCCAGCTTGAACTGGGGGGGCTGCAGGAGAAAGAGGGGCCAGGAAGCACCGGCGGATGAGAGGCTGGCTTGGGGGGTTGCCTCGAAGCCGGCCGGGTCCGCTCCCTCAAGCCCACCGCCGACCCTGGGGTGCTGGTCTCTGGTCTCATGTGCCCAGAAACGCCCCCCTCCATTGCCACTGACCTGGTAGTCCAGCATGAGCAGGAGGGTGCAGCGCACGCTGACGTCCCCCGGCCTCTTCACCTGGAAGCCGTCCGTCTCCTGGGTGGTGGGGGTCCTGTGCCACTGAGAAGGAGAAGCAAAGCGCAGGTCAGGGCCAAGGCCAGGGGCAGGATGGTGCTCTCAGCAAGGCTCACCCATGCAAAAAGACATTGTGGACACCTCCAGACGGATGCAACATGGTAGACGTTTAGAAAAGTGTGTGTGGCACGAAGAAAAGTGGACAGAGAGAGAAGTTCTCCTCCCTCCCTCGTAACTGGAACTCGTGGTCGTCCAGTGAAGGTGAATGTTGGACCATTCAGGACAGATCAAAGGAAGGACGTTTTCACAAGGCACAGAGTTAAACTGTGGAACTCCCGGGTAAAAATTTAAATTGGTTGTATTTCGCATGAAAATTTACTTTAGCAATTGCATTTCTCCCAGGTTTCCATTATTTGTGAACGTCTACCTGATCTGCTATGAAGGGAAGTCTATCAAAGAGTTCATCACTTGTTTGCAAAGTCATCCAGAACACCTGTAAGATAGTGTTGTGACTTGCCAGTTAAAGTATCTCTGCACGAGGATTCTGTCAGTTTGACCATGCTGAATAAAAGCAAGCAAAAAACAACAACAAAAAACTGTGGAACTCCCTGCCACAAGAATCCCAGCTGCTGGGAATCCCTGGAGGGGAGAGGGCTGCTCTTGTGCTCGCGTTTCCCATAATGGGCGTCTGGTTGGCTGCTATGAGGACAGAATGCGAGGCTGGACAGGCCCCCATTGGCCTGATCCTGCAAGCTCTTTTTAGGGCACGACGTTCTTACGATGTGTTTAAACTGGGCAAATGGGCAGAAAAGGGGCAAATGCAATTCAATGCCAACAAGGGCAAAGTGATCTGTGTCTGGGCAAAAAACAAAAATCTCAATTTCACGCATATACGGTCCTGGGGTCTGAACTGGCAGGGACTGACCAGGAAACAGACCTTGGTTCTTAGTGGATAGCTTGACGGAGATTTCGACCCAGTGTGCAGCAGCTGTGGAAAAAGGTGAATCCCATGCTGGGCGTCATTAGGAAAGGGATGGAAATAAACCGCCAATATCATAACGCCATTATGCAAATCTCTGGTGGGGCCACATGCAGTGCTGGTCCCCTCGCCTCAAAAAGGGTGTCCTACAGCCGGAAAAGATTTGGAAAAGGGCGACTGAGATGCGCGAGGGGGTGGGGGCAACTCTCCCAGGAGGAAGAGTTGCAACATTTGGGGCTTCCTAGTTTAGAGGAGATGGAAGGAAGCAGTGGCATGGAAGAGACGTCTGGAATTATGCACAGCCTGGAGAAACGGAGGAGAGAGGAAAGGTTTTCTCCCTCTTCCATGAGACTGGAACTTGTGGGTGTTGGACGACCAAGATGGATGTTGGGAGATTCAGGAAAGGGCTTCTTCAAGCGGCGAAGAGTTAAACTGTGGAACTCACTCCCACAAGAGATGGCGACAATGGCAGCCACCAACTTGGAGGGCATTAAGGGGGGCCAATCCATGGAGGAGGAGGCTGCCAAGGGCTCCTAGTTATGAGAGATGCCTCCAGAGTCAGAGGCAAACATGACTCTGAACGGCAGTGGCTGGGAATCCTGAGCTTCCCCTTGGGGCATCTGGTCGGCCACTGGGAGGCCAGGACACTGGACTGGGTGGGATCCTTTGGCCTGGTCCAGCTGGCTCTTCTGTGCATACTAAGAGGGCTTGAGAAGGTACCATCCCTGTCTGAATGGCCACAGGCAGCATCACTGGTGGGACTGGAGGGACCACCTGGGAGATGGGATGCAGCAATGGGATGCAAGGACAGGGAGGTGCTCCCTTTGCCTTGCCCAGGCAGGGCCTGCTTCCTACTTGGGACCAAGGGCACCACTCACCTCCACCAGGTGATTGTCTGGTCCATATAGGTCCTTGTCCAGTTCGATGACCAAACTCTTGAAGAAAGAGGAAAACTTCCTTTTCTGCTTGCTGAGCTGTAGAATCGGGAGGGAGAGATGTCAGAGCACAAGGAACGAGGAGCCGAAAGGGTCTCAACTCTAGGCCAACAAGAATCACACAACTGCAGAGTTGGGAGGGACCCTGAGGGTCATCCAGTCCACCCCCTGCAAGAGCAAGGGATGAGGCCCTGGTGAGGAAAGAGGTGGCTCCCAGTCCCACAGAGAGGGTTGGGAACAACATCCAGGCCCCACTGAGCTCTGAGGCCAGCACCAGATGCTATTGGGGGACTCCTTCTCCCCCATATCATGTCTGCCCCCTTTGGCATGGGACATTTCCCCAGATATTTTCCTTTTCTCGGACCCCCTCCTCCCCCTTCTTCTGGCCCTGCCTCCCTCATCCTTCAAGCAAGCTCCACACACGCACTGCTGCAAGGGATCGTGGCCTTGCTTGGCCCAGGACCCTGGCCCCTCCCCTTCCCCCCCCCACATTGGGGTTTTTTCACTCCGGGAGGCCTCTGTGCCAACTGCCTTGGCTCTCCAAGGGGAACTGAGGCCCACAGCAGGTGCCTCTTGCAGCCCTGGTTTCCCTCATCCTCTGCCCCTCAGCTGCTTTCCCCAAAAGCTGCCCCACCTGGCCAGGTGGCTCGCCCGACTTCTCCCCCAGCCCCACAGAGAGATGTGAAAGCAGGTAAGTCCACCTGCCCAGAGCTTACATCGTCCAGCAGTTTGCCTTCCACCCGCAGCTCCCAGGAGGCGATGCTGCCGTCTGAGTCGTCTGCGTCCGACTTGGCCGGGTTGAAGGTGTTGGAGATGTAAAGGCGCAGCTTCCGCTTTTGCTGTTGGAGGGAGGAGAGTCTGAGCTGGGGGGAGGCAAGGAAGGAGGGAGGCTCCTGCTCAATGGGGCACCTCAGGAGGAGTGGGGCCAGGCGCCTCCTCCCCGCCCCTTCCTGCCTGCTCAGATGACGGGAGCGAGCCAGCAGTAAATCACACTGAGCAAGTTGGAGTTAACTCTTTACTAGCAATACCAGGATCTGCAGAGGAGCGCCAGAGCACAGCAGCTCAGCTCTGGCAAGTCTTGCTCCCATGAAGCAGCTGCCAAGTCCCCAGCTCCCTACAGCCGTCTAAGACCCCTCTTCTCTGGGGGTTTCCCCAAGCAACTGGAGACTGTTGCATGAAGCCAACCTCTCTTTCGCCCTCTTCACTCCTCTCCTGGTTCTAGGAGACAGACTGGAAGGAGAGTTTGTCGTAGCAGGAGGAGGAGACACTCATGCCTCTTTGTGGGATGTAACGTCACTGAAGCAGTCAGACACACAGGAGAATGTTGCTCCAGCCAGGAGGACTTCCTGTCACACCTGGTCTGGAGCATCCTCCCCCTGCATGTGACCAGGTAGATGGATGTGACCCCGGCAGACACTACAAAAGGGTTAGTCATGCAGCCATCTCTCTCTCTTGATCCCTTCTCTCCATTTTGCCTTTGGCTGTCTTCTGGCTCTCAGCCAGCAGCACATGGGCTCATCCCTCACAGAGGATGAACCCACACTTTTCTCTGTAACTGTAACTACGAGCCAAAGCCTGCCTTCAGGACCGTACTGTGAACTGAATGTAAGTAAACCTTGTCATTACTTTCAAAAGAAGACTGTTGTGTCATTTTTGTTTTTAAGAGGGAACTAAAGGGGAAATTTACCAGCAACAATCCAATCTGGACAAGCCTGACTGGATTGCTTAACTCAAACGGTTCTAATGAATCCACCAACCAGCAACAAGGAAATGTGCTCTGCTACTATCTCACTAGTGTGAGTGAGGAAGGATAATATTTAATCAATATATCCTCTCCTACTATCCTCAGCGTTCTCACACTCTTCACTAGCCAGACTCCTCTCTGCCTCTTGGCCACCCTCCTCTCCTGCCTCAGCTTCTGCCTCTGAGTCTGAACTTCTCTCTGCTACAGATTCTCCCTCCTCACTAAACCCTGTTGCCTCTTCAGCTTCCGCCTCCTCCTCTTCCCAATCTTCTCCATCTGACCATTCATTGTCGCCCCACCACCACTCCCTGGGCTCTGAGCCTTCTTCCCTGGAGGGTTCCCCAGCTGGTTCCCACCCCCACCACTCATTCCTCTGCGTCCAGCCAGTCCACGACATCAGAGGGGACTGCGCTGGGCTCTTCTCCAGCATCAGGGAGGCCCATCTGCTCCTACCTTCATGGGCCTCTTCAGGGCCTCCTGGATGTCCACTCGCTTCCGCATGATGGTCTGGTCCAGCTTCCGCTCGAATGCCAGCAGGTCCATGTAGGCCTGAGACTCTGGCACCAGCTCCCGGATCTGGGAAGAGAGCAGAGCGTCGTAGAGGGACTCCCTTGGCTTGCAGGAGGTCTCTGGTTCAACCCCTCTCCTCTCGGGGGGAATGTCAGGGAACAGGCCCGGGCAAGGACCCTGGAGGGCTGCTGCAAGTCAGAGCTGGGTTAGGTGGAGTCCTGGCCAGGCTCAGGAGGAAGCAGCTTCCTTCGTGCAGAGGAAGCGTTTCACTTCCAGAGGGTGAAGCAGAGCCAGAAGCAAGGAGGTGGAAGATGCCCCCCCCCAATGCAGGGGGGGGGCATTTATGCATAGGCTTATTTGCTTTCTTGGTTGCTTAATACAAAAGAAAAAAAGCCTCTAAGTGACCTGCAAAATATTAACACCGCAAGGCTTTGTCAAGGGATTCTGGAGGAAGCATGGACAAACTTAATGATATTTGGAATGTGTTTATTGAAACCACAGCAACAAATATTGGAGGGAAACAATAAGATTATCCATTTACATAAATACTATAGAATTCTGTAACCTTGATTGTTTGGTTGTTGTTGTTGTTTTCCTCTGCCTTTAATTTTTTTTTTTAATGTAACCTTTTTCTTTTTCCCTTTTCTTATTTATTTTAACTCACTGGAATACTTTCACTTAAATATAAATATTTTTCAAAGGGGGGAAAGGAAGCACTTTCACCACTTAACGCGCATGAATCCTCGCGGGAGGGAGGGGAAAGGTGAAGCAAGAGAAGAAGAACTTGCTTGAGCTTCCCTTTAACTTGACACACGCAGAACACGGGGAGGGCAGTGCTCAGGTGAGCGAAAGGCCTCCCACCTGGGAGACAGGCAGGTAGACAGACACCCACCTGCTCACATTGGAGAAGCCAAAGGCCTGCCTAACCAGTGGGCTCCTAGCATCATTCAATTGGAAGGGACCCCAGGGGTCATCCATCCTGACCCCCCACAAGGGAGGAGTTCTTGCTGTGCTGGCTCCATGTCACCCACAACAAGGAGCCAGGAGACCTTCCTTCAGATGGGGAGGAGAGCCCGTCAGGGTCCGATGAGGAAGCAAAATGGAAAAGAAAGAAACTCACCCTCTGTGGGAGAATCTTGTCAGCCATCTTCCTCCTCTTGGCGCTGCAGGTTTGTTGAAGGGGAGGGAAGACACACGTTACCAAGGCAACTAGCCCAGGTCACCTGCTAAATGATCCTCTGCTGGAGGGTCTCGGCTCCCCACCCACCCTGAGTCTCAGGAGGCTGGCTCTGCTTCCCAGGAGGAACCTGCCCACCCCCTCGGCCACGAGGGTCCTTGTGGTGGAAGCCAGGGCCTTTTCCCACCCCAGGTTGCCCTGACTGAAGAGAGGGCACAGGACCGCTTGTCTGCCAAGGGTGGCACAGACACAGCCTGACAAGTGCCTCAGTTGCTGACCTGCCACACGAGGGGCTGCGAAGGGGCCCCCATCCACACCTCTCCCAATCAGGGCCTTTGCTGTGCCCTGAAGCATGCGGCTTGGCTCACTTGCCTCAATCCCCACCCTCGAGTTGCAGTTGAACCCTGGCATTGCCGGAGGTTGGACTAGATGACCCATGGGGTCCCTTCCTGAATCTGCCAGCACCAACCCAGCAGAGGCCTCACAACTGGCAGCATCGTAGAGTCAGAGAATGGCAGCGTCATCTAGTCCAACCCCTGGAAGTGCAGGAATCGCAGCGAGAGCTTCCCTGGCAGAAAGCAGTGGCCATGTACAACCATCCCTCAGCCCCATCCCCTAAATAAAAACGTCCTGGCAGCAAAACGCAGGAAGGGAGGGGCCACACAGGCCTCCTCTGGGGGCCACCCCACGGGCAGCTGGTACCGAGGAATGGTCTCCTCAGCAGCCCCCTCCCAGACCTCCGGAAATCCAGAGCAGTGGATTGGGACCAAGAAGGTGAGGGTGGCACGGGGGTGGCTCAGGAGTAGCCAGGGAGCTCCTTCAAGGAAGAAGGTGGGATTTGCAGGGCTGTCCATCTGCGCATGCAAAGAGCCTGGGCAGAAACCCGCAAAATGCAAAACACGAGAGACCCCCCCCCCATGCAGACCTCCCTCTCTCCATTTGCCTCCCATAAAATGCAAGGGGAGGGCTCTATTTTATTATTTATTTCACAGACTTACTTTTCCCCTACCTAAAATTTATTCACCTCTTGACTGAAAAGAAAAAAACCCAATGCAGTTTATAAAAAGAAAATATGAACTTATCGATACTTTTTTCCTTTATTATATTCTTTATGATAAATTTAATGAATAATAATGATGATGATGAAAAGGGCTGGTGCTGTGCTGTTTTCTATTGTAACTTATCTGTATGTCTTTAATGGATTATATAGTTTTAAATCTACCAGTGTTTAATTGCTATTAATGATATTTTCCCTATGGTTTGAGCTGTTCTTATTTTTATTTTAAGCTGCCTGGAGTTCCTATCAAGGAAAAGGACAGGGATAATTAGATATATGCAATTAGATAAATATTGAATTGTAATAAATAATAATAATAATAATAGACTTGAGCGCTGAGACTTTCACCCGGGGTTTAGCGTGAGGCATCGCGGAGGTCGAGAGGAGCATCAGGAATGCTCTGCCACAACTGTATATATTTGTATATTTTGCACAAGGGTGTCACCAGAAATGGCTTAACACTTGTTTTCCTTTGTGTTTATGCACTTAGCTTGTTGGGGTTTTTTTTTTGGTATATTGACTTTATTGCACGCTTGCCAAATTGCTGCTTTTTGCCCTTTTTTTGAATTCACTACCATGCTCTGCATTTTGCGTATTTGTATTTCCAACACTCTGCCTTCAGAGGTTCAGGATGCATGCTGTGAGCCACTTTGGGCACAGCTCGCTGTGGAAAAGGGGCAGGTAAGTAAACTCACTCCATCCCTCCATAAATACAGGTGTGCTTGCTTAACACCTGGCAGTTTGCAAGAAGTTTGGAGACCCTTGGAGAGTCTTCCAGTGTTGGGCTGCAGGCTGCCTCACCCTCTCTCTTCCCCTCAGGCCAACTCCTCTCCCAAGTGGGGTCCAGTTCACTCACTCCCCCCCCCCATTGCCAGGGAGGAGGTCAAGCAAGTGGCCAGGCCTTTGCTCAGGGAGGGGCCTTCTGCCTTCAGGGCAGGGCTGCTCAGCCGCAGGCTGTCTGCAGCTTCACAGGCACAGAGGCCAAGAGGAGGAGACCCCCTTCCGTAGCCCAAGGCTGGCCAAGTGGCCCCCAAGAGAGAGAAGGAAATGCTGCAGGTGTCCCCTCAGACCCCAAGCCTCAGACCCCTAACTCCTATCCTGACAGGTAAATCAATATTAATATTTGTATATTAATTTAAATCCTATTGTGCTTTATGTCGGAAACAGTTCAGTTTGGTTGTGTACTTTACTGTTTATGCCTACTTTAGCAATCAGGCAAATCCTTCCCTGTTGTGAGCCGCCTTGAGCGTGGATTTAGCTCTGGAAAGGCAGCGTACAGATCAAACCACAGTGGGGGCGACGATGCTCCGCCAGCTTCTCTGAGCAGAAAGGGATCTGCGGAGACGCGAATCCGGCCGGACATATCCCCCCTACCGACCACCAGGGGGCCTCCTCCCCTGCGCGGAGCTGCGAGAGGACAGCTGCGCCACGCGAGTCAGATCCTGAAAGGGCGCCGGGAGGGAGAGAGGCGCTGCCCCGGAGAGGGAGGCTGCGTCCTCCAGGGAGCTGAGCGGAAGCCTGCGGGTTCCAGGTCTAGACACGCGCGCCTGGGGCGGAGGGCTGCCGGATCCTGCACCGCAGGGAAGGAGAAAGGGGCTCCACTCACCTCCTGGGCCGGTTCTGCGTGGCGGCCCCCGCCTGCTGCTGCTGCTGCGCTTGTTGCTGCGCCGCCTGCTGTTGCTGCGCCTGCTGGGGCGCTGCCCGCTTGCGCGTGGGCTCCATCACGGCCTGGGGCATCCCGGGGCGCACGGAAGGGCTCCCGACGTAGGGGGGGCCTGGGGGACCCATTGGAGCCCCCTGGTGGGGCATGCGAGCGCCTGATGGCATCCCAGGACGCTGGAGGGAGGGAAAGAGGAAAGAAGGGAAAGGCACAGATGAACGCTTGCTCCAGGAGGTGGCAGCACGCAGATCGGAGCCCGCGCAGGTCCTCTCCCCTGGCGGGGGAGGGGGAGGGGACAGGTATCCAGGCTCAGGGTAGCAAGGGGAGAGGCCCAACTTTCCTGGGTCAAAAGGACATAAGGTCACCTCCTGCCACAGCTGGAGGCAGGATGCGTCTGCAAGCCGGTTGCAGGAGGCGAGAGAGGTTGTGCTGGGGTCCCTAAAGCCTACCCAGTTGGGCCCTGAGAGAACAGGATGCTGGACTACATGGGCCCTTGCCTGGTCCCTGGCTCTTCCTGTGTCCTTATCTAGGTGCCCCAAAGCAGGCCCTGAGCCCCACAGCCTCTTCCCTCCTTGCCCTTCCCATCAGCTGGTTCCCAGGAACATCCTTGTCTCTGATCCTGGGGATAAGCCTTGGCTTAGCCAACGACAGCCCTCTGCTCCTCCATGAATTTAATCCTCTTTTAAAGCAATCGCTGGCTCCTGAGGCAGTGAGTTCCAGTTTCACCCTGCATTGCGCGAAGGACTTTCTTTTGCCCATCCTGAATCTTCCAACATTCAGCTTCACAAGTTCGAGTGTTAGGAGAGGGAACTTCCCTCTCTCCACTGTCTCCATGCCAGGCACAATTTTATAAACTTCTATCATGTCATTTCTTGTTTGCCTTTTCCCTACACTAAAAAGAAAAGAAAAGCAAGCCCCTTTGGTCATTCTGGCTGCCCTTTTCTGAACACTTTTCCAACCCCACAATATCTTTTTTAAAGTGAGGCAACCAGAACTATTCACATTATTCCAAATGTGGCTTCGCCATAGATTCCTATAATGACCTCATGGTATTGGCATTTTATTTTCAATTCCTTTCCTACTGATCCCTAGCATGGAATTTGCCTTTTCTCGCAGCTGCCACATGCAAGCTCTCTTCAATGACCTCAAGGCCCCATTCCTGGTCATTCACAGTGTCCAGGGCGGCTGTCTCCCAGCTCCATCTGGTACGCAGGCTGAGATCCTCCCTGCCCGCAGACTATCTCACCAGAGTGGAGCATGCTCTGGTTGTCTCCCACGTGGACTACTGCAATGCGCTCTACGTGGGGCTCCCTTTGAAGGTGACCCGGAAACTACAACTAATCCAGAATGCGGCAGCTAGACTGGTAACTGAGTGGCTGCCGAGACCATATAACTCTGGTCCTGAAAGACCAGCATTGGCTCCTAGTACGTTTCCGCGCACAATTCAAAGTGTTGGTGCTGACCTTTCAAGCCCTAAACGGCCTTGGTCCAGTATACCTGAAGGAGTGTCTCCACCCCAATCGTTCTGCCTGGACACTGAGGTCCAGCTCCGAGGGCCTCCTGGCGGTTCCCTCCTTGAGAGAAGTGAGGTGACAGGGAACCAGGCAGAGGGCCTTCTTGGTGGTGGCACCCGCCCTGTTGAACGCCCTCCCATCAGATGGCAAGGAATAAACAACTATCTGACTTTTAGAAGACATCTGAAGGCAGCCCTGTTCAAGGAAGTTATTAATGTTTATTGTTTTAGTATGTTCTGATATATGCTGTGAGTCGCCCAGAGTGGCTGGGGAAGCCCAGCAAGAAGGGTGGGGTATAAATAATAAAATTTAATAACAAAATTTAGGACATGGGGATGTAGTAGCAACCCTTGTTGTTCTGACTGTTGAAGAGGTCGGTGGCCCCATGGCTGACCCACAGAGTGGGAGTGAGCCTGCAGTTTAAGAGCTGCCCCCGCTGATTCAGACCAAGGAAGTCTTCACAGGAGCAAGACCCTGTCAGCGCATAACTCCTCTGCTCAGAGACCTGCACAGGTCACCCATTTGCTTCCAGGCCAAGTTGAGGGTGCTGCTATTAGGATATTGTAACCAGGGATATTTTTCAGCCAGAACCTGCCGGAACTCAGATCCAGCATCTCTCAGATCCAGCATCTCCTCTTGCCATGATAAGAGAATGGGGGAGGCATTCTTGGTGAGTTCTGGAACCTCTTTTTTTATAGACAAATAGCACTTGGGTTTGTAACCCACCCTGGGACCTCAAGGTGAAAGGCAGAGAACAAATAAAGACTAAAAATAATTGAAGCCATAAAGAGCTTAGGACCAGTTTACTTCTGCGACTGCCTTGCCTTTATTTGTCTAATGAACGGCTTTGGTCTGTGGAACTGATGCTGCAGCTGGTGCCACATAATGCTCATTCCAATCTTTTAGTGTGGCCACACTTGCACTACGGAACTCCCTGCCACTGGACATCAGGCAGGTGCACCTTCACTGCACTCTTCTTGGCACCTGTTTAAAACTTTTTTGTTTAGGCACCCCTATGCAGACATGGAGAAATTACATGTGCTTTTTCTTTCTTTTAAACTGTTGATTTCAATCACCCTTTGAACACTTTTAATACCTGCTCTTAACTGTTTGTATCGATAATCTTTAATGCTGGCCTCCTTTCTCCTTTCCACCTCCAGGCCCCTGAAGCCTTTTGCACCCAATTTCTCCAAAGCCACCTTCCCCCACCCCAATGCCACCACTTCCCAAACTGCAAAGGAGACTAAAGAGAAGCATGACCCCTCCTGGCCACACAGAGCCACTTGCCCACCACAACTGGCCTCCGTGGCTTGACCGTCCTGGCCTTCACCTCCCTGCCCTGGCAGCCTTCAAAACTGCAAGCCCCTTGGGGCAGGGACCTGTCTCTTCTCCTTAGTTGCTGTGTCAGGCACCGTGTTCATGGGCGGCACCATAAGGATATAAACCTCGTCCTCACCCCCCTCCAACGTATGGAGAGAGCCATGGGTGGGAGCTGCCTTTCATCTGAGGGCACCTGTTGCGGCCACAAGCCCAACACCACGGGGGGGGGGGGGAAGAGATGAGGCCCCTCCCAGCCAGCCAAACATCTCCACCCCCGGCAGCAACTGACCCTGCAAGCATGCCTCACATTCAGGGCCACCTGCTGCTGTCTCTCTGGCCCCCAGGCCTCCCCCTCCCCCTGGAGACACAGCTGCTGCCCATCAGTCAGACCAAGAGGCCGGCCGGCCAGTGAAGTATGGAAATCAAATCATGGCACATCCCGCCCCCCCAGCTCCTTGCCTTTAAGGAAGACCTTCCTGCATCCCTTGGGGGGGGGGGAAACCCTTTCAGTTTGTTTAAGGTTTTCTCTATTTGGCCCCAGAACCTCTGCACAAAGATGACGGGAGCAGATGCACAGGGGCTCTCCTGACTGCAAGGGAATGAATTGTTTTGAGCCGGTTTTGCTGCAAAAAAACAAAAAAAAAAGACAGAGGAAGCAGAAGGGATTTCTGGGAGGAGGGGGAGGCCAGGTCTAAAGGCCAGCGTGTGCTGGATGGAGCTGCCCCCCTCCCAAAAAAAAACCTGCACAAGAGGCGGATCAGATACTCGTGAAATCACAAAGCCGGAAGAGGTTGTGGAGATCATCTAATCCCTGCCCCACAGAAGAGGCTGCAGCGCAGAGGCAGCTGCCCCATCCCTGGCACCCGACCCCTCCTTGAGCCTCTGCCTAAATATCTCCAGCCCCAAACAGACCTAGCAGATGCCTGCCTTGTCCTGCTACGGCCTGTCATTTTGGGAGTGACACTTTAAAAAAAAAATCTTCCATGAGGGGACTTTAAAATATGTTTCTGGGTGTGAGGAACTAAAATCTGCTATTACGGCATATTTATGATTTAACATTATTTAGTTTGGTAGTCTATGTTTGATGAAGAAGCACATCAAACTGCTTTCGGAAAGCCCAAGGATTTTAATTTTACCTTCTGAAAATGTCAAGTAATGCTAAATATTAATATATACTGTAACTGCAAGTACTTGGCAACCATTTTTTATGATTTCTACGCAATGTTACACACATTTCACTTACCAGGCAAAACGAAATTGTATTAATTTAATCACACTATATTTTGATTTCCCAAATCATGTCACGACTTTTTAGCATCCCTCAGTTTTGGAATTTGAAAGTTGGAAAATCCAAAACACCCGACTGCCCTGCCTTTTGCCCCTGGCCTTTTGTTCTAGTCCTGCCCTCGGGAGCAACAGGCAGCCTGCCTGCGCCATCTTCTGTGTGACTGTCAGCCCTTCCAGTATTGGAAGTGCACCTCTGTCTCTCCCTTTAAGCTTCTGATCACCACCGTGAAGAGGAGGCGAGCACTGCAGCTGGATCAGGCCAAAGGCCCATCTAACCCAGCCCCCTGAAACTACAGCAATTGTGGGGAGGGGGAGAGGAAAGGGTGGCCTTGCGCTGAGCCTCCCCTTCCTGGGAAGAGGGCAAAGTTCTTTCATTTACTTTAAATCTACGCATAAGGGCCAAGAGGCAGCCATGAAGGGCTAGACCAGGTGGGACCCAGCTGGGCTTGGAACAGTGTCTGCCTGAGTAACAGAGGCTCTCCGGGCCAGAGGAGAACTTCCTTCTCTGATAAAGGCAGGAACTGGGTTTCCAGGGACGTCTCCATGGAAGTCCACAAGCAAGACCTGAACTGCTGCTGCAGCTCCTTCTACCGTCCATCACAGGACTTGGTCTGCAGAGCTTCCACCATTCCAGTTGCTCTCCTTGACGCACACTAACTGATCAGTTCCTTCCTCAGAACTGGACACAGCCTTCCAGAAGTGACTCAGCCAGGACAGAGCCCTGAGCTCCCATCAGTTGCCCTCACTTGTGTCTTGCGTTGTGTGTGTGTGCGTGTGCGCGCACACACACTCCTTCATGATCTGTTTTGAACCCAGCTCATTAGCGATGAATTCTGAGCACCACCCTTTTGACTTCCTCGGACAGTTTCTGTCTGTTGTGCTTTTGAAACACCCGCTGAGCTCCAGGGTCAGGAGCAGTAAGGCTGAAAGGCTGCCTTGCTGAGCCAGGCTTGGGACTACTGAGCCTCGCGTGAGATTCCCAGCCATGACCAGGAAGATACAACCACAGTCAGGGCAGGAAGCCCTTCAAGGCTCGTTCTTCCCTTCTCCACCACAAACAACCCTCTCCCTGCCCCATTTTGCCAGGACAAAGAGCCCTCGCCTCTTTCGCCTGCGCTTCCCCACTCACAAACATTGCAGTCCTCCCTCTTTCTTCCCCGTTCCCTCTACTCTCCAACCCTTTTGGAGTTGGGGGAACCAGAAACCCCACCTGCATTTCAGGTATTCCAAGTGAGCCAGATGCCCTAATCTAAGAAATTCAGCCATGGGGTCAAGAGGAGGGAATGAAGGACCAGGGGGCAGGGCAGCCATTGTTACCTTTGACCCAGGGAAGAGAAATAACCTGTCGCGTTACCAGCACGTGTCATTTCCATCTTGGTGCTCATTTTTAAGAAAATCCTCAGGAAGCAGCTGGGTCCCTGAGCACTTTTGTTGTCTGCAGCTGCCCACAAGGGAGGCTGAGATGCCTCAGTCAGCCAGGAGGTCAACTGTTCTTGCCTTTGCGGGGGGATCTCTTGCCCAAGTACTATCAGAAACTTTGCACCGTGTTGTGCCAGTTGGGCAGGACTCTCCACACCGCCTCCTCAAAGAATCACAGAAACGTAGGCTTGGGAGGGACCCCCAAGGATCATCTAGTTCAACCCCCTAAAATGCAGGAATCACAACTAAGGCATCCAGGCCAGATGGACATCTGGCCTCAGCTTAAAGGTAAAGGGACCCCTGACCATTAGGTCCAGTCGTGGCCGACTCTGGGGTTGCGGTGCTCATCTCGCTTTACTGGCCGAGGGAGGCGGCCTACAGCTTCCAGGTCATGTGGCCAGCAGGACTAAGCCGCTTCTGGCGAACCAGAGCAGCGCATGGAAACACCTTCCCGCCGGAGCGGTACCTATTTATCTACTTGCACTTTGATGTGCTTTTCAACTGCTAGGTTGGCAGGAGCAGGGACTGAGCAACGGGAGCTCACCCCGTCGCGGGGATTTGAACTGCCAACCTTCTGATCGACAAGTCCCAGGCTCTGTGGTTTAACCCATAGCGTCACCCGCGTCCCTTAGAGACCCTCAGCTTAGAGACCTCCAAAGAAGGAAAGCCCACCACCTTCAGAGGGGGTGTCGTCCCCCCCACTGGGAATCCCCTAGAAGCACCAGGGCTCGTGAGACCAACACTGACCCACCTGCCTGACGCTCCAGGGAACCTGCAGAAGAGACCTCAGGACAGGAGCGCAGCCCCCTTGAACCCACAGCAGGGGAAAGGCCACAGAGAGGCTCCCTGAGGGGACATGGGGAGATGGCTGGGATGGAGACAGCAACGCTTGCCGCCCTCTCTCACCCTCAACACTCGAACCCAGCAGCGTCACCCAATGATGCCGAACGCTGGGAGACTCAGGACAGACAGAAAGAAAGAAGGGCGTCTTCACACTCAGCAGTGCTCGGTTCAACTGAGGCACAAGTGTTCAGGGAGGGGAGATTTCAGGCTTGCCAGACCCACTTGGGGTTTCTAGGTTTTTTTTACTAAACCCCAAAGCCAAGATAGCAAAGCAAAGATAGAATTAAAGGACAGGGTGCCTCTGAGCATGTTCTAGGAATTTGTTTCCAGTGCCAGAACTGAACTGCCAGAACTGAACTGAGTTCACAGTCCTTCCACACAAAAGCCCTCTTCTGCCTGGCTTTCTTCATTTCGGCAACATAAAAGGGAGGGGGGGTTGTTGTTTGAAATACAGGATGTTGGCTTGTACGGAGTCAGAACTCTGGTCCATCTATTGCTCAGCACTGACAGGATTTCAGGCAAGTGGGTCTCCCCCAACCCTACCTAGAGCTGTTGCTAGGGTTGAACCAGAAATATTCTGCAGACAAAGCAAGTGCTCTTAGAATCATAGAATCAGTGCTGGAAGGGACCCCAGGGGTCATCTAGTTCAACCCCCTGCAATGCAGGAATCTTTTGTCCAACCTGAGACTTGAACCCACAACCCTGAGATTACGAGTCTCATGCTCTACTGACTGAGCTATCACAGTGAGCTACGGCCCTTGACACCCGACTGCTGCTACTGGGAGCCAGAAACACGGGCCAATCGGCTATAACTTACCCATAATTCTGCAAGGAGGCTTCTATCTACCACCTGCCCACCCCTGAACCCTGGAATTCACTGCTGCAGGAGGCAGTGGAGAAAACTAACCTGGGCAGATTTAAAAGGGGGTGTATGAAGCAAATATCAGAGGGAAAGCAAGGCTCTGAATGGGAGTTGCTGGCAAACACAAGGAGGGAGGTGGCAGGTCTTGCACTCAGGTCCTGCGCACCTGGGGGGGGGGGCTTCCGTCTGGGGCCCCTGCTTGGCCACTGAGAGAAGAGGACGTTGAGCTGGGTGGTCCTTTGGGCTGATCTCCAAAGAAGACTTTTGGAGGGGGTCCCCCTGCCTGTCTGGGAAAGGGCTGCCAGGTTGTACCACGGGGCAAGGAAACTATCTGGGGATGGTGGCCTGGTAGCCAGAGCAGCCAAGGTTTTGCTCAGGGACCCTCCCAGTCGCCAGCCAATGCTGGGGGCGCCACATCCTGCCTGGGGCCCTTTGGGAGAGGGAGCCAAGAGTGGCAGCAGGAGCCCACGGGGGGGGGAGGGGGGAGGAAGGCTTGGGATGCCAACTTACAGGCCAGAAACTCTGAAGGTCCAAAACACTTCACCTGCCCCCTGCCACCCACATGGCGCCCTTGATGGACAGGGGGCCAGTGGGGCATTCGCCACACTCCTCCCCCCCCCTCCCGCGCCCAGGAGGGCTCTCCAAGCCCCCTGCCCCTCGGAGGCGTCCCACTCCGCCGGCCTCTCTCCCGAAAAAGGAGCGCCTTCAGACAATGGTGCCGGAGCGCCCCCGCGCCTAGCGACGTGAGAGAGGAGTGCCCGGCGCTGGCACGGGGGTCGTGCCACTCACGGGGGTCCAGTAAAGCCCGCCTGGAGACGAGGGCCTGGGATACCTCCGGAGCCCGGCCCCTCCTCCCCCCCCCCGCGCCTTGCCCAAGTGGCCCCTCGCCGCTCCCTTGGGGTCCGCTGTGCGCACCTGTTTCCGAGCCAGGCCCGGACCCTGCGCACGTGCTGGGGGGAGGGGGCGTGTACCCCCTACACCCCCCCACGCGCGGGCCCGGGCGAGAGCTGCCCCCTCCCCCTCCCAGGCCGGCTTTCCCGCTCCTCGCCGGGCAGCCCGCAAACTTTCCCCACTCACCACCCCATGGACCAGAAACTCAAAAAGTTTGCTTTTCGTCGCCTTTCGCGCTCCGCCCGTGACTTCCTCCGCGGCCATCGGGGTCGGGTCTGCACTGCTCCGCCTCCCCTTCTCCTCCTCCTCCTCCTCCTCCTCCTCCGTCGGTCCGTCTGTCTGCCTGCCTTCCTGCCTTCCTGGGCTCGCCGCCTTCCCTGCTGCCTCCGTCCTCCCTTTCTCCTCCTCCTGCCACTCTGCCCGCGCGCTCCGTCTTTCTTCCCTCGGAGCCCCGCGGCGCGCTCCGCTCGCTCCGCTCACACTTCTAATAGCTCCGCCGGCCGACGGGGGAGGGGGCCCGGCAGGGCTCCTCGCGACGGCCCACGGCCGGATTCCTCCGCCGAAGCGCCGCGGCCGAGGCCGGCTGAGCCCCAGCGCCGCCCGCAGCCGCCGCCGCTCCTTGCCGCGTCCCCGCGCAGCCTCGCCCGGCGCTCCGCCTGCCCGTCCCCGGCGGCCGCGCAACGCCTCGCCGCCGCGCCCCTCCTCGCGCCGCTTCCAGGCCGCATCCCCCGGGACCCTCCAGGCGGCCCGGCTACCGAGGGAAGCGGAGGGAAGGAGCCCGCCTCCCCCCACCCGTCGGAGGCTGGACGGGGGCGGAGGAAGCGAGGAGGGGCGCGGGAAACCCTCTTCCCCGAGTGCCCGCAAACCATGACACCGGGGAGACGGCGGGGGCCCCACACGGGATGTCGCGGGTCCTTCCCCGCCGCCCCCCACCCGCTCCACGTCGAGCGGCCCCTGCGAGGCCGGTCTGGGCTCCCTCCTCGCAGAGACGTCCGGCGGAGGCGTCACCGTCGCCTCGTCTTCCTCCCCCCCCCCCGCCTGTCGGTCACTCTCCCGTCCTGCCCTGCGTGGCGCTGGCAGGGAATGAAGAGCCGCCGGCATCTCCCGGTGCGCGTCTCCCTGGCAACAGAGCCAGTGTTGCCAGGTAACGGGCAGGGCGTGGTACCCAGGAGAGGCTCCTTCTGCGCCCGGCGCAGCCCGATGCGGAGTCGGGAAGAGGGAGGGAGGGAGGACAAGCGGGGGAGGGTTCCTCCCGATGCGTGATGGCGGAGCGGCGTGTTCACACGTGCAGACGAGGGCGCCCGGTTGCCCCCGGGTCTCCCCAGTCACGGCCAGGACGAGGAGAGGCGGCGGGGAGGCGAGGGAGCCCCTCCTCCCCCGCAGGCTCTCCACTACCCCACCGGGGGCGCGGCCGCTGGATCCCCCTGCCCAACGGGCTGCGGTGGTGGGGAACCCCCCCGGGGGATCCCCGCCGCCCTCCTGGTCCTGCCCCCTATGGACGGAGCGGGGGGAGGAAGGCCGAGAGGAAAGGACCGTGGCCCCTCCCCCCCAGAATCCCGGGGCTTCCCACTGACCGACCCCCCTTCTCCCCCCCCCCCAGTTACCGGGCTCCTCCCGGCGGGGAGGGGGCGCGTGGGGCGCATGCGCAGCGCTGCCTTTTTCCCCTCTCGCCGTGAAGGTCAGCCGAGCGGACTGAGGGAAAGGGGGCGGGTGTTAACTCCTTCCGCGCCGCCGAGCGCAGCTCTCCCTCCCCGCCTCTCCGACAGCCGCCTCCGCCGCGCAGCACACGCGCCGCCGACGTCGCGCCGCTTCCCCGCCCCTTCGGAGAGCGGTCGGCGGAGGAGGAGGGAGCGGCTGTCGTTGCCAGCGGCGGGGCCGGCCCGACGGAGGGAGCCGAAGGCGCGCGGGGCTCCCGTCGGGCCGGCCGGGGCCGCCGCAGGAAGGAACGCGAAGAGCCCCGCGCCCCTCCGCACGCGCTTGCCGAGCCTTCTCCCGCCGCGGGTGCCCGAGCCCCAGTCGGGGGGCTCCCTCGCTTTCCAGGCGCGGAACGGGCCCCCTTGCCGGACGTGACCCCCGACGGCGGGAGGAGCTGCTGCGGGCGGGCGGGCGCCCGCTTGAGCCTGGCGATGTCTGAAGCGGCTGCCCCCGGGATGCGGCCCAGGCGCCCCCGGTACCCGCCTCGCTCGCCCCCTCCGCGCCGGGAATTTCAGGAGAGCAGCCGCCGCCCCCTGGGCTGACTCGGAGGTCCCCTGCGACGGAGCTCGCTGAGACTCCGGAGGCGGTGGACAGTCGCCTCCCTCTTTCCCGAGAGGGTCGAGGGTCGCCTCTAGCCCAAGGGGTCTCCTAGTGGGTCCAGGATCCCTGCGGCGACCCCAAAAGCAGCCTCGCCCCCAAGAGGCCAGGGACTCTCGCTCCGCTGCTTCGTCTGTGTGGGCTACTGATCCTGTTTGTCTTTTTCGCGGCGGGGCGGGGGTCCTGGAGCAGAGCCGAGGCCGCCAGCCTGAGGCAAATTCTCCCGCGCCCCTGAAACCCCAGCTCCGTGAAGCCCATCCTTTTCATCAGGAGGAGGTCCGAGAGGGGGCCCCCCGGGTGCTGTGCCTGGGGAGTCCTGTCAGGGCCTGGGTGGGTGGGCAAGTCTCTGCAAAGGCAGCCTGGCACTCGCACCCCCCTCCCTAACCTAGCAGGGGCAATCAGAATAAGGGCCACTAACTGACTGCTGATTCAGGACTTTAAAATGTGCTTTTATATCACATTTCCTTTTCTGCGTATACTGTAATGTTTTACTGTTGCTATGGCCATTGGCTAATGCGAATAAAGTTTTCTCTCCCTCTCACATGTGCACACACAGGGCCCGACCAACCCCCAGCGAGGCAAGGCCCACCTGAGCCACAAGCCGGGTCTCCTTCTGCTGGGGGGCCACCTCTGTGCCTCCGCTTTGGGGGGACAGGGGTGCACGTGCGGCCAGCCTGGAGCCCACCGAGGGGGGAAGCTGCACCTGCCAACCAACCTGCCCCATGGAACTTCCAAAGGCTGCTTCCTCCCAAATGGGCCGGGAGCAACCTGAAGGGGACACTGTTTATGACACTCTCTTGAAGTTCCAGATGTGCTCAGTGGCCCCAAAGAACTGGAGAGCCCTGTGGCTTTCACCAGAAAGGGCTTCCTGGAGAAGAGGAAACTTGGAGGCTTTAAAGCAGGAGCTATGGCAGCCGGAACCCTGCTCAGCAGGAAGAGGCTGAGCCAGGAGACCTCAGAGCTTCCATCCAGCTCAGTGGGATGCTGCTGGGTTGCATTTATCGGGCTCTTCGGAGGGATATGGCTTTTGAATAGCTTTATTTTAAGACCTCTGGGGTCCGATTCTGATGGATCCCAGCCCACATTCCCAATGGATCCCAAAGGCCACTTGGGAATGGGTGTGTTGCGAAGGTTGCAGAAGCCAAGCTGCTCCTAGAACATTTCTGAGGCCACTGAGGGGGTCAAGGCTGGACGATGAGCAGCCCACCTTGAACTCTCTCCCTCCTGGATTCTCCTTCAGAAGGAAGAAGCACTGCAACAGCAAGCCAGTCACTCTTTGCAACTGGGGAGACAGACATGGCCCTGGGGAAGAGAGGGAAGGAAGGAAGGAAGGAAGGAAGGAAGGAAGGAAGGAAGAGCCCCCATGGCTTCTCATAAGTGCACACACAGAGTTAGGAAATAGCCACGCAGGTCTGCATGAACCTAAACGTTGTCTTGCAAGAGCCTTCTGTGACTGGGGCTGCAAGTATTCCAAGTGCTGTTATTGTCAAAGCTGTTGGTAGACATAATAAATATGTGATTGCAAAAAAGAATAGACTAAATAACATGCCCTCGTTTTCTAGCCCACCTCTCCCTGCAGCCTCTGGCCTGATCCAACAACCCACAGCGCAGGGGCAGGGGAACCCCCCTTTCATTCATTTAGCATGCTTGCTAACTGTAGGCTGCAAACATCAGATTCCCTACTCTCCCCCCCCCCCACGCCTTGCCTTGGGGAGAATGGGCTGTTCTACTCTGGTCCTGTTTGAGGGCTTCTTCCCTTTGGGGCATCTGGTTGGCCACGATGAGACCAAGAAGCTGGCCTGATAATAATAATATAATAATAATAATAATTTATTATTTATACCCTGCCCATCCTGCTGGGGTTCCCCAGCCACTCTAGATCCAGCTAGAGCCAGGTCCTTCTGGTGTTCTCCTCATCCCCCAGGAGGACCAGGCTTAGAAGAAGCTTGATTGATTTGTTTTTGGGAAAAGAAAGGGCTCCTTAGTCTGTTGGCCTCTTTTCTTCCCACCCTTTGCAGTTCATGGTGGATCCCCAGATGGTGTTATCAGGAAGAGTTTGGCTTCTTGGACCATGGTCTCCGCTTCCATAAGGAAGGCCTTCTGGCAAGAGATGGGCTGCACCTCACAGAGGTTGGCAAGAATGTGTTTGCTAAGAGTTTCGCAAAGCTGTTCAGGAGAGGTTTCAGCTAGAACTTGAGAGGGAGGGAGATGGCATTACAGATGACAGAAGAACACCTGGCACTGGGGATAATGCACAGGAAACTGAAGTGGTGCTCCAGAAACCTGCTAAAGGGCAGGAAACTACAAGAAGGAAGCAGCTGGAGGGAATGACTCGCGGTTTCAGTTGACTCTGTAGTAATGCACACAGTATGGGAACAAGCAAGAGGAACTTGAGCTCTTAATACAGGATGGCAAATATGACCTAATAGGCATTACTGAAACATGGTGGGATGAGACTCATGACAAGAATGCAAGAAGTGAGGGCAGGAGTGCCAGCTTGGCCCCACGGCCATGGGTGCCCGGGGCCATGGGTGCCATGCAGTGTGCATGGACCTGGTGCCAAAATGTGTGGGTGCCCGGCTCCTTCATGGGGAATTTTGTGGGTGCTTGGGTACCCAGGGCCCCAGCACCTATGATTGAGGGGTATAGCCTGTTCAAAAGGAAGAGACCAAGCAGGAAGGAAGGAGGAGCATTATATGTAAAGGATGTGTACACTTGTGAAGGAATCCATGACCTGGAGCATGGGAAGCAGAATGAGAGTATATGAGGGGAAATTGTAGGAGAGAGAAACAACCATGACTTTCCTGGGGGTGTCTGCTATAGACCACCAAGCCAGACTTGGATGATGCTTTCCTAGAGCAGATTACCAAACATTTAAAAAGGAGAGATATAGTAGTCATGGGAGACTTCAACTTCTGCGATATCTGTTGGGACTCAAACTCTGCCAAGAATGTAAGGTTCAAATCTTGGACCTGGTCCTCATCAAACAGGGAGGAACTGACCAGCAAAGTAGACATACTGGGAAACTTGGGAGGAAGTGATTATGCTTTCCTGGGTTTCATGATAAAACCAGCAAGAGAAAGCCGAGTGTAGTCAGACATGCACTCAGGAGTTACAAGCTTGGTGGATCAGGGGAATGCTGTGGACATAGTGTATCTTGATTTCAGTAAGGCTTTTGACAAAAGTCCTCCATGATATTCTTGCGGAGGAGCTGGTAAAATGTGAATTGAATGGAGTAAGGTAACTGTTGGTGGATTTGTAGCTAGTTGACTGACTGAACGTGAAGAGTACACATTCATGGTTCCTCATCAACCTGGAAAAAAATGACAAGTGGGGTGCCACAGGGTTCTGTCCTGGGCCCGTTGATATTTAACGCCTTTACAAATGAATTGAGGGGGTGCTCTTCCAATCTGCAGATGATATCAAGCTGGGAGGGGTAGCTAATGCCACAGAACACAGAATCAGGGTCCAACAAGATTTTAGCAGATTGGAGAACTAACAAAATGAATTTCACTAGGGACAAATGCAAGGTTCTAAGTTAAATGACACTTAGGCAGAAAGAACCAGGTGCACAAATATAAGATGGGGGACACCTGCCTTGGCAATAGTACATGTGAAAAGGAACTAGGGGTCTTAGTGGACCACAAGCTTAATGTCAGTCAACAGTGTGATGCAGCAGCAGCAGCCAAAAAAGGAAGAAAGAAAAATAGAGAGAGAGGGAGAAAGCTAATGCTATTCTAGACTACACCAACAGAAATACAGTGGTACCTCGGGTTACATACGCTTCAGGTTACAGACTCCGCAAACCCAGAAGTAGTGCTTCAGGTTAAGAACTTTGCTTCAGGATGAGAACAGAAATCGTGCTTCGGCGGCGCGGCGGCAGCAGGAGGCCCCATTAGCTAAAGTGGTGCTTCAGGTTAAGAACGGACCTCCAGAACGAATTAAGTTCTTAACCCGAGGTACCACTGTATAGTATCCAGATCAAGGAAAGTCACATTACTGTTCTATTCTGCCTTGAACCACACCTGGAATACTGTGTAAAGCGCTGGGTGCCACAATTTAAGACGACTATTGACAAGCTGGAACATGTGCAGAGGCGATCAAGGGTCTAGAAACCAAGCCTTATGAGGAACGGTTGAGGGAACTGGGGATGTCTAGCCTGGATAAGAGGAGATTGGTTGTAGATATGATAGCCATCTTCAAGTATCTTAAGGGCTGTCCCATGGAAGACAGAGCAGGACCTGAACCAATGGATTCAGACAACAAGGGAGGAGTTTCCAACTCAACATCAGGAAGAACTTTCTGGTGGTAAGAGCCATTCCGCAGTAGAACAGACTCAAGAGGTTGTGGACTCTCTTCACTGGAGTTTTTAAAACAGGTTAAATAGCCATCTGTCATGGATGCTTTAGTTGCAAATTCTGCATTGCATGGGGTTGGATTAATGATGATCTCACCGTTGGGCAGGGGGATCCAGAGAGTCTCTGGCCTTCTTGAGGAAAGATGCCATCGTGATAAAGAAGAGAGGGGCCAACATTTGTTTTTGTTTCCTGCCTGGCCCCCACCCTCCTTTTGAATGGAGATGGCTGAAGGATGAGGGGGAGGGGGCCCCAGCCACTCATGGGGGAAATGGCATCTCTTGGGAAACATCCATTTGTCCAGCCTTGGGGAGATGCCAAGGGACAAATCCACCAGTTTTCCTGTATTTATTTATCATCCTTCCTGGGCTAAACTCCACCATTTATGCATCTGTGGTCTCCTCTCCCCCCTCCCTTTGTTTTTAAGTGAAAAGGACAGTCTGCTACAATGGTGCCTTCTAGGGACCCCTCACTCTTCTAAGCCCTCCATTACTGTCATCAAGCATTGATTAGGAATCGGACGTCTGCATTGCGGGAACTTGTTCTAGCTGGTTGTTGGGACCTTTCCAACTCTGCAATTCTATTCTTCTATGAAGCTTATCACTCAATGCGCAACAATCGGAAGGTCAAGCCACAGCCCCCCCCACTTCCTTCTGGGCTGGGCTTCCTTCCTGTTCCCTAATAATATAATCAAAGAACTGTAGAGTTAAAGGGGCCACAAGAGTCATCTAGTCCAACCCCCTGCAATGCAGGAATCTTTTGCCCAACACGGGACTCGAACCCACAACCCTGAGGTTACGAGTCTCATGCTCTACCAACCAAGCTATTCCAGATCTGAAGCAATGCTCCTGAGGGTTACTCTCAGAGTTAAGGGGCTTAGATAGCTACTGTTTACCAGTCTCCAGCATTTCTGGAGTATTTTGAATCTGTACAGAAGAGAGCGCCAGCGACACAATGGGGGGCCTCCATGGGTCAGGGGAGTGAGAAACCACAAGTCGGTTGTGACCATTTGGCAAGGCATTTTGAAGGCCAGGCCTCTGCAGCAGCTGCTGCCTGAGCACTACTGTTAATCCAAGCCCCAGTGAGGCGTCCACTGCCCCCGTCTTGTCCGGTTTCCATGGGGTCAATTTCAGTTCCGTGCCAAGGGTGTGGCCAAGCCCCATGCTGTGGTCTGACTGACCAGATGCTCTCTTGCCCCTTTGCCCAACGTGGCTCATGGGCAGAAGCCCAGGGGTGGGGGCTGAGCAGATGAAAGACTTTCGTACTTTCAGTGCGGTTCAACGTCTCTATGGAGCCGTTGGGAGTGGCCAGCCGAGATCTTCAGTAGCGGCCCTGTTAACTGTGCCACCTTAGGATTCTGTGGGAAGGAGCCCCCCCTCCCTTGGAGAATAGGCAGGCACCAATGGTTAGCTGTTAACTGTTAGGGACGCGGGTGGCGCTGTGGTTTAAACCACAGAGCCCAGGACTTGCCGATCAGAAGGTCAGCGGTTTGAATCCCCGTGACGGAGTGAGCTCCCGTTGCTCGGTCCCTGCTCCTGCCAACCTAGCAGTTCAAAAGCACGTCAAAGTGCAAGTAGATGAATAGGTACCGCTCTGGCAGGAAGGTAAATGGCGTTTCCATGCGCTGCTCTGGCTCGCCAGAAGTAGCTTAGTTATGCTGGCCACATGACCTGGAAGCTGGACGCCGGCTCCCTTGGCCAATAAAGTGAGATGAGCACCACAACCCCAGAGTCGGCCACGACTGGACCGAATGGTCAGGGGTCCCTTTACCTTTACCTTTTTAACTGTTAGCTGCTTCCAGCATGCATTAAAAACACATTTGCTTAGGTGTTCCCAGGCCACTAATGCTAGTTTTCAGCATCCTAGTCACTGTAATAATATAAATATTTTACTGGTGTGGTTTGTTTTAATTATTATGTACTGGTTATTTTACTGGTTGCAAATATTCATAGTGCTCTCTGGAGAGAAAGGTGCCATAGAAACAGTTTTATAAAACCAATAAATAAAACAGGCAGCATAATTAATGCCTCCGGGAGGTGAAGGGTGGGGTGGGGGGACACAGGACGAGGAGCCCCCCCCCAGCCAAGCATGGACCTGTATGTGTTCTCTGGATCAGAGCTTCAGGTGCCTGGCTGTGCTCTGGTCCTCCCGCGAAGGATTCATCCTGCACTGAAGAAATGTTCTACTGAGTTCCTAAGAGGCCAACACAGTTGCATCACACCTGGGAGCCCGGAGACAAGAGCTCACCTCTCAAGGAGGGGGAAAGGGGTTTAATGTGAGTTCAACGTCCAGTTTCCCCAGGGTGGGGCGGGGGATCAGCAGCAGCAGCAGCTCGACCCAACCAAAGCAGCAGCTGGAAAGGCCTCACAGCACCTCTGCCTGACCTCCAGCTCAGACTCTGGTCCGTCTCCAAAGGCAGGAACCTCATAAGCTGCAGAGAAGCCCCAGCGAGTGGCTCTCAGGAGCACAACATTTTGGCACATATTGGAGCCACGCTCTTCTCCAAGCTCAGATATTGTTGTGAGATGCACACAAGGTAAATCAGAGTTGGGGGAGCAGGAGCCCCTGACTCCCAGGTGTACCTGAAAGGGCAGCCTCAGTCAGCAGGGGGTCCAGGGGCCCACACAGGAGGCGCTGAAGGGGGCTGCTGGGAGAACTTACCGTCATCTACCAGAGGGCCTGGAGCAGACCTCTCTGTCCTTGCCACTGCCACCAGACTCCCTCCTCCGGCCCCCTTTCCTGCCCCTGCCTCTCAAGGGGGCAGTGACCATCTCCACTAGCTCTGGTGGCATCAGATGGCATGCTGCCAGCACGGGAGAAGGATGCCACTGGCAAGGAAACACCAGGTGCCAGGCGAGGTTCTGGACTCTGAAGCAGAGTGAGGTGAGGTTCTGGACTCTGCGCTGGGTGATCCAAAAGATTCTGGCCAAGGAAGTAACTGCTAGAGGGCTTCATTTCCCTGCCTTTGCCCATCCCCGGTGGACTTCCAAAGCCCACCGAACAACGGGGAAGGGGATCTGAGCTGCTCCTGCCCACCTCTGGTTTCAACAGGTAGGTCTCCCATTAAACTGCCCGGGGCTTGCAGACCATGTGGACGACTCGTTAGAGGCACGGATGTTCTCAGTGGGATTGTGTTTCTTTAACAGCCATTAGCGGACCAGGATTGGAATCACGGTGCATGGGGAGGAGAGAGGGGCGCCCCTTTCCCCCACCCCCGTAGTCTCAACGAGATTGTCCCCCCCGACCCTCCTAGCCGAAGTTGGGGCAGGCAGGGGTCCTGCTTGGGGCTGATCATTGCAGCAGGGCGGGGGATGCTCAGCCTGCCCAGGAGGCTCTGTGAATGTGCTGGGGGGGCGGGGGGGGGGGCACAGCGCCAACCTCGCCCTGTCCGGACGCCAAGAGCTCCGGCATCCATAATACCCGCCCCCTCCTCCTGATTGCCAGCCTCACACACCAGCGTCCGAGCAGATGGAGGTGTCGGGGAGGGGGGGGAGGCAGCAGGTGAAGGCACCGGGTGGGGGGTCACTCACTCCAGGCAAGTTTACCTTCGGCACAAGCAAATGAGCCGCGGGGGGGAGTCCAAGACGCCGCCTCCTCCGAGAGAGAGAAGCGGCAACATCTTAGCAGCAGCCCAACCGCGGAAGCCCCCCTTTGGGCCAGCAAATGGCTGCCCTTCCGTGCCCCCCCACTCCCCGCATGGCTGACCCATTCCCCCCTCCCCCGAGGCAGCCCCTCCCCGGGCTTCGGCCGGCCCTTTCTGCGGCCGCGCCCCCGGCCGCCTTGTGCACGTGGGCGCGGAGAGTCTGCGGAGAAGGTGGTCCCCACGGCGCCCCCCCCCCCCGTCCACACACACACTCGCACTTACCCGGCTGCCCCGGTCCTCGTCCGCTCCGCTCTGGGGCTCGTGGGTGCCTCCCTGCCTCGCAGGCCAGGCGCGGTAATGCTCTGGCGCTCCGCCGCCTGCAGCCCGCGGCGCCCGGGACTGGGGGGCTGCGCAGAGGCGGCGGGAGTTGCCGGCCGGGCGCGCCGAAGGGCGCCTCCCCAGGAGCCGGGGCTGCTGCTCCTCTGCCCTGCCGTCCGTGCGGGCCAGGAGGAGACAAAGAAGCTCCGCCGCCGCCGCCGCCGCCGCCGCGACGGGGCTGCCAAGACCCACACGGCAGCTTCCTTCCTTCCCCTCTTCCTTCCCAAATGCTTCTGCCCGAGTTTCCATGGGAACAGTATAATGCCTTTCGCGTTGCTGGGGAGATGCAGAGGCTCAGCAACCTCGCCAGGCCTGCCAAGAACCTCGCCGGCTTCGGGGGGCTGGTGCGAAAGCCGGGGGAGGATTTGGCACCGGACGGGGCGGCCGAGGCCATCTCCATCCGCAGCAGAACGTCCCAGGAGCCTGGCTGCCGGATCAGGCCAAGGGGCCCCCTCTGGTCCAGCACCCACTTCTCACAAGGGCCACCCAGGGGCCTCGGAGGGGGGCGAACCAGCAAGCAGGATCCGGCCCAAGAGAAACTCTCCGCTCCGGCGGTTTCCAGCAAGCGGCATTCAGAAACGCAGATGCCTCTGTCTGTGGGAGCTGGACAGAGCGAGGAGGGAAAGGTCTCCCTGGGACGCGGTGGACTCGAGTGGCCACCTGTCAGGGATGCTCGAGCTGAGATCCCTGCATTGCAGCGGGTTGGGCTGGATGACCTTTGGGGTATCTCTAGCCCCCTCCTCCATGATATAATAAAGAGTTTGCTGGATCTTGCCCAAGGATCCCTGTTGCCCAGCTTCCTGTTCTCCCAGTGGCCAACCAGATGCCCATTATGGGAAACCAGCAAGCAGGATTCCAGCGCCAGAGCAACTTTCCAGCAAATGGTCTTCAGAAACACTGCTGGATAGAATAATAGAACCTTAGAGCTGGAAGGGACCCGAGGGTCATCTAGCCCAACCCCCTGCAATGCAGGGATCTCAGCTAAAGCAACGCCGACAGATGGCCGTCCAACCTCTGCTGGAAAACCTCCAGTGAAGGGGCGTCCACAGCCTTCCTAAGGACAGCCCTCTCCTGCTTCAGGAATTCGTCCAACCCTCTTTTCAAGCCCCCCAGGTTGGTGACCATCATTGCCTCCTGTGGGAGAGAGTTCCGCAGTTTGCACAGAGGAGGACGGTCTTTCAGCCGCCCTGAATCTTCCAGCATCACCCCCTGTCACCGCGGGAGGCCTGCTTGCGGCTGGGGTGGGTGGGGGCGCTTGAGCAAAGGGCGCCTTGTTCTGGAGAGGGAGGGAGAGCAAACGGATCTCGCTGCCTTCAGGAGAAAAGGAATGGAAAACTACAGGACGGTCCTGGCGTGATTCCACGTGGCTCTTGCCGAGCGCCTGAAGGAAGCGCGCGAGGGCCCAGCCGCGGAGAGAGACGCGGGCAGCCGCTTCGTCCATCCTCCCCGGCGAACCCGCGAGGCTTGCACCGCCTGTCTGCCTGCCTGCCTTTGGCACATGACGGGGCGCTGCTAAGCGCAGATCATTCGCCTATTTCGCTTCCAGGACCCTTTTGCAAGACGCCTTTCAGTCGCTCAGAACACCCGCCCTTATCGCTCCCTCCTAATAATTAACCCGGTTCCTAAGGCTCGGGTTGTAGACACAAGAGAGGACGAGGAAGAAACAAAGGGGAGCTGTCGACGCCCTTGGGGGAGACCTGAAGTTTGCAGAGGGAGGAGTCCTCTCAAAAGAGAAAACTTGAGGGAAAAGGACCAAACTTCTGATTCTTCTCCTTTTTTTCTCTTTCCCCCTTTACTTTCTTCCTCCCACCCCCTTTTGGGTTTGCGTTTTTATTTAGTTTTTCTTATCTTTGATATCTTTGATAAAAAAGATATTCGATATTATTCTTTTTAATATATTTTTTTCAAAATTTAAAAATAAAACTTGGGGGAAAAAACTTGAAAAAATAAAATAAAATTTATTGGTGGGGGGGAAACTAGAGAAAACCCGAGAGTGCAAAAAACAGGGAGGCTGTGTGGGAATCACCTCACCCAATCCCTTTCTCCCAAAGAGCCCCATGGGGGCTGAGGGGGCGGGTTCAGCACTGGCAGAATAGAAAGACAAGCCTGCAGTCTCCCCAAGACAGAGCAGGACTTTGCTGGATACTTCTCATGTGCTCAGTTCTGGTGCTGCTGGCCGCCTGGTGCAAGGATAGATCTAGAATGAAACTAACGATGCTTAACCCTCAAGGCCCCTAATCCTGGAGGATTAGGCAACTTTAGTCCACACTGCAATTTGAGTGGCACAGTCTGGAGCTGCAGTTGGTGTTGACAGGACTGAGCCCTGTGCTCAAAGATCTGCATCAACTACCAGGCTGAGATCAAGGTATTCCTATCAGTATAGAAAGCCCTTCATGACTTGGGACCACCTTACCTAAGACGTTGCCTTACCCCCCCATGCACCCACTCAACTGCTTTGATTGGCAGAACAGGCACGGCTCCAGGTGCCACATAATGCCCATTTTCCGCATTTGTCAGAACATCATTTATTGTGGCAGCGCCTGCCCTTTGGAACTCCCTGCCTCTTGACATCAAGCAGGTACCTTCCCCGTACTCTTTCCAGCACCTGCTATAAATACGCTTATTTCAACAAGCCTGCCTGGATGCTTTGAAAGTTTATGTGGATTTAAGCATTTCGTCCGTTTTAAACTAATGCATTTTTCCTTGGTTTTATTATCTTTTTTCAAACTGCTTTGAGGGGCGGTTTTGACCATTGAACAGTGTGTGGGTTTTATGAAATAAATAAGAGAGAGCAGACCTTGCTCCAGCAGCGGAACTACTGGGAGCCCAGTCTAAGCCCCTGGTTGTTCCTTTGAAGCCCTGCCCTTAGCTGCCCCACACCTGTTGTCATGGCTAGGAGGTTCCCCACCCCCACCTGTCCTAAGGGTGGGAAGACACAGCTACATTTCCTTGCACACCTGGCTTGACATGTTTTGTCAATTAAGGACCTGACCAGATTGGTCCTGGATTTCCAGGACTTCATAGCCACCAAAGGGTCTGCCACTTTGTCTGTCAGCCAAGCCAGGTCTTTAGGAGTGCACTGAGGAAGCTGGAACACACACACACACACACACGTGCAAAAATGCACAAGATAGTGAGATGCTCTCCACCCTGAAGCAACATATCCTGGTGTCCCAAAAGCAAATAAATGCTCAGTTGCAGCTCCTGCCTTAACGTCGGCAACTCAGAAGCGATAAAGGCAACCGACAATATTTTTGTATTGGACTTGCTGAACGCTCCGCTTCCCTGCAGAGATGGTAGAGTTGGAAAGGACTCCTGAGGATCATCTAGTCCAACCCCCTGCAAGGCAGGAATAACAACTAAAGTATCCATGACAAATGACCATCCAGTATCTGCACTCACTCATACTTCCCCTGGGTCTTTGGGAGACACAGCAAAGAAGAACTCCTGGGACGGAGGCAGTGGCGGACGCTGGGCTTTAAAATTTCTGCGGCACTCTGTGCGACACCAGAATTTGGCACACAGACAGACACCTCTTGCATTCTGTTGCTCATCATTGTTGCAGCATCCCCTGAGGTGCCCTCCGAGCTCAGCACCCGGTGCAAGCAAAATGGTGGTGCTCTCCTAAACCGGCCTCTTGATGGAGGGCTCCTTCACAGTACGTGAATCTGGAGAGGGGGCTTCTCCTTCTGGGCTCCCCACCTGCAGCCAGCAAGGAGGCCAGCCAGTGCCAACAGACCTAGATGCCCAGGAAGGTGTGTGGGGCAAGGGAGAGGGCGAGGAGCGAAGGGGCCACGAAGAAGCAGCCCCTCCATGGCAGAAGTGTAGCATGGGGGGCAGGGGCACCTTGGCCCTGGGCACACACTTCTGAGGGGGTGCAACCAGGTGACCCCACGACAGGCTCCCTCATGGAAGGGGAAGCCACGGGGAGGCAAGCCCAGCTGTGCCCAGGCCAGGCCTTTGGGGCTGGATGGCAGCTCCTTCTCCTCGTGGCCTCCTCAATGAGATCACGGGAGAGAGGTTTGGGGATTTCTTCCTTAAGCATTTTATGTGCCCATTTTTTTAATTTTTATGTTTCAAACTGTCCTGTGATATTTGGATGAAGGGTGTTATACAAATTTAATAAATAAGGAAGCTGCTGAAGTTGGGAAGCCAGTCTAGGTTGGGAAGGATGTGTGGAGTATCCAAAAACCCCACCCAGCTCCACAGGAGGCAGCGAGACGTGGGTTTGCTCACAGCAGGTTCATGAGAGAAGTTGCTGCTCCTCAGCATCAGGTGGAGGAAGCCTGGAGGAAGCAGACCCCCCTCTGCAACACACCTGCCTCCCTCCACAGAGCACGGCAGAACCCAAGAGCCCAGCCAGTACCACAAAGGGCTGCTGGATCAGGCCAATGGCCCATCCAGTCCAGAGTCCTGTGTAGTGATCAGGTGGGATTGCTATGAGGAATTATAACAAATATAGAGTAATCCATCTGTGTCAGCAATGAAAGCATTGCATTCACTGGGTTTAAACTATTTTGATATGATTCTTGATCAATCCACACCTCTGCATCCCTGTTCCATTTCTCTTGCTTCACAAGTCACATACACACTTAAGACAGGCAGACGTCCTGGGTCATCAAAGACAGTGGGCAAGTTTCTTTGATGTAGCTTTTCTGATATGTTAATCTTAGGGCCAGGAAACAGATCTCACCTGAAGGTGATAATGATCGCTGTCTTCCTGGCCATCCTTCTTATCATATATTTTCTTTGTTTATAACCTCAGGGGTTGCCAAATGCACTCCTTTGTAGTTCTGTTTTGTTTACCCCAGAAATATGTGAGCTTAATTAGTTTTGGTAGTTTAACTTTGTTCCCACGTGGGGTTTGTTGAAATGCTCAGAAGAAATCTGATTGGTTCTTACGAACACTCTGTAAAAAGCTCTTTTGTGAATAAAATGACCTGGGCCAGGGGCTAGAGGGAGAGAGACTGTTATACGCACCCTTCCCAGAGTCTTGCTGGTTCAAGCCTCTGTGTGTATTCTTATTAATCAGAGTTCAATCCTTCCTCAGTCCTGCTCTCACAGTGGCTAACCGGATGCCTGTGGGAAACCAGGGAGGGGAACATGAGTGCAAGAGCGACTCTCCCCTCCTGATGTTTCTTGCAAGTGGGATTCGGAAGCATTTCCTGCCTCCAGCTGTGGAGGGCAGAGCATGTGATGGCCTGGGACTCGGAACCAGAGGAGTCTCAGTCTGCACCGGACCCTTTGCCTCAGGCATCATCTGAACCAAGGCCTGATCCAGAAGAGTCCCAGTCTGCACAGGTTCCCCTGCAACAAGCACCAGTTGGGCCGAGTCAGGGGCCTGAGCCTGCCCTGACTCCAGATGCAGGGATGACCTTGTTGCCTCTGGCTGGGCCATCACTTACAACTGCTCCACTACCAGTTGGGTCAGGGGAGGCTGAGGCGGCCTCTGGGTCTAGTAACCCACCAATGTCTCCCGAGCTGCAGAGACTGAGGTCTGGGAGAAGGAGAGACCTGAGTATTCGCAGGAGAAGTGCTCACCTTCGGGTGAAACAGGGAGGTGAGTCGCCGGGGGATCAGGACCGGCCATTACCCCGAAAGAGATAAAAGGCTGTTGGACCCCGCTGCAGGTTGTGGGAGCAACATTGCTGTGTGCCAGGTCCTGCCCCTGTCCTTGTCTGGTTTCCTGCCTCGTGTCCTGCCTTGGCCCTGTCGGACTGACTCCACCCAGGGAATCGGCACCTAGGATAGGCCTGCTCTGTGGTCTCTTCCCCCTCCCCACTTCAGTAGCTGAAGCTTAGTCAAGCCAGGCAGGAAACCCCCCCCCCCCCGCCCCTGCAAACACACATAGAGGTCAGAGAGCTGAGGATTTTTCCCTGGAGTAGCAGGAAAAGAAAGACAGACCAGGTCCAGGGGCAAAAGGACCCAAACACTGCTTCCAGAAAGGAGTGAAGTGGCTTAAGAAGGCTGGACTGCATCTTCCCTCCTGCATCACCCCCCACCCCTCCCTGCCTTCATTCCCCCCCCCATTTCAGGCAAGGGAAGGGGCCACACAGAGCAGGGAAGCCTCTCTTCCTTGCCCCTCCCCTGCACAAAGAACCAGCCAGCTCCTACAAGTGGATTTATTTTTCTTTCTGCTCAGTGGCCGGGGGTTTCAACTGGAGCTAGGAGCCCAAAGCAGAGGTGGTCAGGATCCTGCCTGCAACCAGGCCAGAGAGGTTCCTTGCAGATTTGCCACACACAGACTCGTCCCCATTCTGCTTCCACCAACCCAGGAGGAGAGCAGGGCATTGGCCTTCAGAAAAGCCCCTGGCTTCACCCAAGGCAACTAGGCACCCAGCTGACTCCAGGGGTCAGATCCAGACTTGGGGGGTGGGGTGGGCAGCCCCGTCATTGCCACCCGGACCAGTCTGCTGTGATTTCCCAGGAACGGGGGGGGGGGGCACGACTCACCATCAGGCAGAGGCTTCCAAGAGATGAGCTGCCTCCTTCGGAAACTTCATGCAGCTGTGATGGCAACGCAGCAGAGAAGAAAAGCCCCAAGGAGGAGGAGGAGCTGCTGGAGGCAAAGGCCAAATCATTCCCACACCCAGGGACACAGTGGCGGTGGTGGGTCACAGATCCCTGGGAAAACGGAGTCTAGAATGGTAGAGTTGGGGGCACCCAAGGGTCATCAAGTCCAACCCCCTGCAATGCAGGAGTCGTCATCCAACTGCTTGGCTGACTGCGAGGCTGAGGGAGTCGCCCAGCACCCCCCACCCACCTGGCAGAATCAGCACCCACCTGCAGGAAGGAGGCACCCACCAGGGGGCATCGTGGGGGGGCAAGTCGTAGGGGTGTCCAACTGAACCCTCCTGGGGGAAAGGGGAGTTTGCCAGCACAGGAGGGACGGATTGGCTAGGTGTTAGTAGTAGTAGTAGTAGTAGTAGTAGTAGCAGCAGCAGTAATTTATTTACACTCCACCCATCTGGCTGGGTTTCCCCAGCCACTCTGGGCAGCTCCCAACAGAATATTAAAAACAGAAAAAAAGATCAAGCATTAAAAACTTCCCTAAACAGGGCTGCCTTCAGATGTCTTCTAAAAGTCGGATAGTAGTTTATTTCCTTGACATCTGATGGGAAGGCATTCCACAGGGCGGAAGCCACCACTGAGAAGGCCCTCTGCCTGGTTCCCTGTAACCTCACTTCTCGCAGTGAGGGAACTGCCAGGAGGCCTTCAGAGCTGGATCTCAGTGTCTGGGCTGAACGATGGGCGTGGAGATGCTCCTTCAGGTATACTGGGCATTTGAGGCCGTTTAGGGCTTTAAAGTTCAGCACCAACACTTTGAATTGTACCCAGAAACGTCCTGTGAGCCAATGTAGGTCTTTCAGGACCGGTGATATGGTCTCGGAGGCCGCTCCCAGTCCCTAGTTAATGCTTGCAATTCCTGCATTGTAGGGGGTTGGACTGGATGACCTTTGGGGTGCCTTCCAACTTTATGCTTCATACAGGTCCCAGGATATTTGAGACTTTGTGGGGGTTGGTAGTGGAGTCATTCCAGGGCCTCCCCAAGCACGGAGGAGGAGGGCAGGGCTCAGCCGCTGGCATTTTGTGCTCCCCCCACACATCAGAACGTAGGAAATTGCCAGATACAGAGTCAGACTCCCTCGGTCCAGCTCAGCATCACCTCCTCTGGGTTTCAGGCAGGAACTGACATTCTGCATCCCAAGCAGCTGCTCTTTCCCGCTGCGCTCTCCGGACCTGCCGAAGCCGGCAAGTCGCGCAGGCAAGAAAACACGCGCAGCCAGGGAGCAGGAAGAGACCCCTCCGACCTCCCCTCTGGAGAGCCCGGCTGCGCTTTCGAACCACAGACCACCCCCCCGGCCCGCGGGCGCCCCCGGGGTCCCTTCGCCCTGCAAGCCGCCGAGCCTACCTGCTCCGGGCCAGGTAGATCTCAAAGGTCCGGCAGCGGCGGCGGGGTCGCTTAGACTTGAGCCGCCCGGCGCCCCCATTTTCTGACGCCGCGGCGGTGGGGCCGCGCTGGGCCGGCGCGCAGCGGAGCCGCGGGATCCATTTCTGGAAGGGAAAAAGTAAACAGGGCGCAGGGGCAGTGGAGCAGCCTCTCTTCGGCCAGGCGCCCCCTGGTCTGCCCGGGCAGGGAGAGGCTGATGCCCGCCGCCGGTTCGAAAGGGGAGCCCAGCTCCGCCGGTTCGAAAGGGGAGCCCAGCTCGGCGGAGGCGCGCAAGATGCGCGCAGCGTCGGAGGCGCGCAGGAGCGCGGGGATCTCGGCGGGAAGGCTGCGCCCCAGAAGGGTCCCGGGACTCCGTCGGCCCCAGCACAGCCCTTCTCCGCCTCGGGAATGGGAGTGGGGGGCTTTGTCTCGGGCGCAGGTTGCGGCCCCTCCTGGGCAAGGGGCGCGCAGGGTGAGAGACAGACGACTGGCCCGCGCGGAGAGGAAGGCTGCCCTCCCAAACAGCCCCCCGGGAAAACTAAGCGCGAAGGGCCGCCGCCAGCGCTGCGCCCCTCTCCCACCTCGCCGGACCCGCGTACCTGGCGGGGTCTCCGGCGCGGCCGGCGCAGGCTCGGGCACACGCGTTGCTCTTTCGCCAGGCGCCTGCGCGGTGCTGCGGAGAGAGGGGGAGAGGCGCCCCCCCCCAGCCCTTATATGCGCCGCTCTCACGGCAGGGCAGCCCCACCGCTCGGAAGTGGGGCGCTTCTGTGGCACGTGGGGATGGAGGCAGCGTCAGACTCCCAACCCGAGGCGCCCCGCGGAGATGGGACGCCCCCTCCTAAAAAAAAAAAAAAGCCGGGGACATTCCCCGCTCAGTTGCTGAGGAGGGCGGATTTGCACCCCACCCAAGGCAGCTTAGACCTGCGGGCCATGTGCTCAACAGTCCTTGGGGAGCTTTTGCTCGCGAGGAGGACAGCGGGAGAAGGGGCGATGGAGGATGGCGCATGGCCACCAACGCTGGGAGTAGCCAACTAGGGAGCAGAGAAACCGTGGGCAGTGTGGGGGCAGATCTTCTTTCAGAACAATGGCTGCCAAGTGCTGGGGCAGCGCAGTCGGGAGAGATCAACACCCTCCAGATCAGGGGTCAGCAACCTTTTTCAGCTGGTGCGGTCCACCTCCCTCAGACCTTGTGGGGGGCCGGGATATATTTTGAAGGGGGGAAATGAACGAATTCCTTTGCCCCACAAATCACCCAGAGATGCAATTTAAATAAAAGGACACATTCTACTCATGGAAAAACACGCTGATTCCCGGACCGTCTGCAGGCCGGATTGAGAAGGCGATGGGGCCGCATCCGGCCCCCGGGCCTTAGGTTGCCTACCCCTGCTCCAGATCATGGGTTCACATGGGGCAAAGAGAGCCCTGTATTGCCAGGGGTTGGACTAGATCACTCATAGCCCCTTCCAACTCTACAATTCTGAACCTATGATTTTAAGGGGCTGATTTTACGGTAGCAGCCCATCTAGGAAAAGGAAAACTCTGATCTTAAACCTCTGCTGCCTTGCGGGATATCTTCAGGAGAAGAGACGGCTAACAAATCCAGGGTGGAGTCCTTAAGGTGGTTGGATAGCGTCTTGTCCGCCTCCTTCCAGCGACTCCTGCAGCCCAGCTGGTGCCAAACGTCTTGCTCTGCTTTCCTTTGGACTCCATCAGCCAGGCCAAGAGGCGGGTCTTGTAGTCTGGGCAACCCCCCCCCCCCATTCACACAGCCCAGGCTTGCACCCCAGGGGGAGCCCACTTCAGTGCTGATAACTCAGCCGTTTGACTTCACCCGTCCCCCATGCGCAATGCCAATCATTATTCTAAGTCCCCCCCCCCCATGAAGGACTGAGCTGTTGCTGTTGCTCCGTCCCTCTCCACCCCCCAACCCCCAAACAGGAGGAGAGACCCAGGTGACACAGGCAGGGCAATTGCAGCAGCAAGGAAACGTTTAATTGGTTTTCTCGTTTTTTGTAAAAATTGGGTCAGTGGGTCTTCTTTTCCGTCCCCCCACCAGCCACCAAGCACAGCAGCCTCCCTCCTTGTGCCCCCCCCCGGTCAGGTGCTGTTGGCCTGCTCCTGCTCAAAGAGCGCCATGGCCAGGTGGGATCGGGAGCCGAGTCCTTGCAGGTTGCTGAGGACGCAGCGGTGGTAGAGCTCCTCGCTCAGACGGGGGTTGCAGCCCCGCAAGACATACTTCTGCGCCAGCCCCGGCTCCGCCGCCCGGAAGACGTGCAGCTCCGAGTAGCGCAGGAAGACGTCAAAGGCCTCCAGGCCCTCCAGAGCCTCCTCGCGGTCCAGCACGTCGGACGCCAGCCTTGCACGGGCCGCCATGTAGTCCGCGTTGTAGAAGCAGGCCTCTGAGAAGGCCTGCCGGTCAAAGCGCCCGTCCCGAGGGAAGTCCGAGGCGGCCGAAGCGCCCCCGCCAGCCGCCTGCTCACCCCCACGGAAGGCCAGCGCCGGGTTGAACTCCTGGAAGTGGACGGGGAAGAAGACCTGCCAGCTGCTGATGGCGTTCATGCGGCAGCGGTTGAGGACCTCGGCCGTGACCTCCGTCCAGACGCTGGCCAGGAAGAAGAGGGTGTCCACGGGGTGCTTTTTGGAGACGATGTCCATCAGCTTGACCTGGGAGGGGACCTCTGTCTTGACGCTGATCCAGGGAATCTTGACGTCCGAGTAGCGCCTCTCCAGCTCGGCCACCATGGCCTTGGCCCCAGCAAAGACGTCCACCTGCCCCACGCGCTGGGCGTCGTAGGGGTCGTAGACGAAGAGCAGGGTCAGGCGGGAGTTGTCCCTGGCGTCCAGGGCGTTGGTGGCAAAGGCGTCCAGGAAGCCCCCCAGGAAGTCCAGCTCCGGCACGGTGAGGGGCAGCACCAGCTGCAGGCGGGTGGCCTCCGTGACGTAGGGCATGGGGATGATCTCCACCTGGCTGAGTGGGCGCAGGAGCTGGACGCGCTTCGAGAGGAGGTGGCTGTGACCCTTCTGGGTGACGGCCTCCAGCAGCAGCTCCAGCTGGTACTCCATCCCCCGCGTGGGGTCGAAGCGGCGGTAGCCGTTGAGCAGCCGGCGCTTGCGGAAGCGCAGCTGCGGCTGGTAGCGCCGGTTCAGCTGCTCCAGCGCCGCCTGCAAGATGTCGCCCACGTCCGCCTTGCTGGCCCCCTGCAGCTCGCACTTGGGGGCCCCGTCGGGGCAGGAGAAGAGGTGCTGCTCCGTGAAGTAGTCCCAGCCAATCACCTCGAAGCGGGACTTGGGGGAAAAGGGGGCGCTGACCCCCACGGGCCACGACAGCTCTGCCTCCCCCGACGGCATCAGCGCTGTCAGGTTGCGGATCTGAGCCTGCCAGGGAGAGAGGAGGAGAACCCCCGTTAAGACATCCCCCAACCTTCTCCCTTGCTGCACTGAAGGAATGGGTTTCCCATACCCAAAACTGACTGTGCAGACAGTTTGAAATGGGCACCAAAATCCCTATTTTTCCTTAGCTAAAATCCATTAACTTGAGCTCTGAGTTAATGTATAAACAGAAACCCGGCTGTATAAACAAGTGCTCAGAGCCCTCTCCTTTATCAGTTTGTGACGGCAAGGATGCCCTTGGCTGTTCCAGTGGAGTAGGAATGACATGTCTAGGTCTTAACTTACGTCCTGACGCACAGACCTAGTCCGGGAACAGCACCAGAGTGTGTTCTTGGAGTTGGTGACTTCTTGCTCCAAGATAAGAGTAGGAACAGGAATACCCTTTTATGGTCAGAAGTACAGGAAGGAAAACCCTTTTATGGTTAAGAGTACCGGAGCAGGAACATCTGTGATGTCAACCTGCGTGTACAAATTGACGTGGCTGGATTCCTGGGGAATGGGGGAGAGGGTGCCTGGAGGAGATATATACTGCATGAAATCTCTCATTTCTTTGGACTTGCTGTGGACTGACCTCGCAAGTGCCTTTCTGCTGTTCCGGAGAGCAGAAATAAAAAACTCTTTCTCTGAACCAACCCTCGGTGTCATTTGACTTCCTTCCTCCTGTCCGGGAGCAACGCAGACCCAATCGGTGAACTCCAATAAGGCTACAGCACAGCTGGACCACCCCGTGGCAGGGGCTGGAAAAGGGGGTTTCCAAAAAGTATAGCTCAGCCCGAAACAAAGGATGCAGAAGGAATCTACAAGGCCTGGTGTGTCATGGACTGAACCAGTTGGGGTCAGAGGGAGAAGAAGGTGTGGGAAGCTGAAGAGGGGACAGGGCTTAGTGAGCAGGGGGAGTCTGTGGCAGAGGGCAGTACAGAATCAGAGGCAGAAGCTGAGGCGGGACAGGAGGGAGGCCAAGAGGCAGAGAGGAGTCTGGCTGGGGAAGAAGCACAGGGCGTCTCCTCCTCCTTCTGCTGCAACACACTCCCTTCCCACCTTGTCTCCCAGAACCAGAAGAGGGCTGAAAAGGGCAGGGCAGCAGTAGGCTGCACGCAGGCACAGTCTCTAGTTGCTTGGATAAAGCCCTGAAGAGAAGGAGACTTAGAGATGGTTGTGGGAAGGCAGGGACTTTCAGTCTTGGTAACTGATATAAATTATTGTGACTTTTATGCTTTGGATCAGATTGTCATTACGTGTATGATCTTTGCTGTCTATTTTGTTGTTTCTTCAGCTTGTAAACTGCCTTGTGCATAGTAATATCCAAAGGCAGCATACAAATTAAAAGTGAATTGAAATGAAATTCATGAGGGCACTGGGGATGAACAGCTGGGCTCGTCAGGCCTGAAACTCATTGTGTTCTTGCTGATGAAGAGTTAACACCTACTCTGAGTAGTGCCACAACTGCTGGTTGGCTCTTTGCAGCTAGACCCACCCAGTGGTCTCCAGCCCACCAGGCCCAACGTGTGATGACTCTCCTTCACTGGAGATTCCTAAGCAGAGGTTGGGGGGCCACCTGCCAGGGGTTCTGGAGCTGTGGCTCCTGGCCCTGAAGGGGGCTGGACTGGATGACCATTGTGGTCCTGTCCAAATCCGCAGTTCTGTAATAGTAGTAATAGTAATTTATTATTTGTACCCTGCCCATCTGGCCGGGTTAGTAGCGTGAGCTACCTTTGAAGGTAACCTGGAACCTACAACTAAGCCAGAATGCGGCAGCTAGGCTGGTGACTGGGAGCAGCCACTGAGACCACATAACACCGGTCTTGAAAGACCTACATTGGCTCCCAGTACGTTTCCGAGCACAATTCAAACTGTTGGTGCTGACCTTGAAAGCCCTAATTGGCCTTGGTCCAGTATACCCGAAGGAGCGTCTCCACCCCCATCCTTCAGCCCCACAGACACTGAGGTCCAGCGCCGAGGGCCTTCTGGTGGTTCCCTCATTGTGAGAAGCAAAGCTACAGGGAACCAGCCAGAGGGCCTTCTCGGTAGTGGTGCCTGCCCTGTGGAACGCCCTCCCATCAGATGTCAAGGAGATAAACAACTATCTGACTTTTAGAAGACATCTGAAGGCAGCCCTGTTCAGGGAAGTTTTTAATGTGTGACATTTTAATGTATTTTTAATTCTTTGTTGGAAGCTGCCCAGAGTGAATATTGTTAGTGAATATTATTAATATTATCATCTAAGAATGAAGCTGAGTTGCCAGAACTCCAGGCTCTCAGCCACCAACCCCATGCTCCCAGCCTGGGCCCAGCAGCTGCTGCAGGCACCCCAAATCACGTTCATGCACCCCACTGTGAGCACCCAGAAGCCTCCAGCTGCCCCTACTGGGAGATCCTCAGCTGAAGAAGGTGGAGCTTGCAGGGTCTTATCCTTCCAGCAGCTCCTTTGTAGTCTGAACCAAACCAAAAAGCAGACTTTCCATTCCACCAGATGCTGTGTACAGAGAACCGTGAGCAAAAGGATGACTTTGCATCCCCCTCCAGGGACACCCTGAGAATCAGGGACGCTTGGAGTCTCTGGTGTCACCCTGTTTGTTTCTGTGGAAGTGACCTTGCCTTAGAAATCCCAGGATGCCGGGGTCTCCTCCCTGCCTTGCCGGAAGGTGACCCACAGCTGCTCCCACCCTCCCTGCCTGAGACCAGCACCCGGCGGCCTCCATCCTCTCCACCCCCAGCAGTGAGAGAGACTGTGGGGGGTGTTGGGGGTCTCTCCCCTCTTTACCTGCAGCTCCTCTATCTCTTGGTAGGTCTGCTCCAGCTTGATTCGGCTGAACCTCTTATGCAGGCGGTACATGAGGGTGGGCTCCGTGACGGGGTGCACGGCAATCGCTCCCCAAAAGTCTTCTCCCTCCTCCTTCTCTGGGTCCGCATTCTTGGCCAGTTCATAGGACAGGTAATTCTGACCCTAAGAGAGGGAGGAAATGATGGTCCTTCTCTGCAGAAGTATTTGCATCAAAGACTTACTATCTGCTCCCTCTTTTTCCATCCCCAAAAGCAGGTGTGATGCAGATGTTTAATCCTCATCACAACCACCCTGTGAACCAAGTTAAGCTTGTGACCCAAAGTCTACTAGCCTGTGTTCTCACTGAGCAGGAATTTGAACTCACCTCCAGGCTCCAATCTCCCAACATGTTCCCTGTGGCCACAGAGAGCCAGACAAAGGCAATGACCAGCCGGCTCCCTTTGCTCTTCTGCACAAATCCTTCCCTGCTTTTCTCTCTCCCCGACTTAAACTTCTCAGAATGTGGAGATTTGCCTTGGGACTGGCGTTGTCCCCTAAGCCCAAGCAAGCCACTACTATGGGCTGTTGGGCAAGTGCAGGCCTCTTCGAAGCAGACCAGGAAGCAGGCCAGGCCTGCCTTAACCAACCCCTGTCTCCCAAGTCCCCCCTCACTGCCTCCCCAGATATTAAAAAAACCCAGAGAGAGAGAAGTAGCAAGTCGGAGGCTGAGCGAGCCCCACAGCATTCGCTCAGATGTCCCGCTGGAAGGGGCTCCAAGCGTAAAGAGGGCACTGGCTTCCATGGAGAAGCCTCTGGACCTGTGGGGCTCCTGCCTGCCTGTCTGCCTTGCTTCATCTCTTAGCCTCTTCACCCTGTGGGACTCTTGTGTCTGGCCCTGTGGGAGTCCTGCCTGCCTGGCCTCACCTCCTGGCCTCTTGGGGCTGTGGGACTCTTGCCTCTGGACCTGTGGGTCTCCTGCCTGCCTGCCTGGCTCCATCTCCTAGCCTATTGGCCTTTGGGATTCCTGCCTCTGGACCTGCAGGACTCCTGCCTGCCTCCCTCCCTCCAAGCCCCATTTCCTAGCTCCTTGGCCCTGTGGAACTCCTGCCTGCCTGCCTTCCTCCATGCCCCATCTTCCAGCCCCTTGGCCCCGTGGGACTCTTGTCTCTAGCCCCGTGGGACTCCCGCCTGCCCACCTGGTGCTGGGAGGTGCAGCTGGTGCCCAGGAAGTCTGCGAGGCAGCGGCCCAGCCACTCGTCCGGCCGCAGGCTGAGGATCTCGTTGCGGCAGCTGTCCAGGTGGGGGTGCAGCTTGAGGAGGAGGCTGCGGGAGAGCAGGTAGCCGAAGCCGCCGTGGCAATAGCGCGCCTGCTCGTCCCCGCCAATGAACTCCTCCGCCCGGCCCAGGTAGACGTCCTGGTGGATGCTCAGGTGGGCCACCAGCGCCTTGAGCCGCTCCGGCTGGACGTAGGTGTCGTCCTGCATGACGAAGAACCAGTCGAAGTCGCCCCCAAAGTGCTGGTGGACGTAGCGCACCGTCTCGTACATGAGCCACACGGGCCGCTCGTCCCCGTGCGACACCAGCGCCAGGCCGTGGGGCACCTTGGCCCCCCGCAGCCCCGTGAAGTAGAGGAGGTGGGGGAAGTGGTGGGCGGCCGTCTTGTTGACGGCCACGGCCAGGGTGCCCAGGGTGGCCTTGGAGGTCAGCACGGCCACAAAGAGCCGCTCGCGGAAGCCCAGCTCCGTCTGGATGTAGCGCGTCCTGTGAAAGGAGAAGGAGGAGGAGGAGAAGGGGAGCTTTTTGTCTCAAGGGGAAAGCGACAGAAGTAAAAAGGCACTTGAAACTGTGATACGATGCAATGCAACATACAGACATGGTCAGGGCTGGAGTCAGGGGCAGGTCAGCAAGAAAGGAAGCAAATCTTCAGTGCCAGGGAAGGTAGTAACAACCACAACAACAACAACAACAACAACAAATCATTTACTCACTGCCCATATGACGGGGCAGCTTCCAGCAAATTATAAAAGCACAGTAAAGCATCACACATTAAAAACTTCCCTGTAAAGAGTTAACTCTTTATTCAAGGAAACAAAATGCAGTGGTACCTTGGTTCTCAAACAGCTTAGCTGATGAACAAATCGGCTCACGAATGCTGCAAACCTAGAAGTAAGTCTTCCAGTTTTCGAACATTTTTTGGAAGCTGAACGTCTGATGCAGCTGTCGGCTATTCTGATTACGTTTGAGAACCAAGGTACCACCGTAGACTCAGCCTAGTGGTCTCAGCAACCATCCCCAGTAGGTGTTGCCCCGATGGAGCAGTTGCCAGGACTTAGGGGCCCTGCTCCCTCCCCCCCCCCATGGCTGCTCCCCTCCTGGATGTTTCCCAAGCAGCCTCCAGCTGTGCCTGGTTACCTCTAACCTCTGTCTGGCTCTCCTCAGAATCCTGCGCGTTCTTGGACACCAGGGAGGAGCAGAGCTTGTCATTGCAGGACGGGGAGACTCCTGGATCCTTTCAGTGTTAGAAACTCAAGATATATAAGCTAGGCACTTAAACCAGGGCTCCAGTCGCCCAAACAGAATGCCTAGTTGCCATTTTGGGGCAAGGAGACTCTAAAGCCTTCTTTTTCAAAGGATGGACTGACTGCGTCTCAGTTAAACATCTGGCTAGTTCAGAGGACCACCCTGAGCTCGGTTAGGAGCTTTGAGAACTTAAAGAAGGAAAGCCCCATCGATATGGGCCTGGAGAGCGCTGAATGGGCCCGTGTTTCTGGCCTCTGCTCCTTGCCCACTGGCCACCAACGGGGCCAGAGACCTCTCTGGGTGCAGCTGGGAGCCTGAACTACCGCAACTCGGGGGTAGACTCACAACGCTGCTCCTGGGCACTTGCACACCGCAGGTTCCTCGGGGTACAGACAGAAAGAGGGAAAACTCCTCGTGAGCGTGAACGCTCCTCCCTCCCCACAGACCTGCATCGCAGCAGCCGCCCCGGTATCAGGGTGCCTGGGGCACTCGGGCCCGTTCTCCCGGGGAAAGGGCACCACCAGCTCACTGTTTAGGGAAGCCTTTGATGTTTGATGTATTACGGTATTTTAATATTTTGTTGGAAGCCACCCAGAGTGGCTGGGGAAGCCCAGCCAGATGGGCAGGGTATAAATAATGAATTATTATTATTATTATTATTACTGCAGCTGAGCCATGCTCTCCCTGCCTCCACTCCCTCCCGCAATGTGAGGAGCAGCAGCACCCAAGCGCGGTTGTCCCCAGCGCACAGGAAGCGCACCAAAGGAAAGCCCTGACCGAAGGTTATGAAATCATGCATGGCATGGGGAAAGTAGAAAAGGAAAAGTTTCCCTCCTTAGTCTCATGACGCTAAAACTCATGGGAATCCCATGAAGCAGAATGTTGGTCAGACTCGGGGCAGAGAAAAAGAAGTATTTATTCACACAGCACGGAGTTAAACTGCGGAACTCCCGGCCACAGGAGGCAGGGATGGCCACCAGTCTGGGTGGCTTTAAAAGGACGAATTCATGGAGGAGGAGGAGGAGGAGGAGGAGGAGGAGGAGGAGGAGGAGATGGCCATGAAGGGCTCTTAGCCAGGATGATTATGCTGTGCCTCCAGTGGGAGGGAGCAGGTGGTCTTGTGTTCAAATCCTGCTTGCAGGCTTCCCATAATGGGCATCTGACTGAACCCTGTGGATGCTGGACTAAAGGGACCAGGCAGGCAGACTCTTCTTCTGGAACCTCCAGGTACAGAGGCAGTCTATCTAGATTCCTAGTTCTCTTCTGAGAGTCTTTGCTTCCCCCAAAGCCAGAGGGCTTTGACCTCGCCCCTGTGATCCACACGGCGGTCATCTCCAGACTGGATCATTGTAACTCGCTCTACGTGGGGCTGCCTTTGAGACTGACCCAGAAACTTCAGCGGGTGCAGAACGCCGTGGTGAGACTCCTTACGGGGTCCTCGCTGCGAGATCACATTCACCCGGTACTCTACCAGCTGCACTGGCTCCCGGTGGAGTACAGGATCAGGTTCAAGGTGCTGGTTTTAACCTTCAAAGCCCTATGCAGCCTAGGACCCTCGTACCTACGGGACCGCCTCTCCTGGTATGTCCCATGGAGGACCTTACGGTCTTCAAACAAAAGCATCTTGGAGGTCCCGGGCCACAGGGAGGTTAGGCTGGCCTCAACCAGAGCCAGGGCTTTTTCGGCCGTGGCCCCGATCTGGTGGAACGCTCTGTCACAAGAGCCTAGGGCCTTGCGGGACCTGACATCTTTCCTGCAAGACAGAGCTGTTCCACCTGGCCTTTGGCCAAGGCACAGCCTGACCCCCTCCTTTGGTAATCCTCACAGAACTCTAGCCCAATGGTTGCCATTAATTTGATTTTGAACTGATTTTGAAAATGAATTGATTTTAGAATGTTGTGTTACTTTTATTGTTGTTAGCCGCTCTGAGCCTGGCTTCGGCTGGGGAGGGTGGGACATAAATAAAATTTTATTATTATTATTATTATTTGGGACTGTTGGCAAAAGCCTTGCTTACCTCTGGCATGACAGTGCTCCTCCTCCCCAAAGCCCCTGGACCCAGCTCTGGGGAGAAGGCTCGCCCCCTCCAGCATAAGCGCCTTACCTGAGCACCTTCTTGTAGGGCTTGCTGGGGTCCCTGTAGTAAGGCACGATGCGCGGCTTGAACTCCTCCTGCGACTCCTCGCCCTCCTTCCTGCCCGGCCCCGCTCCTCCTCCTCCGGCCCCCGGCAGCCCCTCTCCGTCGGGCTGCCGCCCATGGCCCAGCGCGGCTCCGCCGGTGGCGTCGGCGCAAGAGTCTCCGGCGTCGCCCTGGATCCACGAGACGCGCAGCAGGCTCAGGCTGCAGCCCAGCGACAGACCCAGCAGCAGCGGCAGCGCCGGGCGCAGCACCGCCAGCACCGTGGCCACGCGCATGGCCGGCGGCGGGCGCCCGGACGGGGCAGCCGGGGCTCCGCGACCATGGAGCGGCGAGCCGAGGGGCAGCGGGGCGCCTTGCCGGACGCGCCGTCCAGGGCCGGGGCGAAGCGCAAACCTGGGAGCGGGGAGGAAGGAAGGAAGGAAGGGGGTCACCATGGAAGACAGCGGCGCCCACCCCACGAAGTGCCCCCAGGAGGAGGGCAAGGGGGCCACCCCGACCGCGCCGTCTAAGGCCGGGGCGAAGCGCAAACCTGGGAGCGGGGAGGGAGGGAGGAAGGGGGTCACCATGGCGCGCCTGGGCAGCACGGAAGACAGCGGCACCCACCCCACAAGGCTCCCCCCAAAAGGGAGCGAGGAGAAGGTGCGCCCGCCCGCGCCGTCTGAAACGAGGGCTTCGGGCAGAGCTGGGAGGGAGGTCAGGGAGGATGGGCGCCTGGACAGCAAGGAAGACAGCAGCACCCGCCGCCCCCCCGAAGTGCCCCCAGGAGGAGGGCAAGGGGGCCACCCCAACCGCGCCGTCTAGGGCCGGGGCGAAGCGCAGAACTGGGAGGGAGGAAAGAGATCGGGACGGATGGGCGCCGGGGCAGCATCCCCCCCTCCAGGACGCGCCCTCTGGGGGGGGGGCCATCGGGGGTCCCTTCGCAGGAGGGGCAGGCGCCAAGGAGACGCCCGCGTGCGCCCGGTGGGGCGGAGGCCGGAGCGGGGCTGGCCGGCTGCTCTCGCGTCTGCCCCCGACGGGGCGGGCTGCCCCTTCCCCTCGGATGGAGGCGGCTTCCCCTCGGCCAGGCCGGCTCCCGGGGCTCACCTTCCGCCCCCGTCCTCCTCGCGCCCCGTGTCTGGCGTTCACACGCTCCCCGTCCCCGCCAGGCGGCCTCGCGCGCTTCCTCCCGCTCCTCTTCTTCCGCCCCCGCGGCCGGCGCCTCCCTCGGGAAGAGGGCGGACTCCATTTCCCGGCGTGCCCCTTCCCGCGCGGGGCAGGCCGGGCGCCGTAGTCCGCCCAGACTCGCCTTCCCGGCGTGCCCCGGGGCCCGGCGGGCGCTGACGTCTCGGGCGGCCATTGGCGGAGCGGGCGCGGCGTCGCGGGGGGGGCGGGGCCTGGGTGCACGCGGCGGCGGCGGCGGCGGCTGCTCTGTTGCGACAGGAGGGAAAGCGCGGCGGAGGGAGAGAGAGCGAGAGAGAGCGAGAGCGAGAGGCGCCGGCGGAGCCCAGGAAGCAGGAGCAGCCCGGGCCGGAGGGAGGGAGGGAGCCAGCGAGGCCGGGCCTCCCCCCGCGATGCCGTCGGACCTGGCCAAGAAGAAGGCGGCCAAGAAGAAGGAGGCGGCCAAGGCCCGCCAGAGGCCCCGGAGAGGCCCCGAGGAGAACGGCGAGGACGCCGGCGGGGAGCCCGAGGCCGCCCGGGGGGGGCGCCAGGCCAACGGGGCCGACGCCGAGCCAGGTGGGCCGCCCGGGGGGGGGGGAGGGGGCTCAGCGGCGCCTCTCAGGCAAGGCGCCAGTCCTCAGCGAGGAGCCGCGGGGAGCTTGCTGCCCTCTTCCGCCTTGGCCCCGTCGCCAGTCCTTTCTCTGCCCGGAAGAGCCTCTCCTTCCTCCCGCCGGACCGGCTCCCCCCTTATCTCACATGTGGGGCTGGCATGTGGGGCAGGGCTCCCCCATCGGGATGATTCAGCGCCTTCTCTCAAGCAAGGCGCCAGTCCTCAGTGAGGAGCCGCCCTCTCCCGCCTTTCCCCGGGCCGAGCCGGGTGAGGATCCCGGAAGGGCCGCTCCTCCCTCTCCCCCCTTCTCTGGCACGTGGGCCGGCCTCTGGGGCACGAGGCTGCCCTTAAGGGGGGGTCCCCCACCGGGATGATTCATCACCTTCTCTAAAGCCTTCTCAGTCAGGAGCCACGGGGGTTGTTGCCCTCTTTGGGCTTGTACCTCTCCGAGTCCTTTTCCTGGGTGGGGTGACCCCCCCTTTGTGGAGAAGTCACACACCCTGTAAGCCAGCCTTTCTCAACCTGTGGGCCCCCAGATGTTGTTGAACTACAACTCCCTTCACCCCTAGCTAGCAAGGCCAGAGCTCAGGGATGATGGGAGTTGTAGTCCAACAACATCTGGGGACCCACAGGTGGAGAACCGCTGCGTGTCATTCCAGGAGGCAGCTTTCCTTATCTCTCTCCTTGTGAAAGGAAGGGGCTTGGCGGGGGGGGGACCCCAGTTCTCTCTTCCCTCCCCTCCCCCAAGCCAACACCACCCCCCTGAGAGGACCCTTGGTTCTGATGGGAGCTGTGGTTCCCCCTCCAGATGTGGACACCATCTCCAAGGCCATTGAGGAGTTTGAGCTGAAGAAGGCGGCCGCCCGCGCCGTGACGGGGGTCCTCGCCTCGCACCCCAACAGCACCGACGTCCACATCATCAACCTCTCCCTCACCTTCCACGGACAGGAGCTGCTCAGCGACACCAAACTGGAGCTCAACTCAGGGCGGCGCTACGGCCTCATTGGCCTGAATGGCACTGGTGAGGCCAAGGGCGGGGCGGCAGGGCATGGCGGAAGGAGCAGGAAGGGGCATGGCTAACACGGGGGTAGGGTAGGCAAGAGGGTCCGTTGTGATAGCTTCAGCACTGGGGGTTGGACTAGATGGCCCTTGGGGGTCCCTTCCAGCTCTGCAAGGGGGCCAGAGCACAAATCTCCCCAGGTCCTGAGGCCCAGGTGGATGGGTGCCGGGGTGGAGGGGTGGGAGATGGTGGAGCTTACTGTGAAGCCTGGCATTGCAGGGGCCAGACTCAGCCTTCCAGCCCTTGCCAAGGTGGCACCGATGCCAGTGGAGCTCTGGGAGGTTTTTGGGGCCCCCACTGGTCCATTTGCCCTTCTGCCAAGGAGGTGCCTTGGAAAAACCAAGGCAGTGACAGCCTGCCAAAGGGGAAACTGGCACCTCTCCTTCAGAGGCTGTTGGGGTGCAGTGGGAGCTCAGTTGTTGGGCACTGCCTGGCCTCTTCTTGGCAGAAGATCAGCCTCCTTGGCCAGCGTCCGAGGAGCAGCTCAATGGCCCTGGGTCCGTCTCCTGGGGACTATTTTCATCGCCTGCGGTGTGGAGTCTGTTGGGCAGCAGCTCCCGTCAGCCCCATGTCCAACCAGGCGAGAGTATTTCTGCGGGATACTGACATCTCTCTTGGGTGCCACCTCAGACTGATTGCGCCATCAGGGCCAGAGAGACAACATCAGCCCTGATCATCCACTCGCCGTTTCTGTTTCTGTTTCTCATCTGATTCCTGTATTGCGGGGGGGGGGTCGATTTAGATGAGCCTTGGGGTTCCTTTCCAACTTTACAGTTCTGTGGTTCTTTGGTACTGCTTTTGCGTGTGATAGTTTTCATATGTGAGGTCAGTCAGGCATTTATGTGGGCCAATACCAAAAACTTCCTTCCCCCAACTTTTAAAAAGTTGCTTTTAAAAAATACTATACCTGCATTGTTGCGTTCCAAGACTATTATACATATAGGTGTTGAGTCTTGTACACAGTCGTCCGCATGACATTTAAATAAACTAGGGAAGCTTCCTTCCTGAATATTCATGCCGTGGCGTCATGTGTCCTGGGGCTGCCTTTCTTTCTACCCCCGGCTGGGGGTGGCGCTATGTGGCAGCCCTTTCCCCATCAGGGCCCTCTCCTGCGGGGGCCGCAAACTCCAGGTATAGAGGGGAACCTGAAGGAGACCTCCCAGTTCTGAACACTGCAGGACCACAGAGGCGGGTTTTACGGGAATCTCGGGGGCCGGAGGGCCAGTTCCCCAGGCATCTAGGAGTGACCTTCCTTGTGGCTCCCTTGGGAGACGGCTGCATTGCTAGAGAAGACCGGAGGGGTCTTGGAATCCTGGAAGAGACCCTGAGGGTCGCCCAACCCCCTATAAGGCAGGTATCGCAGGAAAAGCACTTCTAGGTCATTTCTCTAAGGGAGTCTATTTTAAAGTTTTTATGTGTAAACTTAAAATCCATTGTTGTATATTGTTTTAAATGTTTGTTTTGCTATTGGGATTGTAGTTCCATTTGCGTTTCTCAAGCTGGTCTCTGACCGTAATAAATTTCATGTTCATGTTCACCCCTGACACTCCGACTCCCGATTGAAAAACTCCAGGGAAACAGATCCCCCCCTTCCACTTCTGAAGGAGTCTGTCCCACCATCGAGGGGCTCTCACCCTTGGGAATGTCTCCCTGGGGTTCACTGGGGCCCTCTGCTTGCCTCCCTTGCCCAGGGAAGTCCATGCTGCTGTCGGCCATCGGGAAGCGGGAGGTGCCCATCCCCGAGCACATCGACATCTACCACTTGACCCGCGAGATGCCCCCCAGCGAGAAGACGCCCCTGCAGTGCGTGATGGAGGTGGACACGGAAAGAGCCATGCTGGAGCGGGAAGCAGAGCGGCTGGCGCACGAGGACGGTAACGGCTCTTAAATTGGTCCAGCGCCCTAAAACCGCAGGCCTCCCAGTGGAGGAAATCGGGGGGGGGGAGCGGACACACATCTCCCACTGCAGCAGCAGCAGTGCAGGGGCCCAGAGCCAGGTGGGCTCACCTGCTTTCTCTCCCCCCCCCCCCAGCTGAGTGTGAGAAACTGATGGAGCTGTACGAGCGCTTGGAGGAGCTGGACGCTGACAAGGCGGAGATGCGGGCGTCGCGGATCCTGCACGGCCTGGGCTTCACCCCCCTCATGCAGAGGAAGAAGCTGAAGGACTTCAGCGGCGGCTGGCGGATGCGGGTGGCCCTCGCCAGGTGGGTGCTGGGCGGACAGGATGGGCTCCTCTGCGGCTGGGCAGGCTCCCTCACACCAGCCTCCCCTCTCTCTCCCCCCTCGCAGGGCACTCTTCATCCGGCCCTTCATGCTGCTGCTGGACGAGCCCACCAACCACCTGGACCTGGACGCCTGCGTGTGGCTGGAGGAGGAGCTGAAGACGTGAGTGCGCGCGGGGAGGCCCCTCGCACCCCACCCCCTGCCCCATTGAGCTCGGCCTTCCCTTCCAACTCCCCTTTCCGAGGACCCTTCTGGGTCAGGCCAAGGGGGGCCCACCTACTCCAGCATCCTGTTCCAAATGCTTGTAGGAAATGAGGGATCGAGATAGACTGCCTCTGGACCTGGAGGTTCCATAAGAAGAGCCTGGCTGCTGGATTAGGCCAGTGGCCCACCAGAAGCCCCCAGAGCAACTCTCTATTAGAAGCGTTGCTGCTTCCAGGTGTGCAGGCAGGGCAGAGCCGTCCTGGCTAGCAGACTTCCATAGCCTTCTCCTGCTCCATGAATTTGTCTAATCTTCTTTTCAAGCCATCCAGGTTGGTGGCCGCCTGCAGGAGGGAGTTCCACAGTTTAACAAAGCCCAGTTGGTTTTATCTGTCCTGGATATTCCAAGGTTCAGCTCCATGGAATGTCCGTTGGTTGAAGAGTTATGAGAGAGGGAATATTAATAGTAATAGTAGTAATACTACTACTACTACTACTACTACTACTATTACTGCTAATAATATTTTTATTATCTATACCCCACCCATCCGACTGGGTTTCCCCAGCTACTCTGGGCAGCTTACGGCATATCTAAAAACAACAAGCATTAAAAGCCTCCTGATACAGGAGGGCTACCTTCAGATGCCTTCTAAAAGTCAGTTGTTTATTTCCTTGACATCTGGTGGGAGGGCCTTCCACAGGGCGGGTGCCACCACCGAGAAGGCCCTCTGCCCGGTTCCCTGTAACTTGGCTTCTCGCAACGAGTGAACCACCAGAAGGCCCTCGGAGCTGGACCTCAGTGTCTGGGCTGAACGATGGGGACGGAGACGCTCCTTCAGGTCTGCTGGGCCATGGCCGCTTAGGGCTTTCAAGGTCAGCACCAAAACTTTGAATTGTGCTTGGAAGTGTATTTTCAAGACCAGTGTTAGGTTGTCTCGGTGGCTACTCCAGTCACCAGTCTGGCTGCCGCATTCTGGATTAGTTGTAGTTTCCAGGTCACCTTCAAAGGTAGCCCCATGTAGAGTGCATTGCAAGTAGTCCAAGTGGGAGATAACTAGAGCATGCACCACTCTGGCGAGACAGTCTGTGGGCAGGTAGGGTCTCATTCTGCGTACCAGATGGAGCTGGTAGACAGCTGTCCTGGACACAGAATGGACCTGCGCCTCCATGGACAGCTGTGAGTCCAACATGACTCCAAGGCTGCGCACGTCTTTTCTCACACTTCTGGCTCTGCTTCTCCAGGTTCAAGCGCATCCTGGTGCTCATCTCCCATTCTCAGGACTTCCTGAACGGCGTCTGCACCAACATCATCCACATGCACAACCGCAAGCTCAAGTATTACACGGTGAGCAGGAATCGGGGCCAGGCGCTGGGCGGTGAGGCTTGCTGCCGCCTCCTGAAAGAGACTGGCCCTGCTTCCAAAATGAAGGGTGGTGGGTCCTCTTTTGTGTGCCTGCCCCCTGGCTGTGGTGGCTGGGCCTGGAGGGCTGCAGGATGAGCCCCCTCCCCGGGCCAGAGCCCCAGGCCAATGGGGATATCGCTCTCTCCTCCTCCAGGGTAACTACGACCAGTATGTGAAGACCCGCCTGGAGCTGGAGGAGAACCAAATGAAGCGCTTCCACTGGGAGCAGGATCAGATTGCCCACATGAAGGTAGCCATCCCAAAGGGACTCCTGAAGGCCATCGTCCACGCTGGCTCTGCACTGCCCTCTGCAGTGGGAGACCGTTGCTGGGCATCATGGGAGAGGGGAGAGTTTATTTACTTTTATTTATTTACTGAATTCGAATGCTGCTCTTCAGCTGAACATCCCAGGGCGATTCACAACAGAAAAATACAAAATGAGAGTATAATATACAGTATGAAGCAAGCATATTTTAAAAGCCATAGAATGTTAATTGCTCTTGTGCTCCCCTTCCCCCCCCCCAAAAAAAAATCTGGGGTGCTGTTGCTGGTTGGTGCTGAGCTATATGGAGCCAGGGGTGTTGTTGGCCAGGGGTGGGGGACAGGATCTGGCCAACCCCACCATGATGGGCATCTTGACAGGTGGGTCCCTCTGACTCTAGAATTCTTGGTGGCCCGGCTTAAAAGGAGACCTCGTCTGAGTCTTCTGTCCAAATTTATTCCCCTCCTTTCCCTGCTCCCTGTGCCCTCGCCTCTGTGCCCACCGCTGACCTCTGAATCGTTGCAGAACTACATCGCCCGCTTTGGTCACGGCAGCGCCAAGCTGGCCCGCCAGGCGCAGAGCAAAGAGAAGACCCTCCAGAAGATGATGGCCTCAGGGCTGACCGAACGGGTGATCAACGACAAGGTGAGGTGGGGAGATGGTCAGCCTGTGCCCCCACAAGTGGGGGCTGAAGGGGCTGAGCCGGGGGGCAGGGGCAACTCAGCAGGCTTTCCTGGGGCTCTTGTACAGGGATGGGGGGGGTGGCTAGAAGACCAGGACTTCGGTTCCTGTAATCAGTGCAGCGGGTTGGATGACCCTTGGGTCCCTTCCAACTCTCCACTTCTGTGGTTCTCTGACCAGCTACCCAGGACCCCCCTGGGCGGGTCTGTTTCCTTCCCAGGCGCTAGCTGGCATTGGAGGGGAGAAGGTGGCAGCGGCTCCTGGCCTGGGGTGCTGCAGGGAGGAGAAACCAAGGGTTGCTGACCTGGACCCCCCCCCTTGTTTCCCTCTTCTTCCCCAGACGCTCTCCTTCTACTTCCCCTCGTGTGGGAAGATCCCACCTCCTGTCATCATGGTGCAGAACGTCAGCTTCAGATACAGCCAGGATGGGGTGAGTGGAGGGGCCAGGGGCTGTCAATATCGGAATTTCATTTCACTCTTAATTTGTATGCCGCCTATCTGTACTGTGACACACAAGGCGGCTCACAAGCTGAAGAAGCAGCAAAATGTACGAATGAGAGAGAAGGCCAGGAAGAGGCCGCAGGATCGAGGCTTATAAAATTATTCCTGGCATGGAGGAAAGGGGGTAGGGAAAAGCTTTCCTCTCTCTCTCCTAACACGGAGATGTCCAATGAAGCCGAACGTGGGAAGATGGAAGGGAAATGTAAGGAAGTCTTGCCTGTGGCAGAGGGTTCAACTGTGGAACTCCTTCCCGCAGGAGCCAAACTATGTGACTTCAAAAGGGGATTAGGCAAAGTAGAAGAATTGGTGGCTCCTAGCCAGGATGGCTCTGCTTGGCCTCCGCAGTCGGAGGCAGTAAGTGCTTCTGAATCCCAGTTGCTGGAAACCAGAGGACAGGAGAGCTGTTCTTGCACTCGGATCCTCCTTCTGGGTTTCCCAAAGAGTTATCTGGTTGGCCACTGTGGGAAGAGGACTAGATGGGCCACAGGCCTGCTCCACCAGCCTCTTATTGTTGTGATGCTGCTAAGGAATCGGGGGTAATTGGCAAGCCCCCAGCTGGCTCCAGCTCACTGGCCGATGTGCCGGTCGAACTCTAGTCCTTGGTGCAGCATGAAACAGTGATCCACAGCTTCAGAAGCCTTCATAAGCTGGAGCACGCTCTAATCAGCCAGAGTAAGCACTACACCACAGAAGCGGCAGGAGACGGCTGGAAAGAGCATATTAACAGGCAGTGTAATCAGCGTACATCAGGACAAAAGGAAAAACATGTCTTCTCCCTTTCGTGTCCAAGCAAGCAGCATAAGCAAAAGCTATACACGCAAACGGAAGTTCCCAGCAAGCTGTGCTGGAGTGTAAACAGACATGTGACATGCAACAATTCCACACGTCTGTTAAGGTGGAACGGAATATCGTAACACTTACGTTATCAAGTATGTATCAAGTAACAGTCCAATCCAGGGCAAAAAAACACACACAAAAATCTGACTTTGAAATAAGCAGCTAATACCAAGTAAAGTGTTATTTAGTAATACATTACAATATAATAGTGCACAATAAGATTAATTCTCAGAATATGAGCAAACAGTAATTAAACTAAAATCCACACTCAATGAATCATTACTACTCTATAATCGTTCAGAAAAAATAATAATAACAGCAAGCCGCAGTATATTTAAAATATCATGCAAGATGATTGAACTGAGCAGACAAGTCATATAACTTTAAAACGTTAGAAATAAAGCTAGGGAACTTATTTCTCCGTCTCACTCTCTGTCTGTCCCCTTCAGCCCTGGATCTACAACAATCTGGAGTTTGGCATCGACCTGGACACTCGCGTGGCCCTTGTGGGGCCCAACGGGGCTGGGAAAAGCACGCTGCTCAAGCTCCTCACAGGGGAGGTGAGGACCTGGCGCCCGTGGCTTGCTTTGGGGGGGGGGTTGGGGTATAGAAATGGCCTTTTCCTCTCTGCTGGAGTCTCTGACCGGCTTGCCCTTTCCCTCCAGCTGCTGCCCAGCGACGGCATGATCCGCAAACACTCTCACGTCAAGATCGGCAGATACCACCAGGTGCTGTTTATTTGGGGGGTTTCTGGCTCCTTCCCAGGGCCCTGCTAGTTCCCTGTGGGTGCAGAGAGCCAGTGAGGCCTAGTGGCTACAGCGTTGCCCTAGGGCCTGAGTTCGAATCTCCACCCGGCGTGAAGGCTTTTGCTGGGTGTGACCTTGGGGTCCAGTCCTTGCCTCTCGGCCTAGCCTACCTCAGAGGGATGTTGTGGGGGGCAAAATGGGGAGGGGGAGAAGAGCCAGGCATGAGCCACCTTGAAGCTCCTTGGAGAAGAAGTTGTGCTATAAACGCAGTCAATGCGTAATTCAGGGTGGCAGCAGCTCAAGCCAAGCAGAAGGGGGGGGGACAGAGGGAGAGCAGTGTGCCCCCCCTCCCCTCACGTACTCCCTCTCCCCACCCCTCGGCCTCCTCAGCACTTGCAAGAGCAGCTGGACCTGGACCTCTCCCCGCTGGAGTACATGATGAAGTGCTACCCAGAGATCAAGGAGAAGGAGGAGATGAGGAAGATCATTGGGCGCTATGGGCTGACGGGGAAGCAGCAGGTGGGTCTGGCCTGGGGGAAGAAGGAAGGAGCCCCAGGCCTGTGGTGTTTGCTGTGGGGCGGGGGGGGGGGGAGCAGAGTCTGAGGGGCAGCCCCTGGCAGGACACAGAAGACCAGGGGGCAGCCCTGGGGAATCCGGGGCAGGCAGGGTGAGACCATAGAACAGCAGGGTGCAAACGCAGGAATCTCGGCTCAAGCGTCCCTGACAGATGGCCACCCAACCTCTGCTTAAAAGCCTCCTAGGAAACAGCTACTACTGTCAAGATGTTCTTCCTAATGTTGAGAACCTGAAACTGCGCCAGAGTCCTGGGTCCAGTTCTGAGCCTTTCAAGCGAAGGTGCCTTTAGGGGCTGGCATTTAGGGGGTTTCTGTGTGCACAGTGGGTCATTCCCCCCATGAGCTGGGGACCCTCCTTCTGCTTAGACCAACGCAGGAAGGGGGAGCCTTGCTCCTGAGCTCAGACCTCGCTTGCGGGTTTCCCCTTCGAGCCCCTGGGTGGCTCCTATGAGAACAGACTCCTGGGCTGGACGGGCCCCTTTGGCTCTTTCTCTTCTGACACGGTCGTGCCCGGCAGGTGAGCCCCATCCGGAACCTGTCGGATGGGCAGAAGTGCCGCGTCTGCTTTGCTTGGCTGGCCTGGCAGAACCCCCACATGCTGTTCCTGGATGAGCCCACCAACCACCTGGACATCGAGACCATCGACGCTCTGGCAGACGCCATCAACGACTTCGAGGGAGGCATGATGCTGGTCAGCCACGACTTCCGGCTCATCCAGCAGGTCAGTGGAGGGGGCAGCCCCAGACCCAGCACTGGGGACCTCTGCTTCACCTGCGCCAAAGGCTGCCTCTTGCCACGCTGGGGGGTGGGGGTGGGAAGAGCCCTCCCCTTCCTGCAAGGAGGATGACGCAATCCACGAGTTCTGGTGCTGGGTGGGGAAGGAGTTTATGGGGTCCGTTACCCCCTCCAGATGTTGCTGGACTCTCCCATCAATCTGACTGATGGGGGCAGGAAGTTCAGCAACATCTGGAGCCAGAGGGCCTTCTCAGTAGCGGTGCCCGCCCTGTGGAATGCCCTCCCATCAGATGTCAAGGAAATAAACAACTACAGTCATACCTGGGGATAAATGTGCTTGAAGTTAAGTATTTTTGGGTTGCGCTCCACGGCAAACCGGAAGTAACGGAGCGCATTACTTCTGGGTTTTGCCGTGCATGCATGCGCAGACGGTCAAAATGATGTCATGTGCGGAAGCGGCAAAACGTAACCCGCCCATGTTAAGACGCGGGTTGTGTTCGCTTCAGGATGCGAACAGGGCTCTGGAACAGATCCCATTCGCATCCCGGGTACCACTGTATCTGACTTTTAGAAGACATCTGAAGGCAGCCCGGTTTAGTGAAGTTTTTAATGTCTGATGTTTTATTGTGTTTTTAATATCCTGTTGGGAGCCGCCCAGAGTGGCTGAGGCAACCCAGCCAGATGGGCGCGGTACTATTATTATTGTTGTTGTTGTTGTTGTTGTTGTTGTTAACAACAACAACTATTATTACTATTCCCCAAATAACAATCACACGCCCATCATTTGGTGAAGAAGTAAAAGGAGTATTTACTTACGTAACTTAGGTCTTGAAGTAGCAATGACAGTAGCAAGATGAAGGCAGTTTTATAACTGCTATCTAAGCTATAAAAGTACAAAAAGCAAGTTCCAAATGGTGTCTGAGTGTGTGCTTGGAGGCCCAGGCAGAAAGGCAGGATGCAGTGTTACCGCTTCCTGCCAAGGCAGGCAAAGGAAGTGATCTCGCAGAGTTCACTCTAGCGAATTTTTCAGGAAAGCTCAGCCCCTTCACGTGCCCCTCTGGCAAAACACACATTGTTGCTTTGGACTCGGATGAGGTCCCGCACTTTCCCTGACGCAAGAGGCCGCCTGCTCTTCCTTCCAGGTGGCCCAAGAGATCTGGGTCTGCGAGAAGCGGACGATCGCCAAGTGGCCGGGCGACATCCTCTCCTACAAGGAGCACCTCAAGTCCAAGCTGGTGGGCGAGGAGCCGCCTCCGCAGATGGCAAAGAAGACTCACAGCGCCTGAGGGCCCTCTGCCGGCCCGGTGGGTCAGCTGAGCTGCTTTCCCCCAGAGACTGGTGCCAGCCTCCAGCCCACCTGCTGCTCCTCCGCCTTGCCAGGGGGAAGGAACAGGCAGCAACAAATCTTCTCTTCAGTTCCTGAGCTCCTGCCGCTGCTGCTGCTGCTTCTTCCTCTTGCACAACCACCACCTGTCCACTCTCCTTCCCTCTGCTCCCCCCAGCTGGACAACCCCTTCTCATCCTCCTCTTCTTCCTCCTCCTCCTCCTCCTGCCTGCAGAGGGAACTTCTCCAGCCCTCTGCACCAAGTGGGAGGTGGGGGTCTGGGCTGACACCGCAGGGCTGACTCTCTGCTTTCATTTCCAGACTTCACTCCTTGGGCCTCCGTTTGTTTTTAGCAATTATTATTTATCAATGTAATTACCAGACCTGTTGGAGAACTTATCAGCCAGTAATAAAGAGGAAAAAGTGTTTCAATAGTTCTGCTTTCTTCTCGCGGAGGCGATAGGAGCGGTGGGGGGGGGCAGGAAAGCTCTGTGTGCCTCAGCTCATCTGGAAAATAAGGTAAAAGCAAGAGTTGACGTCTCGGCTGGCTGTTGGGTTGGCTTGACCGTGGCCGTGCCATCCTCATTCGTGTTTGGGTCTGCGGGGAGTGGCGAGTACCTTCTCAAAAGTGACTAAGAGGGAGGCCAGGTGATACTGAAATGCCCAACTGCACTGAATGCTCTTCTTTGTGGCTCTGAGCATCCCTTGCCTGCCTCAGCTCATGTGGAGCTGTACCCACTCTCCCACACTGCCCTACTAGCCTGTCTCCCCTCCCTGGCTTCTTCAGGTGATGAGACACACACAATGGATGCTGGACCCACCAAGGCTACTGAGAAGTATGTCGTGCCACTTTTTTGGGGGGGGGAATCCCTCCCCAAATATCAAAGCCACCGCCAGAATCTCTCCCACCCAACACGCATTTTATACTTCCTTTTCTGGAAGGGCTGTGTCACATGTTCCCTGAAGCGGAAAGCCGAAAGGGGCACAATTCCATCTTGGGTTTGGCTCTGGCCCCCAGGCAGCAGACTCACAGCTGGGTTGCCCCACAGCCCTCATGTCCCCCCCCCACCTTACCAAGATCTCTCCCTGGTTGGCCCATAGGTGCCTGGAGCAAAGCGGGCAGTGAAGGCCTGTTTCCAGAGGGTCTCCCCTCCTGGGGATGCCGGCAAGCTCTTCCCATCTTGGGAGGTCCTGACTGGGCAAGGCAAAAGTCTGTCCACCCCCTGCAGCCCAAGGCACAGTTGCCCACCCTCACTCACTTTATTTATTAGAAATATATACTGCTTTGTCGTTTAAAAAAAGTGTCAAAAGTAGTGGTTTGCAGCAATAAAACTCTACAATAAAAGACATTTAAAACGTCAAACACATACACCAGCTAACCATTCTGGTTGTATTCTTAGCTGGGGAATAGAAATGGTTTTCATCAGCCGTTTAATAGTTGGCCCAGAATTTCCAGTGGCAGAGAGTTCCATAGGACTGGGCCGTGTCACTGAAGGCTTGGTTTCTCATTGTTACCAAGCGGGTCTTGCCAACGACGCTCCGGCAGGTGACCTCGCAGATATTATAAGGGTCCGGGTGGTCCCTCATGGCACTAAGTTGCTCAGGGCTTTGGAAATGAAGGCGAGCCCCTTGCACTCTCCAACCTGGCTGGGGAGCGGACGGCTGCTGTGCTTTCCTCAGCTGCCCTCAGACCCTGGATCTCCTCAGGCTGGATTAACCATTAAGCAAAATAAGCACCCGCTTAGGGTATCAAGGGGGCACCACATAAATTTCCCATTTCCTGATTTTTAACATTGTCACCAGTTGCTCAGCTGAGCATTCATAGTCTCGGTTGAAGTCGTCCAAAAATCCCTACGGAACAAGGCAGGTGCCTTATCATTACCAAGTATAGAAACGTGTGATGCAAGGTTCATTTTGGTCTTCAGTTTGTTTTTTATTGAAAGATTTTCATGGATAACAAAGGTACATATAACGTTTTCAAATTATAGAGCCCTTTTTACAGGTCAGTTACATTTGGAGTGCAGCTGCTGCCACAGGCATTGCAAGGTTGAGTGTAGAAAGAAGGGGGATAATGATATTTCATTCTTTTGCATAGTGTATGTGCAGTTGTGTGGTTTTTTTCAATAAAGTTTTATTTGGTTTTACAAGTTGATTCAGACACACACACAAATTCTTGCAAATATTAAAATTATAACAAGATTCTTCCAAATCTTAGGACTTCCCTCCTCCCCTTCACGAGTTCTTTAAATACCTTTGTAAACTGCATATTATAAATTCATCCAAATTACTGTCCTCCATTATATCCAAAGTCTTTGTGACACTGCAATAGTTATTTAAAGCCTGCCAAAGAGTTCAAGTGTTTACAGAGTTCTTTTAGATACAGTCTGTATTTGTCCCATTCTCTACTGAAGTTTTGATCTTTCTGATTTTCCCGCTCAGTCTTGCCATCTCTGCATAGTTTCATCTGCCAGGCTGCTTTTATAGGTCTCATCCTTCCAAGTCTGGGCAAGTATCCTTGCAGCAGCAGCAGTAGCCTACATGAACAGTCTTTTGTGCAGTTTTGTGTCAGGTGAGTAGGTTCTTGAGGATCTGCTCAAATATTTTGCAGTTAGAGGACATTTATCAAATGAAGTGAAAGTATACCAGATTAAAACATTATTTTCCATCTTACTGTAGGTTTTATTTCGAAAAGTAAAATTGTACAGATTACTGTTTATATTTTGAACTAGATATTTATGGGGGCACCAAAATCTTTTTAGGGACTCCAAAAGTATTAATTCCCCCCCTGCATCTCCTCCAAGGTCAGGAGAATCGGGGGCTCCTTCGTCAGCGGCAAGGGAGGGGCTGGCTCTCAGGCCCCCCAGTAAGGGATGCGGCCCTGGGCAGCAAACAGCTCCTTGGACGTGCCAGGGATCTGGGAGAAGCAGGTACCAAACGGAGCCCTGCTGCTTGGAGCCTCCTTTGGTCCCGGGAGTCACCCACCTTCCAGGTGGGCCCTGCGCTCTTCTGCAGGTGGGCCAGCCGGCCCCTTCCCTGTTCCCTCGTTTCTATGGGAACTGGCCGGGACAATCGGGGGTGGGGCCTCCCCGCCTTCCGCCTGCGAGGAACTCGGCGCCCGGGAGGCAGAGGGGGCAGCATGGCGAGCAGGTGCGGGCGTCTTGGGGTAACTTGCAAGAGCCGCGCTCGCTGAGTCCTCCGCTCGGCCGTCTCCGGGCTGCCCCGAGGAAGCCCCTCTGGGCAGGCGGGGATTCGGAGCCGCTCCCGGGGCGCGCGCTTGCCTTTAGGCGACGGGGCGCGCCCGGAGCTGGCTTGAGCGGCGCTGGCAAATCTGCAAAGGGGGTCGGGAGCACCGAGGCCGGCTACGGAGCAGAGACTGGGGTGGCTGGAGGAGGGAGGGGGCGCCAGGTGCGCGTGGAAAGGGAGGGGTCTGGTGTTCAGGAGCCCGAACACCCACCCGCCCCGCGCGCGGTACAGTTCTGCCTGGTCAGATCTGATTTCCAGGTTTTGCCTGTTCGCGAGGGGCCCTCCATCACTCCTGCATCAATGGGGGGGGGGTTAGACTAGATGGCCCTTGGGGTCCCTTCCAGTTCCACCCTTCTGTTCTGTGATTCCATGAGCATCTGATCTCGCCATGGACGGCTTTCTCTCCTGCCGTTTGCATTGGCCCAGGGGCGCCGGGGCTGCGTGGTTCCAGTTCCGTTGGCCCCGGCCAGTCCGAGGCCTTTCTCGACGGCGGCCGCCCCTTCCATGGCCAATTTGCCCCTCACAGGGCCGGATTTATGTTTGACGGGGCCCTCAGCTCCTGGAGATAATGGGGCCTTTTATACGTCCAACTGTCCTCTGTCAACAACAAATTGTCGCTGTTTTTATTGTGTTGAATATATGCCATGCAACCTGTCCATGCAGAATGTAGGCACCCTATATATTGAAATGAGCAAACCAGTGATATTTGAGGGAGCAGGCGGGGCCATTACTTACATCATAGGAGCCAACACAACACAACACAAAACACTGTTGCTGTATGTAGGTTTTATTTTATTTGTTTTTTATCTTATATTTTGGAAATGTACATCCAGTCCCCCCCCTCTAATTTTTTGTGGGGTCCCCAAGAGAGTGGGGCCCTAAACTATGGCTTGTTTAGCTTAAACGTAAATCCGGCACTGGCCCCTCAGCAAAGGAAGGCAACCTCCTTGCTGCGCGTTCCTGGCCTTCCCAGAGCCGTCGGAGCCCCGAGGGGCGGCGTGGGCTGCGGTGCGGACTGGGGACGCGGCTCTCCCTCCCTCCCTCCCTCCCGCAGCACGTTCGGGAAACTGTGGCAGGAGTCCCGGGTGGCCCTGAAGGAGCTTCTGGCGCAGGAGCTGCCGGCGCAGCCGACGAAGCCGGAGCGCAACCGGGCGGTGTTCTTCCACACGGTGGCCACTCTCTACCTGCGCTACATTCAGACGGCGCGGCGCCTCGAGGTTTGCTACGACCAGATGGTGCAGCCGCAGAAGCGCCTGGTGCTGCGGCCTCTGCTGGAGGGCGTGCTGGGCCGCATCCTGGAGCTCAAGCAGGAGCTCGTGGAGCTGGACCTGTCCGAGTACCACTACATGGACCAAGTGCTGGAGGAGCTCAAGCTGACGCCGGTCAGTCCCGGGCTGGCAGCGGGGGGCGGGCGGAGTGCGGCGGGGAGAGATCCTGTGGGGTTCGTCCTTGCCCTCCTCCCAGGAGCCCCATAAGAAAGACCCCTGCTCTGCTCTCCTAGACTAGGCCTGAAAGGAAGAGCCTCGAAGGAGCCCCTCTCCCGAGGGCCGGGCGAATCTCAGGCTGCCTCGCGACAAGTAGGCGAGGTTCTAGTCCTCATTGTTTAGGCCGGGAAGGGCTGGAAGAGCGGGAGAAGGTGGTCTGGGCGGGGCTCCTGGCCAAAGGAGGGGGGGTTCTCAAGAAGGGGTGGCGGGAGAAAGGGGTGCCTGCAGCGCAGTGGCATCCAGGGAGACGGTTTGCGCAGGCTACGCTAAGCGGAGCTGGTCGCCTCCTCTCGGGACCCTTCCTGCCGTCCGCGGTGCCCCCGGTGGCAACAGGGGGAAGGGACCGCTCCGTGCAGCCCACCCCCGACGGCGGGACGCTCCCTCCGCGGAGTCTGCGTGGCGCTGACCTTGATGCCATTTCTGTGCCAGGAAAAGCCTCGTTTCTCGAGGCCGTTTAAATCTTCCGTAAGCTGCTTTTAAAGAGATTAAAGCTGGCTTTAATTCGGCTTTTACGCTGTTCATTTATATGTATCCCGGCGTTTTGTGGCCGCCTTTCGGGGCTCTGTTGCCATTTTAACCCTTTGTCAGCGGCCGAAAAGCAGGGTAGAAATCAAGTAACCGAAACCGCAGGCCGCGTTTGCACAACGTGGGGCGCGTTTGGACGAGCCACCTCCAGGGTCCAGCCAGCCTGGGACTCCGCGGAAGAGGGGCGCCACCAACCCCCTCCCGCCCCCATCTCCCCCCTCTTTGCAGGCGGACATGGAGGTCCCCATTCCCAAGTACTTTCTCCACGAGCGCGCCAAGATCCTCCAGGACCGCCAGGACCTGTTGACCGGGCTCATGAGTCAAATGGGGCCCACCAAGAGTCAAGTGGGGTCCGCCGTGAGTGCCTCCTCCCTGGGAACGGGCCTCTGATCGGGCGAAGGGCTCCTCCCGGCGCTGCCGGTGCCAGGCTGGGCTTGGACCCGAGGAGGAGGGGAGGGCGGGTCTGCAGGTTTTTCCTGGGGGACGCCTGGCGCAGGGCCCAGACCGCGGGAGTTTTCTGCACTCGCTCACGCCCTGCCCGGCAGGGATCCTTGCCCTCCGGTTCCTGGAGGAGCCCGGCGTGGCGGCCAGCAGCGTCCGACGGCGCCCTGCGCTGGGGCTTCCCGTGGCGGGCGCTAGCGCCCCGTCTGAAAAGGGCTGCCCCCTTCCCCCAGCCTCCGCGGCCCAGCATGCCGCGGGAGGAGGCGGTGCGGCTGATCCAGATGGCCGAGCGGATGCGCCAAGGCCGCCTGCGCGCGCGCTTCATGTGGGAGATCCGGAGGGACGAGGAGCGCGAGAGGAAGGTGCGCGAGAGCGGCTTCTATGAGCCCAACCGAGACGTGGCCGCCATCACCATCCAGAAGGTGAGGGGGGGGCATTGCCTCCAGGGAGGAGCGGGGGGGGGCTGTTCCCCAAGGACTGTTCCCCTAGGACCACAAGGCGAGGAACGCCCGTTCGGGTTGGAGGCTAGGACGGATCCTGGAGAGAGGCGGGGTGGTCTTTCGAGGCGAGGGGGCGCAGACTTCCCTCTTCCCCAGCGCAAAGAGACAGGACTAGCCTCCCCTGCCTTACTCCGCCGCTCTCCAGCTGCGACTCAAGGCGCTGGCGCCGTCGGGGGTGTGGTGGTTATGTTGACACCAGCTTAATCAGAAGGCCGAAGCCATGAATGTAGCTGAGAGACGCGCGTTGATCCCCCAAACCCACCTCGTCCCAAAGCTTTGCCGTCCGCTTTCCGCCCACCAACATGTTGTAGAAAGGCGCCTTGCGGGCCTTTTTTTTGGCGCAATGCTGCGCTGAACTATGGCGAGGCGGGTGTCCTCGTGGGGGAGTCGAGTGTCAAACTGTGGGGCGCCTCATTGAACTGAGTTGTTCTTCGAAGTGGGCTTTCATAGGCTCGTGGTTGCCCCCCCCCCCACCTCACGCCCCACGAGCCTGGGCGGGTGAGCTCCTTGGTCAGTGCTGAGCGCAGTCCCGGGTGGGTCCCGATTCACGTCCCCTCTTCCTCTTCCTCCAGATCTGGAAAGGGTGCGTGCAGCGACGACTCATTAAACTATCCCGGCAGATGGAGATGGTTTTCCTTGGCATGGTGAGCGCGCGCGCGCCCGCCCCCTGTGCCGGACTCTTGCCCTTGGCGCTACGGCCCTCCCGCCCCCTTTTTCCAAGCACCGCTGTCCGGCTGGCTTGGAGGGCGCGGCCCCGACGGGGCGGGACGAGGGGTCGCCACTGGAACCGCCTTCCCTTCCCGCCGGGGCCAGCTCGGCTCCTGCGCCAGGAGCGGCTTAGCCGAAGCACCGCAGGAGGGTTTCGACGGGCGCCTCGGGGCTGGCGCAGGAGGGAGGGAGGGAGGGAGGGATCGCGGCCTTGCTAGCCCCGCGCTTCTCGCCCCGGCGCGGCCCGGGCAGCCCAAGGCGCGTCCGTCTCCTGCGCCAAGCGGGGGTCTATCCGTGTCCCCCCCGTCCCGTTTCCGCCGGGGCTCTTCCCGCCTCCTCCCCCCCATTAGCGAGTGTTTAGTTCAGCGTTTTAAATAATTGTGTCCTCGGAATGATATTTAAAATCCATTTGGGGGGCAATGAGGCGGGAAAGTGCCTGGGCGCCGCGGCCGCTGCCGGGCAAGGAGGCGCCGCGCGCGCATATTACAAACTCATTACGGGGTAATTTACACGGCCGCGCTCGGCGCCCGCCTCCCATCTCGCCTAATGGCCTCGCCTGTGCCGTCGTATCTCTCCCTCCCTCCGGCTCGGCGTGGGGCTGGGGGGGGAGGGAGAGGGAAGGTCGCCCCCCCCAGCTGCTCACTGCCCACCCCGCGCAGGAGCTGGAGCCGGAGCTGGCGGGCCCCACGCCGGCCATGATCCGGGCGCAGCTGGGCGAGGAGCTGCGCCGCATGCGCCAGGCGGACTACGAGGCCGAGTACCAAGTGGCGCTCGACAACATCCGCGACACCATCTACGAAGTGGAGGGGCCCAGCATGTGCGAGGCGCTCAAGGACCAGCTGCGCCAGTGGTTCATCGAGTGCCGGTGAGCAGCAGAGAGAGGGCAGGGCAGCCCAGGAGAGCCTGGAGGGGCCCCGGGAAACAGCGGGAAGCTCCTCGGGTCCAAGGCTGCAATGAGCCTGTTAAGGCCAGTTTGAACAGTGGAAACCTGCAAGCGAAACATGAGCAGGAGAGGCAGTCTCTCCACCATGAATTCACCTAATCCTCTTTTAAAGCCATCCAAGATAATAACAACAACAATAATAAAAATAATCCCTTCTGACTGGATTGTTCCAGCCACTCTGGGCAGCTTCCAACTGTTAAGGGAGAAATTTGAGGGCTCCCTTGGACAAAAAACAAGGACCCCAGCCAGGAAGACCAGAGCAAAACAGCAGCCAGTCGGCTTGGTCTTGATTGAAGACAGTCGTGACAGGACTCCCACCTTCCACCAGGTGGAACAAGATGGAAGCCCCCAACAAAAGAGAACCCAAACTTTTATTAGCTGCTAATCCCCATGTTACACCCCCCCAACTACATCACTCATACATCACGGTTACATCATGAAAGGGGAGGTCTGGTGGCAGTAATCTGAGCATCCTGGACTCTGCCCCATGGTTCCCCTTGCCTCCACCAAACACCCATCAAGTGGAACAACAGAGATCTTTACATTTCCCTGTTTCCCAGCCAAGTTAATCACACCCTTTTGTCTTCATCTGGGTTTGTTATTTCCGGAATGGCTACCTGTCTGGCACTCAGGTCTCAGGATGCCAGGGATTATCACTCAGGCAGAGGGGCTGCTGAGTAGCTGAGCTCACATGTCTATATGAATTTCTGAAGTTTCCCCAGTGAGCCAGTACATAGGTACATTTATCAGTGAATTGTTACATTTGGTATCGTACAGCAAAGACCCTTTGAATAGATAGGAAGAAACTGTGATGAAGTATTTTGTGGGGACAAATAACAAAAGTCACAAAAGTGATGGTTCTGATTTTGGTAGTGGGCTTCATGTGCATGATATCTGCTGGAGGGGCAACCCCCCCAACCTACACATAAATTCCTGCAACAGAACATACATAAAAACAATAAAACCATAAACCTTAAAAAGCTTCCCTGTGCACGGCTGCCTTCAGATGTCTTCTAAAAGTCTTCTCCTTGCCAGTGGATGGGAGGGCGTTCCACAGTGTGGGGGCCACTATGGAGAAGGCCCTCTGGTGTCCATAGGTGCTGGGAGTTCCATAAGGGCTATCTTTTACCTGTCCTAAATCTCCCCAGTGGTAGCCCCCCTCCCTCAAGGGACAAGCTGGTCGGCTCTTCTCAGTGGACCATTGATGCTCATCCCCCCCATTCTGCCTCCCACAGCGACCTGGTTGGCTCCTTCCCCGACTACCCTGATGAGCAGATGGGGGGCTGCACTGTCCTCTTTGCTCAGAAGACCCCTGAAGAGGTATTGGATGGAAGGGCTGAAGAGGGGAGGGGGCTTGCAGTACCCCTCTGCCTTAAGGAGGAGCCTCCTGGAGGCTGCCACCCCCCCTAAGATACCCTCACTCCCCCCCAAGTCCATTCCTCTTGGAGTCACACGGATTCTCCCCGCAGGTGCAGAATGAGCTGGAACTGGCCGAACTGAAGGCAGAAAGCAAGAAGAAGGAGAAGAAGAAGGAGGAGAAAGACAAAGGGGAGAAGGAGAAAGGGAAGGAGAAGGAGAAAGGGAAGGAGAAAAAGAAAGCGGTGAGGAGGGGGGGTGGTTCCCTACCCTGGCTAAACTCTTGGAGTCCATCTGCTCCCTGAGAGGCCACAGCTGTGCAGGGATGGGGATGGGAGCTGGGGGTGGGGACACCTTAGGGGGTCTGCTGACGTGCTGGATTTGAGGTTCTCCTCAGGAGGAAGACGAAGGCCTGCTTCTCCACCCCTCCAAGTTCCTGCCAACCATCAGCCAGGGCTACCTGCGCTACACAGGTGAGGCAGGGCAGAGGGGAGCCCAGTGTGGGAGGGAAGGGGTTGACAGCAGGGGGCTCTTGGGCCACTTCGACAGGCAAAGCTGCCAGCAGTGGGTCAATGTAGTGTCCATTGCATGGGGGGGGCAGAAGGAGCCCACTCAGTGCCAGATTAAACCTTGTGGAGGCCCCTAGGCAGTCAAAATCTCAGGGCAAATTATCTCCAAATATGCGCTTGATTTTACCAACCAACAATTGGATTACACAAAACAAGCAGTATCTGTTTTGATCCTTTGTCTCGGGGCCCCTAAAGGGGGGGGGCACAGGCTGGTGCCTACTCTGCCTATTTGTAATCTGGCTCTGAGCCCACCCCGCGGGGACAAGCGGGCATCGGCACTCCAGGAGCTCCACACCCAGCCCAGGGTGGCAGAGCACCCCACTCCAGACATGGCTAGGTGTTGGGCCAAACACAAGATCCCTGCATTGTTGGGGGTTGGACTAGATGACCCTTAGGGGCCCCTTCCAAATCTGCAGTTCCATCACTGAGCCCCAGACGTCCCTCCACAGTTCCTTCTGGCCCAGACCTCCTGTCCTCAAGTGGGCACTGACCGCAGCCATCATGGCAAGCTGGGCAGGGCTGCTGGGCACGGTGAGGGCTGGGGGTGGGGAGCACGGGGACATCAGCACTGCCTGCCCCCCCCAAGGCTGCTGGAGTGACCAGGATGAGGCCATCAACTTTGAGCAGCGCTACCAGGAGGACCTGATCAAGGTGGACAAGCGGAAGGAGGTGGAGGAGGAGATACGACTGCAGGTGGGTGCCCAGGTGGAGGGGCAGGCCTTGTCCTCAAAAATTCCAGGGGCCACAGAAGCTGGGCCCCTGCAGCCCTTTTCTGAGGCCCCCTCCCCTCCTCTCCCTTCCCCTGCTCAGGTGGATGAGCTGATGCGACAGGAGCTTCAGCAGCTCAAGCTGGCCATCGACCAGGAAGTAGCAAGGCCGGTCAAGGCCAAGGCCAAGAAGAGTGCCAAGGTCAGTTCAGGGGGGAAGGCCTTTTATCCAAGGAGCATCCCCTGGGGGGGCAATGAAGGAGGAGCCTGTCTTTCTGCCCCCCATTCACCTGCCCAGAGCTGCAGAACAACTTTTTCTGACTTTTTTTTTTTTTTGAGCAGAAAAAGGGAAAGAAAGGGAAAAAGGAGAAGGACCTGACACCAGACAGGTAGGTCCCCCTCTCTTCCTCCCCCCCCCATTCCTCCTGGCCATGCTGAAGGTGTGGCTCCTGGGTGGGTGGGGGTGCTGGGGGCACAGGGTGTGCCTGTGGGATGTGAAACACAAGAGCAGTCAAGTACAACATTCCTAGAGTGAACATGTTTACACATGGGGAGGAATGTTTGTCCAGCCAGCAGGTAAACTTCCTGTTTCCTTCTGGGCTGGGACAGACTTCCTCTGCATGTGACGAGAGGTGGGCGTGGCCTCACCTGTGCAGGTAATGACAAAAGCACAGGGCAGGGCAGCCATCTCTCTTTTGACTACATGCATCGAAGAAGCAACATCTGCTTAGCCAAAGATGCTCTCTTGGAGAGTACAAAGGGACTGTTTCTTTATGGGATAGTTTCCAGGTGTATGTTACTTTTTTAAGCTAAGTCTGCCTTCTGGGATCTGATTGTGAACAGAATGTGAGTAAACTCTTTTTATACTTTTATAGAAGACTGTGTCGTGTCTTATCTTTTATGAGGGAATAAGGGGAAAATACCAGAAGAGTTATTACAGAGGCTTAAGCAAGTCTGTGCAAATACATCCACTGTGAGTTTAAAAGGGGGAATGTTACTCTGCTAAATTGTGAACTTGTTTACACAAGTTGGAAAGGCTATAATCAAACAATATATCCTCTCCTGCATCCCTGAATATTCCCACAGTGCCATGGGGTCAGAGGCATGCAAAAGTGGGTGCAGTGGGTGTGATCCGCCCCGGATGCCATCCCTGAAGGAGGGTGACATCGCCATGGGCAGCGCCCCTCCGGGATCCTTCCTGCTGCCGACGCCCCCCCAGGATGCGTGCTCCTGCTAGCTCCACCTCTGCTCATCCCTATGGGCAATTCACCACCCCAGGTGCCCAAGAGGCTTCCTCTGTTACTGCATGGGATTGGCCTACACTTTTCTGCTTTGCCTCGGAATGGCTAGGAGCCCAATTGCTCACCTGTGTGCTCCCCGAGACTCTCCTCTGCTCTGGGCACCTTGGCAGAGAGTGCAAGGGACAGGAAGGGGCGCAGATACAGCTCCTTTCCAAGTGAGCCTAGAGATGTCTCTGCTGGCAATAAGCTCCAGGGGCCTCCTGGCAGTTTCCTCCCTGCGAGAAATGAGGTTGCAGGGAACCAGGCAGAGGGCCTTCTCGGTGGTGGTGCCCGCTCTGTGGAACGCCCTCCCAGCCGATGTCCATGAGATGAGTAACTATACAGCCTTTAGAAGACATCTGAAGGCAGCCCTGTATCAGGAAGTTTTTAATGCTTGACATTTTATTATGTTTTTATATGTGCTGGAAGCCGTCCAGAGTGGCTGGGGAAACCCAGCCAAATGGGAAGCGTATAAATAATAAAACTATTTATTATTATTATTATTATTAATAATAATAATAGCTAGTAGCCACGAAGTTTCCTGTAACCTCACTTCTCGCAGTGAGGGAACTGCCAGAAGACCCTCAGAGGAGGACCTCGGTGTCTGGGCTGAGCGATGGAGGTGAAGGCCATCCTCTGCTCCAGGAATTTCTCTAATGACACCTTAAAGCCACCCAGGTCTCCTCCTGCAGGAGTGATTGTTTTTAACAAAATTAATTTGCCCAGGCAGACAAAGGAAGTGATCTCACAGAGTTCTCTTCTCTAGCAAATTTACAGGAAAGCTCTGGGAGTCGCTGCCTGTCTGGCGAAACATGAAATGTTGCTGGGGGACCCTGCCCCCCTGGCTGAGCCTTGCCTCCCTCCCCTCTGTCCCTCAGGACCCTCGAATCCCTCTATGAGGAGCTTGTGCGCGAGGGCATCATTAAGAAGCCACAGAAGGTGCATCTGGCCGATTACACAGGTGAGTCATCTTGCCTTCCACCCTGATTTTATTTCTCCACGGAACTGAAGGTGACATCCATGGTTCTCCCTCTCTGCCTTTAATCCTCACAACTGTGGGGTGTGAAACACAAGAGCAGTCAAGTACAACATTCCTAGAGTGAACATGTTTACACATGGGGAGGAATGTTTGTCCAGCCAGCAGGTAAACTTCCTGTTTCCTTCTGGGCTGGGACAGACTTCCTCTGCATGTGACTAGAGATGGGTGTGGCCTCACCTGTGCAGGTAACGACAAAAGCATAGGACAGGGCAGCCATCTCTCTCTCCTTGACTACATGCATTGAAGAAGCAACATCTGCTTAGCCAAAGATGCTCTCTTAGCCTCCAGCCAAGGTACCTTAACCTGAGGTACCACTGTATATGTTACTTTTCTAAGCTAAGTCTGCCTTCTGGGATCCAATTGTGAACAGAATGATGTGCGAGTAAATCTTTTTTATACTTTTATAGAAGACTGTGTCGTGTCTTATCTTTTATGAGGGAATAAGGGAAAAATACCAGAACAATTATTATAGAGGCTTTAGCAAGCCTGAGCAAACGCATCCACTGCAAGTTTAAAAAGGGGAATGTTATTCTGCTAAATTGTGAAACTTGTTAACACAAGTTGGAAAAGCTATAATAAAAAAAAAAATCCTCTCCTGCATCCCTGAACATTCCCACAACAACAACCCTGCGAGGTAGGTTAGTTCGAGAGGCAGCAAGCCGCCCAAAGTCTCCCAGGGAGCTTCATGGCAGAGGGGGATTTGAACCTTGGTCTCTCCCACACTCTAACCCAGGCATGTCCAAGAGATGGTGTAGTGGTTAGAGCAGGCATAGGCAAACTGGGCCCTCCAAATGTTTTGGGACTACAACTCCCATCATCCCTAGCTAACAGGACCAGTGGTCAGGGATGATGAGAATTGTAGTCTCAAAACATCTGGAGGGCCAAGTTTGCCTATGCCTGCTCTAACCACTACACCATCTCTTGAACATCTCTTGATACAACAGAGCAGCTCCTCCTCCTCCTCTCCTTCCCTCTGCTGCCATTTCTTCGGTTGGACTCCCTCTGGAGGGATATGAGCAAAATCCCCTTTACTCCAACTCAGCCATGGAATGTGTGCCACTGGGCATGTACAGAGAACCGTTGCTCACAATCTGCCATAGAGTGGTAGGGCTGGAAGGAACCTCCTGGGGGGCTGCTGGGTCCAACCACCACGAATAGCGAGGCCTGTTTGCCTGACAACAAATGTCCCACCAAACCAACCTGCCAGAGAAGGGAGGGGACTGACAATCCAGAATGCGGCAGCTAGACTGGTGACTGGGAGTGGCCGCCGAGACCACATCACACCAGTCCTGAAAGACTTACATTGGCTCCCAGGGCATTTCTGAGCACAATTCAAAGTGCTGGTGTTGACTTTGAAAGCCCTTGGCCCAGTAGATCTGAAGGAGCGTCTCCACCCCCATCATTCAGCCCGGACACTGAGGTCCAGCTCTGAGGGCCTCATGGCGGTTCCCTTCCTGCGAGAAGCCAAGTTACAGGGAACCAGACAGAGGGCCTTCTCAGTGGTGGTGCCCACCCTGTGGAACGCCCTCCCATCAGATGTCAAGGAAATAAGCAACTATCTGACTTTTAGAAGACATCTGAAGGCAGCCCTGTTTAGGGAAGTTTTTAATGACTGATGTTTTACTATGCTTTTATATTTGCTGTAAGCCACCCAGAGTGGCTGGGACAACCCAGTCAGATGTGTGGGGTAGACAACATATATTATTATTATTATTATTATTATTATTATTATTATTATTATTATTATTATTATTATACACTGGCTGAGGGCCTGTTCCTCTTGCCTCCCCTTTTCCACACCAGGTGACTTCTGCTACCTGGGCACCTACCTCCGCCAGCAGGAGATAGAGCCAATCCCCTCCACTTTGGACGTGCGCCAGAACATTGCCCTGTATGCTGTCCTGCGTCTGGGTAGGGCAGCAGCCAGTCCCCCATCCCATAATGTGCCCCGGGTGTTGCTTCCAGACCGTTGCCCTGGGTCCTGCCCTCTTTCTCTGGGTGTGGAGACCCCGTTTCTCGCCTCCCCCCACAGGCTCTCAGGCTGTGCATGAGATGGCCCCCCTGGTGAAGTCCCTCCTCCTGGCCGGTCCAGGGGGGACTGGGAAGAAGATGCTGGTCCACGCCGTGTGCACAGAGACAGGCGCCAACCTTTTTGACCTCTCCCCAAGGAACCTGGTTGGGAAGTACCCAGGCAAGGCTGGCCTTCAGATGATGATCCACCTAGTGTTCAAGGTATGGCCTGGCAGGGAGGGGGCAGTTTTAGGGGAACGGGGATGGGTCATCTAATTATGGGATCGCACAGGGCGCTGGGGAAATCTAAGAGTCCAAAGTCCTCCGCTGGGTCCTGGCATTGTAGCTGGCGAGGGTCGCTATAGGGCTGGCTGGAAGGAAGAAGGGGAGCAAGGAAGATTTATTTATTTATCTCATAAAACCTATACACTGCTTGATAGGTGTTTGTTTTTTCAAAAAAAAACACCTCATGTGGAAATGTTGTGGATATTAGGAGAGGATATAATCATTTAAGTTGAGAAATCCAGTCTGGCTTGTCCAGATTGGATTGTTCCTGGTAAATTTCCCCTTTAGTTCCCTCTTAAAAACAATACAGTGGTACCTTGGGTTACAAACACTTCGGGTTACAGACTCCGCTAACCCGGAAGTAGTACCTTGGGTTAAGAAGTTTACCTCAGGATGAGAACAGAAATTGAGTGGGGCAGCACAGTGGCAGCGGGAGGCCCCATTAGCTAAAGTGGTACCTCAGGTTTGTGGGGAATGTTCAGGGATGCAGGAGAGGATATATTGTTTGATTATAGCCTTTCCAGCTTGTGTAAACAAGTTCACAATTTAGCAGAGTAACATTCCCCTTTTTAAACTCACAGCGGATGTATTTGCACAGACTTGCTTAAGCCTCTATAATAACTGTTCTGGTATTTTGCCCTTATTCCCTCATAAAAGATAAGACACAACACAGTCTTCTATAAAAGTATAAAAAAGATTTACTCACACATCATTCTGTTCACAATAGGATCCCAGAAGGCAGACTTAGCTTAGAAAAGTAACATACGCCTGGAAACTATCTCATAAGGAGACAGTCCCTTTGTCCTCTCTGGGCTGGAGGACAAGAGAGCATCTTTGGCTAAGCAGATGTTGCTTCTTCAACGCATGTAGTCAAAAGAGAGAGATGGCTGTTCTGCCCTGTGCTTTTGTCATTACCTGCACAGGTGAGGCCACGCCCACCTCTAGTCACATGCAGAGGAAGTCTGCCCCAGCCCAGAAGGAAACAGGAAGTTTACCTGCTGGCTGGACAAACATTCCTCCCCATGTGTAAACATGTTCACTCTAGGAATGTTGCACTTGACTGCTCTCTTGTGTTTCACATCCCACAAGGTTAAGAACAGTTGCAGCTTAAGAAGGGACCTCTGGAATGAATTAAGTTTGTAACCAGAGGTACCACTGTAGTGACACGACAGTCTTCTTTTAAAAGTAACCGTAAAGTTTACTTGCATTCAGGTCACAGTATTGTCCTGAAGGCAGGCTTTAGCTTGTAGTTACAGGTACACGTGTAGAGAAAATAAGTCTGAGGTGGGCCTGAGAATTAATTGAGCCTTGTGGCTTCCATCCTCTGTAAGGACGAGCCATGTGCTGGTGGCTCAGAGCCAGCAGAAGATGGGAAAAGAGCAGCAAAAGAGGCAAAGAGCAAAAGAGGAAGATGGCTGCGTGACTGGCCCTTTCGTAGGGTCTCCCAGGGTCAAGCCCATACCTGGTCACACGGGGAGGATACTCCCGAGCAGGTGTGACAGGAAGTCCTCCTGGCTGGAGCAACATTTCCCTGTGTGTCCACTCTAGGAAGACACGGGTGGTGCTGTGGGTTAAACCACAGAGCCTAGGGCTTGCTGATCAGAAGGTCGGCAGTTCGAATCCCTGCGACTGGGTGAGCTCCCGTTGCTCGGTCCCTGCTCCTGCCAACCTAGCAGTTCGAAAGCACCTCAAAGTGCAAGTAGATAAATAGGTGCCGCTCCGGCGGGAAGGTAAACGGCGTTTCCATGCGCCGCTCTGGTTCGCCAGAAGTGGCTTAGTCCTGCTGGCCACATGACCCGGAAGCTGTACGCCAGCTCCCTCGGCCAGTAAAGGGAGATGAGCGCTGCAACCCCAGAGTCGGCCACGACTGGACCTGATGGTCAGGGGTCCCTTTACCTTTACCTTTTACACTCTAGGAAACAGGAAATGTTGTGTTTGACTGCTTGAGTGAATGATACATCCCACACCTGAAAGGGGTTTGCAAAAAGCTGAGCCTCAGCCCCTTCATGTGCCCCTCTAGCAAAACACAAATGGTTGCTTTTGGCTGCAGCAAAGACCCACACAACCCTCCTCCATCTGGTCAACTTCTAAACGGAGCCTTGGTGGTGCCCCAGGGCTCTGCCATGGCCTTCCTCTCTGGAGATGGAGCGATGCAGCAGTAGTTTGGGAGCAGCTGCACCAACCCCACCCCACGCCCCCAGCCTCACCTTGCAGACCTTCTGGTCCTAAAGGCGGGGTCACTTTCCAGCAGCTGCCCACAGCTCTTTTTTGTGCCCCATGTTCTGCAGGTGGCCCGTCTGCTGCAGCCATCCGTCATCTGGGTGGGGGACACAGAGAAGACCTTTTACAAGAAGGTCCCCAAAGAGGAGAAGGAGGTGAGTGAGGTGGGAGGAGAACAGCCTTGATGTCCCATAACCTGGAAAAAAGCAGGTTGAAGCTGGCTGGGGGTCATGCCAATCTGCTTCCCTGGGGGAGAGGCTCACTGCCATCTTTCTCCCTGGCCTGGGGCTGATGGGGTGGCTGCTGCCCCACAGCACGACCCCAAGCGGCTGAAGAAGGACCTGCCCAAGGCGTTGAACCTGCTGAAGGCTGAGGACCGCGTCCTCCTGATGGGAACGTCCAACCAGCCCTACCTGGCTGACATCAAGGGCCTCTGCAAGACCTATGAGAGGATCCTCCTCATCCACCGGCCAGACTATGCCTCACGCTACGGTGAGGAGAGGGGCTGGGGCTGGTGTGGGGGCACAGGGTGTGTTTTGGGAAGGATCCAAACACTCAGCCGGTCTCCGGGAGGCAGTAGCTGTGTTAATTTCCCGGAACAAATCCTGAACTGCTGGGATGTTGTTTCGTCCTGCCTTGACTGACCTTTGGGGTGGAAAATGACCCCCAAGCAGGATCTTTCATGGGGCTTAGGGACCCCACTAAGGAGGACAGAGGGTAGAGGATGCAAGTCATGGGTGGCCGTGGTCTTGTGAATCATGGACCTGTCATTGCACAGCAGCCCCTTCAGGTCAGGGAAGTTCAGGGAAGTTTTCAATGTGTGACTTTTTAATGTATTTTTAATCTTTGTTGGAAGCCGCCTAGAGTGGCTGGGGAGGTGCAGCCAGATGGGTGGGGTACAAATAATAAATTATTATTATTATTATTATTATTATTATGTGGCTCACCCTTGCTGATTCCAGCATCCTTCTGGTCAGAGCTTCCAGAACAGTTCAGCCAAGCCACCCATAGCCGTTTTCGGTTTATACATTTCGTAAAATATATACACCGCTTGCTTGTTTAAAGAAGCATCAAAGCGGTAGAAAGGATACTAGAAAACATTGCAGGAAACTATCAAGGAGTTCCACTTGCTGCCTCAGTCCAGGCACCTGGGGGCTGAGGCTGCGAGACAGAAGGGGGCCTGACAGACCCCCTTCCCCCCTTTCCCCAGTGACGTGGAAGCGGCTGGTCGAGAGGCACGGCGGAGTCGTCACCAGCACCCTGGACCTCAGTGCGCTGGCGAAGGTGTCGGACGGCTACAGCCAAGGCAGCATGGCCGAGGCAGTGAAGTCCGTGCTGAGCGAGAGGCGCCTCCTGCAGCTCCCCAAAAGGCCGCTGAACGCCGGGGAGCTCCTGCAGATGCTGGCCAGGGCAGACCCCATCTACCCCGCGGAAGAGGCCATGCTCAGGGTGCGTAGCCTGTCCTGCCCCCGCCCCTAGGTGGCCTCTGGCGCCCCCTGCTGGGTGGCTGGCCTCGCCCTGAGGCTCCTGGAGAGAAACCCACCAGCCTCTTCCCCTCCCCTTGTGCTGTGGCCACCCTTTGGGCTGGGGGTGGCCCGACGAGCCATGTCCCCCCCAGTGGAATGGGGTCTGAGCTCGGAGCTCAGACATGCAGATGTTCTCACGTTGCTGGCAGAGCAGGAAAAGAGAAGGGAGGACTAGAAAGAGAGGGAGCCCAGGCAGGTAGGAGAATATACAGCTCTGTGCTCCCCCTGTCAGGGCAAAGTGGGGGGGGGGGTGTCTCTCACAGAGCTCTCTCTAGCAAGTTTACAGGGAAACTCTATGAGCTTCAGCTCCTATCTAGCAAAACAAGACTTGTTGCTGTGACTGCGTTTTAAACACAGGAGCCAACTCCTAGGGGCTGAGGGGTCTTCACACACCCCAATGAAATATTTGAGGGGGCCGGAACCCCCCAAAGTTGGTGGGCATTGCCATTCAAATGGTGTGCATGCACCATGTCATGTGACTGATTATGTAGGGCAGTGCTTATCTTCCCCCCCCCCTGCAATATTTTATTCAAGTTGGCACCCCTGATTTTAAATATCCCACAAGCATTGGGCCTGAAACACAGAAACATGAAATTGAATGAAATATTTATTGCTAAAAGCTATAAGCTGTCACAATTGGTCTCAGTGCCTAAAATACAAATAATTAATTTAAAACGGAACAGCAACAGCAGCAAAGCAAACACAGAGAAATGCGAAAATCACACCTGCATAAGTTAAGCTCCCCACGTCTCACACTTGCCCTTATGATACTTGCCTTGGTGCCTCGCGCTCAACTTACTTGCAGCCAAGGCAAATTTTAGAAGCTGTGCAGTAAGACTTACATTATTGCCAGCCAGCAAAATAGAGATTTGCTCAAGGGGAGGTTGGTTGGAGAGAGAGAGCAAAGGATGTAATCAAGTAATTTTTGTCTAGGCGCAGTGGTGTCCAAACGGTTTTTTTTGGATTTTACCCCAGGAAATAAACTGCCACAGTGGCGGGATTAAATTGACCAGCAGGCCGGATTAGACCCCCAAAATGGACTTTGGACATGCCTGGTCTAGGGGATGTATATAAAGAGCATCGTAACAAATAGTGTGTAGAGTTGGGCCCAGTCCCCTGCAAGGCAGGAATAGGCAGCTGGGATCGAACCTGCAGCCTTGGCCTTAGCAGCACCAGCCTCTAACCCACTGGGCTATTGTCCCACCTGCTCTTTCTCTGAGCCCCGCCTTCCTCCACCCCCTTGGGCAGGGTCCCTTTCCTGAAAGTCTCCCGCCTTCTGGGCCTCCTCCTGCAGGATTGGTACAGCAAGACCCCCCTGGGCAAGAAGAAGATGCTGGCCGAACAGGAGAAGCTCAGGGCAGCCGATGCGAAAGACAAAAAGAAGAAGAAGAAGAAATAGGAGAGAGGGGAGGGGAGGGGAGGGGAGGGGGAAGCAGACGCTTTGCAGCTGCAGCATAAATGAGTTACGTGCAAAGGCTGGCATGGCGCACGTGTGTGGGGAAGTGGGTGTCTGCGACCCCTAAGTGTGCTCCCGGGAATCATGGAATCGTGGCATTGGAAGGGTCCCCCAAAGCACATCTAGTCCAACCCCTGTCATGCAGGAATCTCAACTGAAGCATCCATGACAGGGGGCCATCCAGCCTCTCCTTAAAAACCTCCCAAGGCAGGACAGTGTGCGCAGGGGTCATGGGAGACACGTATGGGTGCAGGATGAGGCCTGGACAACCTATCATTGGTAGGGAACTCAGCCCACAGGGGGACTGGCTTGCTTCTGGGCAGGTGGGCTTCATGGTCCAAAGTGGTGAACTGGGCCTACTGACCACAAGGAGTCCTGGAGGCCAGGGGATGTCAGTTCAGGGAGCTTGAGGGACAGGGGCTGCCCTACACCGGGAGGTCAGGTCTGATGCATCGCCCTGGCCTTGGGCCTCTCCAGAGTTAGGCCTTAAGGACCCCGGGGCTGGAGCTGCTCTGCAGCCTTGCTCAGGCCAGACTGATTTGGAAGCTACGTGAAATAGCACTGGGCAGCCCCCTGCCCCCCAGGAGAGTGATCTGGGGCTGACCCTTGAGCCACATCCAGCCCCTGACCTAGTTTGGGGACCTTCCAATTCCATCCATTTGGTGGGGAGTCAGGTACAGGGCAATCTGGGGCTGCCTCAGCCCCACCCAGGCAAATCAGCCCGAATCTGCCCCACTCAGTTTGCACTCTGGAATCTGGCTGGATCCAGTGCACAGCCTAAGCATTTAGCCATCTCCTGGGGGCTGGGGAGGCACCAGTCTTGTTCTCTGAGAAATTGGCTCTGCAGGGGGGAAGTGGCAAAACTGTCTGGGGGTTGATGTACTGTGTATTGTGATGCCGTTTGGGGTCAAGCCGGGCTCTTACGCAGTGGGGGGGCTGCCTACAGAGAGCAGGTCCTCCTCCTCAAGTAGAACATAGAATCTCAGAACGGTAGAGCTGGAAGGGACCTTGAGGGTCAACTAGGCCAGCCCCCTGCAATGCAGGACTCTCTTGCCCAGTGGGGCTTGAACCCACAACCCTGAGATTCAGAGTCTCGTGCCCTACTTGGAGCAAGCCAGAAGGCAAGCGGCTCTTGACTTTACTTGTCGCAGCCGCATGCAGAGAGAAGCTATAATTATAGATTGAGAAAACAACCAAGTTGCTTGTTGCAGTGTGGTGTAGTGGTTAGAGCATTGGACTAGGACATAGGAGAGCGCAGGGATCAAATCCCCCACTCAAACATGAAGCTCACTGGCTGACCCTGAGTGAGTCACTGCCTCTCAGCCTAACCTACCTCACAGGGTTGTTGTGGGGATTAAATGAGGAGGGGGAGAGCCCTGAGTGCCACTTTCAGGTCCCTGGAGGGAAAGGTGGGATAGAAATGTAATAAGCCAATGCGGAAAGGGAAGTTTCTGGGACTAGCCTAACCAGCTGATCTGGTGGCCCTGAGAGATAGATAGAGAGAGAAAGAGGGTCAGCCTACAAGGTTGAAGATCACAGGGATCGTCTGGAGGCCCCTAACTCACTCTCTCTTAACACGCCTCTTCTGCAAACTGAGTCGCACCCAAACTGCCAACCTCTTTCCCCCAGGCTGGAGAAGCAGTTGTGTCACTTTTCAAAAAGGGAGCCTGAAATGTTGGGGGAACTTTTGAGGAAAGTGCAGCAGTGCTAGTGGAATGAAAGGGGGAGGGGATTGGGAGTGTGTTAAAGGGCACCAGCCGAAGCTCCTGCCAAAAAACTTTGCAGAATTGTCCTGCCTGGAGCTCTGGGTGTCCTCTTGCTTCAATCTATTGTGTGCTTGGTTGGAAATAAAAGACATGGATGTCCTTAAATAGAACATAGACTCAGTGGTTTCCTTTTGTATCTGAGACCCCCACCCTCGGCAGAAGGAGATGGCAGGTCCCTAAGTGGGTGGTGGTGGTGGTAATAATAATAATAATAATAATAATAATATATTTTTTATTACTATTAACCCATCTGACTGGGTTGCCCCTGCCACTCTGAGCGGCTCCCAACAGAAAATTAAAAGCACAACAAAACATCAAACATTAAAAACTTCCCTAAATAGGGCTGCCTTCAGATGTCTTCTAAAAGTTGTATAGTTGTTTATTTCCTTGACAACTGATGGGAGGGCATTCCACAGGGCGGATGCCACTACTGAGAAGGCCCTCTGCCTGGTTCCCTGTAGCCTCACTTCTTGCAGGGAGGGAACCACCAGAAGGCTCTCAGCGCTGGACCTCAGTGTCTGGACTGAATGATGGGGACGGAGACACTCCTTCAGGTATACTGGGCTGAGGCCATTTAGAGCTTTAAAGCTCAGAACCAACACCACTTTGAATTGTGCTCGGAAACGTACTGGGAGCCAATGTAGGCCTTTCAAGACCGGTGTTGTGTGGTCTCGGCGGCCACTCCCAGTCCCCAGTCTGGCTGCCGCATTCTGGATTAGTTGTAGTTTCTGGGTCACCTTCAAAGGGAGCCCCACGTAGAGCGCATTGCAGGTGCATTGGCTGCCTGATTTCATCCCAGGATTTGTTGAATCCTGGCAAGACTTTTGAGGCGAGTAAACCTTATATTTTTATTGTTTACTTAAATTGAATGAGAGCGGTTTCTTGGTTAAAAAGGAAACATAAAAAGGGAGAAGGTCATTCAAGTCTGCCTAAACATCCTTGGAGGTCATAATTGTTCTCAAAGATTATCCTTAAATAAGTTGTGCGTGGAAGGAGATTTTCAGCTCCCCAAAGGGCACTTTGGGTGGAAATCTCAGAGGATGACCATTCCCTCACTGTCTGTCTCCAGGATGAGCATTTTCCTCACTTTGGAAAGGGGCCTTATTTTCCAGAATTGGGTCTGCTTTTTGTGAGCTGAAGAAAAATGTTTTCTCATGTGCGGGGGGACTTTTGGGAAGGCACTCTGCACATGCTTGCAAACATTCGGAATCTCCCCAGGTCTGCCACAAAACACCTCCCTTGGCTCAAATGCTGCAATGTATTTTGGGAGCTGATGATAAAAGAAGCCAGCAGCAGGCAGGCAGGCGGTGGCTGCCAAGAGAACTATTTATACGCCCTGAGTCAGGCCTGGGTCCTGCAAGCACAGAGCTCTCCAAGGGCAGAAGCCCCCCAGCCGCTGAAGGAGAGCCGTCTCTCTCAGAGGAAGCTCATGTCAAGGTCCCTCCCCTCCTCGTCTTCCTCCTCCAGGGCCTCCAGGTGGCGTTCCTTGGGGCTGGATGCGGAGCTGAGATGGAGGTGGGAAGGTGCCAAGAGCCAGGTCTCCTGCCAAGGCCCGGTGGCCTCTTGGTGCAGGAGGACCTACAAAGAGCCGCCCTCAGAGTGCAGGGACATGGTGGTCCAGAACGCCCTCTACACGGGGGACCTGGAAGGGGTGCAGAGGCACTTCTCAGAGCGCGCCGAGGTCAACTTGGTCATCCACGCCAAGAGCCAAGATCTGCGCTGGACCAGCCAGAAATGGGGTAAGGGAAGCTGTGGAAGGCGGGGAGCAAGGTGGCTTGGAGCATGGAGGTCCATGTGCCCTGGGGGTCCCTTTTCCATGATTCTATTAGGCCGCTCAGTTGAGAAGTGTAGGCCGAAGGAGCTAATGATCCTTGTAGAGTTGGAAAGAGACCACAGGGCTCATTTAGTCCAACCCCATCTTTTGCCCAACAGGCGACTCGAACCCAGGACCAAGGTTAAGAGTCTTGTGTTCTCCAGCCTGAGACACCCCAAGAGCAAGAATGATGGGGCTGTAGGGAGAAGGGGCAAGTCCCCCAGAGGAAATGTCCTGCACACATGAAGTGGCCCAGGAAACATGATAGACGGCTGGTTTGCAATCCAGGGGCAAAGGGAGGGGTGGGCACTGCAGCCTCCCGCCCTCCCCCCAGGAGAGGAAGGTAATGAGACCCTTTATAAAATACTTTGTTTATCCTTGACACTTTTGAAACTCCCACACACATAGAGTTTATATATTATTATATTATTAATAATAATAATTTATTATTTATACCCCACCCATCTGGCAGTTTATTCAGTATGATGGTGCAATGTAGGGAATAGGTTTTTTTCCTTTAAAATACGTTGTTTGTCAGTTAAAAATGATTCTTCACAAACAAACCTTTATTTTGGAAACATAACAAGAACTGCCAACTCTCTTTTATACTGTCACTTTAAAAACAAACAAGCCAAAAAAAACCACAACCCCTTGTCTCTCCCTTCCCACTTTCAAATTGGCTAAACCAAACAGGGATTATGAAAGTTATGCTTGCAGAAAGGTTAAAGGTAGAAGGGGGAAGGGGCAGAATGGGTGGGTGGGAGGGAGCCTGGGAGCAAAAGGGCATTCAAGCTACAGCTTTGCAGCTACAGATTGTGGTGATCCCTCATTTTAGGCGACTTTATAGATCCTAGAGGCGCAGAGTTGGAAGGGACCCTGAGGGTCATCTAGTCCGACCCCCTGCAATGCAGGAATCTCAACTAAAGCATTCTTTAAAAGGCGGTTAGACAAGTTGGCAGAGGCGAATCACCCTTTCGGCGCGCTCCAGGACCAGAGGCAGGAGGCCTCTGAAGGAGAGCAGTTGCTGCCCCCCCCAGGGCGTGTCCCGCTTATGGCCTCAGTCGTGGGGAGCTGCTGCCTGGCAGAAGGGCGGAAGGTTTGCTTCCAAGTTAACGCGCGGAGAGCGCCCCCACCTCCGGCCTTTTCCTCCCGCGGCCGGGCTCGCGCGCCTCACATGCTGCTGACCCTCCCCGCCATCTGCTCCTGCGGCCCTTCCCGCTTTGCAGACGGGTTTCTCGTGCCTTCCTTGTCAAAACAACCCTGCCAGGTAGGCCACCACCACCGGCCCAGGTTGATCGTGCCAGGGCCCACAGGGCTGGTCTGGCGGGACCGAGCGGGGGCGTTGCGCAGCGCGTCTGGCTAAGCACGTGGAGATCACCTGCCTTCTCCCCTCGCCCCGCTCCCAGTTTCTGGCGCGGCGCTTCCCCTTTGCACCGGCGCTGCTGCCGAGTCACAAGGGAGCCCCAGAATAGCTCGGGCTGCGACTTGACACCCGGGCACGCAGCCCTCCGTCCCGGGCAGCCCAGCTGCAGCCTCTGTCCCGCCGGAGAAGCCCCGAGGGTCGCGTCCGCCGGGACCATGGAGCCCATCTCCACGCGCAAGGCCGAGGGCCCGGCGCAGGCCTTCTGGCAGGCGCTCTTGACGGGCGACGGGTGCGCCATCCTCTGCCTCCTGGGCGACCCCGAGAGCGGAGTGGGCCCCAACTCCGTCTTCGACACCAGCGACCAGGACGAGTGGAAGAACTACCGATTCAATTCCCGCTGGTTGAGTGCGCCCAGAGATCAACGGGGGTGGGGGAGAGGCGGGGGTAGGAAAAGCCCCCAAGGAAAACCTGCCGCAGAGCTTGGGGATCGCTCCTGCGCCCTTCTCGCGCTTGCAGGCTTCCATTGGAGCCTGCTTTCCGCGCGCCACCGTGCCCCTGAGCACGTGCAAAGCGCCCTTGTGTCCGCCGCACGGCCCTTCCTGACCCCGCGTCTCTCCTCGCTTCCACAGGGCTCTGGGCGCTGACCTACGAGCAGGAGCTGACCACCCCGCTGCACATCACGGCCAGCCGCGGCTACCTGGAGTGCCTGCGCCACTTGCTGCTTCGCGGGGCGGACGTGGACCTGGCGCCGGGCGGCCGGACTGCGCTGCACGAGGCGTGCGCGGCGGCCACAACGGACTGCGTGCGGCTCCTGCTCTCCTTCGGCGCTGACCCCCTGGCCGTCTCGGAAGGAGGGCTCCAGCCGCTTCACCTGTGCCGGAGCCCCGCCTCCCTCGAGTGAGTGGCACAGCCCCGACGGGGCGTCTCCTGGGGCGCGAGGCCTGGAAGAGGCGCCCCTCGCTTGGCCCTGGGCTTCGGGCAGGGGAGAAGGGCCGCGTGGGGTGGGGAACACAGCCGTCCTCTCCTGGCTTCCCAGGGGAAGGTCAGTCCTGGGGTCCTGGAAGCAAAACAATCGGCAGAGGGCGCCCCCTGGACCCAAACGGGGAAATGCCCGTAGCCGCCGCCCAACCCCAGGTTTTCTCCCTGAGCTGCAGAGCGCTCGAGACTACCAAGTTATATTGAAACAGGAGAATCCCACAAGCGCCTCTCCCTGGCTGAAAAAAAAGTCCACAGTAATAATGATTAATTAACAATTCGCTGCCCTTTCAAGAAAACGGGCGACCAGAATGATGGAGGGAACGAGCGACTCCCCTCTGGGGGAAAGTGGCCGCATTTGGGGCGTTTTACTTTAGAGAAAGTGCAAGTAAGAGGCGACAAGATAGCGGTTTATAAAATTACTCATAGCATGGGGGAAGTGCGTAAAGTTCTTGTCCCTGTCTCGTAACACTGGAACTCAGTGGCATCCAGCGAAGCCAAATGCTGGACGGTTCAGGAGAGCCTAAAGAAAGTCATTCGTCCGGCGGCAGCGCGTAGTTAACCTACGGAACTCCCTCCCCCAGGAGGCAGGGATGGCCACCAACTTGGATGGCTTCAAAAAAAGAGTAGACAAATTCTTGGAGGAGAAGCTGGAAGCCAGGAGAGAGAGAGAGAGAGAGAGAGAGAGAGAGAGAGAGAGAGAGAGAGAAACAGACCACAGATTACCTGTTGGAGGCGCACACTTTACCCAGGATAAAATCAAACATACTAATGGGGAGGCGGAGAAAACTCCATTTATTGCAGGAAATACACACTTGATACTAGGACTAAAGAGGATTCAGAGCGGGGCTTATCTCTGCGGTGGAGAGACATCCGAACTGAGAGGTCTCCTCCCGGCAGAAAGTATCAGCCCTAGCTGGAAAGAAGGTCCCACGCAATAACGCGAGAGCCGCCCGGTTCTGGATCAGGCCAGTGGCCCATCTCGCTGTGCCCAAGCAGATGCCTCTGTTGGGAAGCACCCGAGCAGGATCCGAACACGAGAGCCGCTCTCCATCCCGCCGGGTTGTTTCCTTCCAGCAACTTGCATTCAGAATGCTGGAAGCAGAGGGGAGCCATTCTGGCTAAGAGAGACCAGCTCAAGTCAGGCCAGGAAGGAAACGCGAGGAAGGGGCCTTTTGCCAGCTCCTCTTTCTCACGCCTTCAGGCCAAGCTAGGCAGCACGCAAACTTTTAGGCCTCTTCCTTTATGTGAGCCGCCCTGAACTTTCCTAAGAGCAAAACAAGCCCCTAGTCTAGGGCAAGTTTGAAAATCCACAACCCCTCTGGGGCACGCAAGAGCCAGGCTTGGCCGCGGCCAGGAGAACTCAGAGGCTGCCCGAGGAGACCCTGGGGGAGCAGAGCCCGGACACAGGCCTGGGGACGGCGGGGGGGGGGCCAGGAAGGCGCCGGGCGACCGCTCTGCTTCTCCCCGCGCAGGTGCGCCCGGCTGCTGCTGCGCCACGGCGCGCGGGTGAACTGCGTCTCGGAGGAGGAGGAGGACACGCCGCTGCACCTGGCGGCGCGGCTGGGCCTGGCGGGCCACGTGCGCCTCTTCCTGAGCTACGGCGCCAGCCTGGAGGCGCGCAACGCCGAGGGGCAGACCCCGCTGAACGCCGCCTGCGCCCAGGCGCACCCTCCGGAGGCGCTGGGCGACTGCTACGAGGTGTGCCGGCAGCTGGTGGAGGCGGGCGCGAGCGTGGACGCCCCCGACGCGGACCGGCAGCGGCCGCTGCACCAGGCCTGCAAGGCCGCCAACCCCCGCGTGGTGGCGCTGCTCCTCGCCCGCGGCGCCAACGTCAACATCATGAGCTACAGCGGCAACACGGCGCTGCACAACATCCTCCAGGTGGCCGCCTACAAGCTGGAGCACCGGCCCGAGCTGGTGGTGCGAGACCTGCTCAACCACGGCGCCGTCCGCGTCTGGCCCGGAGCCCTCCTCAAGGTGCGCGCGGGGTGAGAAGGCTCAGGGGCGCCTCAAGTCCTGGGGGCCCTGGGACGGGGGCGGGGAGAGGCTGGCTGGCTGGCTGGCTGGCTGTCAGCCCCACAAGTCCACGGCTCCTCTGTCTGCTGTGGGGGCGGCAGAGGCGAGGAAGGCGCCGGGACTGCCCAGGGCCCTGCATGCGCCTCACCTGACCTCACCTGCCTGGTTTGGCACCTGCGCCGCGGCCTCCTCGGAAAGGGCTGAAGTCTTGCTGGAGTCCCGCCATAGGAACCAACTCCTAGGGGCCGAGGGGGCTTCAGCCCCCCCATAAATGCCCCCTCCAAGTTGGTGGGCATTGCCATTCAAATGGTGTGCGTGCACCGCTTCATATGATCGGTTATGCAGGGCGGGACTTACCTGCCCAATCATCCCGCCCCCAAGTTGGCACCCCAGAACCCCACAAACGGGTTAAGAACATGAGAGCTTGCTGTATCAGGCCCGTCCAACGTTGCCCGGGCAAAGGCCCCCCGGGGCCGCTTGCAGAAAACGAGCGCCGAATGCTGTCTCGGGTTGCAAGCAAAACAGTCCTTGCAAGACCTTTCAGAGGCCTCCAGCCGTTATAATTACGGTGCTTCCGTCGCTTTGAGACCAGCAGTTGAGTGAAGCCGGAGCTCCAGAGCGCCTAAGAGCACCTGCGGGACGGCCTGCCACTGGGTCCCCCTCCAGGGTTGGGCTTGTGAGCCCCGAAGGACCCCGCCCTCCGCCTTCTCCTGGGAGCTGCAGGGGTGGTTCGGCCGGCGCTGCAAGCGGACCCTGCAGGCGGCAGGAAAGGCCCAATGCCCTCTGCTGGGGTGGGGGGCGAAAGGGGTGTTGTGGCGAGGGAACGGGCCTCTCCTCTCCCGTCTCCGGGCAGAGCCCCCGGCAGCCCCTGCACCTGATCTCGGCCACCTCCCCGCGCAACGGGTTAACCATCTGTCTTAATTCCCAGGCTTGGCAGATTGCTCTCCCCTTTGGGAAAATGCAGGAAAATCAACAATTAACACTAATTAATCTCCTATTAACACCAGATAATGAGGATGGAGCTGCTCCGTGCAGCCGGCTCAGGCGCTGCTTCAGTCCAGTCCCAGAGAGAGGGAAGCCCCGGCCAAGGGGCGCCGCGCAGCCGCCTGAACCCCAGGGAGGTGCCGGGCCATGAGACCCCCGACGTGGGATTTGGCCGAGGGACTAGCGCAGCAGCGAGGGGTGGACCTCGGGGCGGAAGCACAACGCCCGCTAGCCCAGGGCCCCCCAAAGGACCCCCCAGAAAGCAGCAGAGGGGTCCCGGGACAGCAAATAGAAGCAGCTGCGTGTTATCTGACGCTTCAGTAACGCAGAAGCCCTTGGAAAACATAATTTGCAGGGCGGGGGCGGGAGAGGGAGAGTTAAATGCACGTTGCCTGCATTGCTACTGAAGTAATGGACATGGGCGCCTAAAGGTCGTTACGCCCGGGGTTTCAGCTCACCTAATGGGGCCATTCCCGTCGAGGCCCTGCTGCGACCAGAAGACAGAGCAGGGCCCGGCAGCGACTGGGCTGGAGAAATCGAGGAAGCCGGCCGTTGCTCCATCTGGCACAGCATCACCAACACTGGCTGGCAGCGACTCTATCGGGAGCATCTTCTAACTTCAGAAGGCTACCTGGCGGCTGGGGGCGGCGGCTCCCAGTCAGGGGGCTCTCGATGGGACGGGTCCCGCTGCTCTCTTAGGTTACCGAGTCTAGAAGAGCAAAAGTGCGCAGCGCAAAGGAGCGACTGACTCTCGCGCCTCGGCGGGGCCTCCTTGCGCTGTCAGGCTCTGGCGCGGGTCTCTGACTGCTGCCTCCCCTCGTCCCTCCCGTCGCAGGTCTTGCGCCACTGCTGCGCCTCCCCGCGCTCTGTCGAGGCCCTGATCAACTGTTACCCGCGCGTGCCCGTCACGGAGGACTGGGCCGAGGCTGTGCCCGCCGAGCTGGTGCAGGTAAGTGCGCGGGATCCTGTGGTGGGGCGCAACAGCAAGAGTGGCTCGACGGGGCCCGTGCACCTCAAACACCGCGAGATTCCTCCAGGCCGCTGCGCTCTTGCTGTCCCCCCTACGAAGGGCCCTGGTGCTCCCGCAGGCTTTCCTTGCCCAGCCCTTGCTGGACGGTGGCAGGTGCGCAAAGGAGGACCCTGGGGGGAGCGCCCCCCCTTTCTGACCGCCTCTCCGCTTCTCTCTTGGCAGCAACACCCGCGCCTCTTCCAGTCGCTCTTTGCCCTGGGCCGGAGTCCGCGCGCCCTGCAGCACTTGGCGCGCTGCGCGATCCGGAACCACCTCGAGGACCGCCTAATCCGCGCCCTGCCGGAGCTGCCCCTGCCGCCGGCCTTGCGCGACTTCCTGCTGCTCCGCTTCGAAGACGTCGTGTACTAGGCGGGGAGAGGGGCTGGCTGGCTCACTCCCGGAAGTCAGGCGGCGGGGGCAGGCGCAGTCCGAGGTGCGCAGCAGCTGAAGCCTCCGGGTGGGTCAGCGGGTGGGGCTGGAGTCCGCTCCCCCAGTGCAAAGGCTCCTTGCGGGTCCGTCCCGTCGAAGCGGGCCGCCCAGGCGACCGAGGCAACCGCGTGCAGCTGCTCCAGGCCACCGGCAGAGGGCGCTGGAGGCAGCGCAATGCCCGAACTAAACTGCAGGGAAACTTTTCCAGAAGTTCCAGGGCCGTTTTGGGCTCAGGAACCGGGAGGCATCCTGAGCCGCGGGCGGTGGCTTCGCTAAGGAGCGCTGCGTGCCCTCCTCGCGTGTATTAAATTGGCCTAGACTGCCGGTAATACGTTGATTTGCCCACCAGCCACAGATTCGCGTTTCTGAGATGCTGTTTCCCACGTCTCCATTGCTTGCTCCGGTTGCAATAATTCTTTCCCCCGTCGTCCCCTCTCCCCCAATTGCAGGGTTGCCTCCACTGACGCGGCAGAAGCGCCACCGGGTACACGGGGGCTTCTGAGCCGCCTCCCGAAAGGTGAGGCGCCCGGGAGGGGGGACGCCAGGGGGCGCAGCTCCAGGACTCTGCTCGGAGCCGGAGCGACGACGTCATTCACCGGAGGCAAGAATAACTGAAGGAACACCCCCCGCGCCCCCCAAAACACCCCGCTTTGAAGGAGGTGGGCATGAATGAGAGCACTGTTTGCATTTCTAAATAAACGTTAAATGTTGCATTTCAGCTGACTGAAAATCCTTCAATGTGTTTTATAAGTTGAATATAAGCAGTGATTGATCCTGTTCTTCGGATGGGGGGGGCAGTGTATCTGTGGCTGAGCATGCATTTTTGGACTGTACTGGGGGCCTGGCTTGGGGGTTGTGGACTATGAGTCTTTCCAAATACGCCACAGGTTGAATCACCAGGTGGAGGGTGTCACGAAAGTTACACCGGCTGCAATTTCCTCTTCCGCGCACAACTCCCGAGTCCTGATGGGCTCCTCCGTTTGCATCTGCCCGCCTCAGGGAAATGAGTAGAGGGACCCCTGTGGTCTGAAGAGGCGGGTTGCTAAATGGTCTGACCTGGGATGAGGGAGCTTCTTATGCCAGCTGATTTTCTCTGGCCAGTTAACAGCATAAAGTACAGTTAGAGCCGCAATAAAATAATAATTCGCAGCATAGAACCATTCCAGAAAAGAGCAATAAAGCCAGTTTTACAGGATAACTAAAAATACACAAACGGTGGTTAAAAATATTGGGTAACAGAATATTTGAAAAGCTTGAATCTATCTTTTAAAAAAAAAAGTCTTCCGGGCGCCGAAAATACCTTAAAGAAAGCGCCGTGTGGAGAGAGCATCCCATGCCCACAACTAGGGTGCGCGCCGGTGCGCGTGCACTGCCCCACTCTTCTCGCCCCTTGCCGCCTCCCACCGGGCAAAGGACCGCCCGGCCAGAGCAAGGGGCCACCCAGGCAGAAGATCACAAGGTTTGGGCAGGTCTAGGAGGGAGAAGGCCGCGTCTTAGGTAACCTCTCGCCAACCCCCTCGGAGCTTTAAAGGTGGAGACCAGACCAGCCCCTTCACTGAGCCCCAAGAGGAACCGGGAGCCACGGCAGGTGACGCAGCGATGTCTGTCTGACTGGCGCCGTCCCAGTTAGCAGCCTCGCGGTCCTGCTTTGGACCAGGGCATCAGGAGTAGTTTTCAGGCCGCTTCCAAAGGCAGGCCCGGCGCTTCCAACGTGCTGCAATAATCTAAATGGCGGAGAAGGATCCTTGCCAGAACACGAAGCCGCGGTGGCCACGCGATCTCCGTTCTGTTATGGTAGCGGTTGACTCCCAGCCCCTGAGACCCCGGGACCTGGAGGGATAATGCTGGGGCAGCATGCGCACCCAAACCTCAAACACCCCCAACGCACACATTGGTTTGAACACCACTCATTGGGGAGGGCGATGAACCAGCCGCGGACGACCTGGCCTCCCTTCGTCTGCAGGGAGCTTCAGCTGATTAAATCTCCTCCAGGGCGCGGATCTGCAAATCTGGCTGCTGCAGGCGGCAAAGGTCTGCGTGGTCGTTCACTTCTCCCCGAACTCCAAACGACAATTTTTTAAAGTGCATAAGCTGCTTTTGGGAAGCCCTCCATGTGGCAGAGGTTGGATGGCCACCTGTCACGGATGCTTTAGTTGCGATTCCTGCATTGCAGGGGGGTGGACTGGATGACCCTTGGGGTCCCTTGCAACTCTTCATTTCTAGGATTCTATGAATTCCGGAACATGGCGACAGCTCCCTCCCCGGCCCTGCCACGAGCCCTAATCTCAATAGGAGCAGTCAACCTACTCCCGAGTAAACCTGAGGGCACCCTCCAGCAGAAAACCACCGACGGGGGGGGGGATGTGGACCCGCAATCAGGATCCGAGCCCAAGAGCCTTCTGCTCTCCCGTGATTTCCAGCACCTGGTATTCAGAGGTTTGGCTGTCTCTGACAGAATAGCGGCCATGAATCTCTCTCATGCTCTTTTGAAGCCCTCTAGATTGGTGGCCGTCCTGCGGGAGGGAGTTCCGCAGGTTAACTCTGCGCTGCCTGAATAATCCTTTTCTTTTGTCTGTCCTGAATCTTCCATTATTCAGCTTCACTGACTGTCCACGAGTTATGAGGGAGGGAGGGAGAGCAACTTTTATCTATGCATTTTCTCCGCGCCACGCGCAATATTATAAAATCACATTAGGTCGCCGCTCTCACTTGCCTTTTCTCTAAACTAAAAAGTCCCAAATGCCGCAACCTCATAGGGGAGCTGCCCCCCCCCCCCGCCCTTGATCCTGTCAGTTCCTCTTTCTTCTACACTATCCCTTCTGAGGCGAGGTGACCAGAACTGTGCGTAGGACTCCAAATACGGTCGCACCATAAATTGGTACAAGGGTCTTATGACATCGTCCATTTTCCTTTCCTTTCCTAATGATCCCTAGATCCCACGGAATGATTTCCTTTTTCACTGCCGCCACACACTGGGTCCACATCTTAATAGAGTAATCCGCTAGGACCCCAAAGTCTTGTTCCTGGTCCGTCACCACCAGTTCTGACCTCATGAGCTTGTAGGTGTAATAATAATAATATTTTCATCAACATGCATCACTTTACACTTGTAAAGGTGGAATTGCATCTGCCATTTTATTTCCCATTCACTCAGTTTGAAAAGGTCTTTTTGGAGTTCTCCCATTGTTTCAATGAACCTGAGCGATTTAGTATCATCAGAAAACTTGCCCCCTTCACTCTCTTGAAAGAGGCAAAAAGGGTCTGGCCTTAGAACTGGCGTGCAGCCGGAGCCTGATGCGAAGGGGCGCTAGAGGACCTTTCCCTGCCGTTTCATGCGTGTGTGAAACAGCCGAGGGGCGAGAACGGGATGCTGTGGGAGCCCAGAGCGAAGCGGCCACTAGGTCGAGCAGGAATCTCTGGGTGCCCCCCCCCCGGAATTCAGATCCCCTGTCCAGAGTGGCTCTTTGCAAAGACGTCGTTGGGCGACCCTCTCTTGAGCAAGACGGTGGGTGGGGGACACACACAAAATGTCCTAGAATCATAGAAACTTAGAGTTGGAAGGGACCCCAAGGGTCATCCAGTCCACCCCCTGAAATGCAGGAATCTCAGCTCCATGACAGGTGTCCATCCAACCTCTGCTTAAGAACCTCCGGAGAAGGAGATTCCACCACCTCTTGTGGGAGTTCGTTCCACTGGAAAAGTGGCTGGGTTCCAGGAGGGGTCTGGAAGTGACCCCGCAGGAGCCCCTGCTCCTCTCCACCCCCACCCCCCACAATCCCGCCGCTGAGGCCTCGGCAGCTCCCCCAGGCCGCCCCCTCCTTCGGGAAGAGTTTTGTTTTGAGCGGAGAGCGGGCTAGGAAGGGTCTCAGCCCAAGAAAGAGCCGTCGGAGCTTTCGGGGGTCCTACATTCCTGAGCAAGAGAGGGCGATGCCCGGCCCAACCGGCGCCTTTGACCTCGGGTTCTCGCTCCCCGCAGTGGGCGCCGGCGGAGGGAGGAGGAGCAAGAAGTCCTGTCGTAGGAAGCAGCCCCGTCGGGCCCCTCCGGGGTCATTGGCGCCCCACGGACGCGGGGGTCCCATCTCAGGCCGACGCCCCGACCTCCCGCGGGGCTCCTGTCCGGGCTCTGGGCGGCTCAGCGGGCCGAGAGGCGACGGGGCGTCCCTGGTCCCGTCCGGGTCTGCGCTCCCCGCCCCCTCCCCCGTCCTCCCCGCGGAGCAGCTGGTCCCGCCCCACCCGACAAAAGGCCCTTGTGCGCCCGGCCGGTAATTGGCAATCATCAATCACCAGCCATAATGGCTGATGAGGCGGGAGGGGGCGGCGCCTTCCCAGGGGCCCCCCTCGGCCTCTCCAGTGGGAACCCGCCGGCGCTCCCTGGCCCGGCCGTTGGGCGGGCGGCGCTGGGGGGAACTCAAGCGGAATTTGAGGAAGATGGATGAGCCCCGAGGCAGGGCGACACCCCTTTCCCCCTCCCCTGCCATCTCCTCCCCTCCTCCCTCTCTCTCGCCCGCCTTCTCCCTCTCTCGGCAGAAAGCGCCAGCCCAGCGCCAGGCGCGGCAGAGGCGAGCAGAGGCAGCGCGGCGGTGGCGGAGCCAGGAGCGGAGGGGAGCGCAGCGCAGCGCAGCGCGGCTCGTGGGCGGCAGCGGAGGAGGCGCCTTCGAAGGCAGTCAGGAAGCCAAAGCAGGCAACGCCGTCTCCTGCCACGACCTGCGCCGCGCGCTCGCGCCGACGGACAAAGTGTCTGTGGCCGGGCTGGACCGACGGCGCGTCCGGCGCCCCTCCGACCCGCGCAGAGTCTGGCGCCCCGCGGGGCCCAGGCCGGGCAGCCCGGCTAGCAGCTGTCGGGGGCCGCGGCCATGCAGAGACCCACCGGCCAGGGCGCCGCCTTCTCCATCGACTCGCTGATCGGGCACTCGCCGCCCGCGCCGCGCTCCGGCCCGCTGCTCTACACCGGCTACCCCATGTTCATGCCCTACCGGCCGCTGGTGCTCCCCCACGGGCCCCTGCAGACGGCCGCTGGCCTCCCTCCGCTGGCGCCGCTGGCCTCCTTCGCCGGCCGCCTCACCAACTCCTTCTGCGCCAGCCTCGGCCAAGCTGTCCCGTCCATGGTGGCGCTCACCACCGCGCTGCCCAGCTTCGGCGAGCCCCCCGACGGCTTCTACCCGGCGCAGGAGCTGCCGGCCGCCGGCCGAGGCAACGCAGAGCCGCCCTGCCGCCGCCGGAGCGCCCCTGACGGCGTGGAGAGCGACGAGCTGCCCCCGGGACGGGACAAAGGGCCGCCGGAGCCGCCCCTCCACTTCCCGGAGCCCTTCCCGGGCCTGGCAGGTAGGCGGGCGGGCGGGCGGAGGGAAGGGGCCCCGGTCGCCCTCCGAGCGGGACTGCCAGAGGCGCAGAAACGTCCTGTGGGGCGGGAGGGCGGCAAAGTGAGGAGGAGGCTGCCGGAGGGAGTTGAGAGAACTTTTTTCGGAAGGGGAAAGTTTCCTTCCAAGCGTTTGGGGCAAAGAAGGAAGGATGAACAAAAGTTCGCTCACGTCCGGGCCGGAGCAGGACCTTTCCCCGAACCCCCCAACCAATCCGGTAGTAATTCCATCGGCCCCCTAAACGCAGGAACACATTGCAACAACACCCCCTTAGGCTCTGGGACTTTTAGGCCAGGCATGTGGTGGTCCTGCTGAGAACCCCCCCGAACTTCCGGGGTGGAACTTTGATTCAGGATCTCACTTGGGGAGTCCTTTCGTCCCCCCCCCCCCCGTGGGAGTTTCACTTGTGGTCCAGCAAAGGCGCCAAACATGCTCACGGAAGATATTGAAGGGGGCGCGCGCTAGGGAAAGTATTTTCCATCACACACACAGACAAATCAAGCCAGCCAAACTGGTGCAGTCAGGGGCCATCTGTGTCAGTAGTGGAGCTCCCACCCTCTCTCTCTCTGTGTGTGTGTGTCAGGGGGGCAAGGGATTCCACGCTGTGGGGTGGACGCATCGGCTTGGGGGTCCCCCTCTTCCCACCCTTCTGCGAAGTATACCCGGGCAGCGAGGGCGCGGAGTCCTGGGAAGGAGCGCGGTCCGCTGGACACCCCCGCAAAGAACTGTCCTCGGTGCTGGGACTTCTGCGAGCCGGCTTGGCAGGGGGGCGGCGGAGACCTGGCACTGACCCACCTGCAGGTGATCGTGGAGGCGCCTTTTGTGCCCCGCGGCACCTGGGGGGGGGGCGCGAATAGCAGCAGAAAGGCCGCCTCGAAGGACACCCAGGAACTGGGATCGGGCGACTGAGAACCCGCGGCCGGCGGTGGTGCGCGTTGGGGGAAGAAAGCGGCGCCGGGTCCACTCCCTGATCTGCCTCCTCTTCGGCCGCGGGGAGCAGGCGTCCCCTCGCCCTGCGCCCTGTCTGGCTTCTTCCGCAAAGGCACCCCGACGCCCGCGCGGGAGGTTGGCGCCCCCGAGCAGGACGGAGCGCGCAGGGAGCGCCGGTGCAGCCGCGGCTTCTGCCTCCCGGTTCGAAGGGGCGTCCACAGGTTTCCTCACTCACTCACTGCCGCCTCAGCCTCCCCCTCAGTTCCTCCGGTAGCATCTGTCCTCCGGAGCGACACCCCTTTGCCATCCAGCCTTTTCGGGGCCCCGGAATCCGAATTCTCTGCCGCTGACCAGCTGATCCCTGTGGCCCTGGCAGTGGGCAGCCTGGCTTTCAGAAAAAGCGTGAATCAAATCACTTTAAAGAGAGAAGCGTCGCAACTCAGTCCTAGACACGTTTACTCAGAAGTCAGTCTCATTACGCTTAATTGGACTTACTCCCACTTAAGTGCCTGTAGAACTGCAATCTCCTTCCAATTGCAGCAAACTTGGGTAACCCGTGGCAAGAGGTTTCCTCTCGGGGAGGCCCGGCTTTCTGCCTTCTTCGCTTTCAGAGGGAAGCTTGAAGACCCCCCAGGAGGGCCTCAATCCCGGCTGAGATCCTTCGCCTTCAGGAAGCTTCAGGCTGCTGCCATAGTTATTTTATTTGATTTCTTAAATTTGTATACCGCCTTTCACCCGAAGATCACGGGGCGGTTCACAACATCAATACATTTCAAGCACATCTCTGCCCCCAAGAATATTGGGAACTGTAGTTTCCCTCTCTCAGAGCTAGAATTCCCAGCACCCTGAACAAAATACAGTTCCCGGGATTCTTGTTAGGGTGCTTTGAATTGATGGTATGCCTTTACCTGGAAGTAAGCCCTCGTGGAAATAAATGGGACTTGCTTCTGAGTCGACGGGTGCAGGATTGCTTCTGGGGCCTGCAGCTTATTAATCGAGGACTGGGTCCGTTTTAGTGGCTGGGGTTTCCCCAACGCCAGGCAACTGAAGGGCCTGGGATTTTACCTTCCCAGAAACGCCTCCTTGGTTTTGGCCCCTTCGCCGCGCGGGAGAAAGCGAGGGAGCCCCGGGTGGCGTGGGCTTTCACCACCAGCGCAGGGATTCTCTCAGCTTCCAAAAGGACGCTCATATCGAGGTTTGGGTGAATTTATTTGATTTTTTAAATATTTTTCGATTAATCAACTGAAAATATTTAGTTGGGTCAAGCCCTCCTCTGTATTGCGAAAACCCAGAAATGAGGAACGCCTCTCCGTTGACACCGGGGCCCCTTCCTTCCTTCCTTCCTTCCTTCCTTCCTTCCTTCCTTCCTTCCTTCCTTCCTTCCTTCTTCCCAGAGCTTTCCTGCCCACGCCATTTCTGTGCCAGGCGCACCAGCGGGTACCATTTCCCCTGCTTATAATTGTAGCGTTGGAAGTGACCGCAAAAGCCATCTAGTCCAGCCCTCTGCGGTGCAGGAATCTCAGCTAAAGCAGACCGATATCCAACTTCTGCTTGTCTCATGGAAACTTCTCTGGGCCTTGAAAGGCAGCTGGACATGGCTGAGCGGCAGCGGCGGGGGCTCCCTCCGTCCTTTTGGCATGGAGGGGTCCAAAGGCAGCGGCAACATATTTATTCAGAAATTCATTTGTATACCGCTTTAAAAAAAACCCACAGCGGCAAATAAATGTATGTGTGTCTTTACATTTATTTAAAAAATAATAATAACACGTGTCAATAAAGAATTCACCTGGCCCTCTCTTCCGGGGCTGCGGCTCATCTTGGGCAAGGCCAGCTTCCCGAAGGCGAAAAGTTCTCCTCCCGCAAAGCGGTTTCGCAGGCCCCACAACTAGAGAGGGGCGCTGATCAAGCAGTGCGAGGCCTAGGAGACGGTGAGCCATGGGGCGTAGGGGGGATTCGTTGTCCTGGGGGTGCTGGGGGGGTCATCCGTCCACCCTGCTTCCCTTTCCCCTCAAAATCGCCGGACTGTCGCTCCCCAGAGTAAAACGGAGTGACCGAGGTGGCTTTACCAGGGAGTCACGGGAAGGACTCTCCCTGGCTTCCTCCAAGGCGCGGCATCCTGCTGGATCCCCAGGGATCGGAGATGGTGGGCGGGCAGTGAGATCGCGTGGGGACAGGAGGCTGCCCCAAGGAGCTCAAGAGACGCAAATCGCCCTCCTACCCAGTGACCCCTGCTCACTCCTAGTGGCCGGAGGAGCGTTTGCGTCCCCGAGGGCGCGTTTCCTTCGCCAACAGCCGCTTCTGGGCGCTTCAGACCCATCGGTGCCACTTTTTCTAGTGACATGGAATTGCAGAATTGGAAGGTACCCGCCACGGCAGTCCGGTCCACCCCATGCAAGGCAGGACTTTCAACAAAATAATCTCCGACTGGTTGCCCCCCAACCTCCGTTGAAAAACCTCAAATGAATCATAGAGCTGGAAGGGACCCCAGCGGTCATCTAGCCCACCCCGCCCCGCAATGCAGCAGTCACAGCTCATGAATCCCCGACATGGCCTGGCGGGGGACTCTTCATTCTGCGCGCCAGGCCCACCTCGCGGGGCTCCTCTTTCCCTCCTATGGGGCGCACAGCCAGCGCTGATCCTCTCCGCTGGACCCCGGTGAGGCAAGGGCGTGTATGGGGTGTGTGCCTCTCTAAGGTGGGGCGGGCCCCTTGCACCCTGAGAGGAGGTGGCATCTGCAGCAGAACAGGATCCGAAGGGAGGAGCCGCGGAAAGGGACCAGGAGAGCCGGAAAGCCGCCAGGCAGGACAGCTGAGCGCGCTCCGGAAGGAGCCTTCGCGATTAGGAGTCATCAGCAGCCTCCATCTCCTCCATGAATTTGTCTCCATGTTGGTGGCCATCCCTGTCTCCTGTGGGATGGAGTTCCGCAGCTCCCCTCTGCGCTGCTTTGTGAAGAAGGCCTTGGATGCGTCTCTTCCGACGTTCCTGGGACGTGACTCCGCCGTTTCTCCGAGAGGGAAACTTCCAGTCCCTGCGCACCGCCTTAAACGCCTGTATCAACGCGCACCCCCTTTTTCTAAATGGAAAAGCCCCCAATACTGCAACTTATTCATAAGTGAGCCACTGCTGCAGCCACTTGAGTTATTCGTTTTAGTTCTTTTTTTGTACTGAACTTTTCCAGCCCTGCCTGCAATCCCGTTTCTTGATAGGAACGTGTGAAGCTGCTCTAGACTGAATCAGATCCGTGGCCCTGCAGGTCCCAGGCCTCACCTGGACTTCTCTGCCCGTGTGAAGATTTGAACCGGTTTGCCTCTGCCAGTGGCTGCGAGTCCTGCTTTTCAGAGGGTTGGACTGCATGACCCTCGGAGGTCCCTTCGGTCTCTAAAATTCTAGGATTCTACGGGGCGGCGAGGGAACGGCCTCGTGGCAGGATTCCCAGGGGCAGCAGATCCCAAGGCTGATCTTTATTCACCCCTGGGGCGTCATTTCGGGGTTCGCCTCAGGAGCCAACGTGTCTTGGGCCAGCCCTGCCCTTTCTGGATCCCCAAAATTGGCCGCACTGCCTCCCCAGCGGGCCCACAGCACCGCTTGCTTGTCTCGTGCCTTCTTGAGAAGGCTTTTCCAAACCGAACTGTAGAGTGGGGGGGGCTCTTTCCTATTTTAACCTCCTCTAATTGAGGGGCGCGTTGTCTCTGGGCGTGGGGTGGTCTTGCCCACCTTTTTATTAGCCACGCCCACCACTTACGTGCCATCCGGGAGGTAGGGGGGCGTTTTCTCAGAGGAAAGCCCCACCCGTCGACCACATTAACTGCCACCGGCTCTCGAGGGCGACAGACAGGAGCCTTTCCCCGCGCGGTTTGAAGGGCGGGCGGGGTACACGGTTCTTCCCTGCATAATCCTCTTTTAATTCCCACAAAACCCCTGTGAGGTAGGTTAGGCTGAGAGACAGCGACTGCCAGCCCCCCCACACAGGGAGCTTCATGGCCGACAGGGTTGTTTTGAACCCTGGTTTCCCCTGTCCTACTCTAACCACTACCCCATACTGCCTCTCGACGGCTCCTCTCAGGGCCGTGGGGTGCTGGGCTTTGCGCACGGTCAAGAGAGGAGCCGCGGGGCAGGGTCTGGGCAAGGCATTCTGGTCCCCTCGCTTCTCTCAAAAACCCTGGAAGCGGAGCCAGGACCAGGCAGGACGCCTGAAGAAGCACAGACGTCGCCAGCCGCCCGTGGTCCCTTCAGAGCCACATCTTGCCCAACCCACGCGTGTGGCTAGTCGTGGCCGTTTGAAACAGGTGGCTGTGAAAGGCCAAAGAACGACCTGGTGGAGGGTCCCAGGCTCAACGCCTGGCATGCAGCCTTTCTCAGCCTTAGGCCGCAGTATTGTAGAATTGGAAGGGAACCCCAGGGGTCATCCAGTCCATCCCCCTGCAATGCAGGAATCTCAGCTGAAGCATCCATCCCAGATTACCACTCAATCTCTGTTTAGAAACCTCCAAGGAAGGAGAGTCCTGAACCACAGATGCCCCAGAGGGGGGGAGTTGGACTACAACTCCCATCATCCCTAGCTGGCAGAGATCATGGGAGTTGTAGTCCAACAACATCATTTGGGATCTCAGGTTGAGAAAGGCTGGTGGCTAGAGGCCCTGTATGGCTCCGGCCCAAGACGGTATTCCCTCATAGGAACCTGCCCAGGTGCTCAGGTGAGGGGTGTGAGGAAGCCCTTCTCTCAGTCTTGGGACTCTCATGGGGGGACGTGGGAGGGAGCCTTCTCAGGGGCAACTTTGGAACTCCCAGCCTAGGGAAGCCAGACTGGTCCCTCCTTGTGCTTCTGCTGGCAGCCCTGCCCTTTTTGTTCCAACAAGCTTTTGGGAGCTGACTGCTTTTGAGATCTATCTATCTATCTAGCTAGCTAGCTGTGTGTTTAATTTTTTTTCAATGATTATTTTCCCCCTATGTTTTAGCTGTTGTTCTTTTTATCTGTAAACTGCCTTGTCAGGGAGAAATAGAATAAATAGAATAATAACAATAACCATAATAGGGTTGGAAGAGAAATCCTGGAGGGTGGTTGCTGCCAGCCAGTGTAGACAATATTGAGCTAGACGGAGCAATGGTCTGGTTCAGCGAAAGGCAATTTCCTCTGCTCTTATGTCCACTCTTCTCTCTCTCTCCCCGCCCCAACTGCCCCACAAGCTCAGCCAAGGCAGCTTGCCAATTTCCCGTGACCACTAGAGGCTGCCCTCATGCGGGGGTCTATCATGGAACGGGGGCTGCTGTGCAATGCCCAGCTCTGGGTGGCAGCTGCATGAGTTTATTCATTTCAGATGCTTTCATGCGAAGAGACAGAAGTAGGGTTGCAAAGACCAGTCGCCTCCCCAGCTGGGAGTGGTGGGAGCAATGGGGCAGTTGTCACCTGACTCAGGAACTGCTGCCCCTGGCCTGTCACAGAGTCGGGGAATCATAGAATCATAGAATCATAGAATCATAGAATCATAGAGTTGGAAGAGACCACAAGGGCCATCGAGTCCAACCCCCTGCCAAGCAGGAAACACCATCAGAGCACTCCTGACATATGGTTGTCAAGCCTCTGCTTAAAGACCTCCAAAGAAGGAGACTCCACCACACTCCTTGGCAGCAAATTCCACTGTCGAACAGCTCTTACTGTCAGGAAGTTCTTCCTAATGTTTAGGTGGAATCTTCTTTCTTGTAGTTTGGATCCATTGCTCCGTGTCCGCTTCTCTGGAGCAGCAGAAAACAACCTTTCTCCCTCCTCTATGTGACATCCTTTTATATATTTGAACATGGCTATCATATCACCCCTTAACCTCCTCTTCTCCAGGCTAAACATGCCCAGCTCTCCTAGCCGTTCCTCATAAGGCATCGTTTCCAGGCCTTTGACCATTTTGGTTGCCCTCCTCTGGACACGTTCCAGTTTGTCAATGTCCTTCTTGAAGTGTGGTGCCCAGAACTGGACACAGTACTCCAGGTGAGGTCTGACCAGAGCAGAATACAGTGGCACTATTACTTCCCTTGATCTAGATGCTATACTCCTCTTGATGCAGCCCAGAATTGCATTGGCTTTTTTAGCTGCCGCGTCACACTGTTGGCTCATGTCAAGTTTGTGGTCAACCAAGACTCCTAGATCCTTTTCACATGTACTGCTCTCAAGCCAGGTGTCCCCCATCTTGTATTTGTGCCTCTCATTTTTTTTGCCCAAGTGCAATACTTTACATTTCTCCCTGTTAAAATTCATCTTGTTTGTTTTGGCCCAGTTCTCTAATCTGTCAAGGTCGTTTTGAAGTGTGATCCTGTCCTCATAGGGACACCAAGAGTAATTTCATAGGGACACCAATCATAGGGACACCAAGAGTAATTTAGTCCTGATACTGCCTCTTCTGAACTGAAACACCCCTCCTTTGCTTTTTATTGTGGGAGGTGGTGATGGGCCTGGGACATGATTTTAAGAATGAGAGTGCCTCTGAGCATATGCAGATTGCCCTTCTCTCACTGACTTGCTTTCCTGTGTTATGCAGTTTAGCTGTGACCACCTGGGATGGGGCCCCATCCTGCCTAGAGCAGGCAGGCATCACCCTCAGGCAAATAGTCCCGCTGGATCCACCCCACCCACAGGTGCCTCTGGCAGCCTGCCTTCACTGTGGCCCCTCCCCAAGAACTGGCACCCAGGGGTCTGCTACCCCTGAACAAGGTTTTTTCGGGGGGGGGGGGTCTATAGAACCATGGAAATTATTTATTTGACCTTATTAGTCACTTTTTAAATGAAAAGTAACTCAGTGAGATTTACATATAAACAAACAAACCCACAGACACTGAAACCATCTAAAAGTAAAACAGCGAGTGGCCAAGCTGAAAATAGCATTTATTTATATATAAAAAGCAGGATTAAAACATCCCACCCACTGAAAGCAGCCACAGATGATTAAAGAACAAAGACCCGGGGAAAAATAACTCTTGCTCCTCCTCCATGTATTTTCTCATCCCCCTTTAAAGCCGCCGGTCCATCTTGTGGTAGTGAGTTCCGCAGATTAAGGCTCCTCTAACTTCCTCCAGGCTGAGGGTGGGCCAATGGCTCTCAGGCAACGGGCAGGGGCTGCCTTAGATGTGAGGTCTCCCGCAGCCAAGCTATTTGCCAGGCGGGGGCTGCGTGGGGGTGAGAGGCAGGAGGGGGCCTCCAGAGACAGCCCAGCTTTTCCAGTCCCAGCTCTGTGCCATGCGAAGGGGCGACGGTGGCAGGGGGCTCTGCCTTGTGGAAGTCTGGAGGATTCTCCTCCCTCTCTTGGCACCGCCTAAGCCCTTGCGGACCCTCCTCAGCCCACCACTGGTGTGGACGAAGGTGCTCTGCCCAGAGTTAGGCCATCGGCAGACACTGGCTGGCAGCAACGGCTCACCCAAACGTCCTTCAGGCTGTTTGTCACCTGATTGCAGGCGTCGGAGGTAGACTGCATCTGAATGAGGAGGTTTCATTCTGGGCAGGCAATGCTCTTGCCCACTGGTGGGCTTCTCCTGCTGCAGTTGGGTTAGAGCCGGGGGGGGGGTGTCTGTGAGGGGAACCCCCACATTCTTTGCTGGCCAGGACTGGGGCAAGGTGGGGTGAGTTTAATGACGTGGAGCATTTGACTTGCAGCCTGCTTGTGTTTGTGTGTGTGGAGGGGGCCCAGGAGTCATCTAGTCCAGCCCCCACTTTGTGGTTTGGCTTCCTACCTGCAGAGTGCTTTTGAGCCTTCCTTCTCTGGAGGTTTATAAGCAGAGGCCGAATGGCCACCTGTCATGGATGCTTGAGCTGAGATTCCTGCCTTGCAGAGGGCTGGACTGGATGACCTTTGGGGGTCCCTTCCCACTCTACGATTCTCCTATCAGGGTTCGCACACAAGAGTGATTCCCAGCAGCTAGTATTTGGGAGCTTTGCTGCCTCCATCCCACAGCCACTGGAACTCGAAGCCTCCCATAGCCCTGTCCTATCGAAGCACATTCAAAATACCCACCTGTTCCACACTTGGAATCATAGGAGGGGATCCCAAGGGTCATCCAGCTCAACCCCCCGCAATGCAGGACTTCTGGGCACTGCAGTTTACCACGCACAGAATGAGTTTCCAGAAACCCTGAACTAGCTTAGAGCACCCAGAATTCTTCGGGGTGGCAGAGGAAAAATGCGCCTTCGAGGCGTGCGGTGCACCCAGCTCGAGCCCCGCTTCCGCTGGCTTCGTTCCGGGGCGGGCAGCGTGTCGTGCCGCGACCCCCATCCCCTGTCCCTTCTCGCGGTGGCTGTGAAGGAGCGCCGGGGCAGGGCTGGGCACGGCTGCTGCGTTCTGCAGCTGTAGAATTGCAGAGTTGGGCGGGATCCGGGGGTCATCCATTCCAGCCCCGCGCAATGCAGGAATCGCAACTCGATCCCGCGCAGGTGGGCTGGTGGGGCAGGGTGGGCGCGCCCGCCGGGTTCCCTTCGCCCCCCTCACGTCTCCCCTCTGCCTGTCTGTTTTCTCTGAGCAGAAGTGAAGGCCTACAGTTCCGACGAGGAGAAGCTGGACGGGCGGCCTGGCGAGGCGGCGGGCGGCAGCGAGCGCGAAGAGGAGGAGAGCTCGGCCGAGAGCGAAGAGGAGCCCTTCCTGGACGGGGCGGGCGGCGGCGGCGGCGGCAGTGCTCTGGGCGCCGGGCCCAAGGCCAAGGCCAAGCGGGTCCCCGGCGAGCCGGCGTCGTCGTCCTCGGGCTCTGCGCCCTCGTCGTCGGGGCCGGGCAAGAGCCGCCGTCGGCGCACGGCCTTCACCAGCGAGCAGCTGCTGGAGCTGGAGAAGGAGTTCCACTGCAAGAAGTACCTGTCGCTGACGGAGCGCTCGCAGATCGCGCACGCGCTCAAGCTCAGCGAGGTGCAGGTCAAGATCTGGTTCCAGAACCGGCGCGCCAAGTGGAAGCGCATCAAGGCCGGCAACGTCAGCGGCCGCTCCGGGGAGCCCGTCAGGAACCCCAAGATCGTCGTGCCCATCCCCGTCCACGTCAACCGCTTCGCCGTGCGCAGCCAGCACCAGCAGCTGGAGCAGGGACAGCACCCCTGAGCCCCCCCCCGCCCCATGGACGGACTGCGCGGACGGGGAGGCGGGCGCCCCCGGCCGCCCCCGACCCTCTCCCCGCCCCCCGCACGCGCCCTTGTACCATAGCCCTTATTTATTCGGTGTAAAGTCTATACAGAGGGGCGCTCCTTCCTCAAGGCGGCCGGCGTCGGGGGCCCCGCACAACCCCCCCCCCCGCCCGCGTCAATGTGTCAGTTCCGTGCAGAGTCGTGCTGAAAGTCAATAAACTTACTTTTCTATTGGCGTGGCCCCGCGGCTCAGTGTTGGGGCGACGGGGCGGGAGGTTGCCCCCATCCCGAAGCAGGAGATTTTCCCGGCTGCGGCTGCCGCCGTTCCTCTCGCAGAGCCCCCGCCGTACCGCCCCACTTCCTGACCCGCCCCAACGAGGCGGCCCCCTGGGGTGTCCGGCCCCTTGCAGGGAGGGGGGCGCCCCGTCCCCGCCTCGTTAGCCAGGAGGCAAGTTCCGAGGGGGCCTCCTGCTTCCTGGGGGGCGGGGCGCGCGCGGTCCCAGCAGAGCTTCGCAAGTCAGATGTGCGGACGGGGAGCTCCGACGAGGCCCGACGCGCCCACGAAGGCCAGGCGGCGTGCTCTGCTCGCTGCGCAAAGAGGACAAGCCCGCTGCTGCCCTTGCCGTCCACGGAGAAGGCACCCCAAGGCAGGCCCCACTTGCCCCCCTCCCAAGCCCAGTCAGCGGCTGAGCCCCGGCTGGCGGACCTGGGCCCATTCGGGCCACGTTGGAGAAGCTGCAAAGGGCGGCCGGACCAAGCCTGGCCTGCTGCTCCCACCAAGCCTCCCGCGCAGAGCCCGCAGCAGCTCAAATGGCAAAGAACACGCCACATCATGTAACATGGTTTTAATAGCAGCAGCCGGATCACACGATGCATGGTCCTGCTAGAGTTGTGTGCCTGCTGCCTCCGTGTGCGGGGTGCGAGTGTCACCCACCCCCTTGAAATGCACCCCCCCCCGTGTTGCCACGCCAAGACCCCCTTCCCGCAGCTCAGACTGCGCTACTGACTATCCCAAAGCCAAGCAGGCTCTTCTTCACCCCCCCTCACAAGTCACAGAATTGCGTAGTTAGAAAGGGTCCCAAGGGTCATCCAGTCTGACCCCCTGCAATGCAGGAATCCCAACTCAAGGTCCTTCCCCACAGGCAGGGCAGGGCAGCCACAATGCCCTGGAGGAGGAGGGAGCGCAACTCTTCTGGCAGGAGAGTCGGAGGCAAGTTGTAGGGGTTACCCTGCTCCTGCTTGTGTCTGGACCCAATCCACCCCCCCAACACACTGCCTCACACACCCCCAGAGCGCAGGATGTGCTGTGGCTGAGCTTGTGCCTCCTCCCTCAGATGCCTCTGCTGTCCCAGGCAGAGCACAGGCAATTGATCGGCCTCCCCTGACGGACTGTGCCTGCCGGCCCCCTGCCCTTGACCTCCCCTGCCAGGGTCCCCGCACCCTTGATCAACTGGGTCGCCCTCCCCTGCCCACCTTCCAGCTTGTCAACATCCTCCTTAAATTGAGGTGCCCAGAACTGGACACCGTATTCCAGGTGTAGTCTGATCAATGCAGAATCTCTTGATCTGGACACTAGACAGAAGTCTAGTTGATGCAGCCTGGAATAGCATTCGCCTTTTTTACTGCTGCATCACACGGTGGACTCACGTTCAGCTTCGTTCCACCAAGACCCCTAACCCTGTTTCATACGGCCTGCTAGTTTGCCCGGCCGCTGGCCCTGCTCCCACCGCAGCCAGGGGCTTACTGGGCAGGTGGGGGCTCCCCTGCCGCTCCCCCCCAATTCAGCCCAGCCTCTCTGCCCCCACCCCTGTCCAGCCCCCCCTGGGCTGGGGGCAGCCTTGGCCCTGCTCCACGGAGGAGAAGAAGGAGAGAGAGCCACACTGTGTGGGGCAGTTGGTGGGTGAGGTGGGGCAGTTCTTTTATTGGGTAGCTGCTCGGTTGCTGCGGCAGGTCTTCCTCGCTCTCTCTCTCTCTCTAGCTCACACACACAAACGGCAAAGAAACCTTATTTACAGGCCGTCATATAAATATTTCCAATGTACATTTTATACACAAGTGGCTGAGACAGGTGGGAGGCTGGAGAAGGGGGAGCACCATCCAAAGTGGGGGGCCACCCCAGGTCTGTCCCGGAAAGGCTGCAGCAGTGGACGCGGGGAAGGCAAGGGGGGGGCTCTATAGTACTGACACACCACAAGTGCAGCCAGGGGGAAGGGGGTTCCCTTTGCTCTGGGGCCTCTGGGGTCCCGTGTTCCCTTTTTCCTGGGGGGTGGGAAGGAGGGTTGCCCACGCGGAGGATGCCTGGCCACCAGGATGGCAAGGAGAGGCCCCTCGGGTGCCCAGGGCCGGTGCCTTTGCCCCACGCCCGTCTACTGCCAGGACCGGCCCCCGCAGCGCTGCCAGGGGGGCTCAGTGGGCCGTGGGGGACGGGGGCTCGGGGGAGAGAGCCCCGGAAGGGGAGGCGTTGTTGTTGACGTTCCTGCGGGGCAGGCTGGGCGTGAGGGAGCTCATGGCGGCGTCGCTGGGGCACCCGTGCTGGAGCAGGATGTCCACACATTCTTGGCTGCCGGCCCGGCGGGCGTAGGCCATGGGGGTGAGGCCTCGGGCGTCGCGGCTCTTGACGTCCACCCCGTACTGCGGGCAGAGGAAAAACAGTGGGAAGGACGCCCGGTCAGGGAGGGGGCAGCTGGGCGGTCCTCTCCTGCCAGCCCCCTGCCCGGCCTCCTCCGCTCCCCCCACCCCCTTGGAAGGCCCTCTGTTACCCAGATGAGGAGCTGCGTGAAGACCACGTTGGCCATGGCGCTGGAGAGGTGCAGGGCGGTCCGGCCGTCTCCGTCCCCGTAGGTCTCGTTCACCTCCTCCTTGGTGCCGTGCGCCAGCAGAGTGACCACGGCCCGCAGGTCGTCCTCCACCACGGCCCGCAGCAGCTGCTGCCCCAGGGGCACGTCCGAGTGGGGCAGAGGGGCCAGGAAGAGCTTCTGCTCGTACTTGGCCCGGATCCAACGCTCCTTCTCCTCCCTGCAGAAGCAAAAGTGGGCGGCCGCCTGTCAGGGACGCTTCAGCCGCAACTCCCGCCTGTGTGTTCCGACTAGATGACCCCTGGCTTCCCTTCCGCCTCCACCATGCTGCGATTCCAGGGAAGGGGGCACTGCACAGAGACGTCTCCGTCCTGCACGCCCCCCATAAAGGCGGCCTGCCCCCCGGGATCGCCATCTATCACACAGCCCCAGCGGAAAGGCCAGCCCCCGCACTGGAGGGCAGGAGGAACGGGCTAGACGCCGACAGAGTCGCGGCTGCGGCATTATCGCCAGCGGCGTCTTGCCGCCCGCACAAAGGCACTGGTGCCGAGGGGCCCCCGATCGATGCTGCCGGCACCCCATTGCTATCTGCTGGCCATTCTATCCATCTGCATCTTGCCCGGCGCGATCAATACTGGCGGCAGAGCATGCTCAGTGCCTCGTGCCCCCTGACCTGCTCTTATCCGCTGATAAGGCAGCAGAAAGGGCTCTTGTCTGGGTGTCGGGATGAGTGAGTGACAGCGCAGGGGCTCCGATAGGGACACACAAGGCAGCCTCCCCAGGGGCCGGGGCAGCCATGCAACCGCCTGTAACCCCTTCTTCTCCAGGCGCAGAATCAGCCCTCCTACACACGCTGCTCCTCTTGACTCTCCGGCAACCAGAGAGGCTGCTGAGAGGGGACCTGCTCTCTTGCCCCCCGTGGCCATGGCAAAGGCAGGGGACCAGCTCTGCCCCAGTGAGCGCTTCAGATCCGTAACACACACACACAGTGTCCCAGCCAGTTTGGCACCCACTCTGCCCCCAAGGGGAGCTGGCTGGCATCTGATTTTGCTCTCCGCTGTGGCTCAGAGGTGGGGCTGGCCCAGGAGCGAAGGGGGTGCTGTGGTATCTCCTAGTTCAGGCATCTGTGGGAAGCAGCAGAGGCATTTGCCATGCAAAAGTGGGTCCTGACTGCCACCCCCCACCCAGGCGGCACCAGCCCCTCTCTGAATCATTGGGAGCTCTGGCCAAGAAAAGCCACCCGACTCGTGGGGCAGCCAAGCCCTCCTCTGACAGAAGAACCAAGCGTCTTCCTCCTCCAAGGGCTTGCTCAGAGATGGGGGGCCTGTGGCCTTTTCCAGACGCTGTGAGGCTCCAGCTGCCATCTGCCCCCTGCAGCCAGCATGGCCAATGGTTAGGGCTAAGGGGGGCTGCACTCTAGCAACACATGGAGGGCCTCAGGCACCCCCACCCCCAAGCCCTGGCAGAGAAGAGCCTGCGAGAATGATGCTTGCAGTTCCTGACAGAAATAGAAACAAACCAATAATAATTATAATAATAATGAAACCACCTTCCACCCACGTCACCACCTCCAGGTCTGGCCTTACGATGCCTCAGAGGAAGCGCATCAGAACTTCAGAGACCAGGGGACGGGATGATTCCAGAGCGTTAAGCAATCTCCAGCATTTGCATTTCCTCTTCCTGCCCGGCTGTGCTAATTGCGGAAATTAAGGCTTTACCTGTCTGCTTGGAGCGGGAAAGAGCAGCGCTGCCTTCCCAGGTCAGCTGGAGAGCTGGCCCTGCCGCGGTGGAGGCACACTGGGCTCTAATGAATGCAGAGATCTCCCTCTCCCTGGGGGTGGGTTTCCCCCTTTGCTGCTGCCCCCTTAGGGGCTGAGGCTGCAGCTTGAGCCTCATCCTGCACCTCGTGCCAGTCAGTGAAGAAGCATTGCCACCCCAGGCTCGAACCTGCCTGCTCTCTTGCTGGCTCCCATCATGCGGAAAACAGCTTTGACTCTTGAATGTTGAGGAAACTCCCCTTTCAGAGTCTCCTGGGGGTCAGGGCATCCTGGGCCTCACATCCCAAATGCCACCTTGCTAGTTAATGCGGAAGAGCCACAGCCGATGGGGGCCCTGCAACGTCTGTCAGAGGACGAGGGGGACAGCTGGTCCCTCCCAGCTGAATGGGGAGGAAGGACCTCAGTCATTTTGAGGTGCACAGGGACTCCCCATTCTGGAACAAAATAAAAAAATTCCTTCCAGTAGCACCTTAGGGACCCATTAAGTTTGTTATTGGTATCAGCTTTCGTGTGCATGCACACTTCTTCAGATACCCATTTTGAGGCAGCCATATACAAACAGCCTGTTTTCTAGTTCCTCTATTAATCTGAGTGGAGAATGGGTGTACCTGGAACCATCCAGACACTCTTGCTCTCAGTCACAAAATTGTAAGCAGCAACCTATTATAGATTGTAGAGATTATTATTAGTGACCGTTTTATTATGTTTGGTGTGACTGCACTGCAGAACCGGGCATTTTGCAAGGCAATTTCTCGCTGTGCAACAAAGAGATATTGACTGACCCCCCCCCCCCGAGTCCATGCATGGGTTTGGGCTACTGCTCCCTGGATGAGACTTTAAATGTTCAGTTTTCAGAAGTTCCTAAAAACCAGAGACGCCCATGAACCAAATTTCAGATTCCTAGCTTAGAATGTGGACTGCAAGAAGATCAAACCTCTCCATTCTGAAGGAAATCAGCCCTGAGTGCTCACTGGAAGGACAGATCGTGAAGCTGAGGCTCCAAGACTTTGGCCACCTCATGAGAAGAGAAGACTCCCTGGAAAAGACCCTGATGTTGGGAAAGATGGAGGGCACAAGGAGAAGGGGACGGCAGAGGACGAGATGGTGGGACAGTGTTCTCGAAGCTACCAGCATGAGTTTGACCAAACTGTGTGAGGCAGTGGAAGACAGGAGGGCCTGGCGTGCTCTGGTCCAGGGGGTCACGAAGAGGCGGACGCGACTAAACAACAACAACACTAAGTCTATGAACGTCCAGTTCTCAGACTACATGTGTTTGAGGTCACAGAGACGTACTCTCGCAATTCTGACGCCCCTTTGTGAGTGTGTGCCTTTTGGGGCCTTTCAATCTGGCAGGTCCGAGATGCAAATCCACGCCTTCAAACGGTCAACTCTTCCTCCTGTAACCTCCACCCTAAATTTACAGCCTTCTGGTTATCGCAAACTGGCTAGATGTTTGTCCCAGCAGCAGGTCCTGGGGGAGGGGGCCCCCCGCCAGTCCCTTCAGTTTGCTAGCCTGCTGCTTCCTCCGTTTTGTCAGAGGGCAGCTCCCCCCTCACCAGCGCAGGAGTAAGAGTCAGTGGCCAGGCTAGTTGGCAGCTTGCCCTTGGCCTCGGGCAGCCAGATGTTTTGAGCCTCTCCTCTTATTTATTGAAAAATGCACACACCACTTTTTTGTTTGCCATCTCAAACAAAAAGCAACTCCCACTTGACTGGAATTCCTTCAGGTTTCACCCCTTTTTCTGAGCTTGGTCCTGCCCCGCCCCGGGAAGGGATTCTTCTCCCAGCCTGAGGCTGTTGCCCCAATCCAACACAAGCCCTAGGGAAGTGAGAGGACGGGGGGGGCACCTCTGGCCCCCTTTCTAGAACCAGGCACAAGAGCACCTTCCCCCCACCAAGCACATGGAGGCCCCCACGGGGCAGCCGCCTGAGTGGCGAGTCCGGGAGCCCTGGCCGTAGGGGGCACAGCGGCCTCCGTCAGGCGCAGCCTACCTGCAGCTCTCCGGGGGCGGCTTGGGGTAGTTCTCGATGGCGCCTTCCCACACGGAGTTGGCCAGCGTGTTGCCAATGGCCGTCATCACCATCACCAGCTCCAGAGGCCAGTCGTCCAGGTCGAGGGAGCGCACACGAGAGAGGTGCGTGCCCAGGTTGCGGTGGATGCCGGAGCACTCGATGCAAATGAGGGCGCCCAGGTTGAGGCTGGCCCAGTCCGGGTCTGCGGAGGGGCAGGCAAATTAACACCTGAAAGGGACCCCCGCCCTCAGGAGCCTGCCTGCCTGCCAGAGAGTGGCTTCTGCTGGCTCCCCCTCCCTCTCTCCCCATAGAAACCAAGTTCAGGTGAGATTTAAGGGTCCAGACGAGGGCAGGGTGTTATGGAATGCCTAGAGACCCCCCCAAAGGACCCACTCAGCACCCCAGGAGTTTCTGCAGAGCACCCCAAGAGTCATCTGCACCTGAAGCTGACTTTCCCACCGTGTCCCTCCCTCCGACCCAATACCTTTGGGGAGTGGGCTCCAGAGCCAGCAGCCAGGACAACTGCCCCCTCCCTGCCTTGGTTTTTTTTTTTTTTTTGCAGGGCACCAGACTCCCCCTGCCCATGTTTGGCTTTAGACAGAGATGCGTTTGGTGAGGGCTGACCGTTGGCAGCGAGGAATCATCGCAGGGCAAAAGCGCCCCTCCCAGGCTGGGCAGGTGGGGGAGAAAAGGGTCTGGGTGGGCGGGGGCATCCTGGCTGCAGCAGGCAGCTGCCAAAACCCAAGAAGCTCTTTTGGCGCAGTGCTTTCAGGAGCCGCTCTCTTCTGTGGGATACAAAATCCCCAGAGTGCCCTGGGCACACACTGGCAGAGAGCTTTCCCTCACCCCCCAAGGCAACAGTTTGCCACCTCCGATTGCTCTGTCCAGATCTGTGGAGGAGCTTCTGCCAGCAGGAAAAGACACCCCTGCTCCTCGCCCCCCCGCCACCGCCAGGCCATCACTCACTGGGCGCATCGCAATCCACACAGAAGCTGTTTCCGCGCACGGTGCGGATGGACTGCAGAGCGAGCGCATCGCTGTGGCTGCCCAGGCGAGCCTGAAAGAAAGGCAGACATTGCGTCTTGTGAGGGGTTCCTGTCTCCCCCCATCTGCCTCCTTCCTGCTCAGGGCCACTGGGAAAGGAGGGGGAAGAAACAGGAGAAAGCCAATACACAGGCTGCGGGGGCTGAAGCGCCATCACTGTGACCAGCCTTGCCCAATTTCCTCAGGCACCATGAATCAGAACTGCCAGGATCTTTGGACCTGGATGCTTCCAGCCCCCCCGCCCCCCGCTTTCAGATCTGCACGTGGACCCCCAGCAGTGAGAGAAAGTGAGTTTGCCCATGTGCAAGGGCACTCCAGCAGCTGGGTCCTGCCTCGATGGCCAGGTGTGCTGTGGGCGTCTTGCAGGTGCCAAGCCAGAGAGACCCTCCTCAACCCAGACAGAGGTTCTGCTCCAACCCAGGGCTCTTCTGCTGCCCCTGCCCTGCCCTCACCCCATTGCTCCGCCTCTCCTGTCCCCCTAGGAGCAGGGCAACCCCACACCCCTGCTGGCGAAAGGGGATAGCACCCTGGCCTATGATCCCCTCCCGGCCGGCCGCGGATCACAGCCGCTTTGCCCCCCCCCGACAGACCTACCTTGTTCTTGCTGCTCTCACAGCCCTGGAGACTTGCCAGGATCTGGCTCTCAATGGCTTGCACCCAGAGCTCCCTCTCCTCTGCCGTGGAGGCCTCAAAGAGCCACGACTGGCCCGTCAGAGAGACAATGACAAACTCAAAGGACTCGCCTTGCTCTGGAGGAGAAAGAGCGGAGAGGCTCGCTTGAAATGAATAACCACCTGACTCTTAGAAGACACCTGAAGGCAGCCCTGCTCAGGGAAATTTTTAATGTTTGATGTTTTATTGCATTTTTAATATTTCGTTGGAAGCCGCAAAGAGTGGCTGGGGAAACCCAGCCAGATGGGCCGGGTATATATAATAAATTATTATTATTATTATTATTATTATTTGAAGAGGGCTGGGCGGATGGCAGCTGCCAGATGGCCAAAGCAGGCAAGCTCTTTCTCCAACCCAGTCCCTTGTCTCCAGCAAAGGGAAGACACGCCACAAACCTCGTTTCCTGGAGGAGAGTCGGGTGGTGCGAGGGATGGCAAAGCCCCCACACTATTCAGGCTCCAAACCTTGACGTGCAGCCCCTGGCACTGACTCCCAGGCAACCTTTGTCCCTCTGTTACTCCCCTCCTTTAGGGAAGAACTTAACCCATTTCTACCCCAGCCTAATCTTCAGATGGGCAGCAATAAAGTCCCATCAAATGCAACACAACTACTCAACATGCCGTGCTCTGTATGCAATGTTGCAAGCTGCCCCTTATGAAGGGTGGTCTATACAGTCCGAGTGACGCTGGGGGAGCACAGATCCAGCCCTCTCTGGGCAGAAGGGTCTCTCCCCACGGCTTCCACCGACCAGGCTCAGCACAGCCGGCCTAGACAAGCATCATGCATGGGCAGCAGCAGCATCCAGCCAACGGGTCACAACCCAGAAGTGCCTGGTGGCCGGATCCAGGCTGGACTGTACCATCACCACCAGCCTAGGCATCTTGGGGAGAGGCAAGGAGAAAGACGGACAGAGAAAGGTGGCCAGAAGATGGGCAGCTTGCAGGGGCTGTCGAGGGGGTTCCCCCCCAGGGCAGATGCCTGCCCAGCTGCTGCTGCTGCTCCCGCCCTGGAGGGGAGTTGCCGGGGGCCAGGAGTAATCATCCCATGCGATGCCACAGCCCAGGCGCCAGCTCGTAGCAAAATGATGTGTAATTCCCTAATTAGTGTTATGCAAATAACATCCTCAGCTCCATAATGTGGCTTCCTCACTCTCTGTGAGAGACAGACAGGCAGCGCAGAGGAAAAGGAGTCCTGCCTTGGCAGCCAGGCCCCTTCCCCAGACCCCACGCTCCCTCGCCCCCAGGGGCACCTGGCTTGCTCCCCCCACACCCAGTCAGGTCAGGCAGGGGCCTCCAGGGAGGGCCCTTGGGAGCCCCCCCCCAGCTCCAGGGAGCGCCTCTGCGCCTGCCAAGCCCCAGGCCTGGCACAAGCACCTTTGTTCCTGCAGCTGCCCAAGGCGTCCTCCCTGCAGAAGCCGGCAGATCAATGGACCATTTGCCTGGTGGTGGCTGGATCACGGAAGCGAGCTGGAAGGGTCATCCAGCCCAACCCCCTGCAATGAGCCCAAGGACAGGCTGCTGGATCAGGCCCATGGCCCACCTAGTCCAGCCTCCTCTTCTCACAGTCAAGCGGAGGGGAACCAGCGAGCAGAACAGGCGCCCCAGAGTCCTCTCCCCCAGGGGGGTGGGAGCCCAGAGCCCGGCCTCCCTCTCCAGATGGCGCCCGCTCAGCCAGGGGTCGGGGCTCACAGCTCCCTCCTTCCAGCGCCACTCCCTCCCCCAGTGCATCATGGGAAAGCTGCCAAGGCTTTAAACCTGTTGCCCACCCACCTCTTGAGGAGCACAGAGAGACAGGTGGGGTCAAGGGAAGAAAGCCCTGGCCAGGCCTTCTCTTGGCTTCCCACACCTCAGTCTCTGCCCTGAGCATCTCCTCGTGAACCTTTCGGACCCCAAGGACTGCCAAACCCTTCCTTGTGACTGTCCCCCTGTCCAGCCGCCTGTCCTTGGGGTCAGTGCAGGGGGTTGGGCTGGATGACCCTTCCAGCTCTGTGGCTCCAGGCTTCTGTGATCCCTTGTGACTGTCCTCTGCCCCTTCCTAGACAGGAGAGCGGGCATCGCTGCAGGCTCCTTGGTGCCAGTCACAGGTGCAGCATCAGGAGGCACTGCTTGGGGCAACAAAGCCATGGCGCTCTGCCCACATTTCCTTGCCAGCCCGTCGTCCATCTCTGGCCATCTCTGCCCTGGCAGGTGGGACCTTGAGAGCTGCAGCAGGGCTTGGGGGGGCCCTCGGAGGAGACCCCCGGAGGACATGTGGCCTTAGGCATGCCAGTCCCTTGCCCATCTCGCCCCCGCAGCCTGTGTCTGGAACAGGGGAGGTTTCTGTGCCATGAGGGGAGGAGGAGGCTGCCTGGGCACCCTCCCGCCCCCCCCCCGGGGTCCTCTCCATTCCTGCGGGACTCCAATGCGGAGAAACAACGGGGAGGGGGAAGAGAGCTCAGCCCCTCGCCATGCAGCCCCCCCCCCATTTCAGTGCATTCCTCTGGGCCCAGCAGCTCGCTCCCCCCTCCCCAAACTCATTAGCTCAGTGACTGACCAACTGAGAAATTAGAGGAGCATTTGGGTAATTTGACGAGAGACTGGGATGGGCTTCTGCGGAAAGGCTGGCGAGGGGGCCGTGGGGGGCCTGGCACGGAGAGTCTCCTGCTCCGGATCTCTCGCTTGCCGTGGGGCTGGCCAGGAAGGGTGTGAGAAGGGGGGAGGGCTAAGCCACGTCCGCGTGTGGCTCCCCAGGAATTAGTGGGCAGTGGAATGAGCGAGTGCGTCTCTTGATTATTTTTTGATGATGTTTCGCAGGCTGAACGCTCTGAAGTACTCCCGAGCAAGCCAGGCAGCCTCCTTGCCGCGGCAGCGGCTGCTAATGGGTGTTAACCCCGCGACCTCGTCTCCAACGCTGCCTGGGCAACAAGCCCTCCAAATGAGAGGGAAATTAGCAAGGCCACGAGGGGAGCAGGGGAGCGAGGCCAGGCGCCCCCCTGCCAAGCCAGACCCCCCTCGCCTGCACCTGCTCCCCAGGGCATCTTCCGAGGAGGGAGCACGTGCAGGAGGAGTCCCAGGGGGATGTCCCTCAGCAGGTGCCGTGGGAGGAGGGAGAGATCCGCCACCCCACTCTCTATGGGGCTGGCCCCATGCCACCCTCCGCTGCTCCTTGGCAAAGCACCTGCCCTCTTGCCTTCTTCACACCAGAGCTGCTGGTGCGAGCGGGATCTGCAGCCGGGCCCCTCACTGGCCCCCATGCCCAGGGAGCCCCACGAGCAAGGCTGCCCCCTGGCATCATGGCAGCCCCTCATGGCTCGGAGAGGGACTTGGCACCTCCGCAATCGAGCAGGCGTTGTGGGGGGGATGCACGAGGCGGGCGCCATTCGTAAATGTCATCGCGCTACCGCCTCATTTTGCAGCTCATTAAACCCAATATTCCTAACCTGTATTAGTGCATCAGGGACAGCCCCCCTCCTCCCCCCTCCACCCCACACTGCCAGGCAGACGGAGGGAGCCCACAAGCACACGGCTGAAGGCCGCCCCATGGAAACGGAGCGGGGGGGCCCTCACAAGTGAGGAGTGGGGCCTCCCCCTGGCACAGCCCCCGTGGTTGGCGGACAGGCCAGGAAGGGGCAGCCAGAAGCAGGGGGTTGGGGGGCTGGAGAGGGGAGAGAGGGAGGGGGCATGGCAGCTTCCTAGCTTGCCTCTCCATTGCAGGAAGTGGGGAGGCAAGGTTCCCAAAGGGACATGGGGCAGGGTGGGGGGCAAGGATCCAGCAGGGCTGTCAAGGAGCAGGAGGAACATGGAGACCAGGCGTAATCCCTGGCAGTCTGGTGGGGGCAAGGGTTCTACGACAGGCCCTGACAGGCAGCATTAATCACAGCCACCGCCCCAAAGAAACTCTTCGCCAGCCCGCCGGTTTCCCTGCGTGGGCTTCGCGACAAAAGCACATCACTGGGCTGCTGCTCAGGAAGGTGCTGAGGGGCTGCCAGGCTGGTGCTGAGCCCCTTGCCTCCCTCCTTAAGCCCAGGAGGACTTCTTCATCGGCCAGGGACAGACAGACAGCCAAGGGACCCTGGCCGGGAGGAAGTAGCTGAGGAGGAACCCTGCCCCGATCCCTCGCACCCCAGCCCCACCGGCCACGTTTTGCTCCCAGGAGTTCAGCTGCCACGCACCCAGCTGGTCGGGGAGTTTGCAAAAGTTGGGCGGGGGGGGCCTGCTCCACCGCCCTCTGCCACGGCTGCCTGACGCGCCCCGGTGCACTTTGCAGACGCTCCCTGAGCAGTTTGACACAGTGGCGGCGGCGCCTCGCTCTTTAACATGCGGCCATGTAAAAAAGCAACAGCTCCGTGCGTGATTTATGATACTTCAGAACAACGAAGATTCAATTGCGCCGCACGTCCTCGCCTCTGATTACCTCCTAAATGAGATAAACTGATGGCAATTCATCCCGAGACCTCACCCACTCTCCCAGGGTGCCAACCTGAGGCACTGGGGCCTGCCTGCCTGCGGGGAGCCCCCCTCCCCAGCCCCAAATGCCTCTTCCGCTGGGGGGAAAGGGGGCCCTGGCGTGGGATAGGGGGAGGGGGATGCAGCGAGCCAGCAGATTCCTGGGCGCTGCAAAATGAGGAGCAAGCAGAATGCCAAGGGGGTTTGGGGGCCACATCAAGCTGCAGGAAAAGAAGGTCGGGTCTGCCCTCCCCCCAAGTCTGCCCCAAATCGTCATTCTGCACAGCAGGTGCAGCAAGGGATAAATGGGTGCTGGAGTTGAGAATGCAAAGCCCCCCTTCACCCGAGAGGCCCTGGGATGTTGCCAGAAGGAGCCACGGGGGTTCCTGAGCATGTGAAGATATCCACTAACCAGTGCAAATGCCTTACCTCTGCATTGCCAGCAGATCAAGGGGGGAGGAGAAGGCCTCAGCCTTCTTGCTTCGTCTGCGCAGAGAAGGGGCTCAGTGACCTGCACCCCTGAAAGCCTCTAAGGATGTGCTATACCCCTGGGATATTGCTACGGTTTAACTCAGCTCCCCCGGGACACACAGCTCACAAGCCTAGGCGAGGGGAACAAACACCCCCCCCCCCAGGCCAGGCATGGCACAGACCAGGAGGAGACAGACTCAGCTGAGGTCTCCCGCTCCCTCCTTGAGGACTAGCGGCCTCACTGTCAAGGCAGCAGATATTTATTTCTTCCACCCTGAACACCACTTCTAATGGATATTTATTTCTTCCCTCCTGCACAACCCAAGCTGCCCCGCTCAGGCGAGAAGCCCCTTCCCCACAGACCCCGGAGGGAAGGCTGGGAATCGTGCCGGGCTTTCCTGGGAAGCACAACGCCCCTGCAGGCAGGCCCCAGAAAGAGGCAGGAAGGAGGGCCAGGCCTCGAGGCTCAGGACAGGCCCCTGACCGCTCTCAAGGCCCTCCCAGCCCTTCTCCCCACCCACGGCCCTCCCAGCTAGGCGGCAACAGAAAGGACTCTGCACATGCTCTGGAGGCTGAACAAGGGGGCTGGACTAGGTGCCTCTTGGGCTGCCTCCCAAATCTACAGTTCTGTGATTTCACGCAGCCTCCGAGGAAGCAGCAGCTGCTTGCCTGGGACGGAAGCCCCCACTCTGTTGCCCTCTCCTGGGGGCGCCTGCGCCTTGAAGGGGGAATCAGGCCCACCCTCGCCCTCTCCAGGCAAGTTCCCCAAGGTACCTTCGGCCACCGTCCCAGCCCCATCCGGCCGGCTGGTGCCCGTGCTCTTTTTCCGGCGATGCTTCTTCCTGTTGGCGTGGGGGGACGGTGGGGGCTCCAGCTTGGGGCTGGCGGTGCTGGACACATTGGGGCTGGAGCTGAGGGAGTCGGCGGTGCCGTTGGCTGGGGGCGGAAAGAGGAGAGCGTCAGACGCGCCGTCCGCGGCACACCCACCCTGCCAACCCCCAGGCCCCACGCAGGCGGGGTTGGTCTGGATGACCCCTGGGAACCCCCCAACTCTACAATAAAAGCAGGCAACCTACCCCTCCACTACCTTTCTGCCCCTAGGAAGGCATCCCCCCATTGGGGGATATCAATGCCTCCCCTGCCCCTCACCGAAAGGGCCAGGCCACCCCCCCAAGGGCAGAGCAGATCCCCCCCCACCAATGGGGCAGGAATGGGAGGGTCCCCGCGAGCGCCTTCCATATCCCTGCCTGCCACGCGCCAAATTTATCCTCAATCATACTGTTCCTTACAATTAATAGCAGAATTAGAAACAATCAGGGAGCTGGCTAATTACTGTCAATTAGAGTGCGCTAATCAAGCTCCGATCACACACACACGCACACACGCCGCCGCAGCTCTCACCATTAAATGTCAAATTTCATTAGAGACCAGCAACAAAATCAGAAGCCTGACATTCAATTCCAGCCGCGGAGCAGAGAGCGCCGGCTCCCAATCAGCGTAAATGCGGAAGCCCCCCCGCCAGGCGCTCCAGACCCCCCCGGCCCAACCCCACCCTCCTCGGCTAGGGAACCCGGGCAGTGCTGCCCCTGCACCCCCCAAGGGCAGGGGCTTTTTGGGGGGGGCTCCTCCAACTCCAGAGAGACATTGGGCTCCCTTCACTGGGAGTGGGGGGAGTGGGCTGCCCCCGCCCTTCTGCAAACAGACCCCCGGCACAAACAGCAGGCTCACCTGCGTTACTAAAAAGCCCCCAACGTCCCACCACCCAACGCTCATTTTGTAAACCGCTTTGAGGTTTCCTACAATCAAGGGGCGTGCAAATTTTACGAAATAAAATGAATGAAGCCACATCAAGTTGCACTGGATTAAATGCGCAGGGTAGGAGCCGATGTCCTTAATGCCAACTGTTTGTGAGGAGGACTTTGCCCCCCCCCCCAAGAGTTTGGGGGAAGCCCCTCTTGCTTTGGAACCCCTGCCATGCCAGGGGGCAGGGGAGACAGGCAGGTGATGGGCTGAACTTCCTTTGGATCCTGCCCTGCTCAGGATGCCCCCTTACCCGCCCCCCGGCTGCAGAAGTTAGTGAGGGATTCAGGGCCCCGCAGAGACAAGCCAGCAGGGCCTCAGCCACAGGTGGAGAGGGGCAGTGGAAGGGGCAGTGGGACAGAACCCCACACAGAGCAGGGAAAAGGGGTCTCTCTCAGCCTCCTCTGCAAAGGGAAAGGGGCCTGCCCACCCCCCAGCCAGGCCCCGGGGGAAGCAGGGGCCCAATCACCCTGGGGGATCCTGTCCTTGGGCTACAGACTCATCCGTGCTCAGCTGTGGGGCTCTGGCCATGGGGCAGCCCCATGTGTTGCAAACCCAGCCAGGGCCAATGTGGGGAAGGGGCAGAGCTTGGCAGCAGAGGGGCTGCCCTGCAAGCAGGTCTCAGACACACATACCCTAGGCATCACCGTGTGGTGCTGGAAAAGGCTGCTGCCTGTCCGTGCAGACACCACTAGGCCAGACGGACCAAACGCTCCGTCTCGGTATGAGGAGACTGCCTCTCTTCCCAGCATGGCTGCATGAACTGGCCCCCTTGCCAGGGGGCCTGGATGGGGCCCAGCCACGGGGACCTCACCAAGTCAATGGCTTCTGGGCTGGCGTCCGAGTAGAGGACAAGCCCTGCCCTTCCCATGCTGGCCCTGGAGGATCCACAGCCACGGCGAGTCGTGCAGTGCCAACCTCAGAAGGGCTCCTGACCCCTCAGCCCCCACCCAGGACAGGCGCCTGACTCACGGCCTCTTCCCCACCTCTCTCCTCTGCCGGGGCCCTTACTCCTGCCAGTACCGGGGGCCACACGCCACCTCTGGGACCAGGGGAGCAGGCATTGGGCATCCCAGGTGGCAGAGAGTTCCTGCCCTGTTTGCCAGCCTCCCAGAGGCATCTGGTTGGGCACTGGGGGAAGCAGGAGGTTGGGGCAAATGTGGCAGGAGGCTCTTCTTATTGCCAGATTGGGGGGGGGGAGGCCTTTCCCAGCCAGAGGGCCACTTTCTCTTCTGGGGGCATGTGTGGGGCAAGAATGGGCAACCAAAGTGGGCTTCATCAGCTGGGCAAGACTCCGCTCATGCCCACCTGTTAAGCAGAGCTCAAGGACGCCTTGCGGCCGGGCAAAAGCTCCCTAGGAGAGTGCAAGGCAGGGCTGGGGAGAGGCCCAGGGGCCAGGCGGAGAGAATGGGAGGGCCACATTTGGCCCTCGCGTTTCCCCGTTCCACTGTTCCGGCTGTTCTTCAGGAGGGGGGTGTTTTGGAAACTCTCCTACACCCAGGGGGACCAGGGTGGAATTCGACACGGATGCAGCCCCTGCCAGGGCTGCAGGAAAAGCCCTGGGAACAGGGCCATGTGGTAGCGGAGGGCACCTCCAAGGTCATCCAGACCAACCCGCCTATACGGGAAGAGACTCCTCACCCCAAGCGACGCTCACGCAGGCAGAGCGGTGAACCTCCCCATCTGCCAAGGGCTCCCAGAGCCGCAGGGGGTCTCCGGCCACTGTTTGCCCCTGGCCTGCTCTAAGGACACCCTCCCCTCACCGCCAGGGGCCAGAGCCCCACTTCCTCTGCTGTCCGGCCAGGGCAGGTCCTGGTGGCGCAGGCAGGGTCCTCCCCACCTGGGCGATGGGCGAGGAGCCCTCTGCCATGCCCCACATCCGCTGGCTGGCTGGCTCCTGCCCGCTCCCTCCTTCTCTCCCTCTCCCTCTCTCTCTCTCGCTCTGCCCCATCAGCAGTAACAGTCTGATTAATTCGCTTCCAGCAGGGAGCTGATGGGGCCAATGATGGAGGCGCTGCATCAGGCGCGCCGAAATTGATAGTTTTTCACAGTTACAAATGAGGAGCCTCCCCAGCTCCAAATGGCGGCGGCGCAGTCGGACTCCGGTAATGATCATAAAGAGGCTCTCTTTAAACTGCGAAAGCCCCTGGGAGGGAGGGGGGGGCGGCTGCCGCGCTAATGAGAACGACAAGGGGGCGAGCAGGCATGGAAATGGCTCCTCCACTCTTGATGTGCATTTAACTGCTTTTTTAGTGCGGCGGCAGAGCCAGGAAGCACCGAGTGATGGATGCCGCACAGAAGCATTTATTTTCCAATTCGGCAAAGTGGCTACGTTGGGAAATGTATGAATTATTTTAATTCACTCAACTGTCCTGAAACACCCGTGCAGGAGGGAGGGAGGGGGGAGGCAGGAGAGATTTTTTGCTGGGGCTCCTGCTCATTGCAGCCAGCCAACGGGTCCAGCACATCCGCAGGCAGGCAGGCAGGCAGGCGTGAGAGGGTGGCCAGAGCCTTCTTCCCCTGGGAGGCAGAAGACCCTTGCTGCCTCTCTGCCCCTCCAGGCCTGACCTCCGACCTCCCCTGGCCCTGGGCAAAGTGGGGCCTTGCCTGGGGTGGCCCCTTTCCCCCTGCCTTCTCCCCTTCGGGGCCCCAGGCTTGGAATAAAGAGCAGGACATGGGGAGGGCAAAGAGGAGTGAGGCGGAGGGGACCCCCACCTTCCTGGGGGGGGGGGCAATTTCTGGCCTGCATCATGGCAGCGGCCCCACTCCGTGGGCTGAGCTCTGAAGACAGGGGCTGAGAGACGGAGGGGCAGCTGCAGGGGCAAACCGCAGCAGGTCTGCCCACCTCCCACAGCACAAAACTCACAAACCCCTTCCCTTCACCCCCCTCCACGCACACACACACACACACACACACACACGGCTGCTGCCACTCACCTGGGTTCGGGACGTTGCTAGGCAAGACGACGGCCTCGTTCCACTGGTCTGCGCTGGAGACAGAGTAGGAGCGCTGGTGCAAGCCCCCTCCCCCGCCGCCATCCGGCTTCAGGCTGAAGCCCACCAGGTTGGTGCCGCTGCCCGAGCGCTCTGAGTGCAGGGAGGTGCTGCTGGCCGAGTGGGGGGCGCCTGCAGGAGAGAGACAGCCCCGGGTGAGGGGGAGACCCATCTGGGCGTGTGGGATCTGCAGCGGAGGGATGGAGCCAGACCCAAGGATCTGGGAGGCCACTGGGGCCTCTGAGAACAAGAGGAGGGCAGGCGGAGCCACTATATTTGGGCATGGGGGGCTGACTGCCCTGATGCCCCCCCCATTGCTTGGAGCTCCAGTCCCTCTGCACGCAAAAAGGCACCTTTGTTCCTAAAGGCTACAGGTAAGCTGCTAAATGGCGCTGTTTTACGATGCCTGAAAAACACCTGTCGAGGGCAGCTTGGGGAAACAGCTTTGTTGAGTCTCGCCAGCTTCCCACCCCAGCCACCACCAAAGCGGGGCAGCAACAAGCTGTGCCCCCCTCCCTCTGCCCCCAGTATGCGGTCCTTGGGGCCACTTGCCCGAGAGGCCAATCGCAGCTTCCTGTGGTGGGGGAATTCACAAGGGAGCCAGCAGGGAGCTGGGGCTGGGGGGGACAGAGAGAGGCAAGGGCCAGGCTGAGAAGGGGGCTACGTTCCTGCTGCCCACAAGTTCTGACCTGCCTGTCTGCCTGTGCCTGTAGTGGCCAAGCCCACCCACCTCTGGCCTGGCACCTCCTGACTCATCTGATGGAAAGGACAGCAGGAGGGGCATCAGTGGGAGACAGACAGACAGACAGACAGTGGGGTCCTGTGAGGGATCAGCCTGAACCTCTGGCCAGAGAACCACGGAGGGGATATTGCAGAGCCCTTCAGGATTCCCTCTTTGGCACTGCCAACCCCTTGGCACACAGGAACTCTCACTCTGCCGGGGTGTCCCGGCATTTATATCTTCTTACATTACGGGAACGAAACTTTTGGGAAGAACCAAGCAAAAGCCGTCAGCGCGGACGCTGCTCCCCTCCCATTGCACTGCGCAAGGGGGCCAAGCAGCCCCAGCTGGCCAGCCCATCGCCTGCCCCATTTCAAGGAAGGCCCCCCCCCCCCATCTTCACAGCCCTGGGCACTTCCAGAGAGAAAGTGGGAGAGGACAGCCACTTCTTCTTGGCCCAAGACTGATCCCGGAAGGCAAGGCCTGGGAGACAGAGGACCACGGCAAGGGCGGCAGGGAGCCACAGGCTGGGGCTGAAGCTGCCTTGCAGCCCCCCAGTTGGATGGGGCAAGTGGGAGGGAGAGGCTGATGGGGAGACAAGGGGGCACCATCCTGGCTAGACTCCCTCCTTGGAAGGGGGCGGACTCTCCTTCCCTGAAGGTTTTTAAAGAGAGGCTGGATGGCTGGCTGTCAGGGATGTGTTGGCTGTGATTGCTGCATTGCAGGAGGTTGGACTAGATGCCCTTTGGGGGTCCCTTTCCAACCTCTAGGATCTCGGAGCTGGGGGGAGGAGAGAGGCTGTGCCAAGGCAGCCCCCGAGTCCCTGCTGCCCACCCCACACAGCTGGGGCTCCAAGCAACCGCAGCTGCTCTCAAGCCAAACCCGGCCAGAGCCTTGTGGTCCTATAGAGAGCAAGCCCCGAACCTGACCATTGCCAGGACAGGTGTAAAGGGGTCTGGGGTCCGAGGGGAGCCTTGCTGCTCTGCTGGCCCCATCCCCTGCCCCACCCTGGGATGAGTGACAGGGCCGCCCGCTCTCTGCTCCGCTGAGCTCCCCCTCCCTCTGGCGGTTCAGCGCCTGAAAAACACGTGTAAAACCATGACACTGACTTTGCCTCTAATTAGCCCTTAATTTACAAGACATACTCGGAAGGGTAATTAGCTGGTGCTCGGCTCCCGGCTGCCACATCCATCTCTCTTGCTGCCTTGCCTGGCAGGAGGGGAGGGGCCGCAGCAGCGGCAGGCAGGAGCAGCCATGGTCAAGACCCCCCCAGCCAGAAGCTGGAGACGACGGGGAGCCACAAGGTCCCAGCCAGGGCTGCCAGGGAAGGAGATTCACTGGGGCAGCAGATCCCAACGTTAATCTTCCTTCCCTCCTTGTTCCTAAGGCAGAACTTCTCTCGCCCCTTCTGCCCTGGTGGGGAGAAGGACAGCATTCTGGGGTCCATCTCAGGGGGCAAAATGTCTTGGACCTGCCTCTAGCAGCAGGAGGAGCAAGAGGAGGAGGGCAGCCTTCTCAAGACCTTGACTCCCCCCACCAGCCACCCTCCCGCCTCTGGGCAGAGCAATGGCATCGTGGGCACAGGCCCTCTGGAATGCCCACCCGGCGTCCCCTGGCCTCCCACTCCTGACTTCCATCCTAGCGCAAGGTGCAAATCAGGTCTTATTTCACTGGCTCAACAGGCGCATGAGTTTTATGCAGGGAGAGGGAGCTGCCAGGGAGACTAGCCAGGCTGGGTTTTCACAAAAGAAATGGATAATTATAATAGTAATAATAATAATAATAATAATAATAGTAATAATAATAATAATAATATATTATACCCCGCCAGAAGCAGAAGCCTTGCTACCTCCAGCTGGGGATGTCAGAGTCCGGCCATTGTGCCCATGAGCCACCGAGAGCCCTCCTGTCCAACCCTCTTTTCCAGCCACCCAAGCGGGAGCCCACCACAGCTTTCTGGGGGAGCAAATTCCATCGTTTAACTTTCTTTTTTCTGCCCTGAATCTTCCCACATTCAGCTTCCTAATTTGGAAGTCCACCTGAGATAAGCGTCGTTCCTGTCTCTCCTTTATTTTTTTAGAAAGGACCCTGGTGTGGGATTTGTGAAGAACTCAGGTGAACTACACCTGCTGAGAAGAAGAGCTCCCAAACTGCTCTGGACTAGAATGACTCAAATTTGTCACTCGCCTGAGATGCCAGACAGCCAATACCTGCGACACACCTGGCTGGGGGGCTCAGAACATCAGTTAGGTTAGCTGAAGTTCTGTGCTGGGCACAGAAAAGGAGGGCCAATGCCCTGCAGGCAAGGATGCCCCCCCAACAAGCCATTGTTAACAGACATTCAGGTTCAGTAGGGGCTCGTGGTGGGGAGGCAGGAGCCAAGCTGCCAGCAGCTCATCAGCCAGGCGAGGTCACTGTCATGGCGGCAGCTCTCCCTCTGAAGGATCCCGGTCCTTGGGAGCTGGCATGTGCCAGGCAAGGCAGGTGGAGCAGGGGGGCTTGGGCAGAAGGAAGCTGGAGGCTGACATTGCCCATCGGCGGCAGCAGGGGGAAAGGGAAGGGGGCACAGGTGCCCACACAGCCACAAGCTCATTCTGCAGTGCTGCAGAAAATGGGCCCAGCACAGTCCTCAGGTGGAGGTCCAAGGGGGCGGAGTGCTCAGAGGACTCGCAGGGGCAGAGCCTCCCCTTGAGTCCCCTGTTCGAGTTCCAAATGAGGAATTCTGAAGAACGTGCACAATGGGTCACACAACCCCCCCCCCACATTAGTTTGCTGTCGTCCTTCATCCATCCAGCCACTCGCTGTGCCAGTTCAAGTCCATTTCCATTGATGGGGAATCAGTCTCTGCCTTCCCCTCCAAGAGTGGGCCTGGAGTGTGTGTTGGGCGGGGACACCCCTGGAAGGACAGCTCACTCACTGCACCCCCTCTGGGCTGGGCTTTGCCGACAGCGCGTTTGGGAGCAGCCGCCAACAAGGGCAGGAACGGCCAGCCCCATGTGCCCGTGGCAAAACAGGGGCCAACAGCAAAGCATTACGTGGAACCCCTGCCAGGCTCCCTCCCTCCCTGCCTGTCACGCCAGGAGGCCCGACGGTTGACAGACAGAAAAGGCCCCACAGCGGCCTCTGGAAACTTGGAGCCACCCAGTTTGCCCGCTAGGAAACTGGAAGGCTCCAGCCACTGCCCAAGGCACCAGAGGGTCCTTTGCCATCGTTCTCTGCAGGTCTCCCGGGAGGCAGCTGAGGGCCAAGAGCGGAGGGGAGGCCTTCTCTTGCAAGGCTCTGGGGAGTCAGGAGGGAGAGAGGGAGGGAGTTTGAGCAGAAAGACACCTTGGAAAGCTATTTCACAGAGCTGCGCAGCTGGAAATGGCATGGCAGGCAGGCGAGGAGTCACTGGAGCAGCCCCTGAGTGTCAGGCCCATCAGCACAGATCTGGGCGCTGGGAAGGGAGCAGCTAGAAGCCAGACTCAGCTGGCAGAGACAGGGAGGGCCTTGCTGAGGGAGAGGCCCTGGGACAAATGACCCCCACCCTCCTCTTTATCCTCCAGGTGAAGGCAGGAAGGTAAAGGTAAAGGGACCCCTGACCATTAGGTCCAGTCGTGACCGACTCTGGGGTTGGGGCGCTCATCTCGCTTTACTGGCCGAGGGAGCCAGCGTACAGCTTCCGGGTCATGTGGCCAGCATGACTCTGGCGAACCAGAGCAGCGCACAGAAACGCCGTTTACCTTCCCACCGGAGGAGTACCTATTTATCTACTTGCACTGGCGTGCTTTTGAACTGCTAGGTTGGCAGGAGCAGGGACAGAGCAACGGGAGCTCACCCCGTTGCGGGGATTCGAACCGCCGACCTTCTGATCGGCAAGTCCTAGGCTCTGTGGTTTAGACCACAGCGCCACCCGCGTCCCTGAAGGCAGGAAGAGGCTGTGCCAATTGTCTTCTGCTGCTTCAGAGGGGAGGACCCGAACTAGCGGATTCAAAGGAGAAGAGATTCTGACTAAACCGCAGAGAAAACTTTCTGAGGGTGAGAGCTGTTTGCTGGTGGGATGGACAACCTTGGAAGGCGGTGGGCTCTCTTTGCTTGGTGGTTTCGGAAGTTGGTTGGCCACCTGTCAGGGATGCTTCGGCTAGGATTGCTGCATCGCAGGGGGTCAGACTCAATGACCCTTGGCAGTCCCTTCCAACTCTACAATCTTGATTCTAGGATTGCTCACAAGGGCAGAGCCCGATAACTGCTGAAACACACCAAGGCAGCTGATGGCTCTTGCTCCCCTTAGACGGGCTCTCTCTGGCAGAAACGGGCACACCTGGGGGGACCAGCTCACCTTGAGCTCCTTGGTGAAAGGTGAGGGGCAAATGCAGTAAAGGAAGCAAACACCTACGAAACCCCTCCTCCAAAAAAGCCAGCCTTGTGGGGCTCAGGGGCTTAGCTTTCGATACGATATCTTTATTGTCACTGCCCCATACGGAACAATGAAATTGAAAAATCTACATAAGACATTTGAAAACCCCTAAAAACTCTGAAACCCCATTTTAAAATACAATATACTACAATACAATATACTCCTTATACTGCATTTAAAACCAGAATTGCATTTGGGTAGAAGCTGTTTCTCAGGCAGCTAGTCCTGGTCTTTATAACCCTGGACCTTCTTCCAGAAGGCAGAAGCTGAAAGAGATCATTTCCGGGTTTCCAAGCTGTGTCTGATCGGGAGGGACAGGAGATCCTTAACAGGACATTGTGCTCTTTCTTATCCTATGATGCTCATTTTGCATCAAATGTGCAAGTTGCTCCTCAACTAAAACATGATGCACAACAGCGCAGGGAGCTGCCTTCTACTGCCACCCCCCCTCCGAGGGGCCACCGATCCCAGTCCGGCCAACACCCCCTGAAATTCCCCTGGCGTTGCTGCCAGAGACCTTTTAAGCAGGAAGTGCTCTGAGAACGGAGCATGGCAAAGCCTGAACCCCCTGGCCTCCGCCACTGACCAGACTCCTCCCTCCGAAGGCAGGAGCAGCGTTAGCATTGACGGCGATTCATTCATTGCCTCCTAAACCACAGTCCAAGTTGATTCACATATAAAATAAACAGTTAAAAACACAAAAAGCCTCATTAAGAGGAAAAATCTCAACGTTATATGATACTAAGACTAAAGATCAGGTTTAAAGAAGTTGAAGTTATATATTTCAATATATATATATATTTCAATATTTTATTAAAGCTAAAGATTGGGATTAAAAAAGTGGAGAAGAAATTGCTGGACAAACAATTTGAATTGGAATACAAAAGAGGGAGGTATGAGGAAGTCCAGAAAATAAGTAATTAAAAAACGGAAATGGAAAAGAGATATGGTTTTTAATTGTTATGTTTTTTGTTCTTTTATTGTTGAATCTTGTTTTTTTTTGTGTTTTTGTTATTTTCTTATTTTGAGATGTGTATTGTGTATGTTTTTCTTTTCTTCCTTTGTTGTTCAAAACTTTAATAAAAATTATTTAAAAAAAAAACAAAACACAAAAAGCCTCAAGCGCACTTGTCTAAAGCCCTAACAGGTGAACAGTGGTGGCAAAGACCCATTTCTGCAGCTGGCAAAGCCTGCTGAGAGTCGAGAGGAAAAGGCCCCTGGGGGCAGGAGGGGGGAACCTGGACCCCTCCCCCACCCTCTCTTTATTTACTTGACCTGTGCCCCCTCCATCAGTGGAACTGGCACTATCCCAGGCACCCCATAATACCCTTTCCACATTGGCAAGAACTCAACGATTCCAGAGCTACCCTGTGGAACTCCCTGCCTCTTGACATCCAGCAGGCACCTTCACTGGACCTTTCAAAGGGCCTGCTAAAAATATTCTTGCTTAAACCAGCCTCCCCAGACTCTTAGAAAGTTGCTGTGAATCTTAACTGGTTTTAGTATTTTAATTTTGTGTGTGTCTTAAAACTATTGAAATGTTATCCTGGCATTCTCATTTTATGCTTTTGCAAACCACAACCAGGCGGTGTGCCATTTTACGAAATAAAAAAAATGGAACAAATAAAAATGGAGACCCTTTCAGAATAAAGAGCGGAACAGTAATCCTGCCAGGGAGTGGCGTTTTGTGAGGAGAGCTCCGCCGCCGCCAGATTGCTCTGGATGACCGAAGAAGCAGGCGCTGGAAGGAACACATGCCAAGGGTTTTAATCTGTTTTAGTATTTTAACTTTTGCATGCTTTAAAGTACAGCTGTATTTTCATCTTGAATTCCTTCCTTTATCCTTTGTAAACCGCTTTGAGGTTTTGGTTTTTAATAATCAAGCAGTGTACAAATTTTTATGACACAAATCAAAATATAAAGGTGCAACTCAATATGGAGGCCAAATGGCCGAAATATTGGGAAATTCTGGAACAAGATGGAGACAGATTAAAATTGCAGAGCTTTGAAAAATTGAAAAACAGAGTGCGAGATTGGCTCCATTATTATCAAATAATGGAGGCATACAATCTGGACAAAAAAGTTGGGTTTCCAGGTGGAAAAATCAAAATTGGAAACAGAATTGTTAGATCCAAAAATCAAGAATTTGTCAAGAATGTATAACTTGCTGTTGAAATGGAATACTCAAGATGAAATGGTGAAATCTGCTATGATTAAATGGGCACAAGATGTTGGACATAACATAATGATGGCTGACTGGGAACAGTTATGGACCACAGGTATGAAATTTATGGCATGTAATGTCCTAAGAGAAAATTTAATGAAAATGATTTATAGGTGGTACATGACACCAGTCAAGCTTGCAAAAATTTATCATTTGCCCAACAATAAATGTTGGAAATGTAATGAGACTGAAGGTACATTCTTTCACCTTTGGTGGACGTGCCCAAAGATTAAGACATTCTGGGAGATGATCTATAACGAAATGAAAAAGGTATTTAAATATACCTTTCTGAAGAAACCAGAGGCCTTTCTCCTGGGCATGGTTGGCCAATTGGTGTCAAAGAAGGATAGAATATTCTTTATGTATGCAACAACAGCAGCAAGAATACTCATCGCGAAGTATTGGAAGACACAAGATTTACCCACTCGGGAAGAATGGCAGATGAAGTTGATGGACTATATGGAATTGGCGGAAATGACTGGCAGAATCCGAGACCAGGGAGAAGAGTCGGTAGAAGAAGACTGGAAAAGTTTAAAGACTATTTACAGAAATACTGTAAAATCAATGAATGTTAGGAAAATGTTGGAATGAAGTTATATGGCTTTAGTAGAAATGTTATAAGGAATTAAGTATAAATAGATTAATAGAGTATTAAAGGGAAAAATAAGGTTAGAATGTGTTAAGATAATTAAAGGATAGAAAGCAGAGGAAGATGGAAAGGAACTGCTGAAACAATTAACAGAAGTGGAAAACAAAAAGGGAGGTGTGAGGAGGTCATTGAAATAAGTGAATGAAAGGTAAGATATTGAAACTGTTTGATGTGTTTTAAACTGTTTTTGTTTTGTTTTGTTAGTTTAATGTGTTAGTGTTATGTATTGTTTTTGTATTGTATTGTATTGTATTGGTTTTTTTTTGTAGTGTTTAAATTGTTGGAAAAGTAATAAATATTATTGCATATATATATATATATATATATATATATATATATATATATATATAAAGGTGCAGGCCCCCCAAGAATGAGCGGCTGGTGCGAGCCAGGCAGATCTGCCAAGCAGACCCCCCGCTACACAGTGGTGAGGCCGCTGCTGGCGCCTCCCAAACTCAGGCCCCCTCCACCCACCGGAGGATGGGGGAAGCTTGGCAGGACCCCTGGGAACAAAGCCAAGGGCCCAGCCAAGGTGTGCCAGCTCCACGCTCAGATCACCACCTGAATTCTTAAAGCAAAAATAAAACTTTAAAAAGTGGGGGGGGGGGCTGAGGGAAGAGACACCTTTTCTCTCCTAAGCTTCTTTTCGTGACCGAACCCGCCCCCCCCCCCCCCACCATGGCAATCAGGGCCCAGGCAGAAAACAGGTGCCTGTTCCCAGCGCCGGGCGCAAGGGAATTTAGACAAGGGAAGGGGAATGGCAAGGGGGAAAGGATGAGCAGCCCCCCCTCCCAGCCGCAGCTGCAACCTTCCAAGTCAGAACTGCTGCCTCATGGCCTTTGCTAGCCCACCTCTATGGGCTGTTTTTCAATTTTACAAAACACACGCAGAGGCGGACAGAAGAACGAGTCCCGACCAGAGAGGAATGGAAAAACAAGCAGATGGACTATGCCGAAATGGCAAAGTTGACTGGGAAGCTCAGGAACCCTAGAGGACAACAACTTTTAAAAAGAATGGGGGGAAATTATAATCTATTTAGGAGACCACTGCAGGCGGATGAAAACATCAGCAGGATTTTAATCTCACTTGTAACATAACAAACACTATAATATGGATGGATTGATTACAGAATAATATGCAGTTTTAAATGTAAATAATAGGACCCATGAAGGGGATGGGGAGGTCTGGAGATTCAGAGTAATCTCTATATATGGATGTGTACAGTCATACCTCGGGTTGAAGTAGCTTCGGGATGAATATTTTCGGGTTGCACTCCGCAGCAACCCGGAAGTAACAGAGCATGTTACTTCCGGGTTTCGCCGCTTGCGCATGCACAGATGCTCAAAATGCCATCACGCGCATGCACGGAAGCGGCGAATTGCGACCCGCGCATGTGCGGATGCACGGATGCGTTCGCTTCTGGATGCAAACGGGGCTCCGGAACGGATCCCGTTCGCATCCAGAGGTACCACTGTATTTGGACTGTTATAAAATTATATTTGCAAAATCAAATAAAAATGATCAATCAATTTTACAAAACATCAAGAGATCCATGGATCTTCCAGGCATGGATTCAGCGAAGAGAAATGAGTCCATGCCAAAGGTGTGCCTCTTGCTTGTAAAAGAGACACACCTGAGTTAAGGGGAACTCCCATCAGTCTCAGTGTCATGTAGCCCTTGGGCTGATGGGAGTTGTAGTCTGGAAGGCGCCAGGATGGGGAAGATGGCATGCAGTTCAGCGGAAGAGCTGAAGGCACTGCTGCTCATCACCGATTACATGACGGAGCGGTTTCATTCTCCGAGCCTTCAAACTTAAAATGCAACTTTCTACAAGATTATAAGGTCTGCAGGCTGCTTCTAACCCCCCCGCCCCCAAATAACACCTTCCATTTATGTATGATGCACAGCTGGGTTTGCTAAGGAGTCATGCACTATATCATTGCATGCTTTTAAAACAGTAAAGGCCTTTGGCTAATTAAACCATCTATGGCCTTTTAGACTAAAATTTCATTACTGTTGCTGTTATTATTATTTATTTGCATTTCTGATAGATTTCAACACAAGAAAAAAAATACTTTACGGAGGGGCGGGTAGGAAGGGCACAGCTAATGGGGCATTTAAGGAGGCAGCGAAGGGGATGTGCAGGGAAGACCAGGGCTGCCTGGACAGAGAACAGGGGCCGGCCAAGATCCAGTGGGGAGCCACATAGACATTTCTGCCAGGAGAGGAACTGTTTTGCAGTCATGCCTCACACCTGAGGCCGCTCAGCCTTGGCAGGGAAGAGACCCCTTGAAGAAGGCTGCCCCCATTCCCAGGGCAGGGGAGTCCAGAGACCCCTGCTTCCAGAGGCGAGGGAGGGGTCTTCGCTCTGCCTGCCTGCCCTCCACCTCTCCCCCTGCCTCAATGTCATCACCCCCGTAGTGAGCAGCAGAGCAGCAGCCAAACAGGTTTCCCTTTTCTTTGTTAATTCTTCCCTCATTACATTTGAAATTCCACAATCAGTGTGCACTGTAATTGTCGAATTTGATGCTAATGATTAATGAATTAAACATGGATCCATCAATTAGTCCTTGGAGAATAATTCTGCATAAAGCAGCGGATAATGTAATTACAGTAACAAAGATAATGAGATGTTAACATCGACAGAGCCCGACGTGACATGATCACAGCAGGCAAAGCAACCGGGCTTGGGGGAGCCAATCGCGCTCTCTGCCCCTGCGGTGCGGGCGGGGGGACGGGGGGGGCAGGACACGTGCCTGGCCGGGGCGAAGGGCAGAGCACATGCCAGCCATGCGCGCTTAAGAGGGGAACAATCAAGCCAACGAGCCAGCCCCACGCGCACCAATGACGCCACGGGTGGAAGGGCAGAGCAAGCCCCACAGTCCGGACGCACCCTGCCCCCTCCACAAGGCCCAAACCTCTCCTTCCTCTGGAATCCAGAGCAGAATTCCAGACACGCACCAGGCAAGGTGAGGAGCAGACCCTTGTGGAGCCTGGGCAGACATCCTGACCCGTTCCCCTAAGACCTTCAGGAGGAAATACACCCATCCACCCTCCCACCGACTCCCTTCCAGATACACCGAGGTCTCCTCTTCCTGTGCACCAAGCGCCCATCTGCGTGCCACCCCCCTTTGCCCTGCCAGGGTGGGAACATTGTGGCACTGACTCCGCACAGCCCCGGGCACTCCAATGTTCAGCAGCAGCAGCAGCACCAGGCAAGGGCAGGGCATGGCAGAGGCTGCCTGGGGGCCCAGCCCCAACCCATCTTTGGCAGGGCATGTGAGGCTGGCCGGGACCTGGCTCCGATCTGCAGCGTTGAGAGGCCCCCCCAGAAAGCCAGCTGGAGGGAGCTGGAGCCATGAATGCCAAACATGCGCATTGGAGCAGAAACAACAAGGAGATTTGTTGTGGCTGCAGCTTTTGTGGGATCTCTGAAAAGATTCCGCCTCCAGCGGCCAGTGGGGACTCCATTTCCATCGCCACCCATTAAGACCCTGGCCTTGCCCCTCGGTCAGAACACCAGATTTCCTCTTCCAAAAGATTTCTCCCCAGCCGCCAACTCGCCAGACTGAAGGGAGAGGTTCAGCAGGGCTGGCAGGGGAGGCGGGCAGAGCTGGGCAGGCGCCCCAAGCCGGGGAAAACCGCTCCTT